GAACTGTGGGAGCAGGCTTGCGGTAAACGTACATGTAATGGCTAACAGGCGACGACACTGTTCTCCTCGTTGACCGCGGCCATGGGAGTCGCTGCAGCTTCCGTCATATGAGTTACCCCAACCCAAAGGACATGGCGAGGCATCCAGGTCGGGTATGCGGAGGACTTTACCCTGCTTTGGTATGAGCCGACATATAAGGTCGAAAGAGATGCGCTCGAGGCTCGCGTGGTCGCCATTGCTGAGTTGGTCGCTGCATCGTGTGTTTCGGAAGCTCGCCGCGGCGTGAGCATAACGATTGCATCGTGAAGGGTATGTGGTGGGTTAAGAGACGAACGTGCCGTAATTTCGGCGTCGAAGAAAGCTGTGCTGGTGTTTTCCCACGGGCCCCGCGCCCGTCTGTTGGTTCGAAGTGACCCCAGCGCCAAGCTTACACCCGGGGGTGAAATCGGAGTGGAACCGCGAAGGGAGTAACAGCGCGCATAGACGCTATGCTGAGAGCATGGCTATCTGCATTATCCAAAGCATTTCCCATCGTAGCGTACAGCATGCCTCGCGGGCACCGAAGGCGCTGCACTGCCGGTGGTCTACCGTGACGCCGCGGCTCTCCTTCAATGCGTCGCCATAGCCATAGCCACAGTTGTATCGGGGCTCACCTCGCGTCGAATCGTGCGAGCGTGGCAAGGCCTTGTGTACGATATGGACCCTCCGTCACGCTGCTCATCTCTACCTGTCCGGCCTATTCGAAATTCCACCGCCAGTGTAGACAGCTCTTCGGTATCAGCTTCGGGGTCGCGGGAACACGCACAACGGCTCGACCTGCGTGAGGACTCGTTGGTTGTAATGGGACTCAGTGTGTCGCAATAATGCGGAGGGAGCAAGGTCGCCGTCTTAGTTTCGCCCGTTGCTGAGACCCCCATGTTGAAATGCGAGCTGGCGCTCTGGGACATGCTTGTCAGTATGCTGGCATTATACCCCTGAACCCAGAGGCATCGAGGGATCGAAATGCGCATGGCTTAAGCCAATGGCGCGTAGAAACGTACTGGGACGGAATGGGATCGCCAACAACTGCGCCCGTATCAATGGAGTGACCACGGAACGTTTTCATGGCTCGCATGCGGGCTGTTAGGTTGCGCAAGCATGGGGGACTGACATTGAGCAATGAAGCCGCCCGCAGCTTCGTATCGGGCTGCCGCCGCTCCTGCTGTTGCCGCTGTGTATGCTGGCTCCGACAATTCCTCTCCTCCAGCTCCCTGTTCCCCGTCACTCATTGTTGTTCCCATCCTGTTTATCTTCTCACGTCGCTGAACGTTGCGTCCCCAGCTGGTCGTATCGTCGGCGGTCGCGGGGAAGCGGGATCGTGCGGGTAGTTTTACAGGTGCTCCGATTTCTGGACGAAGAACACGATTAGCAGAAAGCTAGAGGAGAGTCACACTGGGTATTTTCAACCAACCTCGGCTTTAGATGCAATCGGCACGCTCATTTAAGCAATGGACTGGCGAACGGTTGGTCACCAGAGTGGTTGAAACACTTACCTCGAATGGGCCTCTCGGTAGAGCTCAGATGCCGCCCTTCAACTGGCGTGCTGATATATTGGGAAAGCCTGCAGTGCGGGTAGTGTCAACTCGTGTAGAGGGGGTGCCGCCTCAACCACGCGCGGAAGTTTCACTGTCCCGAATAGGTCCCCACGAAACAAAGCCTGTAGCGAGTACAAAGACAATACCAACCATACACGCCACAGACTGTGGTTAACTCGGTTTCCCGGGCCTTCCCGCATGATGAATTTTTGGGCCTACCTTCGCGTCGCCATCACCGTCATTTCAGCGGCCTCGGACCCCACCTCCCAAGCGTGACATCATTCGGCGGCTACAAAATTGGCACAGCGTCTACCAGCCTCAGCAGATATACCGGTACGACAGTGCCGTTGTATATGATCGATTACCCCTGGCAAGTCACGCACGGCTGCCCGAGGCGCAGCTGAGGCTTTCGCCGTCTACCACATGAAGGAAAAGGTCTCGCAATGATCCATACCAGTTCATCACGAGTATCTCAGTTCACGGATCAAAGGATATAAATGCGTGTAATTTGCGGCTCTACAGACAATGACATATACAACCGGCCAAAACACCTCCAAGTTCTTCCTGGCTCACTCCGCCGTGCCAAAGACGAACAGGCACATCGACATACTACTTTTCATCACAAAGTAAGATTGCGGCCTGGTGTAACACGTGCTTGTTTCAACCATCCTGTTGGCGCTTCGATATCTTGGCGTCAAGGAGTAAAGGGCCGTTGGCCTCCGAAGACAGCGCAATACCAGACAGCTTCTTTGAGAATCTTGCGCAGCCGTATACAATGGCAAGGCTTCCTTGAGGGGCTTGACGGACATAGCGGCGATGAAGCTATTCGTGTCTCACACGATTCGATCTTGTGATAACCCGTCCGATGTTAGGGAAAGCGTCGTCAGCTGTGACCCCAGCGAGTCATATCGGACTTGTCGGGGGCGGCGCGACGATCTCGTGGTTATCGTCACTCGAGGCCAGCACGTCACTGTCTGGAGTTGGCCGACGCATCTGCAGTTTCGACTTGTCAAACGGAGAACCGCCGACGATCTCGTGGTCATCGTCACTCGAGGCCAGCACGTCACTGTCTGGAGTTGGCCGACGCATCTGCAATTTCGACTTGTCAAACGGAGTACCGCCGACTATGGATTGGACGCCATCTTGTTGATCAATCTGACAAAGTTAGAATGCGACAAAGGCCTGGAATGAAGGTGGAGAACGCGTACCTTGTTCGTTCTTGCGTTCCGTAGGAATGACATCCATTCCCACCCTCGGCCTGCTGCGGTGTCAGACACTTCGATTGATCAATGGAAAGTGAGGCATTTGCTTGCCCAAGAAAGCTAGGCGTCCTGGGACTCACCGGAAGCGCTTCTCGCACCGGCTCGGCCGCAGCCAGAGTGGGCTCAACGGCGGCCACGTAGGCCGAAGCCATTCAGAATCCGTAAGGGCGCAGGAGCAGAAGAAGGGTCCACGGTCGAGATTGGGAGACTGCGGGCTCGGTGCGGCCGAGCCACAGGTCGGCCGTCGCTGCTCTCTGACGGGGCGGTCCGGCATAACAACAAGGTTCTGCGACGTGCGTGTTAGTCATGAATATATGAGCTGAGCTGAACACTTACCGACCGGTTAGTCGATGCCTAGGGTCCGGACCGCCCCATTGGAATTCAGAATCCGTAAGGACAAGACATGAGGAAAGGAGGGAAGGAGGTGAGAGGCGGGGAGGGCAGCTTTTATCTCCTCCCGCTTCGCAGAGCACTAGCGCCTTGGCTCGATGGGCTGCCGACGTCAAACACCCAGGTGAACGGCATAAAGTGCCGGCAGAGGCAGGCGCGAGTCTCCATGACCAGCTGCGGAGAGGCACTTCTCGATCTGGATGCCTGAGAGGCTCATTGCTATGCGGATGCCTCACAAGCAAGTATTGTCACTTCTAGTAGACATCTCAAGATCGACGGCGGCTAGAAAGGTGTTGTTGTTCTGCGATGCCTTCATGGAGGAGTGTGAAGCCATCATGTTTAGCTAGCATATCCAGCATCTACCACCGCCTCTTCACGAGTGGATGGCGCTCTGGCGTCACCAATCGTTTTAGGCGCACCCTCTTCTGCTCGGTCACGGCATGCATCCCTTACGCCGAATCAAGGTCCCGAGCATCGTCCCGTTGCTCTACATTGCTTTAGAGATGAATCTCTGAATCTCTGGCAACGTGTGTATTCTCATCATGCCAAATTTGGCGCCGCGTCATATGGTAGATGTGCTTGTAACTTGATTGGTGAAAGTGGAAGAAAACACGGGGCAAAATGAAATAAAACCGGCTCTGCCCGACAGCCGGATCGAACTCGTCACCGCCGAACTCAACGAAATACAGTAGCCACACGAGAACATTATCACAGTTATACCCAGCTAGACCGTACAGACCAAAAAACAAAAGTCAAAATCCGTAAAGGCTGGCCTGTGGTCCTTGCCCTTACGGATTCTGATGTAGGATTCTTAAAGAAAATAATAGATAAGCCCCGCATTGCATCCAGACATTGACGACTTTGTAGCATGAGGGAGATTTGAACCCGAAGAATTACAGCACTAAATATCTGAGCGGCCACAGACGCGTTATGACGCGAGAGACGGGCTTTTCACGACATGATGACATCGTTTCGGTCTATTGATCCGCGAACAGCTCTGCCAGAATAGTGTCATGCCCGAACATCAATGGGGACTCAACGAAGATAACGAAGTTTAGACCATAACACATCATCTATATTATACTCAAGCTTAACGTCGGAATGGCAACGCAGACTGTTACACAGTGCTGCTCAGGTGTTCGAATGCTTGATCACCAGACATCAGCAATCGTAGGCAAACATCTGCTCTTCACCTATATGAATGGCTCAGGATGCCTTCATATGTTCCCTATCGACTAAATCTATCATCAGGCCAAAGTGGCATAAAGGTTCCTTAGAATAACCCTGGCAGCCCTTCCGCATTTGACAGTTTGTATATGGACACTTTGCGGCTTGGCGATATCGTAAGTCGGCGTCTGTTTCACTGCCTTTTGAACGCCTCCGACTTTTTCACGTTGATCAACTTGCCGGAGATCATTTAGTGGGCGAGCTCTAATTCAGCAGTCGGGTGAAGCACCACCCCAAAGGGTTTAGCCCGCTCAGGCCGTGGTATACACAATTTGTCGGCCTGGCGCAATGACCTTCCTTCACAAACAATGCCCGTTTGAGCCTAGTGCTCTCTCTTAGCTTCTTAGCTCTCTCAGAGTTCCAGTATATATAGTCTCTGGCCTCTGTGCCCTGAACCAACTTTGATTTCGCTCACCTTTTCTGCCTCCGGTCAAGATTCCCGCGCACAGCAATCACTCTCCCAAACCCCTCGAAACATCACCCACTCAACCAAAGGCAAGTCTCCGATATAAGCTTTCAAGAGATTCCACTAACATTGTCAGGCATAATGTCTTCGCCGCCCGCAGACCCCTCGCCTTCCGCGTCCGCGCAAAAAAACCCGATGTCTTGGTCCGCTGTAGTCAAGAAGGCGTCCTCTACGAAGGGACAGCCTTCTGCGGACAAGACGACTTCAGCGAAGACGCCTGCTTCTACTACGGAGAAGCCGACGCCTGCTGGGAAACCTTCGCCCGTCAACGCTAATCGCGCGCGCATGCTCCCCAGCTACGCGACAGCACACCTCTCGCCCGTCATAGGAAGCATCGGTTCGCGCCTTGGCGAAGCGCGCGTGGGTCCACCTCCAGCGGCTTCTTCTGCACCATTCCACGCAGGCGGTGTTGCTCCCTCTGCGTCCTTCTACCCGGCGGCTCCCAATACCTATCCGGGTTTCTACCAGCCGCCACAAGAACCCACAGAGGCGCAATCGTCAGGCAAAGTGACCAAGCCATTTGCGAAAGAAGCTGGTGGACACAGCAACGCTGAACGTTGGGTCCGTACCGAGCGCGCGGCTGCGTCAGCTAGGGCCGCCGCCATGACGCCCCAGGCCTCTGTCCCTGCTGTGTCTGCCTCGGTCTCTGGGCCCCTTGCTGGAGGCAGTAGGAGCAGTATCAACGCCGCTGTGGACCCCAACGCTACTCTTCCGGCTTATGGCGACGGCGGTCCAAGTGCTGTCCGCCGCTCTACGACATCCGGCAACGCGATCACGCCAGCAGTACCCAACTTCGTTCTTGGCGGCAGTCGTACCATCGACGCGCACAAGCGAGCGAGCAGTGGCCCTTCCGGCCCTTCAGTTGCAATCGGCTCTGAACGCGAGTCGGGCGCACTGATTCTCTCTGACGTGCCTCAGCGAAGGTTAATAGCCCTCACACTCAGCCTTGTTCGCTCAGCCATCGCGAAGCAGATCCGGACGGATAACAAGTACGAGGCATTCAAGGAGTTCCTCGACAGGGTCTGTCCTATCGGCGGTGGAGTGCCTGAGCTCGATGAATGGATCCCCTCGATCGCATTCGCTTACTGGTAAGTCATCAAATATCCCTTCAATGCCCTTCCAGACGCTGACTTGTCTTCAGGTACCCAATGACTGACCATGACTGGATGATCTACGGGCACGTAGTGGGCCACTTCAAGCTATCCGAAGAAGCCGACAACGTTTTGGGAAGCGTCACCGCAGCTGGCTTCGATAGAGTCAACACCACGTTTGACTCCGCCATTCTTTTTCCGCTTCGTGGGCCGGTTGATCAGCTGATGCGCGATTTGGCTGTGCGATTCAATCTCAACAAGCCTTACGATGTGAACAAGGAGAAGTATGTTCCAATTTCGGGGATCAGTGAGCTGCGCTAACAATAACAGGAAGGACAGAAACTCCGATCCATGCTAAGGCATGGACCCACAATCCCGCAGCACGACGACAGAGTGACACAGGCATGACAAATGGAAGGGATATGAGCGTAGCACATGGGTAGCACTTGCAGGTATCGTCATGATCCACCTGACGTGGATTTAGACATGGCCTTGCTTGTTGTCGCTTAGACGAGAGCTTCGCATTCATGGTGCATGACGGATGAACGGACTTTGAGCTTGGCCTCATATAGACCTGTCGGCTTTCTTCAAGTGGAATTTTTGATACTATTCTCTGCCTTTTATCGCTGAGTATAATGATATACCGTATGTCTCGCAACAAAATGGTTGGGTTTATGCCTGCCTTGTTCATGGCGTGGATCGCCCATGTTGTTGCGGCGCTCCTCGCTTATTTGAAGGATACATGCTTCCGAACCACTAGCCGGCAGAACATGCAGACTGGCTCAACGCCACGACATTGTTCATGAATGACTGTTCACTTGCAAGGCGTGAGCACACGAACTAGACCTTCTGTAACACGTACCCACAAGCCGCTGTGGTTGTAGAATCTGGACAAAGACCACATCGGTAAATTGGTCCCCGAGTTCCTGCACGCTAAAGCGACGCTGTTCATATCGGATCCCACCAAACTCAGTGCTTGAGAGTACTTAGAGAACGCCTCTCTCGTTGAGATCGGGTTGCGACGCAACGTCATGTGCGTCAAGCGGAGGAGAGATTGGAAGCCCATCCGTTGCCCATCGGAGTTTCGAGAATGCCTTAGTCGCACTGGTAGGTAGCCTATGGTTTGAACGTGCAGGGACTGTAGGTTACCGGTCAGGACAGCTCCACCTACTTTCGAATTCAGGAAATCCCGCCCGATCCATGAGCATTCCTGGCTGCTATGCCGCTTGTCAGTCTTGGCATACATTTGTCTCGCCAGCCTGCGGAGGCATTGCGTACCGCCAATAGAAGTAAAATAGGAAAGTCCCAGTATTATATAAGACCGTAACTAGGCGCTGGTCCGTCCGTGGTCCCTCTTTGGGTTGGCCTCAACAGGATGCCGAGTTCTAGTGAAAGGAAATAGACCAGCAGGACCGAGTGCGCTGAATTGGTCGAGTGCGTTCAACTTGAGCCGACCCTCTTGTGGGTGCTGAGGTTCTGCAGGCTGTCTGAAGGAAGATTGACCTCTCTTCTCGTCTCGTGGGATCCGTAATGATTGTAGTAGCTGTGTCTTATCTGAAAAGCGCAGAAAGAGGGGCACGTATTTTTCCTGTAGCCTGGTCAGCAATGAAGCGAATAGAGTCGAGCTTGAGGTACCTATGAGTGGAAAGGAAGTTTATGCTTGGCAACGGAACAGAGCAGCGAGAGCTCCACTAAGTGCAGCGCAGATATGGGAGACTGATGTGGATGTTTCGGTCGATCTCTGGTCTGTGGTAAGGTCTCGAGATGGTGTACCTCTGCAGGTACGGCTACACGACGATCAATTTGTCGCGGAATTATGCGTTTGAAGAGCTTTCTTGACGTTGAAAATGCCTTCTGTCAAACATATAGTAGTCTTGCAAGATGGAAAATGGCTGGCGTACGGTGTCTTTCGTCCTCTGGGGGGAAGGGTTCGCCTGGAAGGTTGCTCCGAATGTAAAAAGGGAAGCTATTTCAAAGAGGCGTGCTAAGATCAGATATTAAGGATGCTCGATACCGAGGAAGACGTCCCTAAACTATTGCTCACATGCGTCGGCAGTTGAGGTATCTTGATGGCATTGAGTGTGAGGTGAAGAAGGTCATTCAGGGAAGGCGCGGCAAAAAGCCAAGGTGGTTCCGTCACCAGGCAAGGACCGCCGCCAGGGTTTTCCAGCTTCACCAGGTGAATGTGGGAGTATTTAGCTTTGATTCCTCGCTTCGACACACTGACAAAGAAAATTTGACTCTGCCAGTCGCTCCCTCTCTCTCATCCTCAACACCACCAGCACCCGCGCCTACTCTTGCGACAGTGCCGCCCACACCACCACCAAAGCTAGTAAGTATACATGTGGCTACCTTCATCTGAGCTCAAGCTGCCCTTTTGCTTGTCTCGATCACAGGACTGTTGCGTCTTCGAAGCTGACTTACGATTTCAGACAAACACAACCGCTTCCGCCTCCGCCGCCGCCATGGTTAGCAGCTTCCAATACATTGCGTGCTCAAAGCTTTGCTTATGGTATTCTAGGGCAGGGGAGGCTACGACACCTCGCTAATCGAGGGCAAGGGCGCCGTCTTCTACGGGCCGCCGCGGCCGCCGCCTCCACCGCCTGAGGAGGATGACCCGTCCTCAGCTAAGGGCAGCAACAAGAAGGAGAAGAAGGAAGAGGAGAAGGAGGGGAAGGAGAAGGGGCAGGAGAAGGAGCAGGAGAAGGAGAAGGAGAAGGAGCAGGAGCAGGAGCAGGAGAAGAAGTAGGGTAAGTCTTGATCACTCCTCTCGTGTATCGGCGTACTTTGCATGCCTGACATTCAATTAGCCGCGGCCACGCCTGCCACGTTCTCTCCCTCTCCCTCTCCCGCAAGCGCCGTGTGGCGTACGGTGTACGGCAACTCTTCCCAGTTGTCCAATGACAACCCCACGTCGGGCCTGGTGCGCTCCATTTGACTGGGCATGGCTCCATGAGGAATAGAATCATGCTTGCATATTTCTTCTTATAAATGTGATGCCTGTGATGCTTTTGCTGAAGTTCAATTCCCTTAACACTTTCTTCTACAAGAAAACCCCTTTGTTTTCTCTTTGCAGGACACATTTGTGCAAATGCCAACTGTGAAGACTGCGAATTCACACGATGAGCAATACAGGAGTCGGTGGTTGATGGAATGGTGGTCTGTATGACCGATATATAATTCCTGATGGCTGTGTGTGCGAACCTCTACCACACTATGGATGTGCTTCCACCTTCTCGCGCATTCCTATGGCGTTTCCTAGTTTCTCCTGCTCACCCAAAGATTTCCGTCGTGCAATAGAGCCAAGAGAGGTTCTCTTTCGACCAGAGGAATCTGGCCGTCCTTTTATAACGTGATCACCGTTGAGGTCCAGTGAGTAGCGGTGCACTTCTCGTTCTTGTTCGGCGATCTCCATAATCGCATCGAATTTCTGGTTCCATGTCAGCTATTATGCAGACCCACCGCGCGGAGAAGTCTACCGGTCCTTCAAACCGCTGTCCATAAACCATATAGTACGTTCCAAGAGAAGTATGACGAAAATTCCTATGAGAGCGCTGACGTAGTCTGTGAGGAGTCAGCTGCCCATTTCCGTTCTTTGTAGCTCCGGCGGGGCTTACTCATATAGTTCGTGCCGACGGGAAGCGCCGCTTGGAAGCTGAAGAATACGTTTGTGACATAGACGTAGATGACGGAGATGATGTTGCCCAGACGCATAAGTACGAAGTATCTACGTCTAAGACATATCGACTTCGCGGCGTTACTTACAGAACCAACCCCACTTCCAAAGTTTGAATGGTGTTTCATGGGTTTGGTATTGGGTGAGGATAGATCGGCCGCGGATGACGAGGGCCGTGATTGGAATCGCGTACGAGAGGTTCAGTAAGATCGTGCAACTAGAAATGTAGGCGTCTAGCCAAGTTAGTGTTGCCACAATCATTGGTCGTCGGAGGGCCAAATGGGCGAGTAACTGACTGAATGCGACAGTAGGTCCGAGGTACAGTAGGCCGGAGATAATATTGAAGACCTAGAACGCAGAAGATGAAGCCATAAACGAATGCTACCGAGCCGCCGGAGGGCATCATGATACCAATGGTTGCTGCCAAACAGATCCATGTGCTATGCATTGGTCAGATTTTCAAGTCCTTCATCGGTCCAATACAGACGTACTTGAGGATGGCGAAACTGAAGCCAACCATGTTAAGCTTGCTCAACCGGGGCTTGAGTGGCCTGTCAGAGGCACGACCGGCTCAAGGGAGCAGCCTGCTGCCGATGTCGATGCAGAAGCATTTTCGACATGTTGAGGTGCTTCGTCCTTCATAGTGATGATCGATGTGAGGGTGGGAACGGTACATTCGCGAGTGTAGAGGTAACGCGAGCTTGTTGAACTTGATTGCATGGCGATCTAGATCAGATGACACCCTGGTTTATCGCTCTCCGTACGCTGCGCCGGAGTACCGCCCCGCTCTACTAGCTACTGTGCGCCCTTCTCCACACGTTATGAGTGGGTCAATCGACCATTATCCGACTATCTGGTCTGGGCCCCTTCTTCGCATATGTGGAACCGGAGCCGTGGGGCCGCTGCGACCTAGCGGAGGCGCACATTGTTCGGTGGGATGGTCTTCGGTCTGGCGTTTTTTGGGAGTGGTGATACGCTACCGGGTTCGAGTGCTGGGAGTGTCAAGGCACGACGGCGCGAGCTTGTGTTGGAAAAGGTCGACTGGCGATTTAATGATGCGGGGACCCCGCGATTCGCAAGCCGCTAGCACGCGCTGTTAGGTAACAGCTTCGCGGCGCGCATGGCCATTATCGATGTCTTTACAAGCTGCAGTGTGTCAATGTTCTCTTTCAGGACCTTTACCGCGTGTTGTTAGGAAATGCTCGTGAGCTTTGATGTGACTTGTCGGTGTTTTGTAGAGTGTGTCAATGTCGTAGGTGTGGGAGTTTCCCGGTTGAGGGACACTCCAACATGATCGAAATTTGCCAGAGTTGTGTCCTGCGACGGCGGCAACCGTGCAACGTGCACGCGTCGAGTCCACGGGCGCTTCATTTGCTCTCTTCGTAAGGAGGTTGTCCATGGAAGTGCTTTTCCATAAGCCGGTCTATTTGCAGAACAGTCGTGATGCGTTTACGTGAGCTTTCAGCCGAGGTGGGTGGCTGCTGAACTTCGCGTGAGATCCCTGATCTTCGGGTGGGCACCAGGAGATGATGATATGAAGTATCAACCCACCTTCTCTCGGCGCTACAGAGAAGTCTCTGTCGTCTGAGGCTGAATTCAAGGCCGGTGTTAGTGTGCCCAGTCTTGATGGCACTACTGCCCTAGAAGCTTAAAATGAGACGACGTCGCCTGTTACGCCAGCTCATTCACCGCATCTGCTTTACCGAACCACAGCCACGGTATCCAAAAAAACAATGGCAAAAAGGCGGCTACGCGACCTCCGCCCCTGTGAATTGAACCCCTACACTTTTACCAAACATGACCTAAACATCTCCCCACGATTTAAAAAAAGATGCAAAAGAAACTGGGCAACACACTGGCCAGAAGAAACCCCAGGCGTCCAAGGGTTTACTTTTTTGGTGGCAAGCAAGACACAAGGACTCACCTGCTATTAGTGGCCTCTCACCACCCCGCCACCTACCAGTTTGCACTGGTGATGGATGAGAATCATGCTTCTGGATTAATATATATAGTACAACATAAGGAGAATCTGAGCTTTGTGGGGCAGGAGCTCACGAAGTGAAAGCGACGCGGTATCGTAGGGCCGCCTGCAGCCGTTGCCAGTGAAACCGCGGTCACTGACTTCACTTTGTAGCTATGACCACTCAGGATCCGTGAGGCAGGGTCTGAAAACCCAGGACGCACGTAACGAACGAAGCAAGCTTGAAAAGACAGCTCTGAGTGCTCAGAGTAGGTCATCCAAATACAAAAGAATCGCTCACATGTCGTTCCTCGGACTATAGTCACCAATTTCCGCAAGCCTTGCGAGATCATAGATTTCTTGGCAGACGCTTTTTACGACATGCAGGAATACAAACTCAATGCTTTGACATAATTGATAAGTGAACTTGATATCTGGCAGCATCCTGTCTCTCTTCGCTTAATTCGCCCTGCGCATCCTCGCAACGCCCACAACACCGAAAATGCTCACAACAGTATCGCTATGTCTAATTTTGGTTTTCCTCTCGGTTGATGAACGCCCGCAAACGCGTTGGGCCCATGCTCTGCAATCCAGCGCCTTCCCGTTCGCAGGGGGGGTTTCCATATCGTAGTAAACATCGGTAACGGATGACATTATGTTGCTAACCCGCATGTAGAATTAGAGAGTGTAGATACGATAATAGGTGGGTATTCAAAGAGTGTCTCTTGGCTCCCATTTCCTCCACCTCTCACGAGATGAACTGGTCTTGGAGTGCGCAGAGCAAGATTTCCAGCGCGGCGGCTACAAACATGGTCTATGTATTTCCAAATGGTGGTCTACCGCTATTCCGGGCCATCTGGTCTTGGGCGTCCTCGTACTCTCCTCTACTATCCTAGGACAATCTTCGAGAGGTACAGCACCGTAATGGTTGCGAAGCCTTCAACGTTCAAATTAACTACAAAACAACCAGCACCTCGTGAGATCAGTCATTCCATTCTGTTTAGTTATAAATGCCTACATGAACGTTATCTCTAGTACCAACACCTTACACACCCCACAAATCAAGCCTATAAGCATCACAACATTATCCGATCACGGTGTGATGATTAGTCAAGACCAGCGCTTCCTGGACTTCCATCCGACAGTTCTGGACGGCCAGAGATGCATTTCAGCCGATGCAAGAACTTATTTGGTCGACCGACGAGCCGGCATGCATCTTATTCCAAAAGAGAAAAGTCATTTGGATCAGTCGTACAAGGAAAGGTTTGTCGAAAGTTTCCGATCCCAAAGTGAGAGGATTGGGATCTTCAGGTTACCAGACGATGCAGGGATAAGGTATATTCACACGTATCGGCAGAGACGTCTTATAGCCTTGTAATGGGCTCTGAGATATGGAGCGTTATAAAGCCATTGCCGTGCCCGCTTAAGAACCCTCACGTACGCAGCTTGATGAAGGAATCTCGACTGATAATACAAAAGATTTTCAGATTGTGACGGGAGGTAGAAAATGCGCGAGATTAGTATTTGAGTGAGGGCCGTGGCCGAGTGCTATACATACTAAGAACTAAGAAGCTGAGAAAGAACACTAGGCTTAATCAAGCAACATGAGTGTGGGAAGGCTGGTTGCCCCACCGGCCGGCACACTGCTGACAACGTGAGGAACAAGTATACGATAGCCAGCGAACATGCAAATAGCATGTAGAAGTATGGTTCCTAGGGTAACTTCCTCTATAATGTAAGCTCACTTGGTACTGTATAGCCGATGCTCATATGACCGCCTTAAGTCCGTGTCATCCAACCATTCACTAGGTACGTTAGCAGGTTCTAGCGATTTGGCTGTAAATTGTCAAATCAAACGAGACCGCTTGGCTAACACTTCATTTCATGGGAAAAAACCCGCAGGGCAACTGCTCGATCTATTGAATGAATTAATCACCCGAAATCTTTTATCGTTTGCTCGCGATATGACGTTATGATCATGCAGATGCTCGTATTTTGCATCCAACTCGACCTCACACTGTCGGAAATTCCGAAAGATGACAAGCGCGCATCAGACTGGTAATTGCACAGCGTGATGCGAGCAATCACGAAAGGCGTTGCTCCGCCCACAATTAAGCATGTAGATCATCTACATTTAGGCCCTCTCGCACATGGATCAGCATCGCCCTGCTGTCATTGGTTGCAGTTCCTTGGTCAAAATGCACCCTAAAAACAGCCAGCAGCACGGGGGACCGCCACTTCAGGGTCCGTATCATTTCCAAGGTCCAGAACAACCACCGGAGAACTAGCAACACGGGCCACCGCCTCAACAAGTCTTCCCACCGCCTGTGCAACTCCTCCCACCGCGATCTCCAGGTCACCCACTTCACGGCCAACATTACGGACCGCCGCCTCAACAGTCCTCCCTACCTCAAGTTCCGAGCTACGCGCCGTAGCATCTACAGCACCTACCGCCGCAAGCTCCAGGCTGCCCGCCGCAAGCTCGACAATACGGTGCGCCGCTTCAACACGCCTGTGCTCAGCCAGAATCTACCCAGCAAGCTTTCCCACCGCAAGGGCACCAAGACATGCGTTATCTAGTCCCCCAAGCCCCCCTAAATCAAGCTATTCCCGAGCAAGTTTTTCCACCGCAGGCCTCGCGTCTTCAGAATTCCGGCTCTGTCCCCGACAAGGATGGAAACGTTGGCGGCGGAAGCAACACAAATTGTCGGAACTGCGTAGATTGTCGCAGCTGCACCAACTGCGATGAATGCGTACGCTCCAGCAGTTGCACTGGCAGTAAGAAACTGGTGGACTGTAAATCTTGCACGGGTTGCGAGAACATGCAAGGTTGTTCTTCATGCACAGATTGCTCAGGCCTGGTCAATGAGCATAGTAAGACTGGTGTTCATCGTTGAGAATATGAAGCTAGAAGACGGGCATGGGTCGGGCTGAGGATTTGTGGCCTTTATCAGGGATCATATGTAGGATAATCTTCGAGTTTCTGCTCCAAGACATTGACAGCGAATGGAGCACGTGGGTCATCCATGACCTTGGGAGCGTAGGCGGTTTAGGACCATATCATCTTCGCTGGGCGACGTCAAGCATGAAATGTTTTCTTCAGATCCCAAGGTGCTATGCCTGTACGTATGTGTATCCGAACGGACTTCCCTATAACCTGTGTTACCACAAGTTGCAAGTTTACATGCCAACTCATCCGAAACAGGCCACCTCAAATATGCCCGCGCTCCACTGTCATCGCACACATCTCCGATCCATCTCATACTCAATCCGTGCCCTCTTCCACATGGGTACCTTTCCAAGACTCTCGGCATCAAACCGAAGTAGCGATAGCAGGATTTATATGACTCATGAGATCATTCACACTGGCATCGGGATTGCTATAAAATCTGCTCGTCGGAGTCTCGATCCCGACCTGGAGCGCTTCAACTTCGCCACTTGGGATCCAGAATCTCGCCAGCGTCGTGGTGTATCCCAAGCTTGCTGTGGTATCAAGCGGTTGTAGCGACTCCATCACGACGTCGCTCGTAGCGATATCCAAGCCATAGGCTATGCCTTGAGGTAATAGCGAGAAGATCTGTGCTGATGCGGCCGCGCTGGAGGCTACGAAATCGTAATTCAGACTTTGGTCGAAACCGACTTGAACGAGAGTGCTGCCGGCTGGCTGCGAGGTTGGAGGTGACGGATATATGGCAGATGGAGGGTCTTGACGCGGTGATAGGGCTCTCGACGATGTTGTTGGGAGAGCCAGGCAAGTGATGGCCAAGGGCAAGATGCTGAGGATGACTTGCGAGAAACGCATGATGAGGGTTCAGAGGTTGTTTGGAAATGAGATGCTTTGAATGTTTAGAATGAAGAATGCTAGAGTTCAGCTACTGATGCAAGAAATGTGGCCTCGAAGCGGCCTTTTATATGTACTTTGGCCTGTAGTCTTAGCAGTACAGACACCGAAAGCCGTCGAATTCTGCTCACCCTGTCGATGGTGCGTCATGGAAAGATGCTGCATCGAGCTCACGAAACGGATCCTGGAGGATGAGCTGAGGGTATCACGTCCTTCGTGCTGGGTATTCACAGTTTGAACCAATCAAAATCGAGGATGCCTCGTTCAGGGTGCTATACACACAGTTGCCGGACTTCTCACACGGCCGTCTGGGACGACAGCTCCCCCGCGTACAGTAATCGTGGAACAGTGGCCTCACAGCTTTGAAGCACCATACTCCACACTCAGCATAGAGCGACTTACTCTAGGGCTGCATGATCATACCTGCCACTTGCCCGCCTTGAAGTCAACACGAGAGAGCTGCTGCTAAATACGTCCGAACTTTCCCTTTGCCCTCTGTGGCCGCACTTTAGGGTTTGACTAGTATCACGTTGCTTGCACAGCCTGGGCCCCGTGATACAGGAGAAGAAAAACAGATGGCTTCCAACTACCCTTGACATACTCAGTCATAGGCTTAGACGAGATTGCCGGATCATATGTGGCTTCGTGTGGCAAATTTCAGATGCGTTCTCGCCCCAAGGACCGGCCTCCATTCGTAGTATCCGCGTATAGCCATTACACCACATGTGGTAAATCTTCTAGGCATCATGCGAGTGTCTTTAAACGAGCGCTCAAATCCTCGATAACACCTACATGGGCACCAAAGTGACCGGTAGCCAGGCTCACGTTCAGGTTCTAGCAATTAGGCAGACATTCGAAGGAGCGTAGATGCAAAGAAACGGCAGCTGAATGCGGGGAAGGCGCATGAAGAAGTCTGACATGGCTGAAACTGATATTGACAGACTCCAATGCCTACCAAGAAGGATGGGGTGGCTGAATCCCATGAGCAGGCTCTACCCCGCCAGCCGTAAGCGATGGCTGATCAAACCAAGGGCCCTCTGATGTAAACTTACAGACGAGTGGGGGGCCGTCCTTTACCCCTCATGTTGATTGCGCAGCCTTATCGCGACCACTCATCATGACGTCGTGTCCCTGCATATGTACATACGCCCATCAGCAACACCAGAATGAATCGAATCAACCTTGGCACTCCTCACTTTCATATTCAACTTACACGTTCGTAAGTCGGATCAAAGAGTGACTTTCAAAACCATGGGCTGCTTCCCCTCCTCATCTAGGTCGCACTCCTCCCTGTCTGAAAAGGCTTCCATCCTCGCCGGCGGCCACAACAACAATAATTGCACTAATTGCACCGACTGTTCATTGTCGTCCTCTCTCTTCGACTTCTCTTTCGCTTTATGCTAACGTTACCTAGCTGCAACAACTGCAAAGACTGTGTCCGATGCAAGTCTTGCAACAATTGCAAAGGCTGTGAGGATAGCACAAGGTAAGTGTGACTCGGCTTACCCATGGCCGTGAATGCTAAGGAAGACTAGTCTTGATAATTGCACGGATTGCATCGATTGTACTAGTGCGTGACCATTCTTGTGCGCGATTCAGCAGTGCTGATGATGTAGGTTGCAATAATTGTTCAGGGTTAAAGAACAGGCACAACGAGAATGACGTGCACGAGTGAGGGCATACAAAAGGAAAAAGGCGAGGCACAGCGCGAGCAGTAGGCTATCGGATGTATGAACGTTGTCAGAAGATGGTGATTATTGGTTTACTAAATCGGGTATCATGAGTACATATAGCATCTAGCTTCCATCTCAGCCTCAGATTGATGCTCTCGCCAGCCTACCACCGGTGCTTCAGCGTACTGCCTGCTTCCCCTTCTTCTTCCGAGTTCTCGCGTTGTACTCATTTACGAGCTCGATCGCGCCCATGAGATCTTCTTCCGGAAGCCAATCGCTGCTGTCCTCGTAGCCTTCCCATTTGACCAGGTAAAATTTCTTGCCATCCTCGTACACGTGGGACAGTATGTCTTCCACGATGTACTCCTCCTCACCTGCGTCCTCGCCCGCATCTTTCCCAGTATTCTCAGCCATATCCTGGTCATCCTCATCGAAGCCATGGCTGTAACTATAGCTGTCAAGCGGTTCAGAATCGACATCCTCGACTTGGATATTGCGGCGTTCGTGTGCGGGCAGTTGCGAAAGCATCGGGTGTTCGTAGATAGCGTCATCGTCGGACGAGTACTCCACAGTCTCGGCGAGGCGGGATTTCGGGAGGGACGTGTGTGCGAAAGATCGTTGTGTCCTGGGAGCCACGGATACCGCTGATGTAGACGTTGTGCTCTCCGTCCTCCGCCGTTTTGTACGATGCCGGTCCATATTATCCATCCGATCGTCCTCCTCGGTTTCGGCTATCTCATCATCACTGTGTAATTGCTTCCCGTAGATATCTCGTTCAAACTGCAATTGTGCTGCAGCGCTCGACATTGACCGCGTATCTTCTTCGGCATCTTCGTCATACAATTGGTGCTCATCGTGGACGGAATGCCCATGTATGGGCATCGTCTTGAACAGACGCCGGTGCGCTGCGACTGGCGAGAGCGCCAGCGCACTCTTTGCGATAAACGAGCTGACAGCAAGGTTCGGCGAGGGGTGGCTGGAGGTAAGGTTGATCTCGTCCTCATCCTCCTCGTCTTCTGATGTGTCTAAGATCGCAGAATCTCCTATTTCCTGCTCCAAAAGACCACTTCTCAGATCCCCGGTTTCAACCATACGCTCTGCTGCAGAAGCAAGGCCACCACGACTGCTTGTCCATCCTCGCCCTCTACCTCGACCCCTCCCTCTACCTCTTGGTCGTCCTCTTGTTCGAATCGATGCGTCGCCGTTCTCCGGTCCCAGCCCGGTCAACGCTGAAGCGCCTCGCCCTATCCCGCGCGCTTTAGCATTCCTCGCCAGTCTCCGCTTCGCAGCTTCTTCCGCCTCTGCCCGTCTGGCAATTTCCTCCGCCTCCGCCTGTTGTCTGTAGTCCTCCTGTTCAAAGCGCTCCAGCTCGCGGCGTGACACATATTTCAATATTTGGCTCATCTCGATCTGCGCAACTTCTTCGCGGGGCTCGGTGGAATTGCGCTCGCTCGTGGCTTCATTGTCGTAGTAAATAATGCGGACGTTGTAATAATAGCGCGAAGTCCCTTCTATTTGTCTGCGACTGAGGATTGTAGATTCCGCGTTCGCAATGGGACATTGCTTGGGTAGGCTTCGGGTGATGACCGGCGGCTCTTGGGGCAAGCGGAACAGCTCGTCGTAGATCTCAGGTTCAGGTTTGTAGATGGTGTATTCGTACTATCGCCCGCTCTTAGCAAAAATCAGAGCGCATGATTTGGGAAGCTTACCAGCTCGGTCTTCGACTTGTTCTTGGACCCTCGCGGTCTACCGAGCCCGCGCCCGCGCCCACGCCCGCGCCCGCGACTTTCCCCTCCTCTCATGGACATGTTCGCGCCGTCAAAGCGCGCCGGACAGGTTGATGGCGCACGCAGGAGCGCGAAGCGACGGTGCGAGGCGGATTGAAGTGCGTACGGCCCGTCATTTTTGGAAAGGCATGTTGTCGTCGGCGCGCGAAAGCTCGAGCTGGTGAGCGAATGGAGCAGATCGCGCTTACCGCGCTAATCTGACGCGCCATTAGCTCGGCCAGTCCACCTGGGCAACACCCACGTCATGTGCATCTAGCATCCATCACGCACAAGCTGTTGTGCTTTCGCCTAAGTCTTTGTCAGGCCTCTGTGTAGTGTTTGCTGCTGAGATGAGACCCGACATCGAATGGTATCACGCATTCAGCAACTCGAAAAGCCAGTGAGTGCACAGCTTCGATTGTCTCACATCCCCTTCTCCAAGTCCCTTTCCAACAACCTCACGCCATGAATCGTCAACTTTCCTTATGCCTGCTATTCCTCAGTCTGCTATGCCTCCACAGTCATCGGTCGCTGGTCAAATCCGGCACCTCTCGTCATCCCAGCCTCTCTGCCACTGCAATTCCATTTGTCGTTAATGCATCCTTTCGTCCGCTTTCCTTGTGAATGCTCAAGTCTGTTCATGATCCGTAGTCTCCATCTCAAAGCCCTTTGTCGTTCCATACCCAAACCCATGATGCCATGCTCGTAGATATCCGTCCGTGTGTGTTATCGCTGGTCATCGTACGCACCAGCTACCGTGTCGATCTGGCGGCGTCGCTGTCACCCTTTCGGAAGCCGTATAGCTTACGCTTCATGGCGGCGTCGTATGATCTGCCTCGCTTTACCTAGTTAGGTTGTCTTCCGTACAAGAATGCCTAGGGTAACTCACGTCGGTCTCGCTCTCCAGGTGGAGGCCCGGCCCTTCTGCATTGCGTGCGATCTGTGCGAGGTTAGAATCTGTAGGAGCGGTTTGAGGCCATAGAAGTCTTACTGGGAGGCTTGGAGCTTGGAGCGGCAGAACTTCGACCTTGCGGTATCCCATCTTGGAAAGTGCGGTGGAAAGAGCTTCGTCCTTCCAGAGCAGGAAGCTCTCACCGCCGGAGCAGAGGAAGTCCAGATACCAAGCCGGAACACTTGAGATTGTCCAGCCCCAAAAAGGCCCCTCGCTGAAGCGGAAAACAGCCTCGGGCAAGGCGATTTCCTTCTTGGGTGCAAACCGGCGGAAATCCGCCCAATCCGTGGCGATGTGATGTGCGAGCTCGTCGTCGAGCTTCTGCTCGGCTCTGCGGACTTTGGGGCCCATGTTTGCGGTGCAGGAAGGTGGAACGGTGCAGAGGTTGGGTATGAGCGAGTGCAGAGGAAGTGAAGGGCAAACACGCTAAAGCAGCATCCGCCAGACAGTGAGGGAAGGAGCTAAACGGTGAGGAAAGCGCGAAATCTGCTCATAGAACATTGAGCTCACACTCTCACAGATACGCACACTGTTCTCATGCTCTGCCTTAGAAAGGAAGCTCTGCTCTGTTCATGTCAATGGGCTTGTAGCATGTTTATGCACATCAACAGATAGCCCCAGCGCAATTTCGAGCGAGTCTACTCAGGCTGCCTTATGCAGAGGCCGATGCTACGAAAGATGTGACAGAATGCTAGCAGCTTGTTGCATGAGGCATTGTAGATCGTAGAGCTTGCGAATTACCCTAGGCTGTACAATACATTTCCTGATCAACTGTCAGGATCAAGAGATCCTAGCACACCATCGCAAGCCCCAAACTCCATGCGAGCTACCCTAAGCCGGGATTAACAGACGCCAAAATTGCAGTAAAGACGAGTCGCGCAAGGAGAGAGTGTGTAGGTGTCAGTGTTAGCGCCCCGTCACAAAAAAAAGACATGAGTAGTCCTTCACCCCAGACAAAAAGATCACCCAATCGCCCACACCAAGACTCGAAAAGGCGCAAAAAGGAAGGTGCTGGGGAAGGGGGGGGGATTACCTACTTTGAGAAATGTCTTCTTGAAAGCAGTGGAGTCGAACCACTGCGCCGCATCATCACCGCTCGCTCTTCTGCGGATCATTTGATGAAAGAAGCTCTAGCCGAATGATATAAATACTACCTGAAAGATAGGTATATCACAATAAGGTAGTCGATATTTTGAGTGAAGCCTCGTGGGAAAGCAGGGCACGCGTTGCTGGTGAAGGCAGTCACTGAGCGCGTCATCGTCATGGCAAGTTAGGCAGCGACCGGACACACCATCGCTGATATAGAACCAAAATAGCCGTAGGCCGTTCTATACATTACGTTTTAAGTTGTACCTCGCTCCATGTCCATGCTGCATGGATATCTTTGACATGTCGAAGTCGCGAAGGTCCCACACAAGGTTCCAAGCATTAGACATAGCATTTGTGCAATTGAGAAGACCAAAGGTCAGGGACATAATCATCAAATTGGTATAGAACAAGCTTCCAAGCAACCGCTTACAGCCATGTAAATGCAACCACACACCATACACATGCCAAGCTAAATGCGACATATCGCCTCACTACCTCACACTACAAGGGGACGAGAGGACGATAGGAGGCCTCACTCAAAGGTCCCCATTCCTCCGCTTCGCAGCCTCCAATGCCTTGCTCAATCTCTCCTTCTTAAGCTCCTCCTCGCTCAACTCAACACCACCTCCATCCGCAGGCTTGCTAACCTCCGCCTGGGCAAGCTCGTCGATCTCATTACGATCCTGGTCTAGGACTGCCTCTTTCCGCTTGATCTCTTCCTTGAGTTCCTTTTCGCGATCCAGAATCTGTTTCTCGAGCCGAGCCACCTTTTCAGGTTGGTTTTCGGACTTGGCTTCTGCAAGTTCGGCTTCGAGGATGGAACCGCCGATGTCGATCTCGATATCGTTCAACAGCATGAGAAGAGCTTTCGACGAGTCTCCCAGCGCAAGCACAGTCTCCTTTGCCCTCGCGCGCAGCTTCTCGTTATCCAAAGAAGAAGGCAAATCGCGCACAGCAGTGATGATCTCCTGAATCTCTTGCTGCTCAACACCAACAGCTGTGATGACTGTTGCTTCAACCATACGCACAAACTCCGCCACGCGGTCTGCTTTCTCTGTGCGGGCGCGCTGTGCAGCTTCCTTCTCAGCGTTGGCAAAGTGCTTCTCAACCTGCCTCATCTTTGTGATATTGCCTGCTGCATATAACGGCTGGATCTCTGTCTTCTTGTATCGCTTGTCCCGTTGTACTACCGCCTCTACGACCTTGTCGTGCCGCTGTTCGATCTCCGGAAACAAGTCCTCCAGCAGCTTCAGACAGTCCTCGACAGTCGCTGCGTCACTTCCTTCAAAGCTCTTTACACCCGACACAGCCGTAGAGAGCAGGCCTTCTGTCTCGCGTGACAAGTCCATGAGATATTTGATCTGCTGCTGGAGCCCGCCATAGACTTTGTCGAACACTGTCTCAACGTAAGACTGATACTCGTTGCGATCTTCATCAGCCTTGAGTTTGCTTTCCTTCTCTTTAAACTCATCTTCGATCACGGCGATGTCAGCGTATGAGATCTCATGGTCGTTGAACAGCTGGTCAGTCTCCTGCTCGGATTCTTCTTGGCGTTTGCGACGCGCTTCGTCGTTCTTTTTGCGTACGAGAGAAGCGGATTTCTCCCAGGGAACGGTCACTGCTTGAAGAGAAGGCAGGTCTGATGGGAATTCGGCAAGTTTCTTACGGAGCGCCTCTAGCTGTGGGTTCGGTCGCGGCATCCCTACCTTGGTTGGTAGAAGCTTTATCAGCTTATCGACCGGGTTGGCCTTGGGTGCTGACTTTGCAGCTATCGCAAGAGGATGCTGGGTGAATAAAGGCGCTGGGACCTGTACGTCGGGAGTCGCGCTTGCACCTGTGTTTGGCCTGCTGGATGGCGAAGAAGTTCCTGTTGGTGCGCCAAAGAAGACCTCGTCCTTCTTGGTCCCATATGACAAAGCCGGATTGAGCACGGGAGGGGTAGTAGAAGAAAGCGATTGACGGTGCATATTTAGCACAGGATCCGTAAGAGTCACATTTGACGGAACATACGCTTTGTACTGCGACTGTGTCTGTGGCTCTGTAGGTGGCGATTGGACTGACGTGGGTGTCTTGCTCGCGCTATCGTCCTGAGAGCTTGTTGGTGTAAGGACAGTGGTTGATTGGCTAGACACACTGAACGATTGGTGTGGACGACTAAATCCTTCGGTTTTTAGCGTAGGCCTATGTTGCACGATCGGTCGACCGCCTGGGCTGTATTGAATGTCATCCTCCTCGAGAGGGTCCATAGGAGGTACCTGAACGTTAAGGTCACTAGCTTTCGTAGACGCGGTCAAGTCTGTATGCGAGACCACTGGCGGTTGTACGTTCTCCTGCGGTGGCTGACTGACAGGCTGCGGTGGAGGTGCGTTGTGATAATCAAGGCCTCGAGCACTTGACTCAGCCTTGAGGAAGCCTGTAAAGACATTAATCTTGTCTTCGACCTGCACCTCTTGTGCCTCGCTTCGCAGCATCGTGATGTACCGCTCGAGAGACCCAGCATACCAGGGGTCAAGGTCGGGAATCAGAGCTCCTGGCGTGGGTTTAGGTGGCTCCTTTAACCTTTCCGCCTCAAGCTGTTGCTTCAAGTCTTTGGCCAACCCTTCTGCGGTCTGGTTGTTTTCAATTTGTTGCTTTAGATTATCAATCTCGATGTTCCTGACTTCGAGCTGCTTCTTGAGATCGTCAACCACAGTGTGACCTTTTGCAATGGTGTCTTCCTTCGTCCTCAATTCATCTCGTAGCCTGTTGATCTCTGCATCCCTTTCCATGATTGTGTCTTCTTTGCCTTCAGAGTCTTCCTTCCATCGCCCGATCGTGAGATCCTTCTCTTTGTTTGCAGCATCAGTATTAGTCTTTGTTTGTTGCGCAGCAGCCTTCATTGACTCGATCTGCTCGGCCAACACATTTCTCTCGTACTCTGCATGGGTCTTAGTAGTTTCAATGACGACCTTCAATTGTTCGATCTCGGCGTGCAAATCGGTCTCTTTCTGCTCGGCATCTGCTCGCAGACGTTCTAAAGCTTCATCTTTGGTCTTTAGTTCCGCAGCATGCGAAGCGCTGGCCTGCTGTTCATTCGCTTGTGGAGTACGCTGTCGAACCCATCCGCTGTCATCTATTGCAAAAGAAGTGTTTGCTGCTGGTGGCGGCGGGTGCTGTGCTTGCTGTTGGGCTGGGGTGTTTCCTTGAGAAGATGGTCGCGAGACTCGCAACGGTGCAACAACAGCATCATCTACGACGAAGTTCTGCTGTGGATGTGATTGAGTAGCTGCTGCTGCATCACCAATGACAAAACTCTGCTGAGGCGGTGGCGAAAGTGGCGTGTCGCCCATAGCGAAGCCTTGCGGTGGCGGTTGAGACGGTGGGCCCTGGGCGTTCAGTGGGGGCGTAGGCTCATAGTTATCACGGTTCGAGGACGCCGTCGATGCCGGCTGCACGGGTGGCGTAGGCCATTCGCCTTGCGGTCGAGGCGGGGATACCTGCTGCGATGGCACCTCCATACTATCCAGTTGCACAGGTACACCTTGCCTCCCATCTCTCTTTGCTCCAAACAGTTCTTCGTCGTCAACCTCTTCAGCTCCACCAAAATGCTCCCAGTCTGAGGGACCACCTGTTCCTAGCGCGCTGAATTTGGTTGCGGGATCTCGAGGCGGCAGAGATACTGGTAGCTTTGGCGGTTGCGGTTTTGGAGACTCGGTTCGATTGCCTGCGCGTTGAGCGTGTATAGCCCCAAGAGCTATAGAGCTGACTGAGCCCTGTCGTCCCAACCCAGCAGAGGTGAAGTCCGTACTGACGCGATGCTGTAGCGGCGATACCGGCTGACTTTGAGGGCTTGGCTCGTTAACGAATCCTGGTGGTGTCGTGCCAGTTTGTCTGCCGATTGGTGTTGGAGCTTCGATTCCCTGACTGTGTCCTTGCAGATATTGCTGTCCAACAACCGAACCTTGATTCTGGTGTCCAGGTTGCCATGTCTGCTGCTGCGTGTAATTGTGGTCGGCTGGAGGCGTCGGTTGCCATTGGCTTTGTTGTTGCTGCTGATATGGCTGAGGCTGGGTGGACTGATCTTGGGGGTGCTGATACGGAGGAGCAGGGTGAGCGGAGTATTGTGCCTGCTGGACTGGCTGACCGTATTGTGATTGCGCATCTCCTCCATACTGGCCCTGTTGCTGTGCTTGGCCTTGAGTATACTGGCTTTGCACAGGCTGTCCATATGGGGCCATCTGTTGAGCCTGTCCTCCTCCAACGTATTGATTCTGCCCATATTGATGCGCTGGGTATGCAGCTTGTTGCCCGTTCTGCCCCTGCGGAACACCTTGTTGCCCTTGTCCATAAAGGTTCGGAATTGGTGCCGGCTTTGTGTATTTGAACTTCTTCCCCCCCTGCAAAGGCGCATGCGATGCTTGTTGCCAAGCTGGTATATCGGGAGGCGGAGGAACGTATACGCCGGGCATTGGATTGGTGTTCGAGGGGACGTACGATTGGACGCCTTGGCCAGTCAGCGAAGGAGGTATGTACGCGGGATTATGCTCGTTTGGGCTCAGCACGGAGCTGGGGGGATGCTGCGCGACTGCAGAGGATGGCGCCGCGTAAGTGCCTGCCTGATCAGTACCATATATGGAACCAGGCCGTCCTCCAGCTTGCGGTGTCTGCGAGGGCGGGAAATATGAGCCTCCTGGAGTCTGTGATGGAGGAGGAGGAGCGGCGGTGTTGTATGATTGTTGTGTCGCGCCTTGGCTCTGGTATCCGCTTGGTTGAGCATATCCAACCTGCTGCCCCTGTGTTGTATACCCAGTGTTCTGCTGAGCGCCGTATCCAGTCTGCTGTCCCCAGTTCTGGGTGTTGGTTTGTTGGGAGGAGGCAGCGAATGCAGCTGGTTTGGGCGGTGGCGGAGGTGGTACGTCTTGCTGCTGCGAGTGGTAGGCGGTTGCGGTTTGGGTAGGAGTCTGTAAACGAATCAGCTCATGTTATGTGTGTGCAGCGATTGCGCATCGTACCTGCTGTGCTTGCGAGTATCCGCCTGGCATTGCGCCATATGTACCAGGATTATAACCTCCCGCCGCCTGCTGTTGCGGCTGACCCCATTGTTGTTGTATCGGAGTCTGGGCCTGGGTAGGCGCTGCCCACTGGCTCTGCGCTTGAGGAGCGGCGCTCTGATATCCTTGAGGCGCTGCACCAGAGGTCAATTTAGTGTCATACATTGCGACAACTGGATGCACGCACCTGCATATGGCGGAGGAACTGCTGGGGCCGCTGGATAGCCTGTGGTGCTCCCTGGCCTCTGGTAGCCCGCTTGATGCTGTCCGTAGTTCTGCATCGTGCAGTTCTTCTATATCTGCCCCTCCGCTACCTGGAAGCGCGTCGGAGCCGGGGTGTGCTGGCGAGCTGTATCCACGATCGCGAAAGGATCAAAGAACACAAGTGAGGCATAGAACGGGACGCAAGAACGTAGAAAATCAAAAACACATTATGGAAGAAGAGAAAGAACCGGGAGACAGGCTGCAGAACACGCAGCCTCTCGTGTTCGCTGGGGCTGAGAGCTGGAGCTTGGATGCGCAGGTAAACTCGAAGTGGAAAGGTGTCGCCGCCACGTGCTCCCCCACATTGCCTACGGACCCACAGTGAGCGAGCCCCTGTCATTCATCCTTCTTCAACACCAAGACCGCTCTCGTGAGGATTGGATGTCTTAATCCATTACTCTACAGCAACGTATATTTCCGAGTCACGGTGCTAGCCTTTGCAATACCGTAGGAGAAATGCGCTGGGGCATTTCGTACCACACGGTGCCGACCTGGTCACCGAGGATGGACTATTCCCCCGCACGTCTAGCCCGAAGGCTGAACGGACTGGCAGCCTTTTCCAAGAGCAAGGAAAGAATACAAGTTATCATGGTTCTGATCAGGCGTACTTAAGCCCCTTGACGCCAGAGACGTCCCCTTTTTCATATGATGTGAGATAGGATGATTTAGGTTGTCCGCACATTCTTTTGCTATTGTTACAGGACTGCTGACTGCAAGTTCGATCTGTCCACTTTAGAACCATGCACTGTGATTGTCTTTACAGCATGATCAGAACAATCCCACCTGACCACTGCTTGCTCCGCAATTTATCGATCAAATGAGGTTTATTAAGGCCCTATGAGCCTACGAGGAACCTCATCCCGCATCAGCACCTCGCTCTAGGCGTAGGTTTTCCGATGGCCCACTATCCCTCCCTTACATTTAAGGCGAACAATCACCGTCATTACCATCTACTTTCGCTTTATCACTATCGCTACCGCTTTGTATCGTTCTAGTCATTTTTATATAAACTTTTCTCAATGTCTTCTAGCCAGTGCTCCACTCAGGTACGTACATCTTTTAAGGATGCGACGTACCCAGCAAGGGCAGCCTGTGTCCGGCAATACACGCATTCACCAACATGCTCCTACGCGTGACGAGGTGACGAGGTGACGACGTAGATGCGGAGAAAGAGCGTGAATGAGGTGGGCGTAATAGGTTTGGCCGAGCAACCAGGCCACTGCGTTCACCACGGCTTCAAAAACTCTTCCGCCGCTATATAGGCACCTCCGCCCGCAGTTCTTCTCCACCTCCCACAAATTGACTCTACCCAACACGAGCGCGCCCAACCGATCAAACTACAATCAAGAACTCGGATCTTGCGCCGTACATACCTCTCCTCGCACCAGCTGAATATTCTCAACCAGAGAAAGATCAGCGCCATGGAGAACGAGTACGATAACATCGAGCCGGACATCGTCGCCGCCGCCGAAGCACTCGCGACTCTCGCGACCCTGGGACGCGGGGAGCAGTTCGTTCCGCGTCCTCGAACTACCTTTATCGTTGCAGGCCGAGACCGCGAGGTGATTCACAGCCTCTTCACTCCCGGACGCCTTCGCGGTACCATGCACTACGAGGCAAAATACGAAACAATGGCGCAGGACAATCTTGCCAAGTTCCTCAAAGCCATCAACCAGGAGCCCGCCCGCGCCGCGGTTGTCCGGTCCATAACGCTCGATTTGGTCTGCGACAATCCACTCAACTCCGGCCTCGTCGAGCTCTTCAACGAGGACCACCTTCCCATGTACGCCCTGACCGATGACGCTTCCGATGGCCCCTTCCCGCCGCTCACTGAAGCCGCACTACTCCTGAAGGCATACCAGCGCGACTTGGTCAACGATCCTCTTTTCGCAAACCACCCACTTGCACCAACGGACTTCACTCTCCTGGACAAGAACTGGCTCAACTGCCCGCGTTTTGCCAGTTACCTCATCGAGGTCCATGTCAACCTCTTCCTTAGGTTGTGTCCAAAGCTCCAGGTCATCCAGCTGCCCGATCTCTGGTGCCCATTTCCGAATCTGCCTTTCACAGAGGCCGCCATGAGGAAGTGGAAGGAGGAACATGGATGGGAGGTGGAGATCAAAGAGGAGGCCCACGAGATTTTCGTGAGGATCGGGAAGAAGGGTGGTTGGACTCCTGACCACATCAAGCGCTGGTTGGACCATGAGATCTCGAAAGATGTCGCCAGGAACGGCTAGGATGGAGGTTAGCTTGCCTATCGCGAGGCATCATAGCTGCTTTCGAAGGGGTTTTGCGTGCTTGGTATTCTCCAGCTGGCGTTCATGATTGCTTTCGTATTATACCCGTGGACCTAGTATCTTTTGTAGACTGTGTGTGTCTGCCACGTCCATATAATTGTGCTTCTCCCGGCACACCTGTGCTTCTCCCAATACATCTATACTTCTCCCAATACATCTGTGCTTCTATCATTACATCTGTGCTTCTCCAATTGCATATGTACTCTGAACTTCCAACTTTACACTACTGTATCGCAGCATGAGCACATCAGCTACATAACGACAAAAGCTAAGCAGCGCTTTGTGTTCTGAATCACCTTACAGACTACCATACCCGAGGCCTGATAAGAACTATAGATATGTGTGAATATGGTCGAGAGGTCGTGAACAACACATCCCATTCCCACGTGCATCCAGCCCTCCCATCCGCGCCTGCCTTCACTAACTTCCCAGGCAACGCTCCGCGTCCCTCATCCAAAAACCTGCACCCTCTACCTAGCCTACCATCTACAGGACTCTTGTATATATACCATTGGGTTTGCACTTATTTTCAAGCCAAATGATTCGAATGCAAGCGATGATGGCGCGGCGGTCTCAAGAAAACACATAACCCAGAGTAAGAATCCCCCCTTTCCTTTTTGCGCTTTTGTTCGAGTCCGGTTGTGGGCACAGTGAGGTGAAGGCACTCTTTTTGTGTTGTAGGAGTGTTTTTCTTTTCGTTTGCAACTACATTGATAGATGTGCTTCACTTTCGCAACAACGCATCACCAGCGAGCGTCGGTACCGCTGTTGGGATTGTGTAATTGAGGCAGTCTTAGCATTCAGACGCGATAATCAAGTCGTACACATAACATTTTGTTCATTAATGCGCCGCGATAGAGCTATCTGATATTACAAAAGATGGCGCCGGGCCGTGAAGCCAAACATATTGGACCCAAAGCATGACATGGGAGGAGATTCATATCTCGTAATCTATTCACCGTTCATACCTCTCTCCTGGGGCCGATTATTGATGATATGCTTAATCGCCAGCGGCACATCTTTCACGATCGCGCCCGGCACCCCCAGCTTCTGCACCCCCAGCGGCAGCGACCCCTCCGCATCACTATTCGTTGTCATCTCCCACTTGCTGACCATCTTCCCATCCTTCTCCACCTTGGCGATCTTCTCTAAACTGACGTACCTCCCCTCGACAATCTTGCGGCCATCTTGCTTCTTCTGGAAAGCAGTTCCGGATTCGGGGCTCTTGTAGATGTGTTTTGCGTTGACAACTTGAACGTGACTCTGCTCCCTGACGGCGGGAGGGAAAGTAGACAGGTCGACGGGGAGCTGAAGATCGATCGATTGAGAGAGCGTTCCGGAGACGGGGCGAGTGGGGATGAAGGAAACGAGGAGGACGGTGAAGACGCGGTCGTTGAGAAGGGCAGGGGCGGGCATGCTGTGATGCATTTGTGTTACTGCCGTGTCGCGCATTAGTACATAGCTCCAATGATTGGCCAATCGACCACCGTGAACCACGGGCATGAGTAACCAAGACACTTACTCCTGATATTGACATCCCTCACGCCCTCGATCTCCTCATCCACGTGCCATTCGAGAAGGGTATTAACATCATAAATAGCCGGCGTATACTCCATCTCATTCCTCTCATGATCCTTCCTTAGCACCTCATCTAGCTCTTCATAGCTCACCTCCTCGTGCAGACTCCGCCTCGCAAACCACGTCCCCTCCACATCGTCTTTCTTCTTCAGCTTCTCGATAACAATGGGATGCTTCTTCCCGTCAGTGTCCACGTTCTCTCTTGCCTCCCCCATTTTGTGAAAGGAACTGAAGTCTTCTTCGGTTGCTTCTTTGAGGCATTGCGTGACGAACGCCGCCACACCAGGAGGACTGTTCTGCTCAGCGTGGAGATCTGAGTGCCTCGGCACCTGACTGACGCCCAGCGGAAGCAGCTTCAGGAGCTTCCTCCCCGGAAGCGCTCCCGCTCCGCCCTCCGTGTGCCCCGCCATGTGCTTCAGCGGCGGAAGTTTGCAATGTCCTGGTACGTGCTTCTTGGCGGGATGGCGGAAGCTTTCTGTAGTCTGCCCCGGAGAGGGAACCGGAGGTGGAAATATTGGGGGCGTTTGACAGGTGGAGAGGAAGTGTAGTCTGGAGTCTAGATCTCCAGGGCTTGCCCAACGGGCCGGCACGCTTGCGGTCTTGGCGCGTATGCACATGCACCTAGTCCGGCTACCACTCCCCTATGCATAATCGCCTACAGTAGCCCGTGTGGCCTGTACGGTTTACACAGTAGGTCGCATTTGCGTAGGCTAACGGTCCGGGTTGCGCAGCGACTGCTGAGGTGTCTGGAACGCTGGGGGCAGAGTGTAAGCGCTTCGAAGTGCATTGCGGAATGGAATGCTACAACAAGACAACTGGGGAGTGGCCAGACACAAACAGTTAGGTGACGGGAATAAGGGGGTCGTGAAACATCTGCAATCACTGTAAGGCGGCAGATCGGCCATCGAGTATGTCTTGCACGCAGATCTTTGCTCTCGGATACTTTGCGGTGGCGATATCAGGTCCAGCCGTGCGAATGAAGCAAAAATCGTCCTGATTGCCATGCCTACCTTCTCCATTAGTTCTCGCAACGAAGGTCGCACCTGTAAAGCTTTGACGCTTGTATTACCCCTAACCCAAGGTCCAGCCAACGTGCAGTGGTACCTCCGTACCATTGCTCCGCGGAGCCAACCAATGGAACGCCCCCACCCAAGGCCTATTCCTGTCTACGAGCGTATTATAGGCGAGCCCGTACTCAGGTTTTCGCATGACCAGGGCCAGTTGGCGGTCCTTTTTCTGCATGCAGATTCCCATCATCCCAGCTCGACTTCTGCACCATCTGCATCGGCCAACAATGGCAAAGCGCAAGGTTCTGCATGTTCCACAAGGGTAAGCACGCAAAACCTGAACAGGTAGTGATCCACAGGTTCAGAATTTATAGTTGGCTCTCGAAAAGCTTGTGTGAACTGCATCTCTCGATGGGTTTCTATCATCGATTCGAGCGATCAATCTCGATACGAAAACCAGCTAGTGTTGCACGCAGCACAGCAGACGGCAAATTCGCCATGGGCAATTTATCGACGTGGTGAAGAGAATAGATCGAGATCTTGCACCATGGCGGCCGCGAGTATTGTCTGTCCTAGAGGACAATATGATGCGATTTCTTGAGTCTAGACCCTCAGCCTCGAGTCGGAAAGGAAAAGATGTGTCCGATTGGCTACAGTATACAACACCAGTAGCTGTCAAGTATCGACACGAGAGCGCGAACCCCGAGAGCACAGCGGTGAGCTGCCGCGCGGTCTGGAGCAGTCCAGAACGCGTACTTTAGACGACTTAGGCTTTCACGACTACTTCGACATTTGGTGGTGAGCTGAAGTGGTAGGCTTCGAGGCCGATACTTCGAGATTTGATTGTACGTGTTATATTGCATACACAGGCGCGATGGTGATACGCTAGCTGCGACAGCGCAAGTGAACTGTTACTAGCAATATCAATAGCCGCCGTGGAAGCTTCACTGTCTGCAATGCAGGCGTCATATGAATTTCATGGCCTAGGCCGCTTGGCTGTCCCCAGTTCGTGGCGCAGCAACACGTACAACGTGTATTTGGCATTGAGTACTTCCGCTTTGCGTCCATCGAGATTGGATTGATTGCGCGGAGATGCGAGTCAGTCTAGTTATACATGCATCACCTTAAACATGGATCCTTGCCACTGCGCCATTGTGTGCCAGTGCGAAGCAAACAGCGGAAAGCAGTTGAAGTTATGCAGTGGAACCTAATTGAAAAATTGAGAAGAAGATGATATGTACCATTGCTGCAAATGTACTGGATTGATCCTGCCAATGGAGCTATCACTCGCTTGGTAAAATATGCCATAAAAGCTTGAAGAAACAAATGTGGTCTGCGCTCTAGTAAGCGCGGGGGTATAATGGCGGCTCGACAACTTCAAGAATATCCTGGCGTATCCATATCTTCGTCGTCTGCGTCTGCATCTGCTACTCTGGCCAATTCTCCAGCTCTCAGTAGCGCAGCAAGAGAAGAATTTGTTCTGTAGTCTGTATGTTGTTGGGTATGTTTCGACGGTAGTGGTACTGATGGACGGTCTAGATGTGATGGGGCAGATCCCATGCCACTGAGCACGGGTGCCGGAAGGACACGCATCGACTTAGAAACGTCGATGGCTGGGAGGGTTTGTCCGGTGTAGCTGGCTGTGTATCCGCCCTGGCCACTATCTGATGATAATGTTGTGTCTTCGTGGGTCAACGGTGGGAGCCGATGCATCTCTCGATTTGATCGCCGCGATGGCAGATCGATGGGTGCTTGGTAGTGGGCGTTGTAAGAAGGTGGTGTAGTTGATGGAGGATAGGAAGATCCGTGACCGTAAGATGATGAGTATGGTAGGCCTGCGTCGAACTGGCTTCTCGCATCCCTAGCCATAACACTCGACGTCGTTTCGAAGGAGTTCTCTTTGTTGAGAGTTGCCGAGCGCGGCGAAGCCGAAAGCGGGGAGTAATGCTCGGGCATTCTCGGTGAATTGAATCCAGAGCGATTGAGGATAGCAGGGGATGTTGATTTAGACGGGTGTGAGGGCCCAGAGGGTAGTCGTGAGGGCCCTATTGGAGGACTCGACTCAGTCAGGATTTGGCCGGCGTAGAGGTCCGACTGAGCTGAGCTAATTCTTCGCCCCATTGTGCGTTCTGTCTGATCGTGACTGCTGCTCCGAGTGGATGCGACTGTGTCTGCCTCAATCTTCGATCGTTTGCCTTCTGCCTCTGTCACCGGGAGTTACAATTAGCCGACGCGGCGGGTGGAACGACGTACCCTTTGGTGGTGCAGCATGCTTTGCCTTGAACTCCTCTAGATATTTCTGATACAATTCGTATTCAGACGTTTTCTTGTACTCTGCGAGCTCAGCGTAGTACTTCTCTTTGGCAGAATTGGCCTGACGTTCGCAAGCTTCACGAGAATCGGCAGGCAACACCTGCCACCTTTCGCCGACGATCTTCGCGATCTCGGTGAAGGATAGATCCTGACCTTTCAAAGTCTCCCTTACTTCTAATGCAACGTTAGAAAGACGGTGCAGAAAGCTGCAAGAGGAATGCTCACGATTGGAGAAGATGACATAAGCCGACGGAGGTCGCTCCGGCGCATGCTCATCTGGCTGGAAACGGTTAGAATGCGACCAAACTGCAATGGGGAAGACACGCGGCGACGTGCGTGACCAAAACTGACTTTGGGATGTCGTCTGTATTTTCTCTTTGCGCCGGGCGTCACGCCTGTGGTCGAGGCTTCGCCCTGCCTGACTTTGGTTTCTGTTGCGGAGTCGTCGCTGCGATACGAGCCGTCAACGCTGCCTGCGTTTTCGAGTGCGATAGGCAGCGGACGATTCGAGGACTGTCGTCGCGTTTCGGCGATTGCCCGTTGAAGCTTCTGGCTAGTGTTAGGATACAGCATTTGCTGTGTGGCATCAGCGTACATACTCTTCGATGTCCAAGTTTGACGCTGAGAGAGCCACTGTTTCAGGTTAGAGGATACGATCAAGCCACCGCACGGGGAAATTTCCACTCACAGGTCCGATTCGGTAATGTCGAGGACGGTCTCCCAGGTGTCGAAGCCCTCGGATACCAATGCTTCCAGGTATTGGGACAGTCCCAATCGCGCCAGCCGCTCCGCTAGGTCGCTCATGTAGGGAGACTTTTGATGGTGTATCGCAATATGGTGGTGATAGTGTTGTAGGTTGTGTCGCAAGCGTGAAGTAATACAGGCCTTACTCCCAGTCCGACCGCGGAGTATACAAAGAGCCAAATAGGAAATACAGAGCTCGGGCAGGAATTTTCTGATTGGTGCGGGTGGCGGCCAATGCACGAGTGGCGAGTCGAGGCAATATGAAAAATAGGTTGGTGTTCAAGTGTTGCAGGGCGCAAAGCGCAAGAAGAGTAAGTATGGTGGGTAGTTGTCTAGCACTCGTCCATACGGAGGAGTAGCACGTAGCGTGGATTTGGGGAAGGTGGGTCCCGGACCGATCTGATCAGGGCTGTCTAATAATGTTACGGTACGCCAGCCGGGCGCAATTACGGTGCTTTCACAGGCACAGTGCTGGGAGGGAACCGAGATATCCTAATGCAGGCACGACCATATAGCGGCCAGTAGGGTTCAGGTTGGGTCCGCACGGCATTGGGCGCGTCCACAGCGGGCATGTACAGCGGTGGGTGGCGGACCATAGGCTCACACGATGCACACGCGTGGGAAAAGGCGGGTGGGAAACCAGAACGGGGTCCAGCTAGATCCTCGGAGTGAGAATAGGCCTAAGAGAGACGGCGGCCATGGCAGTGCGGCGATTGTCCAGATGAGAAGGTATCGGCGATTTTAGGAGAGGGGCGAGAGCATGGCAGAAGGAGGGGAGGGCGGAATTTTGAGATGGATGGAGAGTGGCCGGCAACTGGTGAGGTCAGAGGGAGAAGATCGGCGGCGACGCCGGAGCCTGACGACGGCTGGAGCAAGGCAGGCGTCGCAGGGAACTTCGCAATGGCACAAAATTCGGCGAGACTTCGTCGAGCGTTCTGGCAGCACGCGGTCACCATCCTGACTCTTGCTGAATGGCCGGCGCAAAGCCTGCGAGCGCCAGAACTAGCGAGCGCTGTGGATCGAGACAAAGGACACGATCGGTCGTAGGCACGTAGCGCGATGCAGGGTCCCAGGCCAAACAGCGCGCTTCGGGAATGGCTGCACGCCGGCGTGCCAGTGCCGGGTCTCGGTGTCAGGCCAGCAAAACGGCAGCCCCTCAGCCTTAGCGGCTGCTTTTGCTTGCGTGTTGGGGGAGATTCAAGAGAACTGGGGATGATGATGGTGTGGTGGAACGTTCAGTGTTCCTTTCACAGGCGGCACAAGGCTTCCGCTCTGCCCAGGGGAACCCATCAAAACGCTGGTACACAGCGCAGACAATCAGCCCATTCCTCCGCTGCGGTATGGATGTCCTTGTGTGGGCGGCAAGCGAGCGAGTCGCCCTTGCCCGTCACTCTTCATTCATCAAAGTACGCCGGGATCTGCATCACAACATCGCGAAGCTTTCTCGTGTTCCCTGCGCCAACAGCTGATGCGGACATCCGACCGTCCGAAGGATGCCGCCGAGCCGTCAGGGGGCGGGGTGGAAGACCTGGGCACGTCTGTTTCCGCCGCTGATGCTGCACTGGCCAATGGCAGAATCCAGAGACGCTGTAGTGGGCTCAAGCGGAGCGGAAGAGTGTGTTAGTGCACGCGAGACCCTGGGTGGCAAGTGCGGCATTATCAGACCGCGTCGCAGAGACCGATGAGGGCTTGCAGTTGTGAGCATGGGCAACCGAATCTTCGATGGTGTCGTATGGCAATGTCAGAGCAATCGTGATGGGGTGCAGCTCGACGCTAAAGGCTTGGTAGACGTTACAAAAGAATGATGCCTATCTAACGCACACGGAGCGTCATAGCTCCGACACTCAGATCGCGACAACTGCACCCCAATCGCAGTCACACTTGCGCCACCGTCAGAGTCTTCTAGAAAGCGAAGGTCAGCTCGTGTTGCAAGGCTGGTTGCGGTCTTGTTCGCCTACTGTGTATGATGGCATATATAATGCATTGGCTGGATAAATGCACCGATCACGTGACGCTGCTAGAATCTTACATCGATATTCGTGAAATTCCATATCCAAAGGCGCTCTATTGTAGAGCAGTACCCGCTAGCGCTTCCCACACGGCTAGCACAAGCCGGATCTGCCTCGACAGCTATCCCAATTTGATATCATGCGGGTATTCCAGTTTATGAAACAGTTCGGTCCGTTTCCGTGACCATCCCCACAAAGCCATCATGAAATGTAGGGCCGCATACAAGGCTCATTGATAGCACACTCGTGCCAGCAACAAAGACAATATCATGAGATGTGACACGACGACTCGCTTCTCCGCACGCATCCGTGGGCGTCTATCCGTCTACCCGTCTACCCATTTCCCGTCTCCTCCTGGCACCATCTAGGTGACTGTTAGCATCTGGGCGGTTACCCCTTTTACGCGTACTGTACCATGCAGATGTTGTTGCCGTTCAAGAGGATCTTCGACATGCGGGTCTCTCCCTCTTGAGGGTCGCTGCGGCTGTCAGGACCGCCCCTCGTGGGACTTCTCTCGCGGTAGCTTGCACTCACATCTCCCGCACATCCTCGAGGACCATATCTGCCATTCGTCAGACAAATATCATGTCATGCGTATAGCCAGGTGTACGTACTGACGTAGTCGTCAAATCCAATCAGCTTGCCCACGAACTCTGCACACCATCAGCCTAGCGCTTCTGTGAAGCAAACATATACCGACCCTTGTGGTTGTTCATGATAATCCAGATTTGCGAGCCTACGCACTTGTCGACAAGTTCTGCAGGCGTCAGCATGTGACTTGTGCACAGACAATCAAATCTTACCGAGCGGCAGCAGAGGGTGATGAACTTTGGGCAGCGACGGGAGCGACATGGCTGCAATTTCCTGGTTATCGTAGAGCTTGCTATAGTGCTGTCGTCGGGGTGTCAAGCGAAGTGAGGCTGGTGGGTGGTTGACGCCGTAGGCTTGGCGGTAAAGCGCGCGCCTATTGCGAGCTAGCCGCCCGTCCATTCTCTTACCGCACCAGGGTCCGGCTTTTGGCAGTTCGAACGGTATTGACCAGGCAGACATCTTTTGTCCACTCACTGTGCGACGCCTGCTGCCTGTGCAAGCAAACAATGGAGCCCGATGCTCCGTCAACGATGCGCGTTCCCCCTTGGCGCGTCTGGCGTCGTGTCGTGGGCGCGTCATGATGGCCGAGGCACCGCCCCGAGGAGGCTGCTGCCTTCGACTCTGTTGCGGTTAGGACGCGATGAACAGCAGTACATATACCCAATTTATGTTTGAGATTCATGCTGAAGTTTTGCAGTGTATTCCCATGCCTATCTCGCTTTGCCATGTCGCCCCATCGAGCCATACACAGCAGCGCGCCGTTCGCAGTCGATCCATCCGCCAATGTGACGCCGGACGCGCATGTACAGGGCATCGTGAAGAGTCATCTGGGTCCTGCAAAAATAAAATGGTTAGATGGTTCTTTAAAGGCTCGGACAACCGCAAAAACGAATGCTTCCATGGTTCGGTCGACCGCAAGAACGAATGCTCCCATGGGTCGGTCGACTCACCTTTCCCACACTATGGTGAACCTCCCAACTCGGATTCGCCAGAGAAAAAGAATGCGTGCTCGTATGCAAAAGTACCTGGCTCAGAGACTACTTCCACGCTCTGCGCGTCCTTCTGATATGGACCATGACGATTACGCTGTGGAATGGGATACAGTTACAGACTCTCCGAAAGTCAGAGGAGCTAGGCTCTTCACCGAGCGGGTGGATGACATGGCGAAAGAAATCATGTACCTAGGCGACGACATCCACGACGCGATACAACGTTCAATCGCGGATTTGACGACGCTTCGTGCTGGCCCCGAAACTTCCGGTGCCGCAACTCCAACCACTTCACAGAGTGTCGCAGCACGCATGGCAATGCTCACCAGTCTGAAGGTGACGCGTCTGCAGACGGCGAAGCTACGCGCAACGCTTGTAAAATTGTGTCACTTTTACCGAGCCCTACTTAGACATGCATCTGGCGTTCCCAATGATGTCAGTCCCACTATACATGCGCTTCGCAGAGAAAGATTCTTGCTCCACTACAAATGTGCCGTCGCCCGAGGACTGTCCGAGGAGCTATCCAGAGATGTACGAGGTATGGCCCTCGATGCCATTCCGGGGTTCGTTGCTCGGCTACGAATACAAGCAGTTCATCTCGCTAAGGAAATAAGTATCGCGACACACTACATCAAAATTGGTTCAACAAGGTTGTATGGGCTCAAGTTGGCTGAGGCCGGGGGAGAAGGTCTAGGTAGCAACCATGCGTTCTTGTTCTGGAACTCCCACCAATTTGAGTTCCGTTTGAAGGACCTGCGCGCGCTAAGACTGCAGCTTAGAGCGGAAGCACTATTCCCTCTATCAACTCAGTATTCGACGTCTATGACTAATATGTTCCGTGACATCGATACAAGGATTTGGAGATTCAATGATAATGCAAGCGCCATCGAAAACAGCTTCAAAGATCTTCGCAGACAGATCGAACGTAACGCAATCATGGCAGGGAGGAGTGGAGCTCTGGAGCCGTTCGCCATTACTATCAGGAAACAGCTGGTCGAGTCCCTGAAAGCGAAATACCGGGAAGACAACCCAGGCCTGCGTCGCTGGGGCTACCAACATACGCGATGGTACATGAGAATCCGTTACATCTCTCTCGCCCAGCCGCAAGACGTATCACGTCAAAGTGTGAGACGCAAGCACAGGTCTGAACGGCAGAAACACATCCGAAAGTTGTCTTCACCATTGCACGTCAGGTACTTTATCACTAGCAGTGGTTGGGCCAAGCCACGGACTCGCAAGCATAAGCCGATCAGAAATGTGAGGAAGCAGCTTCAAGTGAGACGCAGAACAGCTTTGGGGAAGTTGCGCAGACTACTTTCGGCGACGCTACTCTCGTATCAGAGTCGAACGTTCAAAAGCATGCGCAGTGCCGACCGGCTAGCTTCTTTGCCAAAGAAAGAGAAGCCGTCCAGCGTAACACAGGTCGGGATGACTATTGCCGCTTTAGGGTTTTACAAAAAAACTGATGAAGAGAACAACAACATCAAGACTAATTATTCAAGGAAGGTTGAGCCTTTGACGAACAAGTCTGGCAGACCTCTCGTACGCTGGAAAGAAGCACAGGGCAAACCAATGCGGGTTCTACCGCAATTTAGACCGCGCTTCACAGCAACCCAGCCCATGAGAGCACCCCATCCAACCTCGATATCTTTCAGCAGCGATGCATGGGCGCAGAGCGTTGATGTGCTGACAATCCCTGATGCAAGCGGTCGAAGAAGCCTGGTCAGTGAATGTTCGACTTCTTCACCTGGCGGTCGCACCAGTGATGACAAATCGGACATAGAGCACTCACGTAACGATTCAAAGGGCGAACATCAACCCAAACACCCTGAACACCCTGAACACCAACCTGACGGGCAAAACACTCAATCGCCTAACGAGAACATGGATAAGCTGTCAAAGAACGACCCGCCTAGCGAAAGCGAGCATGACGACGAGTCTGAGAGCGAATTCGACGAGGATTCAGAAATAGAAGAGCCTGTGGAGGAGCATACCCCGTTGACCTACCAAATACCCCCAGATGTCTTGTACAATGCTCTGCAGGCACCTACACAGACTCGCGGCAGTTACTGGAGCCAAAAGCTATACCGCAGTCCCGAAGATAAGGAGCTCCTGCTACACTACTGCGTGAACATGGAGGTCTCAGAGCGAGTGGCCAAGCATTTCCTGAATGAGAAAGTTGTGGGCTTTGACATCGAGTGGAAGCCTTTTGGGTATGTCGATTCGATCAAAGAGAATGCATCTCTCATACAGTTGGCAACCGAAGACCGCATCGCTCTGTTCCACATTGCGCGATTTCCAGGCAGAACGCCTGAGCAACTAATGCCACCCACGCTCAAGGCCGTCTTGGAATCTGCTGAGACGTTCAAGGTCGGTGTTGCTGTCAAGGGCGACTGCAGTCGACTAGAGAAGTACTTTGGCATGAACATCCACGGGGTCTTCGAGCTCAGCCGGCTGCACAACCTCGTCGAGTACTACAAAACAGAGCCGAGCAAGGTCAATAACAAGCTTGTGAAGTTGGCTACGCAGGTTCACCAACATCTGCTGCTCCCGTTGCACAAAGGCGAACCCTTTGTCGATGAACCGCTGCGACTCAGCAGTGTTCGTGAGAGCGACTGGAGCCGACCACTTGACTACGAGCAGATCCACTATGCTGCCGCTGACGCGTATGCCGGTTTCCGGTTGTTCGATGTGATGGAGTCGAAGCGGAAGAAGCTTAAGCCTACACCGCCGATACCGCGCTTGTGTGATTATGACAACAAGCCTGCGCCTCGCACTACGCCAAAGGCTAAAAGAGCGAAGAAGGCGACACCCGACACGGAGAAGATCGTTGCTGGGTCTCTTAGTGGGCTCGAAGCTGAAGATGCGGAGGAAGAGGCGTATGAGACGGCGGCCGAAGAGCTCGCTGAGGAAGAGGAAGACGAGGACGCCGATTCTGAGTCTGCTTCTGAGTCCTCCGAGGATGAGGATCCCGACGCAGACTATGCACCCAAAGTTCGCGGTCGCATTGCTCTAGGCCAAGGCTCGAGTGATCCATCTACTGCATCTGAAGTGCCTGCGCATCACATTGGACGTGCGGACATCTCAAGTCTCACAGGCCTTGACCCCAGGTATCCAGAGCTACCTTCGCTGTCCGCTGCGGAAGAATCTACCTCTGAGGAGTCTGAGGCATTCGATCCTCCGCCTAAGGCGCCACGGCGGCGACGTGTTGCGAAGCCTGCGCAAGAAGCGAAAGTGCTACTAGCTAAGGCAGAGGAGTCAGAAGACGAATTCCCCGACCCTGAGCTCGAAGAAGCTTTCGCGACCATGGTCCTTGACGAACCTTCGAAGACTGCAAGCAACCCTGCTACAGAGGCGGCGCCTGAAGTCGATGAAACCAACTCCGCCCTGGACATGGATCCACTGCAGATTGAAGAGGAGCCCTCCCAGCCATCGCTCTCCACCACCGCTCCAACACCCACCTTCACACCCCTCATCCAACCCGACCCAACCGCCCATACACCAGAATTTACCCTCGCTACGACCTGGGCCCAGAACTACCTCATCTCCACTATCCCTTCGCCTTCGTCTACTGTCTCTCCACGCATCCGCGCCACAGTCCCCCCACTACGCGCATACCACCTCTGGCACCACCAGCGTGTACCTCTCGACGCTATCGGCGCACACTTACGCGATCCACCGCTTGCGCAGAGTACGGTCAGTAGCTACATCATCCAAGCCATCAATATGGAGAAATTGGAGTATAGAGATGAAGACTTGATCAATCTGATGGGGACGTTGCCGGCAAACCTGAAGCTGGGGAGATATGGATGGTTGAGTAGGAAATTGGGTATTGTACGTTAGATGGAGGGAGAGGGAGAGGGAGGTCAGAGCAGGGAGAGGACAATATACCCTGTACTATGATTTTAGATAGCATATTTTGGCGTTGGGTGTTTCTTGTGATAGATAAACTGGGGGAAGGCATGCATGTATACAAACACGGAGTCTCACTTATACACCTATCATCAGGACATCTTGGTAGTTTGACTGCAGTTCAAACATCATTGTATCGCAGTGTAACACTCTCGTGCTAATTATTCTGACACATACAAAGAACACCATTGTCTTTCCACACTTTCTCAATCTCCCAAGCCTGCTCCCCAGCATCCCGTCAGTAGTCTCCGTCAGGCGGCTTCGGACGTGGAAATTTGTCTCGCCAGTCTTGTTCTCCAGGCTTCGATTGAGCAGCGTAAGCAACGAACGAGTTGCTGGAAAGGCTCGCGAAATCTGCGGCTCCTTCTTGAGAAACCGGGCGAGCTAAGGCGAGATGGCGACAACGGACACCCTCCTAGGTTGACGATCTCTACACCGTACTGGACATGGTACGCGCAGACGAGCAGCTGCACTTTTGACGGAAGGCAGAAAAGGTTAAGGAAATCAATGGTGATTGAGGGCACAGAGGCCAGAGACTATACATACTAAAGCTAGGGGAGAGCTAAGGAGCTGCGAAGGAACACTTAGGCTCAAACGGAAAACATGTGTGAAGGAATGCTGATTGCCCCAGGCCGACAACTTCCAACGGATTCACTTCGAACCGTCGCCCTACTTGCCGTCATCAACCTTGCCAGCGCCATCCTTTGTTGTGGCATCAGTGTTATGAGCGCAATCACCACTAGTCACCTCTCCCTCTTCAGTCTCCTTTAAGAACTGCTCGAGCGTGATATGGTCCGAGTTCTTTGCCTTGCTCGCCTCAGCCTTCTTGGCCTCCTTGGAGCCATCGCGGGGCTGCATCTTCGGCTGCACTTGTGATCTCGGAGCCTTTCCCAATGGTCATGCCCAGTCCATCTCTTCCCGCCACATCAGCTCCCAGACCGCAAGTAGGCGGTCCTTTCCATGCTGCAAATTGCGCTTCGAGTGGGGCTACCATCATACACTCTGATTAGTATTTTTGTTTTGTGCAAAGTAAATCGGACAATTGGGGCTCTTCGAAGGTCTTAGCGGAGTAGAGCGGGTTGTCTGGGTCCGCTTGCAAGTCTGCTAGCTTTACCTCCACCTCGAGCTCAGTGTTGGCGAGCGGGTCGTCAGCGCCGTCAAGCTGGTCAGCGGCGGGCTTTTTTGTGGTATTTCGACCTTGGTGGGAGTCTCAACAGACACGTCAGGCTTAGTAGCCTCAGTGGTGCTAGGTGGGGTGTTCTCTTCGGCGGCCATGGTTGTGGCAAGCGGTGTGGGAGAACGTGCAGTATTAGAAGTGTGAGCTGGACGGACGCAATGAAGGCGGAGATTCTGGCGACGAACAATCATCAGCCCAGCTCACACTTCTAAATTGCGTATTTGAGAGCGCACTAAAATGGGGTCAGTAACGAGAAGGAGAAAGGAGGTAGTGTTACATACTTCGACTTAATCTTGTCCTTAACGTTTCAATATTAGAAGTGTGAGCTGGGCAGACGCGATGAACGCGGAGATCCTGGCACCGAAAACTTATCCAGCCCAGCTCACACTTCTACTTTATGACCTTGTCCTGGCCCTTCCAATGCTAGAAGTGTGAGCTGGGCGGACGGCATGAACGCGGAGATCCTGGTGGCGAAACAAATTCGGCCCAGCCCACACTTCTGGTGTCTCGTCCAAGGCTCTTGCTCGCGGCCATCTTCTAGGTTGTCGAAGCGCAGTCTGGAAACCACCCGGAATGAGTGGCTTCGCGATCCTCCGAATCCTTTAGGTTGCAATGTCCGGTGACGCAACGGTGAATCAGGGCAATCTGTCTCTAGTCAGTCTCATGAATGCATATTCGATGCGGCGGTCCTTACCAAGATCGATCGGCAAGCAGCCGCGATATTCTTCTTGTCCAGCAATCGCAAATGCAGGAGCGCATTCAGCGCGAACAGTAGGTGTCTAATTGCAGTCTCCTTCAAGAGCTGCTCGAGCGTGATATGGTCCGAGTTCTTCGCCTTGCTCGTCTCAACCTTCTTGTTCGCCTTAGTAGACGATTAAGTCTACAATGAGCTTGGCAAGTCACGGAACCTGGCAGGGAACCGCCCTGCCGTAGTCGTAAGCATAAGGCAGGCGTTGGCAATGGGAAACTTACATCGGGGTACTTGTCGGCGGATGAGGGTCCAGGGCCGTCGCTCCACCGCTTGTCGTCGCGAGCGAGCATCTTTATTGAAACACGGCACAGGGCCGCCCCAGCCATGTGACCGCGGAGCGGCATTTGTCAATTCGGTTAGACCGGGCGCGCGTGGTATACTGGTGGGCGACGTAGGATCTTCTTTGAATATCGTTGGCACCCTCGACGGCGGCTTTAAGCCCGAGGGCTTTGCCCCCAAAGAGGGACATTCGACCAATGAAACTCTGTGGCAATATCTGCACAGAGTCAGCAAGAATTAGCATCGATTTGAGCTCACTACGGCCTACCGGTGGAGCTTGTTTAGAATATCCCGAAGCATGATGGTCGTTCGGACATCCGAGCCCTGCACAATCTTCTCTCGGTTCACCTTGTTGTGGCCGAAGCCAGGTGACGCTCCTGAAAGGAAGGAGCGTCCGAGATGGACGCAATCCATCATAATTGAGTGCGCGAAGAGCTGCTTCGAGAGGGAGAGAACATTTTTGGTGTAGAAGGAGAAGTGGAGGGAGAAGAAGGTGGGGGGAAGCGGGAGATTAAAAGGCGTTTGGTAAGAGCGAAAATTTGCGTGGAGATACTTTACTCCGGGGCGTTGAGGGCGACGCAATATGGGGTGAAGGTGATGAGTGTGACGCTTCCACTGGGCTACCTCCATGGCAACGCTGCCTCAGCAACACCTACGTCACTTCGATTTGACCGTCCCCCGCCTAACTATCCGGCCACACACGCCCTTGCTTCACCCCCAGAGCTTCAGCACCACAGTAGAGACACCGAAAAGCCAATCTAAGACTTCTGAGAGCGTGCACCATGGAATGATATCGCAGTGTCTGTTCGGATACAATACCGCTGACAAGGAAATAACAAGACATGAACTCGAGGTAGAGCAAGGAGACAAACTCCTACATCCAGGCTCAGGATCACCATAATGATGTGATCCTCTTTGTGTTCGGTACTCTATCTATGTCGAGGTTTTGATCGTGAGACCTTCCTCAGCCAGTACGCTCATCCTCAGTGTTGACAAGAACATGACCCAGCGATCGAACCTGGATCCTCACTCCATTATTTTTTTTTCGGCACACAAGAAGAGTACCCGCAAGTTCAGATCTATATAGGAACTGCAGGCTAATCCTGATATGACATTCGTATCAATGAAGGAATGTCCCAAGGCCCATGACATGAAGTCTATGACCTACGAAGTTGCTTTCCCCTCCTACCACCCACCCCATTTGCCACTGTGTCAATAACTCGGGTCTTGGAGACTTAGGACGAGTAAGAAAATGTGCCCTTACCGGTAGCAATTGAGCGTTGCATGGATCAGAGGCAACGAGTAAGAGCTTCACCAAGATATCTCCTCCCTTTCAGTCTGTCCATAGCCTTCCAATCACACGAGGCTCTTCTTCCCAAGACCCTCTGTCTTTTTACCACGAGGCAGATGTCCATGTTCAAAGCATTTACTCCAGCCTTCACTACCGCTGGCCCGCTCGGCGTGTGATATATGTTCTGAGCCACGAACTTGCGCTTCCCCTTGCCAATATTTCGCCTCTACCCCATAGTCTCCTATACCAGATGTTATTGAGCTGTATCGTTCGGTGTCTAGCGTTTCGAAGTCTTCGCGGAGTGACGGTCGGTTGACTGGGAGGTTCGGTATGATCATCAACGCGCAAAAAATCGGATATACTGTAACGGTAGTCCTGGTTGCGAGTTCCGAGTGCGAACTTGTTTGATCAGTCAGTCCAATGCTCCGAAGATCGTGAGTTCAGCAGGTAAAAGTAGTAGAACTTTGCATACGCCTGCATGCAGCCGCAAGCATTACCGTACTCCAGGTGATTGAGCATTACGTGATTTCCGTGCGAGAGGTAAATGCTGGATGCCCGAACTCAGTCATCATGATTGATTCCTCCGCGAAGAGCGTGGTGATAAAGCGAAGCCAAGTCCTGAGACCAGGTCGGCGCGCCGCGACCATTGCTGCACAAGATGATGCGTGTCGGAGAGCGCGAGTGTTGCCGTGCTGGCTGAGAAAAGTGTTGATGGGTTCCAGCGCTGCTGCTGCTTCTGCAAGGAGACGCGCTCGCGTAGAGAACAGAGACTAGATTTGAGGATCGATCGTTGGGCTGCGGGAGGGTTCCTCACAAGACCAACGATGGCAGACCGGAGGTTGAGGGCGGCTGTAGTCTGTTCGCGAGGGAATGCTAGTCCCGGAAGTGGACAGACAAAAGAGCGTACGTCGGTGATCAACGACAGTGGCGGAACGGGAAGTATCGAAGCGCCATGAACACAAATGGAAGCATCCACTGGCAGTGTTGGCAGTGACTACAGCTCGAAAGACGCCGTGATCCATCTGAAGCAAAGGTCGAAGCTCATCTTCCTGCTATCGTCGCCGGCTACGTCGTCACTGACCCGCGTTCATTCACGTCCGTCCCGATTCAGTTTACATTCGCTCTTTCACTCATAGCTTCACAAAAGCAATATTGCATCAGGCATAGTGTCCAAAACCCCGTAGGCTTCATCAGAAAAAGGTGACCAAGCCCGTGTTTGTGCAACGGGCAATCTAGCCTAGGTAGGTGTTTGAAGGCGTGTAAACCTTCAATTTTTGGGCATGACTAGTGTGGCAGACCTGAGGTTGAACCTTTAGCTCCCTCTAACTTGTTCTGGAGCACTCATTCTGTCTGCTCTTTTCGAGGGGGTGCGAAACAAAGCTTGCTACAACGCCACCACCACCACCACCAGGTTGTATTGCACAGTGATGGGTATGCATAAGCCAGCGGACAGGCTTAGCTTCCCTACAACAAATGGAACAACAACATGTAGGATTGACTAAGCAATTGAACTCGCGTCTTGATAAGAGTACCTGCCTTAGATGACCTCAAGTCTCTTGCAAGATCGTTGCCTTGATCTTAAGTTCGTCTTACGATACGCTGCTTTTTCGTAGTCAGAGCCGCAGTGCCATGCATAACGGTGCTTAAGATAGAAGAATCGAAAGATCTGATAAATCATTGGTTCTTCTAGCAACTACTTGCTCGTAGTGATCCTGGGTTCTAGGGGCCGAAACGGGCCACTCTACACACCACTCTGCGGATCCATCAACATCTCATTGATGTACGCACACCGCTGTTGCGCCTCCTTCGCCAACGGCCCGAAAGTGTATCCTCCTGCGGTGATGTTCGCAGCTATCTCGTCTTCCCCATAAACTGGCCACTCGGAGAGGTCCGATTCGGGTCCAAGTGCCTTGAGGTCCTCCCCGAATATGAATTGCAGCAAGTAGCTCTCAGAAGACAAGGCCGTTTCAAGGTTCACCACCGGTGTTGTGGCATTGTCAGCGTAGAAGAAGTCTACGTTCGTTAGCGACGTTGAGGGATACCCAGGTTCGGCTCACAGCTGAGATCCATGCCATGCGTTGCCGGCGGTACAGAGAACAGATACTGCCTTGCGCGATCACGGTATGCCTGTACAATGTTCAACGCAGTACATCCGAATACGATGTCCGTGACGTAGTCCCATGCTAGCTTCTCAGGCCGGTCGGGCGAAAAGTTGTACGTTGAGAGGAGCGTGGCAATGCTTTTGCTTGAAGCGTTCGGGATGTTTGCGCGGACGAGATCGGGGAAGCGAGATGGCATGTCGTAGTCGGAGGATAGTCCAAGGCCCTATTTCTCTATGAGTATGTGCCACAAGCAGGTAAGGAGAATTGAGCTTACCTCAAAAGCCGTGGTAGCAACGACCAGCTTTTTAATGCCCTCGTTAATCTTCCCATGCGCAAATCCCGCAGCGGGAAGCTCTGACACGAGCTCTCCGTCGACCGTTGGCGTGAAGCCCGGGTCTAGTCCAAGTGATCCACCTCCGGCAGAGGGAACTTGTCCCATTATCAGCTTGTTCGCGGTGCGGATGGTCGACTCTGGCACTTTGCGCATGCATTCTACATTGTCACAGCCTGTAGCGTTGAGGACAAAGTCGAAAACCGTACGAGATCGCTCGAGGTTGTATCTTGGGGGTATTGCTGGTGAGGAGATCCAAGCTTGTTCAAATGGAAGTGTCAAGGTTCCTTCCTCGCTCAGTAGCAGCCAAGTCAGAATACCCGCGCCAGCGCTTTGTCCAATGGCAGTGATGCGATTGGCATCGCCGCCGAACTTATGAATATGTTCTTTGGTCCATTTAATGGCTGAAAGTGTGTCCCAAACCCCAACGTTGCCGTTCATGTCATCCTCCAATTTCGGCAGCCACCCAAGGGTCCCAAGTCTGTCGTTTTGTCAATGCTGAAGCTACCTGCAGAGAGGCCCTCTTACCGGTAGTTGTGTGTGACAATGATGAATTGATCGGTCAAGTTCATCGGCCGGTTAAAGAGCCCGTACGTATTCATGCCGAACCCAGTCCAGTCTTTACCGCCAAAAGAATATGCAGATCCCACAACCCAGTGCAGCACGGGGAGCTTATCGCCTTCTTTTGCGTTCTTCGGCTTGATCACATTCAGGAAGAGGCAATCTTCGGAGCCCCAGGTCGATCCGTTGATGAGCGGAAAAGGCACGCCAGGATGCGCGGAGGAGATGCAATCTGTCACCCAGGAAGTACGATCGCCATTCTGATATCCACGCTCATAGCTAGGTGGTGTCTTTGGCTTTCGGAAGCGGAGCTCCCCATATGGAGTTTGCGCGTAGCGAATGTTGTTGTAGTTCAGCAACTCGGTGCCGGCGGGGGTGATGTTAGTCCATGTCGGAACGTGCTTTGCATAGCCCAAGTCAACGAGATGTGGAGGACGAGTGTACGACTGCGTGACTGCAACGAAAGTAAGAGCACTAGCGAAAGAAATGTAAGCGATCATATTCCCACTATTTCGAGCAGGTGCGATGCAAATGGAAGCATTTGAGATGGCTGGGAAGTTCTTAAATACATGACCGACTCGTAAGGGTAGCTGTAGGCTATCCTCAGCACTAGATAAACAAAAAAAAGATACGAATAATCCGAAGCCATCTGGAATGTGGTGTTATGGTCGTGTGTGGAGCTGTGGTGGCTGCGGGTATGGAAGACCAGGGTCTTTCCAAATACGAGAGTTCAGCCAATCAGCAGTCACCACCTCCAGGCTCAACACCAGCAACCGTATACGCCCTTGGCAGACCTGCCCGTACCGGCGCAGATCGTCGGAGCGCTGTTTCTTACGATGGGCGCACCGGTAAGCCTACAACGCGCGTTCTCTTTACAAAAAGCCGGCGATGACCCGCAGTCACAGTCGCTCCTGTCGCCATCGGTACCGAATACGCTGCCTGCCGCATCCGGACAATGGATGCCTCCCTGCATGTCTTTCGCGTTCGACCTCACGCATTAACCACGCCGGTCGCATCGGAGCCGTCGGGTCCTATAGTACTGGAACACTGCTGGACGAGAAGGTCACATAACAAGTCCCGGTCTGGTTGTGAGGCTTGCAGGAGACGGCGCAAGAAGGTCTGTGTCATCCCCACTTTCCAACGTGTTGTCATTGGCAGGTGTGCCGTTACATCAGCTTGCTCAGGGGAAGGATGAGAGGGCTCATCACATGACATTGCGACATTGATGCTAAAAATGCTAACAATGCCACAGTGCGATGAGCGCAAACCCACTTGTTCATTGTGTCAACAGAAGGATTCAGCATGCATATACCCCCACGCCCCATTACGCCCCCGAGCCCCGCCTAGAAGCCTCCCCGCGAACGTCCCGCCGAGTTCATGGCCTGGAGCGCGTAGCTTGCCGGTCCTTATAAACGAGGATGCGTATACAAGATACGATCTAGACCTATTACACCACTTCGTCACAACCGCATCGAAACATTTCAAATGTATAGGGCAAGATGAGATACTCTCCTCAAAAGCGGTTGAGCTTGGTAAAGAATACCCAATAGTGATGCACGCCATGCTCGCGATCTCGGCATGCCATATACAGGGTTTAGGGTGCAAGACGCGACCCTACCGAATACCAGAAACGTTCCATTGTCAACTTGCGATCCGCGGTCTCCAGAAGGCGGTCGTGTCTTTCAAGGGCGTGAAGGAGGCAGACTCGGTGCTCACAACCTCCATGCTGCTCAATTGCCTGGTATCCAGCTCAGAACAATACGTGGATGATAGTTGGAAGAAGGACACCGGAGAACTACAATGGGGCTGGCTACGTTTCCAGATTGGCATCACAGACTTACTCATGCGAACGAAGCCATTCCACCCACAAAGCATTTGGCTACCCATGTTTCTTTCCTCAAAGCAACACCTGGTTATCGGTGATCCTTGCAACGACCTTGATCGCCAACTCGCCGACTTCTGCGGTATCAACGAAGATAGCACGGCGGAGGACAACCCATGCTTCGATTTCTGGGAACAATTGGCGCCTCTCGTAACACGTGTCCCCGGACCTCAGTACATGCGGTGGTATGTTGAGGCTGTGGGTGGGATTGATGTCCGCTTTATAGGACTTTTGGAGGAAGAAGACATGCCAGCGTTGATGCTGTTTGCTCATTGGGCGACAATGATGTGCTGCCTCGAAACCTGGGGTATATCGCGAAGGTTGAGAAAGATCTGCTGGAAGATCTGCGAAACTTTGCGCCCACGACTGAAAGTGTCGGACCTGTATCTTCTGCAAATTCCCGCCAAGACAGTTGGCTTCGCTCTTTACGACTGATCGAGCGAGATCGGTAATGATCATTGGTTCGACTAATACCACACGCCGGTGACAAAAGCAAGCGGCCCGTCGCGTCTCCACAGCCTTCTCAACCCAACCACCGGTGCCAACGCTTCTCCACACGGCTACACCGTCTTGGTAAAGGCGCTTTGTACCCTAAAGTCCTATCCTCTGGCTTACACATTCTAGGTCGTCATGGACCCGGACGATACCGAGCTCTCCGAGGAGCTGAGGCAGAAGGCCATGAGCGCCGGCCGCACCGTATCTCGCGACGCGGTGGAGGATCGCGGCCAGTACTTCACGTGAGTTGTGCAATGGACATCGATGAGGCTTGGAAAAATGACCAGTTCCATAGTTTCTTCGTCCCCACCGGCTTGCAGAACCCTCTCGATCAGTGCAAGGGAAAGTGGCAATCAGCGAGCATGAACGGCAGGGGAATGCTGCGGCTGCGGAGGGCATTGGTATCGTCTGGGACAGAATCCTGGGAAGAGCACGGCAAGATGCGGGATAACGGGCAAACGTTTGTCTAGGGAGGGCCAAGGATATGGCGCGATATATCTGGGCAAATTGATAAGTTTGGGGCTAGCAAAGACTTTCCCTAGGTAGACATGAGGTTTACTCATGCTGGCTTGCCGGCAATTGTTCATGTACAACTCATACATACATCTGCATTGTCTACCTTCAATGCTGGATTCACTGAATGTCTCACCCCATGCCTGCACGTGATGATGAATGGAGAGTGCTCCCCCTTCCTATTTACGATGTTTTCCATATCATTCCTATCTAGGCCAGAAAAAAGGCAAGAGTTACTACAACCTGCAACTCCAACGAACAACTGTTGAACAGCTTTTCGTCAAACCTACCAAAACCCATTTCTTCGGACACTAAGACAGAATGCCGTCCTTGTTGACTCGCCTTCGCAACGCGGTTCATGTTCAAGTCTTCGTCGGTAGGCATGCACGTCGTGCCGCAGCTGAAACCCTTCAAACTAATGTGGACCGTCGCCAACAGGTAATGTCCGTCTATGCTCCCGAGCATCCTGCTCTGCAATCTCTGTGCAGCGATGGCAATGACGGCGCATGGTGGTGCGACCACTGTGGTCAACAGAACCACTTGAAGCTCCAGAAAGGTAAGCATGTTTTCGGTCGCTTGGAGTGCGCTCGATGCGACCACATCTTCACTTCGAAGGACGTGTCGACTAATGTACTTGGCCGTGAGGTCAAGCGCGACAAACGCCATTTCCACTTTGCCCTAGTCCCTGTAGGCAATTCTTGCGGCGTGGTGTGCCCAGGATGTGGTCAAACTCATCGTGGAAAGGAGCAGCGCGATTGGGCCCTACCTGGGTACACCACGTTCAGCTTCGGTCAAGTTTGGTGCCACTGCGGTCGGCGGGGTGGTGGCATGTGCCACCCTTCGTGGCATCGATTCAGCATCGGATCGTGCCGTGACTGGCACCTTGACCAGATGCGTGCAGAGAACCGGGCGATGGAGGAGCGTCTGGAGCGGCGATTTCAGCAGCACCGCCATGCCTAGAACGTACACATATAGCTTACACGTGACATTTTGACAAGAGGCATTTGGTGAGTAAGGAGTAAGAAAGAGCTGAGTGCCTGAACTTGTTCGCTTCGTAGAAGAAAACATTGCGTTTCTACTGCGAGCTTACTTGACGAAGTCTTACGTCCCAGTTTCGACAGTGTTAGTCTTGAATCCTTCCATATTTGTGATTCAATAAGTATAGTTTTCCTTGTGTTTAAGTGTAGACTTATAATCTAATTCTTTGCAATTCAACCAACGTTTAAGAACTTTGGTCATGATTGTAGCCATATCTCGTGAATTTTTCAGGAGTGACATTGCTACCCAATTTGACGATCAGAATTTCCTCCTTTGGACGTTATTTGAACAATAACATGCGAGGAATAGCGAGTGTTTTCCAAAAGTGAGCACCGGGAGTAGAAACGTCACTGGCGAAAAGCAAAGATGATTCTGCGCTATTCTGGAAAGTAAATCGAGTGCTGTCACATCTGCTTATATATCAGAGGGACTGATGAAGCTAGGTCGAGTATAGGGATTAGCCAGTCCCAGGGAAAGCAGCGCGTTGCTACTCCGAGCGCGATGGCGGGCACTTAATGCCAGAAAAAGAACAAAAAAAAAGTGTCGGCTACCGTACTCGAACAAAAGGTCAACCCCACCGGGAATCCGATGGGTAACGGCCAAACTCTAAGGTTTACACCCGTTCACGCTAAGGAAAGAGAACTCACCTGAACCGCGCCGAAGGTGACCAGGTACCGCCGAAACCCTGATCACCTTCGACAAACTTGGACGTTTTCAACCAGTTTATATACCTGATAAAAAAGATGATGTAGGATATTTTGAAAGTTTTAGTGAGTGACGGCAAGCGATGTGGGTGGGGTGAGTGAAGGTAAACAACCGGCGAGGCAGTGATGGGCAGGCACGGAAGGCAGGAGCTCGGCCAGTGTCGTGCACAAGAACACGATTTCCTGCAGCCCACAGATTGCCGAGGCACATTTCCATATCCCAATATCTAACGCGTTCTACCAACGACCCAGAGCACCCCGCGAACGTTCATGTTCCCCAAAACGCACAGCGCAGACTACAACTCGAACCCTGCCTATCGCAGTATATCTTCCCCAGCATATGATCAGCGAATTCATTCACGGAGGAATTGCCCCGCAAGCAGAAGCGTCACCCGCTTCGTGAGAGCTCACCTATCCTGGGAGTGCCTTCTCGTAACTTGGCATCAAATACTGAAGCGCTACGATACCACGAGGGCCTCATCCTCACCCACTCGACGAAATGTATTCCAATCTGTCGCAGGATAATTGCTCAGCGCCTCGGAGCACTTTCATGTCAACGGATAGCTAGCCTAGTAGGGCTTATCAGCACATCAGCTTCCGCAACTGCTTCTCCTAGATGACATTAATTGAATTACAGCTAACAATTTGTAGAAACGCTTAACCAGTCTCCGCCATCCCCGATTAACGGCCGATCCACCGAGTACCCAATCCTACGACCCCTGAACGACTCCCCGCATACCGCTACCCTTCGAGCCTCCGGGGCAAAATAATCAGAAGATCTATAGCCCACAGCGCTTTCAGAGCATCATGCGGTAGAGGAGGATACCGAAGAAGGAGTGGCAGCGCCATAACCTGGAGCTCAGTCTGCGTCGCTGGAGGTATACTCCTCACCACAAGCTTCTTGTCTGTAGCGGTATTGAGGCTTTGAGGAGCCCTACCTCCTCCAGTACGGAGAACAGAACTCAGCAAGCGCCCGACTGTGCTCGAGCCTGCTCAGCGCCTGTACGATGGGAGCCAGTATAATACCAGCTGCAGCATTACATTCCTCTTCTTCGACAGGTATAGCAGCGACAACTGCTCCGTCGCACTTCCAAAGAGACAGTCGCACGATCCATACTGGCTTGGGAACAGGCAGAACGGAATGTTAGCCGACGATTCATTCAACAACGAAGCCATCATTCGGATACTTTAGCATTCATGTTGCACCAAGGGCATCAGGCGCTGCGTCTCTCACGCCGGGTTGTTTCTTGAGCGGCACACTTTGATGATCTTGTGTCTCCTTCTACGAAGCAGCTTTGAGTGACTCGAGGTCCATTGGCACAGAGCCCAGCTCGTTGGTATCTCGAGCGACGGATTGCGATTCAATCTGTCTAGTCTGTTGTACAGTGTCATGTATCATAAAGCATGGCAAAGAAGGTATTGTAGCCGTTGATAAACCACTCAAAACATTTCTACCTTTTACATGTCTTGCGTGGTCTGTCGTTGAATCAAGTTTCTTCATATCCCTTGCTTCGACTGTGTTCGGCCTGCCATTATGGCACAGTGCCACATGTAAAGGCTCGAATGCCAATAGGAGAAATCTACCTACCCAATGGCATTATGATTATTTCATGTTTCACAAAGTTGCCATGTGTTGCATCATGCGTAGTAAACCTATTATGATGTGGCAAGGAAGAAGCACCCAGTACTATATGATATCTGACCATGCGTATAAGGTGACCCTCTCAGAATGACCAAAATTGCGACCTGCGCCCTCTTCAAAGTGGCAGTCAACAACACTGAGGGTAGATCTAACGAAAATGAGCTCCTAATATGTGCCTACAGATCCTTCTTTCCGGTACCTCCAGTGTCAAGGACTTGTCCAGGGGCCGAAGCAGTCTAGCACGTTCGCTGAGGAGGCGTACCATCTCTGGTCACTGCACTGCTCGAGCTCCTTACCGTCCGTCTCGGAGCAGCCCACGTCAAGTTAAGCAAATGGATCAAGCTCCTTCCTCCGTGCAACAGCTCCAAAATATGTAATCCCGGGGATCCCAATTGCACGGTGTGCTGTATTCTTGCCTTTGCCGCCATGAGGGTCTTAATACACATCGTTTGGTCAACAGCCTCTTGGATACATGGGATTATGGACGCTGTAGGCTTCCCTGATTGTTCTATGGCGATATTAGGGCAATTAGCAATCACTACCTATAATCAAGCAATTAGATAAGGCATATATAAGCCCTCTCCGCCTCTCATAAATCCTTGTTTCTATAGTCACATTAGCACGTATACTAATAGTTTCAATTACCTACTTTCCCTCCCTAGGTCATCTTACTCATTCTTTCTACATATATAGACTACTTACGAATATTTCGTCCTTTCTCTACATTTAGTCCTTTGTATATCTTTTGGCCAGCTCTTTTACTTAGGTGCATAGGTGTAAGCCTACAAAGGCAGATCATTGACGTACCTCGCAAAGGCAGCCTGCACCCCGGCAATGCAAGCTAATCCAGATGAAGCTCTCCCTACGCGACGAGGTGACGACGTGGAATATGTGTAGCTACTGGACAACCAAAATCCTGGGCCAGGGAATGCTACTCGACTGTATACCCGCGGTGCAACCAACTTCCTCGCTATGAAGATCAAAAGTTTCGTCTGTCTCGATTGTGGTCTGAGCTGGAGGGCTGAGGCTGTCTCCTATCACCAGTTGCGCCTGAGCTTCCCCGCGGTTTAGTTCAAGCGAATGTGCTGCGGTTGCGCCCACGTTTCGAACTCTTCGGCATGGCTAGACTGGGGGGCCGAATTGATCGTCACGGTCGTACTGTTTGGAGCGTGTGGATCGGGCGTTGCGCGGCGACATATAGAGGACGATAACATCTAAACCTGTACGAGGTCAGTCGAGGAAAGTACCTATGGGAGGTATACTTCAGGTAAGTCGTCACCTACATTACCTACCGCCTATGACGTGGAAGTTGAGTTCCAATTAGGACCTAGCGTACACACCAATGTTAGGTATAAAAAGCCTGCCGCCGCCCTCTTCGTGATACTTCTTTACACTCTCTCCACACCACCGCTGCTATCAACCTGATACAATGTAAGCACAGCGCGATTCTAATGCCATATCGAGCCGCACAGCTAACTTGAAACAAGAGCAAACATGGGCGGACCTAGCAAGAAGACGATCGCCGCGCAGCAGCAGCCCCTGGACCAGCGCCAGGTCTCTGCATCCGAGGACCACGAGTCAGTCTCCTCTGACTCCAATACCCTCGTGCCCCCTTCGCCGCCTCTTGAAGCAGGTGTGGCACTCGGGAGTGTAGAGACATGGAGCCCCGAGTGGGACTATCATGGCCAGGATGCCGACACCGCTTCCGGTGGCTTTGTCGGCTTTCTCACTTTGATCGGCCCCGTTGCGGCTCCACCGACGAAGCTGTTGCGCTTCGTTTTGGCAGACGGCTTGGAGAGCAGCGGTGTGCTCGAATTTCTTGACATTAATCTTGATAACCCTAGCGCTGGTCAGTCTCTGCCGTAACCCCTCGCTTGATAGACGTTCTGATATCGCGATAGCCACTCAGCAACCCCTTACGGACCTCCAGCACTCCGCGCGTGCTATCCTCTGTCACGCTATTGACAACCAGCGTCGCGGTCTGTCCGCCTCCAGCCGTCTCGAAGCAACTGACATCTACCTGAAGCCGGTGCTTGACGCGTACATCAAGCTTCTGTCTGCTTGCAAGGACGTGGAATGCATCGAGATGCCGTTGAAGTGGGCTTGCGTTTTCCGAGCGGAGGACGTGTTCCCAAAGGTGGGCATGAACGATGTTGAGAATTTGGATGTGTTTCCGGTGGAGATGACGGCGCGCTGGGGTCAGCTTCCTGAACCCGACGAGCGTAGTCTACAGCGAGAGTAGGGAGTGAGCAGCCGGGCTGGAAGAGCGGGGTTCCTACGTGGAAGCCAATGGCCGACGGTCGGTGCATGAAATTGTCCTGAGCGACTGGAAGGCGAAGTTTGTTTACGGCTGGCGCGTCAGCATCTGACTGGTAGAGGAATCGTGAGACCATCCACGATCAAGATCTCTATATAGATGCAATACACGAATACACTTGACAGTGTGCCTGTTCTATCTAGGTCTATCTTGATTCTCGTGCTGCGATTGTGCGAAAGCCCCAGCCGACATTGAGCGTCCGCGCCCACCACAACTGCCAGCAGGGCTTGACAACCAATCACAGCCTCCTTCACCTCAATCCCATGCCCCCGGAGAGACGGGGCACTGTCTCCGAATCAAGTCACGTTACTTTTAGCGCCTTGGCTCACTAGCGGGTTCCGAGATTCTATATCAAGCTGTTTTCTCCCTGCCTTGGATTCCTCTTCAGCAAGTTTCATAGTTTCACAATTGGATCTGGTCGGGGGCGCTGGAGCTCAAGCATCCCAGCGCCCACATGGAGCTCACTGCATTGCACACTGCAGATGGGTACTATGGGGAGATCGGTCTTCGGATCGGTTCTAGCTCCGGCATAATTTTTGGTTTTGCTCTCTCATCTTTTTCATTAAGCTCAATGGCGCTGCCATTGACTTGAGGAAGAAGCTCCTTGTGTTGCATTGTCACTCGGTAGACGTAGTACGTTTGATGTAAACAGTGAAATCTCATTCTGTGCTATATACTGTCTTCGCCCAGGCACAACATGCCCAACCACCCGCACCGTTACCATGTATCCTAGGGGCAACTCGGATCACACTATGCTGTCTGAGGGTCGCTGGCTGAGGAAGATTTGCTGATGCGCTGCGATCGTATCTTCGGCTGGTGGCTGGTTTGTGTGGTAGTTGAGGAGCTCGGCGAAGGCTGTGGACGGCGGATGCGGTGGGATGGCGATGGTGAGGGATTCGTGGGAGAAGTAGTCTTGGACATCAACGTCAGTCTACCGCTATGGCAACAGAGGTTGTGATCATACCTTCAAGGAGATCGAAAGAAGTCGCGGTGCCACGCGTATGCACTGTGTGAATGGGATTGGCATGGAGCGCCATTTGGAGGATGTGTGGAAGAGCGAAGAGGAAATGCCACACGTATGCGAGGTAGCAGACGATACGGTCAATGGAGCTCATGATCGTGACGCTTGCGAATGGTGTTCGTCCTAGTACTGCGGGTGCGCAGATAGGATGGGAGCACTTTGTTTACCTCTGCAAACGGCTCTGGGGACGCTTCACGCGACAGTGAGAGCGCGCTCGTGAAGCCACAACAACAACATCTTGCTCAAGTGCTAAGCAAGGCGCGAGCAGCTCGATGAGAAAGCGCAAGGTCGCATCAGCTGGAGACAATGCAACGCCGGCGACGTGTATCTTTTAAGACAGTAGCTACACTACCTCTGAATGACCCGGCGCACCAACACCAACACACGACAACGCATACAGCCGCGCGATGTAGAACATCTTGACTTATGTCTGTTGCGAGGGCATCTCTACTTTACTTTAGATTGACACGAACACACCCCACTTCAAGACACTGTCCCTCCAACCATTGCCTCACATAACAACAATCCGATCTTCCTCAAGTGCTCAGCGGCGCTGAAGCAGCTTAATGAAAAAAGGTGGTCGCGTCAGCCAGAGGCAGTGCAGTCTGTAGATTGAGGTCAGTAAAAGAAGCGAAGACTTGAGTGTGGAACTTACACTGGCGACACTGTGGTCTCAACTATGAGCAAGCCCAGTGAGAGGAAACCCGGAGTGAAAAATAGGAAAGAACTAACAAGTACCCGTAGGCACCTTGTCGGAGTTCAATCCGACAACGAACTGTGCTTCAGTTCATCCTAGCCAAAAGGCAAAGAGAGCTAAGGAGAGAAGGAGGGGACGCGGGGCGAGGCAGCCTTTTATGGGTCCGACGGCGCCAAGCGTCACGTGCTGGATCAACCTGGAGTAGCTGGATCAAAGCGACTTTGAATCAGAGGCGCCCTCAAGCGAGCTTAAGCGAGGTGAAGCGCTCGAAGCTTCCATGTGAACGATGCAATGGCGACTCTGTGAATGAGAGCGGTGTCCTTGAGCTAGCCTGTGATGCCAGCTTGGAACATCTTTACAAGAATGCGAGGCCTCTAGCATGTACAAAACATGCTCGTGAGACGGGCAAGTGGTCTCGGTCCACTTTATTGACCTTGAATCTCTTCTGTCCCATCAACACCGCTCGGTTCATTTCTGTCTCGTGCCTACATAACTGCCCAGAAATGGTGGGAATATGCGCGTTTGGGAGCACCTTACGCGGAGACCGTGACAGCGTGCTAGATTTTGTACCCATATAGCTTCTCAGCTTGAATAGGAACGGTAGTGTTGGTTGAGTTTCACTTGTACATAGGTTCCCTTTCACTGCGCCTTTCTATGAGCCACAAAGTGTTCGTTCTCACATGAAATGTATACAGGCTAACTCTGGGCTATCATTTAGAGCTTTCCCCAGCAATCATAGTGATCAATCTGGTGATGTCGCTTCATGGCGCTCCCGCGCTGTCAACCCATCACGTGACCATGCCGAGCGCCCTTTTCGAAAGACTGGCCGCAAGGTACTCTGAGGGGATGCTGAGGTAGTGTCGACTACAAGTATCGTCGGCGAACCTCTGGATAGCAACTATATGCGGCTCCGAATCAAATCTATCATAAGCCACTTGGTCATCAATCGCTGGCCGGAGTTATGAGACTGGTCGTTTTACTTACGGAGTCACTGTAAGAGGTCTCGCAATACCAAGCACAGTGCGTGAGGTCCGGAGAAAGCCATGTAGAGTTTCCCGAAGAATCGCCAGGAGAGACGCCATCTTGTGACCTCACGTTCATATTTGCGAAGGTCACCAGGCTCTCTTTGCATGATCCAATGATTGCTTGATTGCGCTGCGGAACAAGCAGAACATACTTACGTATATATATTCTTCCCTGCATGGCACTTCCTGGCCACCCGCAAGCTCCTTTTGCGGTTTATATAGTCCTACATACAAAAAGGCGAGCCAAGTGGTCCGGTGTAGCTGCGTGGCGCGAAAGCAAGGTATTTCTCTGTGGTGAAGGTCACCTTGCCTCACGCGTGTTCTGTTCTCGCGTCAAGAACAACAAATCTCCCGAGACGCTGCCGCGAACACGGCACGCCCCTCAAAATCTTCAACCCAATTCTTCTGTCGATAAAGCACCCCACGTCACCCACTTCCAGCGTACTAAAAGCCTCCGCTTGCGCTCACGCTCGCCACCAAACAACGCACACAGCGCTTGAGAATTTCAAGTCAACATCAGGCAACCGCAGGCACACAACCCTCCGTCCGTAAGTATTGTACCGAGCACCATCAGTATACAGTTGACCTTACGCTTACACCTGCTTCTCGATTCACAGCGCTGAATCTCACGCTCACACTCAGAAGATGTCAGCCATGAACTTCACGGATGATATCCCATCACAGTATCCGAACGGTGATGCGCCGAACTTCGTTGACTTCGTCAATGGAGTATACGCAAGCGCCACCACAGCCAAGGAAGTCAAGCACGTTGACTTCACCCCTTTCCCCAACGAGATCGCTCCCATCAGCTCTCTGCTCGTGCATTTGACATGGGACACCACCATGAATCCTGCGACCGTCCAGCCAGTCTACGACAGCGGCTTGAGCGAGGCTGCTCTGGAAGGGCTGAAAGACAACGGCTTCGACGAGTGGCTCGTCTACGCCTTGCAGAAGGCACATCAGGTTGGGGAAGAGATCAGCCTGGACAACATTCCAGAGAACGAACTCCTCCTGCTGCATGTCTACGCTATTACGCCTTGCAACAAAATCACCATGCTCACAGTGCCGAGCCAATGGTATGCACACACAGGCGAAACGTTCAAGGAGGAACTGAGAATGTGTCTTCCTGAGCTAGACGTAGGTCTTCGTGAGAGTAACGAGAATCGCACCTCGGTGCGCATCGGGGGTCCTCAATCCCAGACCGTTCCAACCTCAGCCGACCCCCTCCAGTCTGCCGACGAAGCCCTCCAGAAGAAGCCGCGTTGCTTGAAGTGCAAGGAAAAGAAGAAGAGTTGCAATCGCGAGCGGCCGTGTGAACGATGCGCAAAAGTCGGCCTCGGCTTCAATGACTGCATCCCGGAAGACGAGAGCAAGAGCCGCAACGGATTCTACGGCGGCAGGCATACGAAAGGTGCCAGCAAGAAGAGCCAGAACGTGGAACTGGAACAGGCTGTCGCTGACGGGAACGGGGCAGATGCCACTGGTAAGTGCTACGAAGGCTATTCTTCAATGTGTTTTGGGCGCACCTGATATTGCGATATCAATCTGTTTTCTCTGTTTCCATATTCCATCTCCTTCTAACTTATTATATCAAGGTCACGCGCCTGGAAACGAATCCGTTGCCGATACCGAGAACCTCGCAGACGACGCAGACGACGCGGCGGCAGACGACCACGACGGAAGCATGTCCTTCTTCGAGCAAGTCAACGAATACCTGGGTGATATGAACGCCATGGAGGGTTTCTTGGAGTTGTACGGAGAATACTTCTGGGGCTATAGGGATTTCGAAGACGTGCTCAACGCAGCGACAAGGTTCCTTGACAGGCAGAGTGAGCTGTTTGCTGAGTTTCAGGGCTATCTCCGAGGCGAGGAAGATATCCAGGAGCTCAACTGGGCTTACGAGAATTTCCTCATCGAGTACACCAAGGAGGAAGAGCATGTGGAGCATGAAGGCGATGGCTTGGATGACCTCTTCGAAGATGCAGCTGATGAAGGCAACCGGCTCAATCAGATTTTTTGAGATGCATCTTGAAGCTGCCGGTCGAGCGGATAATGATAAGGTTCCGTGCAAGACGATCGTCGGATTTTGACTGTGTCAAGAAGAGGCAAGCATCCCTTGACCCCTTCCATCGGACGTGTGAAGCAGTTGATGGTAGCGACAATCAGTGAATTAATTACGATATCTTTGCGGCTTCGCTTTCCTTTCTATAACTGAAGTAGTGGTCCATTGCGGCATTCGCGTGCCTGGACGAATCCTCTTTCAAATACCTTTTACATTCAATGAGCTGCCCTTCCCGGTTCTCTGATCCTGTGGCTGGTTACTGTGTGTTTCCCTCCTCTATTAAAAAGTATCTCCAGCCTCTAGGATCTTGGTCAATGAGTCAGGTATACTGAACCTTATTTTTGGCAGTCTCGCCAAAGAGCTCTTATTTGCTATGAGTTATGTAAAACATGCACTCTTGGGAAGGCCAACACGTGAGAATTTACGCTTGAGGGAAAACAGCTACAAAACTCAACCACACAACATTTACGTGCGGAGTAGGTCTTTCCGAATACGTTTTTCCGAACCGCACCCGTTCACCGGATTCTAGAGCAGGCTGTTGTTGTTCTCGCCGCTGTCTATACACTTCACAACACGATTCTTCCCGCCACCTATACGCGACCCACCGTCACCAGATCTCAGTCCATCATCTGACACTACCACGCGTAGCAGCCATGAAGTTCCCAAAGAGGAAGAAGCGCGGCCCGATATCTGCACATACTGCGGCAACCACCCCGATCGGACTATCACCAGCCCTCTCTACCGTTCGAAGCATCGTGGAACATATGACGCCCGTTAGTGACACCACAAAGCCCAAGCTGAGGCGCAAGCGCAAGATCGAGAACCTGCATCTAGAGAGCGTCATTGATGCGGAGCTTACCCGTGAGTCTACAAGACGTCGCTCGTGTCCAAGACTGACAGTTTGGTAGAAATCGATCGCGTAACCGGACATGTGGTCGCGATCCCGCTCGGGCGAGCGCGAGCTCTATCCGCTCCTGTGATCATCATCACCCCGCCGTCGCCGGAGAAGGATGACCCTCTTGACAAGGCTGGTTGCAAGCTTGCCAGGACCGACACGATGGACACGCCGCCTAGGTATACTTCCTCCACACCGGTAGAGGTAGAAATTTGCTGAATTTCAACAGGTCGCTTTCTCTCGGAGATCTGAGCTTGATCGCAACTGCAGCTGGTCGCGCTCTACTCAGCGTCATCCCATACTGGTGGACGCCTGCGGTATGGTCGATCGTCTTTTCCTCATCAACGAAGTAGGCTAACAACCCTTTCAGGTAGAAGCCCAGGAGCCATCTGAACAGAATGGCGGTCTCGTCGAGCAAGACCTCGCCGAAGAGTTTACCCTCATCTGATTCACTCGGTTGTCTGCAACTAGGCAGACTCTTGGTCGGTTGCAGCGCGGCCAGCCTGACTCGACTGCTGGAAGCCTGTACCATCGCTACCGAATGTATGAATCAGCCTTCTTGTGCTATGATTTGGCAATGTTGTTCTGCCACGGGTGTTTGCTGGTCACGATTTGTGCATTATTATTGTAGGAACGATGTGATGATCATTCATATCGTTTGTCACGATAGTGATGGCATGGAGATTTCATAGCACAACAGTCTATCAACAATGCTAGGAGCATATACAGTTCTGATCTGAGAAATTTGTGAAAATATTCATGATGGGGCAATTGCCTTCTGAACCTACCTCAGGCGACTCGTCAAAGCTTGTATTAGTAAATTCACTTTTGCCATGCTGCGCACGAGACAACGTCCGCCAACTTTCCACACACCGTTTTCGGATCACAAACGCTCTGTGCTGGCGCCCTCGTCTTATCCAATCCACCACAAGGCCAGAGCACGCGCAGCTCCAACCAACGACCCTCTACCGTAAACAGCACGTCTTCTACCCGGAGCGACACAACATCAGCGGAAAACCTTCGGGAAGCCGCTCAAAACAAGCCCACAGCTATGTCAACCGCTGCCCTCACACCCGACGAATTGAACGGAACCAGTCCCATATTCCAGGTCTCTCCTCAGGAGAACCGCGTACTTGTTGCACCAACGTATGAGAGGCTGGGCTTGAACAACTTCCGATTCCTCTTCTGTTGCTGGCAGATGTCAAGCGCTCCCCCAATCATTACAAAGCCAGTCGCGTCACCAACCGCATCCTCGACCGCCGCTCTGACTGCAGTCCCAACGCCGCCCGGGGAGCTCGACGGTACCAATCCTATATTCCACATCTCCCCGCAAGACTTCATAACTCTTGCGCCTCCAACCGTTCATCGATCCCACGCTGGCCTGCGGATCAATCATCTACAACATGACCAGGAACACCAAGCCCTGAGCTCTGCTCTCGTGGGTCATGCCTACGACGGGCTTGATTATACACGTTTGTTATCCAGCCTTGAACGACAGCACATGACTGACTCTGTAATAGAGACCTACTACTCTTCTGCCGGTACCAGGACAGTCACCGATCCTCTCAACACCGTGAGACAGACCCGCATCGCTCCCATCCCCGAAGCCGCCGAGCACCATCCTCCGCTCGCACCTATACGTCCTCCAACCTCGCCCTTCCTACGCTGGACTCAGCAGATTCCAGACCCCGTTCCCGTGCGCAACCTTCCCGTCATAACGGTCTCGCCGCCCCGAGGAGAACCACGCGCTGCCTTCCTCGAGACTGACGATATCCAGGGCAGAATGGCTACCGCGCCGTACTTGAGACCGCGCCGATGGTAGAGAAGACGAGGGAGCAAGCGGTAGTTGATGTTAGGAGCTTGGTGGATACTATACACAAGTTGAAGGCTTCTAGGGACTACATGAAGGAGCTAGCGTTTGAGCAGAATACGGGTCAGAGCAGGTTCGGTGGATACTGGTGCGAAGACGTAGAACTAGGGGCTAGACGGATGGCAGGAGAGAATAGCTGGGAGCAATACACACGGAATGATACAGAGGGACAAGCAGGACAAGGTTGTGGAAAGACATCAGGATGGAGCCAGTATGAACATGAGTTACACGAGGTCATCCCATTCAGAGGGCTCAGCCTAGACTATCTCTTCTACAAGCACTGACTATAGTAGTCATTGGCCTTTGTGCACGTGCTTCCCGCCTCACACTGCGTAGGACCCGTCCACCCATTCCCACCGCACTGTCCCCACTTCGGCACCGTGCCACTCGCCGCAGAACTCGTTGCTGGAGCTGCCGTAGTAGTCGTCTTCGTCGCGGTCGCGGTGGCGGTCGCAGTAGGGGTCGTACCCGTGCTATGCCTGCTAAGCATGGACACCCATACCACCTTATCAAGGCTTTACTTACCCAGTCCCCCAAGCATTAAGAATAGCGTTATACACCTCTGTCTTCTTAACCAAGTTCTCGTCCCATGGCAACGCAGCACCTTGGCCGGAGAATGTAGAAGGAATCCAGGAGTACTTGTCCGTGTAGTCCCAGATGGTGACACCTACGCATCGAGTCACAGCCTTGCAGCCCCCAATCACGGTGGCGTAGTCCTTCGCTTGCTGCGTGACGGCAGCGGCGGTAGCAGGTGTGGTAGTACGGATGTCGAGCTCGGTGATGGCGACGTCGACGCCCAAGGCGGTGAAGGCATTCATATTGGCTGTCCAGGCGGAGACAGATTCGGAGCCGGTGGATCCGACGATGAGATGGGCTTGCATGCCGACGCCATCGATCTTGGCGCCATAGGCTTTGACGAGCTTGACGATGTTCTGGGCGGCGGTGGATTTGGAACCGGCTGCTTCAATGTTGTAGTCGTTGTAGTAGAGCTTTGCACTGGGGTCGGCGGCAGCGGCTGCAGCGAAGGCAATAGGGATGTATGCTGGGCCGATGGTGGTGTAGAAGACGTTGGTGCGGTAGGTTCCGTCCTCGTTGAGCGCTTCGTTGACCACGTCCCAGTGGAGGCACTTGCCCTTGTAGTGTGTTACCTCGTTAGTGATGTGGTTCTGGAGGATGCTAATCAGGGTGGAGTTGTCGAAGCCACCATTGGTGACCCAGCTTGGCAATTGATTGTACCATACAAGGGTATGGCAACGGAGGAGTTGTCCGTTCTTTGCAGCAAGATCTGCAATAACGTCTCCTTTCGTATAGGAGAAGGTACCGCGAGATGGTTCAATGGTGTCCCATTTCATTGAGTTACCGGGTGTGATCTGTCCGAAATCTGCGGTGTTGCTGAGGCCGGCAAGGTAAGCTGTATCTGAAAGCTCGGGGTTGTCAGTTGCGCTGCCGAAGTACTGCTTGCCTGCCGCAACGGCACGTGTATTAAGACCATCTGCTGCTCGGGGTCTATCAGTCGTCAGCGCTTTCCTACGGTACCAGAAAGATGGTACATACTCTACCGGGGATCCGGTCACACCGAGAGCAGCGAGCAGGACTGTGAGTGCGGTAGGGATCATTATGCCAACGGACTCCAAATGATTCAAGCAACACAATGAAAATGAATTGTATGAGCCAAGCTCTTTATACCATTCAGCTATCCACTTCCTGCTGTACAGGGAGACGCCACCACAAGCCTTCATCCCATCCTCGTGATCCCTAGCTCTTGCCCAGCGCTGCCTTTCCTCACGCTCCACTCCGTCTAAAAGCATCGTAGTGGGCGGTCGACGACCCGGTTTTCACATCGGAGGATTGTGTTTGCGGCTAGCACGAATTCTCATTCCCGGAACGTGTTGGTGGTTAATCTGGGAAAGATTGTCAGTGCCGGTGGTCGTAAATTACTCCCCGGATCCAGGGCCGCGCAATATATTCGAAGCAGGCAATTTTCCGTCCGCTGGAGGACCAGAGGCACCATAGACCTCTTAGACGCTTTGTACGAGATCCGACGAAGCTGGAGTCCATCGCAGCAAGAAGCTCGATGTTTGGGAGAATGAGTGAGTTCCTAATGGAGGATGCGGTGGGCAGAATCGCAGTGGATGTGGTCTGCGCGAGTCAGGCACGATCGGTCGCGCCTCGGCACTTGGACCATTTTGCGGGGAAGCTCGAGATCCACGGCCCAGATCCATTTGATCACAATTCCCACCGGCGCGATCTCTCTTCCGCTATTGCAAAGAAGCGCCCTGCGCTGGGCTATTCACGCGTCTTACGCGGCCCTCGATACCTTTCCGCGGCTCTTCTCCTACCGGCGGTCCAGCCGCCAGGATCGCAGGGCAACCGCATCCACGGTTGGGAGCATGCATACCGCTAAATTGAGCAGTACGCGAACACCGGAATGTAGTCAGGCGCAGCAGCAGGTCGCTATTCCAGCCCAACATATACGAAAGCTCGCAGGTGCTTCTCGCTCGCCGTCCCCTCTCACCACGCTTGAGCGGGTACCTTCGAATTGATGCCGCAATACCGGTAACACTTCACGGGGCATCGGGCCGCTCTATGGACACAGCTGGTCTTTACACACGCACCAGGTACTTGCCTTTATCATAGGGCGTTCGAAGGAGAGTACACTTGGAAACTCAGGGGAACCGCTGCCGGGTTTTTGCTATGTCAAGGTTCATCAACCATGGCATTAGTGATGGGCAGAAATAGGTGGCCAGGAAATCAAATCTTTTATCAAGTCACGATTCGATCTACAAAAGCACAATGAGCCTTCAATGGCCGGTCTCTAATTTCCAGTTCAAGATGGTAACGGTGTTTCGGATCATACCATTCAGTACATTGTTAGAAGTTTCCAGAACATCGACAGAATGCCCAGCTCCAGAACAGACAAAGAACCCTACTTCCAATACTGTGCTGTTGTGGAATCCAATGTTGTTGGGTGTGCATTCTTCATTTGGCACACGCGGGACGCCACTAACACGTGGGAGATAGATTGCCGTTTCATTTACCCGACCGAGGCCACCTAGCCAGACTCGCTTCGGGAGACAACAAAACCTACCTTATACCATCCAGCTCATGTTCTACCTGGATGTCGCAATCCAATGCAAGATTCGTAATCGTTCTCATGACTATACATCCATTCACGCACCAACGGAAGCGTCTAACTAGTCTTCTCCGCATCTAGGTCTCCCATTCGTCCTCCCAATGTTTTCTTGACCAGCCTAGCGATTGGATATCTCCTACCTGAGTTTCGACATGGCCTCGATTATTGAAAATCGTAGCACATACGAAGAAGTACCTGATCTGGCCAAGAAGTTCATCAACGAAGCACCGGTCGAGACAGGCCAACGGCCAAAGTCTAAAGTGTCACGGGACACCCTAGTCCGGACCCACCAACGGCATCTCAAGCTTCTAAGCGAAGGTAGCGTGCCCATCCGCAGCTTAATCTTACCCAAGCCGTATCCTCCAGCACGCGGCTCGATACATACATCAAGGAAGACGGTAAGCATCAACGCCGCTTCGTACACTTGCTGCTCACATTACCCCAGGTCCATCTTGGCGATTTGCAAATAGACAGCAGAGACCGAGATGCAGTTCTCCTACTTCGGACTATTACGTCCCCCCTACGTCTGGTCGTCCACAATTACCGTTGCAGAAGATGAGACTGGGGATGTTGCCAGGCTGACTGTTCGCAACCTCGAAGATAATGTCGTTGACCCCATTGTTACTGAAGAATCTATCATCGCTATAAGACAGGCCTGTTGGACCAGGTTGGTGGATGGTGGGTATCACGTTTGTGTCGACCATCCTTCGGACCTCGTACTGCTCGAAGCAGATGACGACCTCGTTCCAGAATCGTGGAGGAATGAGATAGAATCAAATCCAAGCAAGGATGCAGCACAGTGCAAGAAAGACGGCGATATGATGTTTCTGAAGAAGCGCTTCCGTAAGGCTCTGGAGCTGTAAGTACGACACTTGCTCGTTTATGACTCGACCTAACTCACGTGAAGATACACTCAAGGGTTACAACTCAATTATACAGACCCGGACCCCGTTTCCGAAATAGACTTCTACCGCAAGCGCTGCGGTGTCAGCATAGTTCTCCTACGTCTCGATGATGCAGCCAAAGACCTATCAAAAGCAATAGCAACGCACGCACGCTCGACACCTGACCTCTCCTCTTCGGAACTTGCAGACGCTTCCGTTATCGAAGATTGGCTACATAACCGCAGCATCGAAGATCCACTACAGATCTCATCCAAGATTACCCGCCCCTTGAAAGAGCTGGCAGCCAGGATCAAATTTGATATCGGCATCAACCAACCCAGACCTGATTACAATCTGCCAGTGATCTCATCGTATGTAGGTCCATTGACGCTACATGTTGATGCTGGGAATTACATATGCGACGCCGAAGTAAGGAAAGCTGGTTCCCATGGCCGTGGATTGTTTGCGAAGCGTGACTTCAAGGAAGGAGATCTGATCTGTGCTGAGAAAGCCTTCGTACTCCCGGGGTACTTTTTGCAGGATCGCAGTAGTGACTGCTTACTCTACAGTCTGAGCGATGGAACAGCTGCACCAAGGCCAGGTGCATGGCTATTCAAAGAACTGGTGCAGAAGCTGAGGTGGAACCCTAGCTTACGGAAGGAATTCTTCGACCTGGAAGATGGAGGGTACTGGAAGGAGGTCGGATGGGATGTAACTGAGGATGAAGAAATCCCGGTCGACATGTAAGTCTCTTCGGCCACTATCTGTCACTTCACTGACAATGAAACAGCTTCCGTGTAGAATACATTCGCCGCTTCAACTGCTACTCCGCCCCTACCCGTTCGTCAGATCTTCTCAATCAGCCACCAGATTCGAACCCCGAGCTCCGTACTGGCTTCTGGACCCAAGCCTCATACATGAACCATTCGTGTTTGCCGAACACAATAAGAACTTTCATCGGCGATATCAGATTTCTTCGCGCTGTGAGGGACATTGCCGCAGGCGAAGAACTGACGAATCAATATGTTGCGCCGGACATCGATATCACCGAACGGCAGGAGAAGCTCAGGACAATGTGGGGATTCGAATGTGATTGTCAACTCTGTGGCTTAGACGGTAGCATCAGCGAGAACCTGCGAAAGGAACGAATGAAGCAATTTGAGGAGCTGAAGAGCATGGTCATGCAACTAGGCGAGAAAGGCCCGCCCACCATCACCTCGCTGAAGAAGATTGCCCGCGCACTTCGGGAGTTGGAAGCGCTGTACTCCCCTTCCATGTCCGACGAGCTAGGAGGGGAAGACCGTTACGCGACACTACCGCGCCTCGCGCTCGTCCATCCCACGCTCTTCTTGACAGAAGCATGGCGCAGTGTCAAGAACGTGGATCGCACTATCGAGTACGCACTGAAGCTACTGCGGAACTTTGGCATCATCGTCGCGATCGAAGGTAACGAGTTGAACGTGGAGCACAAAGCTGGCTTGGTCAATGTGGAAACTGTTCGTGCGCTGAACTATCTCGCTGAGGCGTACACTTCTCGGGGTGAGGAGCAATTGGCAAAGCAATGTCTTGAGAAGGCGAAGATTTGGTACATAGTTATCACGGGTGCAGAAGTTGGCATGGAGCAGTTCTTTGCAGGATCTTCTTGATGTAGGGTGTAAAGTCTAAAATCAGCTACGCTTTTTCAATCCTGTTGTCCTCCAATTCTATCCGAGACCGTCTATCCCACAATACAAGAGCAAGTGTAAGTCACCCTGTCAAAAGCAGTTGGGGAGTATCGAGAGCCAAAAGAGAGCCATGGTGACTCCTAGGTAGACGTTACAGGAGGTCACAAGCCAACCCAGGCCCGGAACATCCACCAGCACGCAGCTTACGCAGAGTGCAGCAAGTAGGCTCAAGAGATGGTAGAACTCTTCCATATTGTTGTTGTGTCTTGCTTCTGGAAGAGGGAGGAGGTGGGTCGGCTGCGGTACGGTGTCGTAATGCGTGTGGGTATGCGTGAGCGGCGGAGCGTGAATTGCACGTGTTCAGTGCGCGAGCGGAGAGTGTGATGTAGCTACCATAGTATCAGCTGGGTTCAATTGAATCAGCCTCAATGAGGACATACCGGTCGATATTCGAGCATACGCTGAAGAAGAAGTGTTTTTGCTAGCAGTCGAGAATATGGTCAGTCTGGTGGGCGTCCAAAAGGGGTAAAGCGTCACTGAGCGCCTTCCTGGCAACGGGCCCACAAAGATTGACGCAGTATTCCTCTCCTCGTTCACTCAGCTTCTTCCTTTGACTCTTCGGCTTTCTGAAACTTTTACCTCTACTTTGCGTATCTACTTCGCAGTCATCCACCTCAGCAGAACCTCAAGGGCCGGAGCTGCACCTGACAGTAAGCTACCCCCTTCCTTTCCCTCGACAGCAAGCAATCGACTCCTGCATGTTGGGGGTTTCTATCCCAGTCTTTACGCGGCCTCTTTACGTTGACCTGTCTGCCTCACGCTTGGCCTGACGTCCTCGTAGCAGCGCCATGGTCAGCAACTCATCACTGACCAGAGCCAGCAACAGCACTTGATCTGAGGAGATCGCAACCTCTCTTCGTTCGACTGTATTACTGTCTCCTCTATCGTCCCCGGAGCACCATACGGTAGACTTTTTGGTCAATCCAGCGCTCTTGACGACGAGTAGCTCCCTATCTCGAGAGCCGCTGAGCATGCACACTGGTACGTTTCCTTCACTTTCTCTGCCTTTCTCCCGCCGCTCCTGCCTAGCTCATATTTTTTGGGGCTAAACGCGCGTTGCGAGGGCCGTTTGTTTTGATTTTCGCCACTGCCTTCCGCCAGCTTCACTTGGCCAACGCGTCGTCGCCTCGCCCATAAAAACCTCTCTGCCCCGCCTTCCACCTTCCACTCTCCACCTTCCACTCTCCACCTTCCACTCTCCATCTTTTCTACAACTTCTCGCATCTCTCATGGTCAGCTCTCTCTACTCTTTGTCAAGCACGACCTCACTGACACCTCGCCGGCAGTGCTCCTCAGTGGTACGTCACTGACAGTGCCTCTCTTGACCTCGCTGTCGCCGTCGCCGTCGTCGTCGTCACCGCCAGCAGGTTGCGTCGCTTCGCCTTAACAGGCCGTCGCAAGACGTCTTTCGTAAGTATACCCTTCTCTCCTTACCCCACTTCCCTCCATGGGTACAGCCCGTGTCTCTTGAACCTCAGCTCTGCCCTAGTCGCTACTGCTGGGCGACAAGGCGCCTGGCGTGTCAATCTCCTGGGCGCTGCTCTTGTCTGAGCTTTGCCTTCGCGACTTCAGCAGCCTTGACTGACAAGCAACAGGCATCCGCATACTCAGTCACTGGTAAGTATCACTGTCTCACACATCCTCACCGGCATGATGAGATTTTGGTTTTGCCTAGTAGTTACTGCTGGAGAAAACGCGCAACCGCTCTGAGCCATACACATCCGCCTTTTATCGCGCCATTGCCTTCGGCGATTCGACTGACAATGACAGCCAGCTCCATATACTGCTGCTGGCATTCATATTTCATCAAGGCAAGTACTCTCCTTACATGTCGCACTGCACATGATGATACACAACTCACAAACTCTGAAGCTCTCCGTAGCTGATGATGTTCCAACTCTTCAACCCGAACTGAGGTTCTCATCTTCCCTGCTCACTGCCACTGTCTCTTTGAACAACCGCTAACCAGACCATAGATCTTCGCATTGCTCAGGTGGGTACATGATCTTCTCTCCCCTTACCTCTACACGCATGAATGAAAACACCATCCTAGACGGCCTCTGAATAGTTCATGCTAGACAACGATGGAGGACGGCATACTGAGAGCGTCACATATTCCCTACTCACCACCATCGAATCTTCGACCAGCCGCTGACCAGACTACAGATGCATTCAGGCCATAGATGGATTGTATCGCTTAGGTGAGTACACGATTTCTTCTTCGCGCACGCATGAATGAAAACACCATCCTAGACGGCCACTGAATAGTTCATGCTGGACAACGATGGGGCTGGTAGGTAGGACAGCTGCAATCTGATAGCGTTATATCTTCCCTGCTCACAGCCACCCGCTTTTCGAACAGCTGCTGACTAGAATATAGACACGTTCATACCATAGATCCCTGGCATTGCTTAGGTGAGTACATGATCTTCTCTCCCCTTACCTCTACACGCATGAATGAAAACACCATCCTAAACGGCCACTGACTAGTTCATGCTGGACAACGATGGAGCTGGTCCAGAAGGACGGCATACTGAGAGCATCACATCTCAAACGACTCACAATTTCGCTATGTTTTGGGACATTGTTGACTTGACCGCCTAGAACCATCCACGCTCGCCCCCCGACGATGCGCTGCCAACGTTTCCTCACCCAAGAGTCAGCCGCCATCATGGCGCCTTGTCTCACAATCTTGGTAAGTCCAGCAGCTACCTATGGCCTTGGCCAGCGAAAGCGTCTACACTTCAACCCCATAGTGTTGGCGTCATATGCTGGCCATATATCAACATGCAACCTGGGCTCCGACGAATTTCGGCGTAGGGGTGACGGTCCCTTTGACGTGCGCACTAGGCCCGAGCCTTAAGCTCGCGAAGAGGAACCAGGCTGCGACATACCCTCTGCCATACGTACCAACCGCTTCTACGCGTGCTGACTCGGACACAGTTTTCCAGACCCAGACCCGACTTTCTATCCTTCTTTACCCTTCATGGTAGGTCCAGCAGCTGCCTATGGCATCTGAGTACCCCTTTCCTTTCCCTCGCCGCTACCCCTGCCCATTGCCCTTCCCCTGCCCCTGCTCTCTGCCATACGTACGAACAACCGATTGGTTTGCTGACTGGACCGTAGTGCAAATTGAACCACTCTCTGGCCGCGGTACCACGAACGTTTCACGACCTCGCGCCTCGCGTTGCGAGCAGGATCGGATCTTGGTAAGTCCTCAGCGCTCTCTTTCCGACACAACTCCTTCTCTTCCAGGGTGCAAAAGGCAGCCGGCACATGAAGAACCCACTTGTGCTGGTAGCGCAGCTGCAACCCGAGATCAAACCAGCCCTCCGCGATACTGTTCAGCCATTGCACAAAGGCTATTGTCTGCTTCCTTTCCCCTATCCGTTCCCCCTGTCCAGTTCTCCTGCCCATATCTCTCAGCAGTCAATCCGGAGGGTGTAGGCTGAGTGTCAACGCGCCTTCATACCCTCTCCCATGGTTGAAGGACTGTTCCCACCAAAGCCTCGCACATTTTCAGGTATACGAAGGACTTCGCTGACGGACTCACAGGTCATTCGCCTCGCAATCACTCCGCTTCAAGCCCACCGAAACGCTGTTACATCTTCAATCTGGTAAGTCCACCTCGCTCTCTTGCGCTATCAAGACCATGCTCTTGTACAAGGCGGCGGTCTTACCTGCGCTCGCTGCCCTCTACAGCTTGTCGTGCAAGACCGTCGCCGAGATCAATTAACCGCATTGGCTCCAGACGGGTGAGCGCGCTGGCTTATGGCTTGTTGTGTGATCTCCTGACCATGACGGCTGCGGTGAAGCCAAACTTCTATCTCCTCAGAGACCTTGAGCGCGTTAGGTTTGTATGGTTCTGTCGCGCTTGAGGGTTGTTTGGCTTCGTACATTTTCTTATTGTCATCTTGACTTGTTCAATGCAGGAAGCTAACGGACTTCCAGATTATCGGTCTTGTTCTTTCACGACAGTTGCCAACAAAGCGGCCTCGCAGGATGACGACGAACCACATTCTCTACAAGAGATCTTGATGAGTAAGTCCTTCGCTCCTTCTTGCTCTCCCTTTTCCCGGGCTGGTGAGACGGTAACTTTTGCTTCCTCATAGCGTCAGTTATTCATTGGCCCAGATCGAACGACATGGGGGCGTTGGAGCGTCGTAGCTTAGGCTATGGCGTAACACTAATTCGCTTCCATGACATTCCACTTACATCAAATCCCATTGTGGTCTCACAGAAGCTAACAGACTTACAGGGCTGACTGCCGAAGCTGTCACCTTGCAGCTATGCATAGCTCCTCGTTATCCCTTCGCGAACTCCCGTACGCTTCGCTGCCCACCGAGACTCACCTTCGATCGGATACACCATCACGTTGCACGTCTGCAAGCCGAGAACACACAAACAAGTGGAGGAGAAAGGAATATGGACACACATCAGCTACAGCTGGTCTGTCATGGCAGGAAATTGTCAATCGGCATGGGTACACAGGCAGTAAAGTCTCACTGTACGGTGACTTCTTTGCTACCAGCGTGGTGGAGCAACGGACAATTGATTAGGATAGAAAACAAATGAAGAGGAGATTCATTATATCTGCGCATCAAATGCAGTTGCCAAGTGTCGCTGAGCCCTTTGAAAAGCTTCCAACCAAGCCGATATCAACCTGAACTGTTCATGCCCATTGACAAAGCTTAAACAGCACTGCCCATATCAAAGTTCCAGAAGTCCGGGAACGTCCAGCCCGACAGATCAACCTGCATGTCCAGATCGTCAAACGCGCCATCGCCCACGCCCAAGTCTTTGCCTTCATTGAGAGCAGAAGCCATAGCACCTGTTCCGGGGATTATTGTCGGCAGGTCTCCAACGAGGCCTCCCCCGCCCAGACTACTTCCATATAATTGCGCTCCCGTAGCTGGCCCGGTCGACGGTCCATGGCTGGACGCCGGTGTAATTGGCGACGGTACTGTGACGTTCTGGCGAAGAGAGTTCACGAGCGAATCCGCAGGTTCTTTTTGCAAAGCGAGGACGCGGAAGCAAAGCGAAGTCACTCGCTCGAGCGACTTGCGACCACGGGAGCGGAGGTCATCGGCCGTGGCATTGGTGATGGACGCGATCGACGTCCCGCGGTCTTGATTGAGGCCCGGCATGATGCCCTGTGCAGAGCAGAGCAGAAAGTACTCCATGTAGCCGGTGCCGAGACGCATAACCTTGTTTTCAAAGAGCTGGCGAACCTTCTCGAGGAGGTTCACGGCAGTGCTGCAGAGTGTTGCTGAAAGCAGGCTATCTGTGGGCAGCTGAGGGATCTTCAGCTCTGGCGCGCCTTCCAGACGCTGCTGTTTGGATGCAGCGCCGACGTCGACAGGATGTATGAAATCTTTGTGGTTAGGCGGTTCGCGGCATTCTGCTGGTGATGCGTGGAAGCAGTTATGGTATGTCGTTTGAGCAAGGGCTATGCCAGCCCGCAGAGCGTCATTACGAAGATGGTTCAGTGCCAGAATGTTCTTACCGAGCAATTGCTCGTGGAGCGACATTATCGCACTCGTCGCTTCTATGCAAGCGGTGAAAGAGAAACTAAAGCGCTTGTTCGCAGTTGCAAATTCAGCGTACGGTCGGTGCAGTATGAGGAGAAATTGCAGCAGCTGTAATTTGAGCAATACAGTGGGGATCTCGGCTCTTGGATCGGTCCAAATTGGTAATGTCGTCAACATTGCGTTCAATTGTCCATCATAGTGAATGACATCCGAGTATTGCAGTTCGGTTGTTGGGTTATTCAGCAGCTGTAGAAGGTGGAGACGGAGAGGCATCGATCGAAGTGACACAATGAGATACGACGTCGAGGTGAAGTGTTCAATCGGACGCCCTGCAGGAATCTGTGTGGTGTCGGCAGCGAATGTTTCATCGGGAAGGTTAGACGGAGGCTGAACATCAAAGTAGAGACCGCAGGCCGACGATGGCAAGCCGCAGTCAATCGACCCTTGTAGCTCCATTTCCACGATAGTCAGCCAGACCCTTCTCCGCATCTCTTTCTCGAACTCGGTTATACGGCCTCTCGATAGGAGTGACGGGTTTCGATGCAAGCCTGCGGCGATAGCAAGCCGGATGATGTCGCCGGAAGCTGTCCAGTCCTGCTTCAGCTTCAAGCTATTGTATCTCTTTGCGAGAAGAGAAAGACATTGAAGCTGGAAAAAGGTAAGAGTGGTCTGTTTCCGAGACTGACGCTGCAACCACATGTCGCATGTTTCTATGTAATCCAGAGCGGTGTCGCGATCGACTGAGCTGTCGCCAACAAAGATATTGCCATCGTTTGGTTGAAGACATTTGGTAATTGCAAGGATGTACAACAGGATAGCGGCAAAGGGCGTCAGAGACTCTTCGTTGGATCGACGTTCCCAAAAGGCTTGGTATTCCCTCCAAAAACTGGGCTCATGCAAGACACGGTAAGACGTCTCGCATGTCTGAAAGTACAAAGCCACCTGAGGATCGAGTGTGGTTTTGTCGGGTAACTGGAGGAAGATCTCCTCATCATAGCCACGCCTCCGTGCATTTTTCTCTTTCATCATTGCCTTCCTACGGACACGAAAGGCTTTGAAGTCATCGCGAACGTGACCCATATTGCCTGAAGAGATGACGGACTCTCGTGTAAAAGCTTGGAGCTCAGAGAACTACTACATCAGTCAAAGCCATGTGAGTGTCGATAGAAGAGCGTGCGAACCTGTGTCAGCGCGCTCAGCGGACATGTTGAGCCGTAAAATTGAGTCTTGAACGCCTTGCCTCGAAACATCATTTCCTCGTGTACGTGAGGCTCGTCCGCCCTAAAGTCGTGGAAATGTGATGGAGAAGATTCGTAAATGTGGACACCAGCTCCACTCTGAACAGCGAGCTTGTTCTCCAATTGCTCCAGTCGCCTCTCCTGCACTAAGTTGGCCGGATTAGTTTCAGACTTAGCTATGGTTGTCTGCCCAACTCGCTCACCTCGTATTTTCCAGCTTAAGTGGTCAGAAGAGCCTGCCCCACTTGGAGCATTGTCGTGTTGTACAAAGCTCGGCGGGTCCACGTGACCATCTCCATTGACAGGTATGTCCTCGAGCAAGCGAGGGTCGTAGGTACATTGATCCGCCCTTCCCGTCCTTTGGCAACGACCACAAACAGGATCTAGACCACAAAGCGTCAGTCAAGTAGGGCACCTCGGATGTATATTTCACGATAGTAATTTCCACTTGGAGAATATACCGCGGGTTACCTACACACGCGATCACATTTCATCTTCCGGTTCCTGCACGCGTAGCATGATAACACTTTCCGCTTCTTGCTGGCACGCTTCTCAGCTGATGCATCTGGCGAGTTATCGCGCGAATCATCAGCACTCCTAGTCGACATGGTATCGTGAAATGGTCGGCATCCGCAAGTGTGAACAATCGGATAAGACGGAGAAGGGGGGCTGGAGATAAACGTGGAGATGGGGATGTTTCTAGTTCGGCTCGGACTTTCGGCGGAATCGGACATTTGGTCCGAGCGCATGCAAGGCGCGCTGGATCCAATCCTCTTCGCGCGTAAGGGATTCTGGACGTGCTATTCGTTCAAATCATACCGCTTATTGTCATCCACGTCTGCTTATATCGATACCCATGCTGTGGTTCTGGTTCGCGGAGCGCGTCGTGGCCAATGCAATTGGCATTTTCTTCGCTGAGATCGCGCTCCAGGAACCAGACCACCCAGATGTCTGCCCTCTGTTCACTTAGGGTGCTTAACCATCGATCGCATCGTACAAGTGAGTGTAATTCAGATTACATCCTTGCACGCTGAACGTGTTGGCATATTCTCTGATCATAGACCTCGGGAGTGAAGTCATCACGTGAGCTAGCTTAGTCACTGGCTCTCCTCGCCCATTGGTCCTGCTGGCTTCTTGAGATATTCTTGCTTTCCACTGCCACAAAGCCCAGCCATCATAAGATCTCCAGCTCGACCATCGACACGTGCATCTCGTCTTCAGTTACTCGCAATCGAGGGATGATGTAGTTGCTGCTCGTCGGCCCGCTCGCCATACTGCACACGCGAAGCTTCATTTACCCGGGTTGGCAGCACGTCGCGTCTCATCGTGACGATCTCTGGAAGCCTCTAAGTGCGTCTTCAAGATGCCCCAAGGTTGATGGATCCAGCACTATTTCACTGCGACCTACATCATATTCAATGCTCTTCCATAATACCTGGGCAGGCGGCCTTCCTTTACAACAACAGTTCCAGAGTGACTTGTGGCACAGACGTTTGAGGCGACGCAGCGAAAAGTGTTGTTGAGTGCATTACCCGGAAGGCGCTATCTTGCATATAGTAGCAGTCCTTCCTATTGGCGAAAAATGCATGATCAACGTAACGCGGCTGACCTGTGTTTCATTCCAGATCTCCCAGAGCTCTTCAGTGCTTCGCCAGCCACTCGTCCAACCCAGTACCTAGGTTCCAGGTGTTGACCCAATCTACGTGATGAGGCTCCAAGCACTTGACTGCTGAGCCTCAGCAAAATCATGCTTGGACAACTTAGTGGCGCAAAGATGTACCTTTAGCCGTTCTCCACTTGCCCGCGGTCGCTGAAGAGGGCCTTGTGGGCACTTGGTACTTAACGCGCCATCACCCAGCTCTTGGTCGCTCCAGGAGCCACGTTCAGCCTCACGTAGCCTCAAGTCGCCTGACAACGAGCGAAAATCCGGCCAAGCAAAGAGCTATTAAAAAACCGACTGGGTTGCGACCCCGCATCGGTCTTCTGAGCAGGTTTCTCGAATACTCCCCAGATTATACGGTCGACTCGGATCTTGTGCTACGATGGATGCCTCCGACAGGCCAGTCAATTCTCGCCCATCCCGCCTTCAGCTCCCTACAAAGCGGAGCGCCGCTTGTGTTACTCGCCGTTAGTGGGCACCATCCCATGATCGTACGTGGGACGGCGATTCTCTCGGTAGCCTGACAGAAGCTTCCGGATTATTTGATGATCGTTATTAATGATCATCTGGGGACCAATACTGGTCGCCGCTCTACAGGCTGTTGCCGATGTTGAGACTGATGTGCAAGCACATGCATTTGTTAATCGAATCGATTGGACAACAACCAAGGAGATGCTCAGCTGGGGCTGCAATCGAGCATCCTACGAACAAGGGGCGTCGACGGCAGTATGGTGTGGAGAATCCCTGCGCAACCCCGCAAATGTGTGAGTGCCGAAGTACTAGCTCTTAAGCCTAAATCAACCCCAGCTTTGTCTTCATCAAACTCAGAGTGGTCACAGAAGTAGAGCCTCTCGTAGAATTTACGCATACCCAGGGTCCGGATTACCCTGTAGTAAAACGAATCGAAACACCAGCGGCCTGCTCCACAAGCTACCGGATGGCCAGACCTCTCTTATGGAAACCATCTCAGCATTACTCTACTGTATTTCGCCTGTTATACCTGCTGAGGATGTCTCTGTGCAAAACAGGGATTTCCATTCGCAGAACGCAAAAGAGGCGATGGAACACTCTGATGGCCTTGGCGCGATTATTCATCAGTTGCAATGGGCTTAGGTCTTTTGCGCATTGAGAGCGAGGTGTACACGGTTGACCAAAGAGCTACTATTGATTGAGCATCGCTATAGCTCAGTCCACTCCAGCCGTGTCAGAAGCCAACACAACCTCTCCAATCCCATAGGCGTGGCTTTGTGTTTCTCTGCTTACCCGGTTTTGGAGCCGATGCTTGCTCGCCCCTCGAAGCGGCCTCTCTGGAGCCTATCATAGCCTCCAGTACGCTGCAAGTAGTGCGCCTGAGGCTCCCTCCTTCACTTCAAGTTGATGACTTTCAATTTGCGCAGACGACCTGTGTTTATCACCATTCACACTCCGGAACGAACACGAAAACGTTCAAGCTCCATTGCTAGGCCCTGCTTTATCCACGATGTCACAGACGTTCCCTCCATCCCTGGCAATTCTTTTGCCTTCCGTTTCCATCTGGGAACAATTGTCTCGTTCCGATTAGCGACGTTGTCCAGATTAGAAACATTTTGGCAGAATCTACACTCACATTTCAGGTCTTGGTACATTGTTCTTTGATTCGATATGACCAATTGTTGTATGAATCTACTTCCCGTCGTTCCGCCATGGTGTTAGATTGTTTGTGCCCTTTCGGCGCAAATGCACGGCGATCGCCGCTGGGCCGCGTATAAAACGAAGAGGCTTTCCGAGTGTTCGAGGATACGCCACAGGCTTCATCGATTGCGCAAGACTCATCATGTATCGACTTCTTACTGCCGCGTCAACTCTTCTCGCTGTGGCTCAGGGCCAACTGGTGGGAACCCAGCAAACGGAGACTCACCCTGGAATGACATGGCAGCAATGCACGGCGAAGGGTAGCTGTACTACAAAGAATGGCAAGGTTGTCATTGACGCTAGTGAGTCGGCATGCGCGAGGTACAAATCAAAGCACATGCTGATCAATACATACAGACTGGCGTTGGCTTCACGCAAAGACCGGGTAGGACGGCCATACATGCACCTCGCTGCGTTCGAGACTGACCTTTCACTAGCTACGACAACTGCTACACTGGAAACGAATGGAATACGACGCTTTGCAAAGGTAAGTTGAACAGCAGAGCGAGGTAATGCAAACATGTGCTAAATATACCACTAGACAACAAGGCTTGTGCGTCGAATTGTGCTCTTGATGGCGCCGACTACAAGGCTACCTACGGCATCACTGCGAGCGGCAACTCGCTGCAATTGAAGTTCGTAACCAAGGGGTCCTACTCCACCAACATCGGCTCTCGTACCTATATGATGAAGGACGACACTACTTATGAGATGTTCAAGCTCTCTCCTGACCAGGAGTTCACATTCGACGTAGATCTCTCGAACCTCCCCTGCGGTCTCAACGGTGCCCTATACTTCGTGTCCATGGACTCTGACGGCGGTCTGAAGAAATACTCCACCAACAAGGCTGGTGCTAAGTATGGTACCGGGTACTGCGATGCGCAATGCCCGCGTGATCTCAAGTTCATCAATGGCGAGGTGTGTTCGTCCGGTGCCGGTGAAGCAAAGTTACGACTGACTCCTTGATAGGGCAATGTTGAGGGCTGGACCCCATCTACTAACGACGCCAATGCTGGTGTTGGTGGCCACGGCAGCTGCTGCGCGGAGATGGATATCTGGGAGGCCAATAGTGTTTCCACTGCCGTGACACCCCACTCCTGCAGCACGATCGAGCAGAGCCGATGCGATGGCGACACATGTGGTGGAACATACTCTTCCGATCGTTATGCAGGTGTATGCGACCCCGATGGTTGCGATTTCAACTCATACCGCATGGGCGTGAAGGATTTCTACGGAAAGGGCAAGACAGTGGACACCTCTAAGAAATTCACCGTGGTGACCCAGTTCGTCGGTTCGGGTGCGAGCATGGAGATCAAGCGGTTTTATGTGCAAGGTGGCACGGTAATCTCATGCCTTTTCCTCACAATAGTCAATGACTGACAGTATCCGCTAGGTGATTCCCAACTCGCAGTCCACGATTGCCGGTGTAGAAGGCAACTCTATCACGACGAAGTTCTGCGACCAGCAGAAGCAGGTCTTCGGCGACACATACACGTTTAAGGACAAGGGTGGAATGGCCAGTATGGCTTCAGCACTCTCGAAGGGCATGGTGCTAGTCATGTCGCTGTGGGACGACCACTACTCCAATATGCTGTGGCTCGACTCCACATACCCCACGGATAAGGACGCGGCGACGCCCGGCATTGGCCGTGGTGAGTGCGAAACCGGCTCTGGAGTAAGTACTGCCCTTGAGCTTGCGAGTTCGATTGCGTATTGACATTGTTTAGGTACCTGCCGATGTTGAGTCGAAGAACGCCGATGCGTCTGTCATCTACAGCAACATCAAGGTTGGCCCGATCAACTCGACATTTGGTTAGATGAAGACTGCTGTTCTTCAAAAGCTACCAAGCGAATCAAATGCGAAAGTAGGTCGCTACACGAGTGTCCTCGTCTCAAATTTTCTCAGCTCCTGTACATACTCGTTCAGACAGTTGCGCGCAGAATACACATATTGAGACTGTTTTATCAGAACGCATTATTACTTACATTTTCTTGTGTCCCGGCAAATGTTCCCCATTACAGCTCTCCCGGGTTGCTATTTTCGGTGTTGGTGCGGAGTGCGAGGATGTTGCCCGCAGCGAAACGCGCCTGAAACAAGGCCGTGGTTTCAACGCCGCCATCTATTTTTGAGCAGCAACCGCCCTCGTTACTCTTGCAACTCCAATTATCATGGATGATGTGAGATATGAGCACCATTTGAAGCATCGTGGGAGGGCGAATAGGCGCGTTGCGGAGTTGTTCTGGGTCGCGATCTGCGCGGCGGTTTTCGCGATATGGTTGCAGCGCACGGTCAAATGGGGGCGAAGACGGTATAGTAACCAAGCATTCGGAAAGAAAAGATGCTGACAACGTAATAGATACTATGCAAGTAATGCGCCTACGAAGCACAAACTTTCATTTGCCTGGCTCGGAAGAAGAGCTGCGCTTGTCAGAGGTATCTCTTTGATTCCACTGCCACTGGGTTATCTCTCTCTAGGGCGCATCTTTGCTTTGACAGTAAGTCATTTGGAAGCGCATTCGATGTTGCTATATGGCAAGCCCTGCGCGTCTTGCGCATTTCGATGTAATTATGCGATCAAGACATACTGACTTGTGCCCTCCTTGGTAGGCATATACGTCCTTAATTATCTCAATGCTCCTGAGCGTCGATGCGCCAACATTTACTTTCCACTTCACAGACGACGTTGCCTTCCGTGCAGCATGGACAACAGTATCTCAGATCCCACTCGTCTATCTTCTCTCTGCCAAACGTGGACCCCTGAACTATTTGACCTCCCTGAGTTACGAGCGCATCAACTGGCTGCACAAATGCGTAGGGCGCATGATCTTTGTCTCTGCAACGACTCATATGGCCATCATGTTATCCTCGATTCCTGTTTCCGAGCTAATACGCTCTCATGAGGATGGAATACAAGTTGTCAGATACGGCGTTGGGGCGTACGTCTTGCTGCTCTGGATTGCTGTTTCGAGTATTGTCGGCGTGAGAAAGAGATGGTATCGCTTCTTCTACGTTAATCACTGGGTTTCGACTGTCGTATTCCTAGGACTTGCCTTCAATCACGTCCCGAGTTACGCACGGCTGCCTATATACGCGTCCATTGCGCTTGTTGTAACAGATAAAACGCTGGTTGGCTTCGGCTATCTGTTGAACAATATGACAATTCGTCCGATCAGGACGGGATTCAAAAAATTCAGGAGGGGTTCGAGTAAGAGTAGGGAGTTGCAGGTTCTCGCTATGGGTCATCCGGTAAAGATGGTGGTGCCCATCGCTTCGGTAGGGATCGCCGCGAGTGCAGAGTCAACAACTGTGATCCGAATCAGCGATCTTCCATTCAAGTGGAAGCCCGGCCAGCATGTAAGGATGTGGCTTCCACGCTTGGGGTCGCTCGAAGTCCACCCTTTCACACCGGCGACGTGCTCCAACTTCTTGGACCAGCGCGCACCTGAAAGCCAAGATGCCGAAGAGCATGGTCTACTACCTACCGAGTCAACAGAACAGGTCAACGATATGATCCTGATGATCAAGGCGCACGATGGATTGACGAAAAGACTAGCCGACTACCGCGACGAGTGGCGATCTCTTCCCTGCCCGAACGCAAGTCAGCCGAGCTCTTCGCTTGTGGCCTTTCTCGATGGGCCGTATGGAAACACACCAGCTTGGGAAGAATACGAGAGCATTGTCATGCTTTCCACGTCCACCGGCATATCCTTCATGCTTTCAATACTCAACTACCTGGAGAACCTCTCGTTTGCGAACGACAGCCGGTTACAAACACGACATATACGCTTCGTTTGGGCGAACCGGCATATTGAGCCGGTCTTCGAGTCAACAGTCACCGAACTCTTGTGTAAGAACAGCTCCGCACTCCGCGACTCAGGCGTACTCGTCGAAGCGGACTTTTGCATCACCTGCTCGGACTCAAAGGAGCAACCGTCAAGTCCAGACATGAGCAGTATAGATCCATTTGCGCATCTACGTCACTCGAGAGGAAGGTCTCTCATCGGAAAGCCGCCTCTGCGGATAAGAAATCCAAACGATCCGAATGATTGGGAGGATTCGGACGACGAATCCACACATACATTCCAAAACAGTCCGTCTACAATTGACGATGAAGCAAGTCGTTCAAGCGAGGATACGTATGTCGAGGGACGGTCAGATGAGCAGCGGCCCTGTCTCGCTGACCTAGAGCTGGCCATCGATGAGGCTGAACCTTCTTACTGGAGCAGAATCAAAATACCGAGATGGACTAGAAAATCAGTGAAATTGGCAGAGACGTGTCAATGTGCGATGCTACGACACCAGGAACGGAAGTGCAAATGGAGGCAATCACCGCCGTTCATATTGAGACAGTACGGGACGAGACCGAACATTGAAGCTGTACTGTCTTCTGCTGTGCCAAGGACAAGCGTGGCGAAAACGATGGTCACAGTCTGTGGCAATAAAGTTGGCAATGACGCGAGGAAGGCGGTGTCGAGGATCAACATGGACTTTGCAAGGGAGAGGAGAGAATCTGGAGTGCATTTTTGGGCTGAGAGTATGTCATAGCTGTCTGGATACGCAACATTTCCTTGAGATACCCAATTCACATACCTTTTCTACTACGTTGATATCTTTAACTGTATATGAGATAACCCACATCTGGCCAAAGTTATGACTACTCTCACCTACACATAGTCTTGCAGGTAAACTCAACATGCGTGCTGTAATTTCAATGTGCCGACAAGATAATGAAACTTATTCAGTCTATCTCGGTTTGCCTCAGAGCACCTTCTACGCTTATGCCAGGCCATGAACTCTTGGGCTTAGCCCAGCAGGCTCTCATCAGACCCAGTAGATGTACGTGTAAGCAGGCCAAGGTGTTTATACCATTGACTATGAACAGTTCCAATGACTGGTATATGTTGGGGTGTGTCTACACAACATGTACGCCTCGCGCCTCAGTGTAATGAACTCGGCCCCACTGAGGTTTGAGTTTTCGAATGAGGCTGCATCGCCCTTATCAGCGCAGGAACCCGCGGTGAAGCACTCGTGGGCAATGAGCGGTTCCCGCAGCGCCCAATCTGGATTAGCGTGCTGTTGTTGTTATTTTGTCGCGCAATCACTGCCTCGACACCTTCTCTCCACCCACTCACTCTTGCTTTCAGCAGAGTCTTCAGCCGCGCTACAATGTGACGCCTCGTTTCTCTTAGACTCTCCTCTCTTTGGCCTCTCACTTGCCTCTACGTCTACCTCATCCGCTGCCTTTGTACCGACCGACATTTCACTGTCGCAGTGTTGTACGGCAGATCAACCACTTTTCGACCTGATTCTCTTGACTCTCAATCGCGGCTCCACTACTCAATGTGGCGGGCACAGCGCGTTGTTCGTCCTTGTGTACAGGTTCATGTAAGTCCTCCCTTACGAGCGTCGTGCGATTGCGACCGGCCAACGAGTGCGGGGCGTGGTTCCTCTGTACCGCCTTCCACTCTCCAGGCCCAGATCAAATTCCCAGCGGCATCCAGGAAAGACAGAGAAGCAGGCCCCTCTCCGGGTGATTCCGCCGAGGGTAGAGTAGGTATTGGGACTTGAATTTCCCCACCGCTTCGGCGGCGCCAGGGCAGCGGCGACTCCATGGGTTTGACCTTCTTCGGACAGGTGCCCTCCGCTCGGCCTGCATGCTTTTGTCTGTGGATGGTAACCGTATCGACGCCCGAGATAGTACCGAAGTGGCTGGCTAGCTGCCCAAGCAAATCCATCTTGCTGCCTACGGTCTTCTGAGCTCGTACATATCTCGTCTGACGACATTGGCTACCAAATTCAATCATAGTATGTACTGACACCCGACAGATTGGTTTGTTAGGCATGTAACTACCTGGTTCTTACAAAAGCCACCCTTTTTGTCACCATCGATCCACACAACTGGCCGACAGGAGCTGGATCAGGTCTCTCATACCTGTTTTCCCATCTCCTTTCGAAGGCCTAGAATAGACTACAACCGATCTGCAGAGCAAAGAGTAGCAAGCACACCGGGGGTAATTCTCCGGTAAGATACATCATGAGTCAAGCGAAAGCTCGTGTACAAGTATCGCGTATAAGGTAGAGTAGCGTGGTCTGGGTAGTGTCTGCGGACTTACATCCAATATTTTTGCGGGTGTAGGCTTGGCTCACATGCCTTGGCTTGCAAGCTTGATCTCTGTAGGACGGACGATGCAAAGGAAATGCCACATGGCTCCCTACCCTCGGAGATATACCAGTGTGGTTGCCTGCGCTCGAACATTCTTTCAATTATTTCCTTTTAGCTCAAGCATTGCTGAAAACGAGCTTCGCTAACACTTCATAGCCTTGAAAGATCATTCGTCGAGACGATCGAATGCATGATTAGACATGCCACCTCTCAACTCAAAAGCCGACTATTACGACCTCTACTCTCCAAGCTCCGACAGCCCGTGTACCACATCCGAACAGAGCCTGCAGGCCCACGATGATACTTGAACTTTCGGTGCGTATTTCCTTCATCCCCAACGACGCCGGCCATGATGACCTGGAGATCAAGTTCTTCATACTTCCTCTCCGTCACATGGCCAAGAATAGACCCGACATTTCGACCCCTCTCGAGGCAGAACCCAAGCCCCAAGGGTGATTCCTGGGACAAGCTGGGGTTATAGGTGTAGACGGCCCCTAGGATACGTCAGGGTAGTGGCGTATCCCCGCCCAGCGTTGGAGCCAGCGCTTGAGTCTGTCCAGAGGGCCCGGACGGCTGCTCTAATACTGAGTACTGGGATATCGACGACGCCAGATTGTCCCATCTAAGACTGTGCCCCTACCCGGGCCGCGTACTTCTACGTCTTGGGTGGTGTTCTGAGCTCGAACATTTTTTCCCTTTGCTTTTTGCGTTTCGTTTCTGTCGTTCTCCGTGACGATGGTTTCGATGGAATCCGAACGTGGCTTGCTGACACTTGATAGGGTCGATGCTTATATCAATCGCATACGACGCTTACCATCCCGCACGTCGTTCCCTCAAATCCGATAGGATTAGAACCTCGACGACTGAGACGCATTCCCGCCACGCACCCTGTTCATGCACGTACGGCTGCCATATTGCGACGGAGAACGCGATCACACAAATGTTGGCAGTATCTTGAAGGACAAATACACGTTGGGGACGGGTGATGATATGGTTGGGCTGGGATTTTGGGGAAGTTGTATGGGAGATTCAACCTGTACCAGTCGTCATTCGAGACTCGGTTCGTTGCTCGAATGACGGGTAAACTCTTGACCTTCTCTACCGTAGCTCATCAAAGAAGGTTTTGTTATTCCATGTTATCCCAATTTGAGCAACACAGCCTCCAAGCTTTCGTGCCGTGCTGTATTTGGACCACATCAGCTGTTGTTAACATGTTCCCCCGGCATATAATTTACCGGCGGCCCCATCTATCCCGCGCGTTCCTTCGGCCCCGCAGTCGTAAATCGCTAGTTCCACGGCTACCACTGCATCACTGGATCTACTGGATAAGCCCAATGCTCGGCGCCATCGTCCCCATCGGCCTCTACGAGTTCCTTAGACTCCTCGAATACGAGTCTGCGAACCCAGATCGAGATGCTGCCCAAGCGAGGATCAAGGACGAGTGGAAGGCAAATACAAAGAAGACGAGAGCGACACTATGGTTAGAGGAGAGCTGTAGTCGCGAGAGCAATGAAGGGGCGCTCAACGTGCTTGAGGAGACCCTTGATAGAGAAGGCAATGGGATGACTGGTGGGCTTGATGCTACAGCCTCTGGAGGTGCACTTCGACCCAGTCTATGTCAGAGACATATCACAAGACGGAGGATAGCCAGTCCGGCTATGGCGAGCGCGGAGGCATTCCAAGCATCGCACGGTGGAGGCATGGATCGGCAGTGCCTTAGGACAATCAGCGTAACCGTGTAGCATATCCTCGGTAGTTGAACCTTCCTTTGAAAGCCAAGCCATGCATTTGTAGCTTCACTGTCTGCTCATAGAGCTCAGCATGATGTCTGTATCTATCGATAGTCCAACCATCCACTTCATCCTCGTCAGCCTCATTCTCCACACCACATCCCTCTCCGACAACCAACCACCTTCGCACCCCATTCAGCTCTTCCACACCGCCTCAGCACATCACGCGACGCACCCTTCAATGCCCCCCGCATACGTCAACCACACGTCTCCCTCCCCTTCATTCCCCACCCCCATCTCAAGCACACCTGAAACCTAGCGCGCCCCCAAGCCTCACCAAGTGACACCAAGCCTCGCGTCTCTTCATGCCCCCACGCCTCTTTCATGCAAGGTCGAAACGGAACACAGCTCTGCTTGGTAGAACCACCGTAGACCTCGGGTCCTGCTTGCAGGGTCTAAAAAAGGGTCTGTGGCGGTGCTTCGGACTTGGGGAACACCTAGTACGTACCCACGCCGAGGACAGACAGGGGTGTGTGCCCCGATAGCATCGATAGCATCGGATCGGAATGCGCGTAAGAAGGAAGGAAGGAAGGCAGGGCCAAGGGAGCCACGAGGGCGTAATGTCCGTTTACGAAAATAGGTGCGGAGAAAGGGAGTGCTAGATCGATGGGAAAGGATGTGGTTGGACATGCGGTCCGCGAGGCTGTGCTGTACATTCCTCGACCACCTGTAAGAGGAAAAAAAGTCTACCTCGTCCCAGGAGCCAAGTGAGCCCGCCTACCGGACATTCCACCCCACTCCATAGTCAGTAAGAAAGAAAGCAGGGAAACCATCACGCGGTGGACACACGGAGATAATACAATATGTACGTTCTTGGCAATCGAGCGACCACTCGTGCCGGATACCATTTCCCTTTAGAAGTTAAGACTACACAGTAGCTCCTTGCGGTACTATACACTAGCAGAAAAGGAAAGTGATGTGATGTAGAGTAAAGAACAGGTATACGCTTTAAACAGGCCCCATGTGAATGAAAGGCAGAAACGCCGTGAACCATGCCGTGTAATTGCCAGCCGCGCGAAGTATTTGCGTCGCCGTAGAGAATACAGGTAATAAGACTTCATGCTCGTGTCGTCATCCGTCGTGTCCTACTCTTGCTGCTGCTGGCTGTCTTGCCGCCGATAACGATGTTGTAATGTATGTGATGTTGGTGTTGGAAGGAAGGCAGGCGTGTCGAGCTCACCGAGCTACGTCCGTCGCGTCGAAATGTCTCAGAATCTGGGTCTCCATCGACCTAGTATGCTCCCGTATTTTGCACAAAATCTCCAATATATCATCTTCTCCCCGCTCGTTTGGTTTCTCTCTTCTTTACAGTATCTACGAGCTCTTGCCCGCCTCGTACACTTTGCCCATGAACTCGTCAGGGCTTTCGCGCAACTTCTTGCTTCTCAGGACTTCTACAACGTCGCCAGCCTCTCCGCTCATGCAGCTGCCCTCGAGAGCGCCCATCAGCGCCACGGCAACACGAGCGGGGATTTTGTCGCCTTCGATAGTGTACACGTCCATAATACGGGCGGCATGCTCAATTGAAACACGGTCGCAGAAAAGCCCGCTGAACATCTCGAATAGATAATCGCGGGGCTCGACGCGGAGTTCTGCCAATCGATGCGCCATGCTCGGGCACTTCTTAGCCAGCGCCGAAAGGGTGGTATCATAAGCGGCTGTAATGGCGTTCTGATCTTGGATGAGGAACGAGAGCGGTAGAGCGCGGTTCATCAAGTTCGATAGCGCGATGAAGGAATCTGATGCGGAGAGGTTGAGCAGGAACAGAGCGGCCATGTGGTGAATACCGACGGTGGTGTCGACATCAGGACGGTACGAGCTGTAAGCGATGCAGATGTTGACAAGCTCCTGGTGAAGCGGCTGCTCCGGCGAGTCCTGCGTTTCGGGGGCGAACATCTTCAGATCCGCGAAGACGCTCTTCGTGCTCTCGACTATCCGAGCGTAGCGGCCTTCGAGAGCGGAGGAGCCGAGCTCTTGGACCTGCAGCTGGGCCTTCTCTAGAGCAACGTTGTAAGTAGCTTCCGAAACCTCGAGCTCGTTTCCAATGGCTTTCTTCCAGACTTCTCCGCGAAGCTTGGCCGGGACACCGTTCCACCACATCTTCCTGTGTGAGCCCTTGAGCTCGGCATTGGCCATTTCCTGCGCCCAGTTGGGAAGTAGTAAGCTGGACCAGTATTCGGCTTTGATGCGTTCGGCCTTCTCGCGGGCAATTGCCTCGTCCTCTTGACGTTTGGCTTCGAGGCGTTCTAATACCTGTCAGTGCGAGCTCTGTGAACTTCTAGGAGGTACTTACCAGCTTCCTCGATCCGCGCCAGCATCTTCTGGTATTCCTTCAGATGCTTCTTCTCCTCCTTCGGATCCTTGGGCGGCAGCCACGACGGGCGAGTGCGCGAGAGGTATTTCTCCTTCTCGATTGAAGGTTGGAACGGGTCGATCAGCGGGTCGCTCTTGCGGACAGGGGGCAGCGGAACCGCCTTTTTTTTCTTTGACTCGTGGTCGCCTACCGACGATGAGCGTGACAACGGCTGCTGACGCTTAACCTCCTGCTGATGCTCAATTTCGGTCTGGTACTCCTCCAGCGCCTCGGTGAGCTTCCGTGCATCTGCGTCGAGCGTGCCGTATGTCTCCTCCCATGTGTTTGTCGGCTGGCGGGTCAGCGCAGGAGGCTCGTTCTCCTTGCTCGGGTCGGGAGTCGGTGGCTGTGAGGGCACGCGGCGTTCTGAGAAAGCTGGGGAGGTCTTCATAGAGGATGCATCGCCGCGTTGTGAGACGGGGCGGCTTGCTGCAGGACTAGGCGAAGTCTGAGGTGGACTACCACATGAGGAAGGTGCAGGGGATCGCTCTTGTACAGGTCGAGGTGAGATGGGCACATTCCAAATGACTGCGTCCTCGGGAAGTTCGTCGTCTTCGTCGTCACACTCTGCTTCCCGCTCCTTGGCTGACTTGCGGGCAGCGTGCTGCCATGACTGTCTCCTAGTAGTCATTGAGGGAGAAACTTCCAGGTTTCGGGAGCTCTTTCTCGACAAGGTACGTTGGGAGGAAGAAGAGGACGGAAGCGGCTTGTTCGGGGAAGGCGAGCGCGAGCGGCGGACGGGGGCTTGAAGGTTGGTGATGTTGGCTAGCGAGGGAGCGGATGGTGACGAAAAACCCCTCCGGAGCTGCTTCCCAGGAGCATGGAGCTGCGACCCCGCACGAAGGTTGTGGCTCGTTTGGATCTTCATCGCCGCCGGGCGTGGCTTCGATCCCTTTGTAAGGTCGCGGAATGAGTGGGGTGCTGCATGCGGAATGCTGCGAGATCGTGAACCGTCGAAGAGGATGCGGTTGGGGGAATGAGGCACGGGGAAGTTTGCTGGTCCCGTGTCGTCGGCTAGATTGATGTCCTCAAAATGAGAGAGGTCGCTGGGACCCATGTCACTGAGGCCCTCGGAGTGGAAGCTGCTCGACTTGCTGCTCTTCGAGTTGGTGAGGTCGGGCGGGCTGCCCGGCGCGGCCAGCGGCATGGTGCTTGCACGCTGCAGAACTGCAGCCATGAGTGGTCTTGGGTCCTTCCTCCCGTTGTGGTCGTGGTGCTGAAGAGCAATGCGTCGAGAGGGGCCTAGGTATCGCGTGGGAGCTTGTTTGGCGCAGACGGTGCGCTGGGATGGGATCAGAGCAGAAACATAGTCGGACTCGGTGATGATGTAGAGGTTCTTGTCCGGGTGCGAATGAATATAGTGGACGTCGGGGTCGAACGGTGTGCCAGCGCCGAATGCGTGGTGTTGTTGCGCTGCAAAGAGCGCTGTAGGCATCTTGACGGTAGGCGTAATTTCGGGGAAGCAATTTGGCTAAGCCCCTGACAGGAGCGAGCGAGCAACCCCTGCAAGCCCCGTGGAGACAAAGCGTGGGTCAACCTCAACGGCAGAATTGGATGAATGGCAGGCGTTCGTGGAGTTCTTTGATTGTTAGGAGGGCAGGTGCGGGTGCTCGGTGAGGGGAGTCGCAAGTCTACATCATGGTTTGGCGCTTTACTCAGGCCGCAAGGGGCGCCCTCGGAGTTGACATGCTGCAAGCGTTTCCAGACGCCGGGAGCGTAGGAGACTGGGCGGTTGTGAAACCTGAGGGCTGGTGTGGCTGGAGCCTCCCGCCCACTTTGCGAACCGTTGACATCGGTTACATCACGAAAGCCTGCTCTATGGTAAAGTCGGTGGAAGGGCCAATGGCATGCTATCATATGGGGGTATCTATCGAAAATGCAGGTTTACTATTTACACCAACGCACGCCAGTGATCAGAGGCTGGAAAATCATGCTGCGCGCGGCCATCACGATTGCACTTGCACGCGCCTCAGGCCTCCGAGCCATCCGCTCATATGCAGGCCAAGCCAGCCGCGTCCTCGAGCATGGTCCTTTCCGCACTGTGCGGTCGGACTGCCGCCAGCACGCCTCGGAGGTGCGCCAAAAGCGCGCCGTGCTGCGTCTGTCTGCGCTGAAACACAGCACCGAAGGCCCTCGACGCCAGCCTACCCGTGGTACATCAGCAACGGCTCGACTGTGAGACGGCCGGGCAAGCCACTTACCACTGAATCTGCCTCCGCGAAATGACGCTCCTTATCTTCTCCGCATTCTGTGCCGCCCTGATGCGCGTTCTCCGCTGCAACATTACGAACGCCAGCGCCATTATGCTATCGACTGTGCCTGTGGAAGTCATCTGTCAATACCAAGTGATCACAGCAGGGTTGCGCGATGATCGACGCCGCATCGCAGCTACTGAGCTACTGATGCGTTTGCTGTCGACATCTCTTACGCTTTTGGGAGTTGGCACGTACTGATAAGCAAGCTGGAATGTATTGGCCGCGTCTTGGCCAGGCTGCGGGAATACTCGAAGCACCTCACCGCCGCTTCGTGGAAGCTTTGGTAGAGGTTAGCCAGCACTGTTGGCACACTGTTGAACGACGTGTCAATCAGCATGGCCTGCAACTGGATCTTGAACCCACTGTTCTCGGTTAGCATTGCACAGTCCTTGATTTCGATGGAATTGCTCGTCTACGCGCTCCAAATAGAGCTGCCGCGCCGCAGATCCTACGACCTAATACTTACTTGAGCGCCTTGCGATGGAATGTTTGTCCGGGCACCTTTGCCAACTCCACCGTCAATGAATCGATCGTGTCTGCTAGCGTTAGCCCAAGTTGGCCATGATGTAAGAAAGACTGGGTAGTCATCGGTCGACATCTCACGTACTAGCCGGACCAGTGCGGTCTTTGCTTTTGCTGACTTCCAGGGTGCGCATGTCTATCTGGACGCCACAGTAGGGGAATCTTGTTCCCGAGACACACTTCGGTATGCGATAGCCGTCCATCGCAGCCACGTCGAAGTTGGTCAACGACTTTGCAGCCTTCACCTCAACGCCATAGTCGGCATGTCCGCAATGCATAACCTGTATGAATCGCTCAGCATGTTCGCGATTAGTCGTGATCAAGCAAAAGTCGTCAAGCAGCCTAAGCAACAGACTATCGCCGCCAAGAGCAAAGCTTAGGACGTCGCGCTCGAGCTCTGCATAGAAGAAATTGCACAGGATGGTCGAAAGTATCGAACCCTGTGGTATGCCTGACTTTTGGCGGTAGAAACGCTTTCCGATCCTGACGAGATTGCGTTCGACGTGCTCACGCAATAGCTGCATCAGATCATCCTTCGTCTCGAATTTCTGGGCGGCTGTGTTCACGAACACTGTGTTCGCCTTTGATCCGACATAATTGTCTCGAACCAGGTGCTCAAATGAAGCAATGTCTTTCGCACCTGCGCTATGCGCGACATACCGTTTTTGCGGCATTGGGTTCACATACTGTCCATTGAGTCGCTGCAGCTGACCCTGGGCACGGACTTCCACGTGCTTGCCAGTGTGGTATTCCCGCATGGACAACAGGCTATCAACCATAGCTAGGACGCGTTGCTGGGGTATTGTGTCGAAGCAAGACTGCACATCGACTTTCGCAAAATACAATGGTGCATCCCCCAGACCTTGCTCGACCAATGACTGCTTGAAAGCAGACAATTTGGGGAACATATCGCCCACCGAAAATAGCGATGATCCAAACTTCTCGGGATGTAGTGACTAGATATAATTAGCTTACTGCTGCTGGGTCCATCCTGTTCAGATAAATTGACTGACCTTCTCATAGGTGATGACATTGAAAGCTGGTGACATCACCGAATTGATGCTGCGTCCCAGGACCGTAGCGCCATTTCTCACAATCTGTTGCCTCCGCTTCAAATTCGTGATCAGCCTCACACCAACTTTCTTGGGTAGCAGCCTGATCTTGCTGTAACCCAGCGGTCTGCTCAACAGAAGCTTTGTAGCATGATCAGTCGGTACCTCCTCGAATAGATTGAATCTCAAATTCGACAGCGAAGGCTCCGTCAACATGCGCCAGACATCATGTCGAAAGTAAAACAAGCGATTGCGATGCACATTCGACTCTGTGACATGAAAATTCGACCGAATCAGCGGCACCAGAAACGAATCGAAAACCCAGTACACAAACTCGAGGAAGATCTCTATGCGTTTATCGTGGTCGGATTTAGCCATCGATGCAGTGGGATCTTGACCGGGCGGCCGGAGCCAGGCTAATGCGGATATCTGCACGGCTGTTAAACATCTATGCGCCTCCCGCGGAAGGATTGACCCACCTGAATGTTCACCGTCACCTGGTGCAGTGTGAGACTTTCGAACCTGCGCATGCTGACGAAGTGATCTATCCAGAACATGATCATGCGCTTGTTCTCCTCGGTTCCCCAGAATGCATTGGGGATGACTTTCGCGAGCACGGCGCGGCAGAATGCGGAGACGTGCGCCGTGGGACACGCCATATCTGTGAAACAAGTATCTTCGACGGCTCGAGGCTTGGGAAGAGAGGTGGTGTCCGCCTTGCGACCTTCAGCTGAGGTTGCGATAAGGGAAGCATTGTCTCTTGGCTGAAGTACGCTTTTCCTCCAAGCCGGTCTGGAAGATAGATGGAGACCCTCGACAGGGCAGTAATGGCGCAGTAGCTCCATGTATGAGCATCTGCTGTTCAATTTGCGAAGCTTCTCCACTAACGTCATGGCCTCTCCCCGAAGCCTTTTGGGTACACGCTGCTTCCACCTTACAACAAGCTCTTCTGTGCGCTTAGCTTCGGGAAGGTCTCGGCACATTGCCTGGTGGATTTCTTTTTCTCGCAGTGTGTAGTCCTTGAACGCCATGGTCGTTTCGCGCTTGTCTACTACCGAGGTAAAGACGTTGTGCAACCCATACTGGCGGGGAAATATATGCCGCAATATGTGTACGGTTTGTCCGTGGTCCTTCAAATCCGAAAATCGATTCAAGACATCTGTCCACATTAGTGTTGTGATCGTGCACCCGAGACTGTTACTCACGAATGTGGCGCATGCCAAAACGAATGCCTCCTTTTGCATTGAGCGCAGCACGCGCATACAACATGCGGTTGCGAACGAACATGATAGCATTCGGTTTCCGGTTCTCGCTCACTAAGGATTGCGGCTTCTTATTCGCGAAATTATCCTTAAGTATCGATGCAGGATCATTGTCGAGAGTATGCACAGGCTTCAGGTCAGAAAGTGGAACACCGCTCAATTGCAGGAGGTTGCCGTCTGCTTCGCTTCGTTCTACTGGTGAAAATATGCCACAATCCATGAGCATTTCCATCATAATGACTCGACCTTCCTTGCCCAGGACGGCGTGCAAACGACACCATAATTGCCCCTTGAGCGTATCTACGCTTGTGTTCCTGAAATAGGATGATAGTCCAAGGATGGAGTGAGCTGTCTTCTGTGGCCCATGTTGACCATGTGCACCTGACCGCTGAAAGCCATGGCAAAGTAAATGCGACGGTTTGTACGACGTTGATCGCTTAAACAGTCTCCAGATCACAAAATCCACAATCTGAATATTGTCAGCCATTGTGCTCACTTTAAAGTTTCGAGCAACATGTCATTGCTTCCAATTGTACTACCAACCCAGCAAGACTCACCTCAGCCTGCAGGAAATATCCTGGCTTGAAGGTCCCAGCCGAACCATTGCTAGCAGCCACCTCTTGGGTAAAGCTCTCCAGGTCTCCATCTCTTTCTCTCGTCGCTTCCTCTGGTTTCTTCGCACGTGAACTAGGTATAACGCCTACGAGAGTCGTGTCAAGTAGCTCGCCGAGCTCAAGGTCAATACCACGTGGTGCAATGTCTCCCTGACCAGGGTGGATTCCCAATTGAGATATTTTCCGTCGCCTGCTCTTCAATTTAGACGAGGCTGGCAGACGTGACAGCAGATAGTGGCGCAACGATAGCACTCCGGGGTAGAGGCGAGAAAGCACGGGATGCTCGATTGCTGGTGTGGCGACGGGAGATTGGTCCGTTGCAAGTCTGGCCTTCTTGGAGCGTGGAGTGCGGCCGACAGCAGGTTCAGGCCCATTGCGTTTTCTCTTCATACTGGTCAAATCCTGCGCAATTGACACGCAACTGCGTTGTTGGCTCTCCGGATCAGGGCAGCATTGTGAATGGTGGAAGTGGGCGCGGGAAGTAGTGCGTGTGGTGCCGTGCGTATGGTGATTGTGTTCCAGTCGTGTTTCTGGGCCGCCTGGCGCCCGAAGTTGCCTAGAGCGATAAGCGCGCCAGGGATGTGAAATTGATGGTCTTGGGCGTGAGATTTCTACCCACGACTTCGATGTGACACCAAATCTTGTTATGTGGCAGGTTGACTGGGTGTACGATAAGGGGCAGGCGACGGACGCAGATAGAGAGCATGCAGGAGATGCAGATGGCTTGATGGCGCGAGACACTGACACTGGCACTGACATCCTATCGTTCCCCGGACGAGCTGCCGTGACGCTTACTTTTAGCTTCTCTCCACAAACATTGGACATTGCGCATCAAGAACGTGGACATATCAATGGTAGAGATGGAGGCCAGTGTATGAAAATGGTAGCAGCCACCGACATCTGCTTCAGTGACTGTTTCCACCTTGATGTAGGCGTGAGACCTCTTCGCATCCCACTCATGTCATTGTTGTTTTTGTTGTTGTCTGGGAGCGGACCCCCGCCATCGCGCCAGGGGAGAGGGGAGAGTTCGGTACAGCAACGGTCGGCCAGTGAGCTTGGCTCGCTGGACCGTAGCGGTGGGCTCTCGTTCTCCCTCCCGTGCTTCCGCAGATCAGCAGCCGACGACGATTCACCTCCACCGTGCCTCGCCCATGCTTACCCACCTCTCTTCTCCCCCACTATCTACGAGATATCCTCGCCTTCCGCTAGAGTCGGACGTTCTGTCTGGTGTTGCGCCGGCTGTCGTCCACTCCTCGCCCTGATAGCGCAGAGCAGTTCAGGCTGAAACAGCAGCCCCAGGGCAAACTTGGGCCACCGGCCGCCTCCGCTCGCTATTGGCCGACCCTGCTATAGATTGAGGCTTCACGGTGTGTGAGTTGTCTCCTGCTACCCTTGCCGCCTCGACTTGAGAGAGCTCCAGCGCGCTGCGAGCCCCTCCACACCGCCACAGGCTGATTGGCCTGCCCGTTCTCGTCGCCATCGTGCTCGCCTTGATTCGCGCCATTCGCTTCGCGCCGTCCTCGCAATTAGGATCATGGTGCGGTAGGGGTTCGATATGGCGGAGCCTGAGCATACCCATATGCATAACTTTGCATATCACCCTGGCGTGGCCAGCTGGGTCCAGTCGCTCGACAGCGGTGATGAAGTCACTGAACACGCTCCCGATGACTTTTACAAGTCTGCCGTCGCCCACACGCATGAGGTACCCGAGCCGAACGACATGACGGCCACTCGCCAACGCCAGCAGACGCCCAACGGAGCAGCGCGCTCGACCGCCAAACCGTCGATAAGCTCCGTCTCCGGTCCCGCGACCTCGACCACCTCGACGCCGCGATCGTCAATTCAGCAGTTTAATCGACCTTCAGTCAAAAGCATGGCGCAGAAGTTCAACCAACCCACATCGGCCGAATCCTCCCCCCAATCGACACGCGCGCGACCCGTTCGACCGCCGGCAGCTTCCGCAAACTCATCACCAGCACAGCCAGGAAAAGAGGCTTCCTATGGATCGTACAAGTTCAACAACCTGAAGCCGCGAGATCGGCCACAGCCTGCGCCTCCTTCTCCCGCCAGTGCTCGAGGTGCGAGGATACAAAACGCACTGATAAATGGTATCCCGAGCTCAAATGCCCGCAAGACACCTTCAAGAAAGAAAGTGGCTTCGCCGACGCGCAATAAGGAAAAGGGTCGCCAACCGTTCTTCGGCGAAGTGATTGGAGCACATGATGCGGTGACGCCAGGCTTCGGTATTCCTCAAGTTGACGGCGCAGTAGTCTCAACAATGGCAGACCCCAGCTTACCAGCCCCTTCGCCCGGACCCCAGACAATCAAAATCGTGACTGACGACCTCCCGGCGTTACCTGAGAGCCACGCGGACGCTTTACCCCCACACATCCAACCCTCGACCTCCGACATGGCGTCGCACCGGCCAGTGGGAGATGCCCAATCACAACAGTCTCCTATGTCGGAAAGTAGAAGGCGCTCTCCACCATCGCGAATACCAGTCCCATCATCACGAAGATTTAGTGGAGCTTCGGATTCGAGTTCTTCAACGCGATCGGCGAGATTCGCCCACTACATGCGGCCCACGGCAGCCACCCGAGCACACGGCAGGACGTCTCCCACACGCCCAGCAAGAGCACCAGTGGGACATTCCAACACGCCTTCCAAGAAGTCCATAACGTCCTCAAGTCAACCCACACTAGCGGCGGCTTCGTACCGCGGCTACCGTGAGCGCGGAAAATCGCCACAGGCCAATGGTGGGTCCGGACCAAGTGTGGCCGCTGTCATAACCGCTCCGCCGCCACCCACCTCTCCGCGTCTTCGCAACTCGCGCGAGCGCCAGCCCTTGCAAAGGACACCAGGCTCGCGGTCGAGGAGCGCTGATCCACATGGTACACAAGACTATTTTGGCGAGAGCTACGCGCCGCAAGCGCAAGACCGATCACACATGTTGGAACCCGGACACGAGGAAAAGAGACTATCAGTGAGGCGCGTTGAGCCTTCTGAAGATGAAGAAGACCCTCAGGATATACCGAGCGTGCAGCAAGAATTAGATACTAGCAATCATCACTTGGATTCTGCTCTGGATACGCAACAGAGCGCATTGCATCTTACCACCGAGGGACTTTCGGTACCACCCGCTGGACGGCCTTCATCATCAGCGACGAGTTTTGAAGAATCACCAATTTTGGGAATGCCTGGGAGCTTTATGATGACTCCGCCCCTGGCCCAGGCCGTGAATACGCCTCCCCCAAATCAATCATCATTTGAGCAGGAGAAGCCTCAGGAAGCACCGACTCCTACGACGCCGCAGCTAGGTGGTGAATTGCTGCAAGCACGGGCCTTCCAGCCAGCGAACAAGCGGATGGGGGAGATCTCGCGTGTAGAAGATGCGCAAGACCAATCTGAACTGGGTGTGAGGGAGTCGATACCAATTGCGCTCGGTTCAGAAGTCTCCAGTCCGGGATGGAGCAAGGACACGCCAAAGCGACCAAAACACCAGACGCGACTGAGCATTGGCTCCCAAACTTGGCGAGTTGAGCCTTTGGACGCTTCTGGAACGATATCTTATTTGGACGAGGATCTCGATGATTCCCCTATTGATCCATTTGCCGACCGAGGAACACTGATGCCAGGGGACTCGGCAAGTGTGGCATTCTACCACCAGATTGGCCAGCAACCCCCTAATTGGGGCCCGAAAACCCCAGAACCGCAGAAGGACTCGTTTACTTTGGACAGCGAGGCCTATAGCGTCATCAATAAGATCTTGAATGTGTACCACGAATCAGATACAATCACTCCGCAACTCGCTCAAGATTCTTGGGAGCAGGTGCAGGGTGTATCTCCGATCGTGGCTCAGCACAGGGATTGGGGCTCGAAAGAGGCGACCGAGACGTATCTCGCAAGATTACTTAGCGATGCTTCTGCAGGAAGAGAGGAGCCATCAGACCGAGAGGCCACACCCCATGCCGCACAGCACGCCCAGCATGCCGTAGCATCAGCCCCCAGCATACGGCAACTCGCTGCAGATCCAGACGACGAAGACGAGCCCTTCCCCGGCGGGACTGCCATCATCTTCCCTTCAGAGTCGAGACGGTATTCGCGAGGCTCGCGTGCGTCGGTCACGTCTGCAACCACAACCATCTTCGAAGGACCCAGCCGGCCCGACAGTTCTTCCGGCCTCTCAGCACGTGATCGCGGCCACAGCAACGGCGTTGCTCACGCACCCAATCCCCCGCCGAAAGACTGGTCCTCGCCGCTGGCCCATGAGTTCCAGTACCAGCCGCTGCCCAACATTGTCAGCGCAGGCGAGGGGCTTGGGCTGTCTTTGCAGCAGAGCCAAGAGCAGCCACACGGACCGCAGGCCGCGCCGCCAAAGCCGGCATATTCTCCTCCGCCGCCGCCGAACATGGGCCCCGTCTTCAGCCGTCTGTGCCCTCCCGATTCGGACAGCTTCGATGACAGGCCCCTCCTCGACAGGACGCCTCCCGACTCGCCACGGCAAACGCGCAACAACTACGGCAGCACCGGTGGTAGTGGCGCGATAATGGCAGGCGTTGCTCCGAGCCTGGAGATGGCGTCGGCCTCAGAGCCCACGTCGCCCACGTCGCCCACCCCTGGCTCGCCCGAGGATACCGCTGAAAAGGAGCGCGAGAAGGCAGTCGTGAAGGTGCGGAGGCGATACCGCGTCATTGAGGAGCTATGCAAGACCGAGCACAGCTTCTGCGTCGACATGATGGTTGCTCACCAGATCTTCGAGGGCACTTCTAAAGAGGTACTAACCGACGAGGAGCGCAAGCTGCTGTTCAGCAATTGCAAGGACCTCGAAAACTTCTCCCACAACTTGTGGAAGTCGCTGAAGGACGCTATCCGGCCCATTGTCAACCAGCTGCCGCCCGAAGAGAGCTCAGGCGCCGAGTACGATGAATTCGTACACTGCACACCGGAGAACGACCGCCAAGTCAAGGTTGGTGAGGTCATGCTGGCGTTTATACCTCGCATGGAGCGCGTCTATACGACTTACTACCTCAACTACGACGATGCGTCCAAGTTCATAAAGGCCAACGTGCAGAACCCGGAGCTGCTGGGCTGGGTAATGGCCTGCTTCCAGCACTGCCCCAACCTCACAACTGCCTGGGATCTCGACTCTCTTCTCATTAAACCCGTGCAGCGCATGCTTCGATACCCCCTGCTGCTGTCCGAACTCATCGAGAAGACCGTCCCGGACCATCCCGATCTGGCAATGCTCAGGCAGGCCAAGGATGCCATCATCAAGATCGCCGAGCGCATCGATGTGGCAAAGAAGCGGCAAGAGACGTTACGAGCAGCAACGTCAGAGGGCAAGAAGCAGAAAGGCAAAGGCTCTGGCGACCGCAACGTCAAGTCAATCGTGAAGGCTCTGAGGTGGAGCAAGGAGAAGGCGAAGACTCTCCAAGAAGCCGCCCTGATCTTCGAGGATTCACAGTACAACCAAGTGACGCAGAAATTTGGCGGTCATTTCTTCCAGATCCAGATCGTTATTGCGGATATGGATCAGTACTTGGCATCCTTGACCGAGTCGACGGTATCTCTCAATGCAGTGATGCTTGGCTTCATCACAGTCTCTGAGACAGGTCCTTCAGCGAATGCGGAGATGGAGAGCACCTGGCGACGGTGGGCGATGGCACATCTTGATCTCCAGAACAAGGTCCTTGACGAGCATGTAAGTCACATGTGGTCCTTTCCAGTTGATGCATACTAACGCAAATGTAGATAAACGCAGTCAGGAATCGTGTCATGAAGCCCATCTCGAACGTCTGGGACCAGTGGGTGGGCCCGCAGAAGCTCATGGAGCAACGCAAGAAGCTCCTGATCCAGTACGCCAAGTACAAGCAAGCCACCGACCGCAAAGAGAAAATCGACCCTAAGCTCGAAGAGACCGCCAAGTCCTTCCTTACCATCAACGACTCCCTCAAGCAAGAGCTGCCCATGCTGTACGAACTCACCAAGAAGGTTGTCCGTCTTTGCTCGACCATCTTCATAGGCCTCTCCAAGGACTGGTACAAGACTTGCTCTAAGAAGATCCTTCCGCTTCTCGAGGACGAGCCACAGCACACTACCTCGATTAGCTACGACTTCAAGACTTACCAAGAGCGCTTCAAGTCTGACTTCCGCCAGATGGAGCAGGCTGCTAAGAACCTGGCGATCATCAACCATGAGCTTATTAATAGCCTTAGTAACTACATGAGTCCGATCCCCATGGCCGATGATGCCTCGTCGCGCAAGTCTTCATCCAGGCGAACTGAGTCGATCGGCAGCGAGGTCTCCATGATCGACCGTCACGGCCGCAACCGCAACAGCGGCGGCTACAACAGCTCGCGCTCTGGCATGCACTCGTTCGAGGGTCCGCCGCGCTCCTCGCCCGCCGCTACCTACGGCCCCGGTTCTGCCCCACCGATCAGCTACAAAGACCCCTCCAGCTCGACCAGCGCCTCATCCTCGCTGTTCCGCGAACGTCCCAGTTCAGATCGTACGCACACCCAGCCCCCACAGGCTCCAGGCTCGTACACCAGCGAGTCTACCATAATCGCTGGCAGGCCGTCCAACAGCAGTGCGCGCAACCCCGCTTGGGCAAACTTAGGCTTCGACGGCGCATGGGACGAGACATCTTCGTTCGCCCCATCTTTCGTCCAGCCCGCTTCCATCGGCGCGTCTTTCCTCCAGCCGATGCTTACACACTCCACCACCGCTTCGTCTTCGCACTCCCAGCAGCCCTCGCAACCAGGGTCTTCCCGCACGTCTGGCGTGTTTAACTCCGCGCTGCCCATGTCGACCCGTAACTCCGCAGAGGAACTCCCCGCCACGCCGTCCGATCCTGACGAGCCTGAGGTGCTTTTTCTGGCTGCTTCGCTGTTCGAGTTCAATATTGCGCATGATAGGCGGGAGGGCGGGATTCCGTATTTGGTGTATGTGCCTGGGGAGATCTTCGATGTCATTGGGATGAAGGGCGAGCTGTGGCTTGCGCGCAATCAGGATGATCCGTTGCGGACGGTGGGGTGGATTTGGGAGAAGCATTTTGCGAGGATATTGCCTGAGGATGCGTAGGTGATGAGGGCTATGGAAGACTTTCTTCGATTCTCTGCCCTGCCGGACGTTCCGGCGACCGGCGGTTTTTTCTTTTCCTTCTTTTCTTTTGTCTGGCGTTTCACACAGGGAGATCCCTTTTCGGAGGGTGTTCATTTTCTGCATGATACCTCACCTTTTGGGAATGGAATTAATGGACGTGCCTGGCACGCTCATGGGCTGGAGTTTTTGATGGGAATGAGACGGCCGAAGCGAAGCGATGCATTCATGGCACTGGTACTGGCACTGCCACCAGCGTAGGCATTTCGGCGTAACGATGGCATGATGATGGGCTTTGACAGGCTTCTCTTTGTTATGTATAGTACCTTCAGTAGCGTAGCCGTGAGGCTAAGGGAAGGGTTCAAATGAGATGTATAACTCTGTATTCGGCTGTGCGTGTTTGAACTCAAGTGTACTGCGTGCTGTGAGAGAGATTGAGTGTGTTTGCAAGTGTACTGTGAGAGGTGATGAGGGAGTGAGTGATGTCTAGCATGCCTTTTAGTTTGCAAACACATCGTCAGGTTCCGCGTCATGGGTGCCGTTAGTGACTACATACGATATCACGCGACATCACACAACCTCATCTTTCTTTGGCACAGGCGATTTGAAAGATGGTTTTATCTTTTGTAAGCTACAGCAGCAGAGATAATGCTCCATGTCGTGGAGGCGGGGACAACGCAGATAATGCTACATGTCGTGCTGGACACACGCAGCAGCAAACCAAGGCATTATCTATTCCATGAGGTGTGGTTGCGGCTCCCAGGGGAGGGGGAATGTCGTGGTGGGGAGTGTACACCAATAAACCGAGGCATTTCTATTCCATGAGGTGTGGTCGCGGACCCCGGGGGGTGAACTCCCCCGGCCGGGCGGTAGAGGGAACGCGGATGATGCTGCATGTCGTGGTGGGGGGTGTACAGCGGACATTGGTTTGAAGAAAACCAAAGCAACAGGTAATGTTGCATGTCGTGGTGGGGGGTGTACAGCGGACATTGGTTTGAAGAAAACCAAAGCAACAGGTAATGTTGCATGTCGTGTTGGGTTCTGCGTGTCGTGGTGGGGGGTGAACGGCGGATACCGGATTCACAGCAAAAGCCAAGGCAGCACGGATAATGCTGCATGTCGTCGTGGCCCCAGGATGTACAGCAACAAACCAAGGCAACGCGCATAATGCTTCATGTCGTGATGGTTGATGTAGAGCCGAATACAACTATCCAAAGTAGAAGGGTGGCCATTGCTCCATATGTGCATCAGAAAATCCTCACGGCAACAGATAATGCCGCATGTCGTTGTGGGATGTATACAGCCAAAACCAACGGCAGCACAGATAATGCTGCATGTCGTTGTGGGCATTGTATCAGAAACCCCCCACGGCAACACCGCTAATGCCGCATGTCGTAGTGGCCCCAGGACATACAACTCCCCCGGGTCGAACGGCCTCTGGTGCAGATCTTAGTGGTAGTAGTAAATATTCAAGTGAGAACCTTGAGGACCGAAGTGGGGAAAGGTTCCGTGTGAACAGCAGTTGGACACGGGTTAGTCGACCCTTAGGGATAGGGCAACTCCGTTTCAATGTGGGCGCCCCCGAAAGGAGTGCCTCTCTCAGTGACGGAGAGCTCGATGATAGGATGCTGGCGTAATGGGTGTGAGCGTCGCGTCTTGGAACACGGATAGGGACGAGGAGGCTGATGTCTATGCGAGTGTTTGGGTGGCGAGCCCGCGCGCAATGGGAGTGAACGGAGGTAGAGACCCTTTTGGTGCATCGTTGATTGATCCTGATATCTTCGGATGGATTTGAGTAAGAGCATAGCTGTTGGGACGCGGAGGATAGTGAACTATGCTTGAAGAGGATGGGGACGACGGCTTCTGCGAGGTACCTTCCCAGGAGCGTTGGGCCTGGTTTGCGAGGTATGACTAGAGTTGTAGTCACCATGGTTTCAACGGGTAACGGGGAATTAGGGTTCGATTCCGGAGAGGGAGCCTGAGAAATGGCTACCACATCCAAGGAAGGCAGCAGGCGTAAAATTACCCAATACCGATACGGAGAGGTAGTGACAATGAACACTGATACAGAGCTCTTTTGGGTCTCGTAGTTGGAATGAGTACAACTTGAACCTTTAATAAGGAACATTTGCAGGGCAAGTCTGGTGCTAGAATTTGACCGTGGATCAGGCTGTGAGCATGTCTCTGGAGTAACTTGCGACTGGTGTGCTGCGTTGTTGCCCTGTGGAGTGGTTATCCAGTGTGCGTGTGCGAGGGCAGTAGTGCGAAGATAATGGTGCGCAGTAAAGAAATGCGTGTGCGCTGCCCGCTTTATGATTGTGCCTGCTGCAAAAAAAGCGTTTCGAACGTTCAACGGTCAACAATTTGCATTTCTTACCGTGGCACTGACGGCCGTTGGGCTCAAAATTGGATATCGTACAATAACGTTGTTCCGCGGTCTACAACAACATCCAAACGGCGGTATGGCATCTGTCAAACCAAACGTGAACTAATTGCGAGAACCTTCCACACTTTAATCGCACACCATTAATATCCGCAGTTGTTCTTACATACATGTTTGAAGCCGTGGGGACATCTCATTGCGCACTGTTCATCGGATGTCTAGACGCTGCTCTACTCATATAAGAAACACAACGAGACGAACAAATAGCACATCCAAACTACTTCAAGTCACCCTACGCGTAGTTGTGAATTCATTCAGATGAACAGTTGAAATGTCATGGTAGCTTTTCCAGCATGCTCCATGTACAAGAAATTTTCTCAGAGCGCCCTGGACATCGAATTCGAGTGCACTGCTACACTCATACAAGAAGCATGGTCGGACGAGGGAGTAGCATACGCAAAGTGCGTTGAGTTACTTCACGTGCGGTTGCAAACTTGAATCAAGTAATCGAGCAAACGTTACACGATGGACATTTCGGTCTCCTGGTCGCTGTTCTGGGTCCTGCTATGTTCACACGAGAAGCATGGTCAGAAGGAGAGACAGCACGTCCATAGTGCACTAAGTTGCTTCTAGGGAAGTTCTAAATCATGCACGGTCTGTTTAAGAATGTTCTTCAAGCTCGCTGATCGTTGATTCTAGTCACTATAGTATGAACTGCGTGGGACATGGTCAGACGATGAGACCGCATGCCTAGAGCGTGCTGAGTTACGTCACGTGTAGTTATAGAATTGACTTGTGAAGTCAATCGAAGCTATGCTATGGCCGTTAAACCAGTCTCTAGTTGCAGGAATTGCCTACATTCGCAATCTAGCGAGACATGACTTGGGTTGGGTTGACACGGAAGCGCCCCAAGAGTCGAAATCTAGCATCGTGGGCTGTTTACGTGGGTCGATAAGCAAGAAATTTGTGAACATAACCGTCCATACCAGTGCCTTCTATTGTGTGATTCGCTTAGCGTTTGTTTGAAGGCAGGTTGCTCAGGTGAACAGGTGAACGCACACTCACGGCCTTAAAATCGAAGCCCTTTTGGCTCTCTCACCAGTATCCCACACACACTTTATCAACCATACAACACCACATTCTGTCCTCAAGACAGCTATATCACACTTTACAAAGCTCTCATATAACTCCTTTCAATATCACAATGGCTCCCTCATTCGCCCGCATCGGTGACGAAGTCACTCCCAAGCTCTCCGGCGAGAAGTACAACAGCGTACCCGCCACAATCCGCAACAGCCTCCGTATTGCCTTCGAAAAGGCATGCGCGACCTACACCACCGCCGCCCTCGAGACACCAGCTGCCAGCTTCCGTACGCAGTACGAGCTGAAGAAGGCGATCGTCTATCGACATCCGGAGCGCGATTCCGAAACCAGCACCATCGCGACCGCCTTTCCGTTTGCCGAGCCCGCCAACATCGCCTTGATTGAGCACGTTGTCGACAAAGAGCTCATCGACTTCACCATGCTGTCCGCTGTCGAGTGCGTGAGCAGCCTTGCTGCTCTTGGCCTCGCGAATCCGCACTTCCTCAACTTGCATGCGGTGCGCAGGGGAGATCTGGGCTGGGGCTTCGACACCTTTGGGTGTCTTTCGCTGTGTGTCCTGGCGGAGTCTGAGCAAGAGCTGTGGGTTGAAGCCTACTTCGTGCAGCGGGTGTACGGAAGTGGTGAAGATGGCCCGCGGTCTGGAGGCGTTTCGCTTTCGAGCGAGCAGGGCAGTCGTGCTGAGGGATCGGGCTTCAAGTTTAGCTTGAAGGGGCTTGGGGGTTTGGCGAAGGAGAAGGAGAAGGAGAAGAAGAAGGACGACGAGGACGAGGAGATGCTTGAGGACGAGGATGTGCTCGAGAAGATGGGAAAGGAGAGCAAGGCGAAGGAGGAAGAGAGGCTGGATCGGGAGTACGAGGCGTCGTTGCTGAGGCCTCGACCTCTCGAGCCGAACACGAACAAGTACAGGTTCATGGGGAAGAGGTACTGAGGGGGAGAGTTCGGGGTGGCAGTGTGCTTGTACTTATGTAGAATACCAATGAAGGACCGTGATCATGTCTTTTCTTAACCCTCCACTCTCTCCAGCACAATCTTCAACGCTGCAATCTCTACTTGCTTCACCCGACCATCCTCCCCTAGCACAAAAACCCAATCATCAATCCCGTAAAGTCCCCATGACGGCCTGTCAATCTGAAGCCACGTAGGACACGCCGAAAACGCACCATGATCCTCGTACCCGAGATCTACCCCGCTGACCGCCTTCCAGCTAACTCTCTCTCCATCCATAACACTGTAATTGCCCTGACTCTGTTGATACCCGACATTCGAAGGGTAGATCCTAAAGTCCTCCGGCGATCCAAAGATACCAAACACATCCGTCCCATTGCTAACCCACGAGTCAAGCGTGAGGCCCGGTTTACCTTTCTCACTCGAAATGGTAACGCTAGAATTGATGCTTGCAGCGCGATACGTTCCCGCATACGCCTTGTCTGTCTGCAACCTCGCTGCTTCTTCAACGGCTGGAAGTAGCGCGTCCGTGAGCACGCCTGATAGCGTGTAGGGATAGGCCCCTGTTTCCGAAGCTATCAGGATGGTGAAGCCGACGTCGAAATCGGGAATCAGCGCGACGGTGGACGCGTATACGCCTATGTTTCCGCCTTTTGTGTAGATATCTACCACGCGGTTTTGCTTCTCGTTGATTACAGAGCGGTAGATCTCCCAGGGACGGCCGACGAAGCCTATGGTGCTGGAGGTGAAGGAAGTGGGTTTGAGCCAGGCGCGCGTGGTGTTTGGGGAGAGGAGCTTTGAGGAGAGGATGGAGCGTCCGAGGGCGGAGACGTCGGATGCAGACGCGAAGATGCCGCCTTCGGCTGTGGCTTCGGAGAGGTCGATGTCCCAGCCTGAGACGGTGGCGTTCTTTATGATTGCGCCTATACTAGAGTCCTCTGGTATTGAGGCGAACGTACGGCGGAGCCCTAAGGGTTGGAGAAGGTGGGTTTCGAGCGCAGAGGCGAAGCTTGTATTCGTGATGGTTTCGATGATGTAACCGATCAGCACAAACGCTGAGTTACTGTACCCTGGCGTCGTGTTGGGCAGATAAGTAGACCTCGTCTTCAGCAGCGTGGTCAAGAACTCGGAGCGCGTGCAGTGCGTGACGTTCGCTATGCAGAGCGACGTCTCGTTCTCTGTAAGCTCCGGGAATACTCCTGGGAATTGAGCACCGAGGCCGCCGCCCGTGATAGAGTCGACGTCGAATACTGCGTACTTTCAGAATTTGGGATATTGATGATACAGGACAAGGCTTACAGTCTGCGACCACCCCACCAATTTGCCCTGCTAAAGCTCCGACACTCACCTCGTCCCAAGACGCGATGCCTTTCAGTTCAGGTATGTACTTGGTCATCGGGTCGGAAAACACGCGATCCCCTGCAACGACAAGGAGCAGGTACACTGCATACAGCTTGCTAACACTACCAACGCGGTAAACTGAGTCGCCATCTACTTCACTTCCATGGCCTCCGGAAGTGGCGAGATCCGACCCTTCGTGATGGTACTCGAACAAAGTGTCCTTCGTAGAGAAGATCTGGATGGAGAATGTGTTATTGGGAGACACAGGACCATGTGAAGTATTGCCTGAACTGAAAGCATCATCCAACGCGGCCTTAATCTGCGTGGAAGCAGTTTGCCATGTCGACGAGGCTAAGAGGTCTTCAGTCGGGGGGAAAACAGGGCCGTAGATGGGACAAAGGTCTACTGCCAGGACAGCGCCAATGCTTGAAAGAAGAAGCACAAGGTTAAGAATGAATGCCATTGCGAGCTCATACTGCTTGAAACACAGTAAACATTCGCCTCTTTAAGCTCGCGAGCATCTCCGACGAGCTTACCGGGATACCATTACCGTGACCAACAGATCGCAGATCTATGCTCTTTGGAGACACCGACCGCCCCCACCATGTTCGCAGCAAAAGCAATTCGTGCCAGGCACACTTTCTTTCTCGTCTCCACACTTCTCCAACATGATCGGGGAATGTTGAAAATGATAGGTCAGCCTCGCGCCTTCAATAGCATCAGCTTACGAGATGCCTATCTTAGCGATGTGTCTTAGCGATGTGTGCGTAAGATTTAGCCTCCATCTTCCTATAACACAACACCAAAGGAAGCGCCCCGTCATACCGGGCGAGCTCGCTTCGCTTCGACTGGTCAGTTAAGGCACACATGCTTACCTGCTCATGTATAGAGGCCCGAGAAGCGATGCAAGTTCGTTGGCACGGTAGAAGCATCCACCCCACAAAAGATGCTCATTGTTGACCTTGGTTTGATGTAGCCTGGGAGAACTATTTTGCACCAATACACGATCCTGTAAGATGTTATTTTTTTATTTTTTTGGGTGCACTATGCGCTTAGCCTGGGCGCGAAAACGCACTCCGAGTGCCTTCAACATGTAACACATACGCAGCTAGACTCTACTCCTCTTCAGATTCCTCCTCGCTTCCCTCGCTATCCTCTTCTTCCTCTTCCTCATCATCATCTCCCTTCAGTCCATAATCCTCTTGGAAATCGACAAGCTGCTTCACGTTGATCTTGAAGCCGTCCTTCTCGAAGTTTTTCTTCAGATCCTGCAGGAATAGTCAGCAAATCTTGCTTCATCAAGAAACATGGGGACATGACATACCTCAACCATGTTGCCACCGCAGGTGATGACCAGATCCGTCTTCTCGGGATCAAAGACCTTGGCGATGACATCAGTAAACGCTTTACGCACGTCTTCCTCCTTGACCTCCCTAACTTGACCCAACACCCACTCTGACCACTCTTTGCCGACGCGCTTCACCACGAGATCGATGAAGCTACCTCGTGCCGCATCGACAATAGTAGCCTTATCATCCACGAACTCTCGCACGATGCTGCTGATGGCACCTTCGAGAGCCAGTTTCTCGAATTTGCGTGTCCCATCACCGTATTCCTTGATAACGGTGCGCGCCTTTTCGTATGCGGCGTACGAGTTTGGAGACTTGTAGATGCGGAACTTGAGGAGGCCGGCCTGGATGTCACGGAGGAAGTTCGCGCCATAGGCAAGACCCGTGCCACGAATGTCCTGCCACATCGGACCTTCAACAGCATCTAGATAAGACAGAGCTACCATCAGAGGAGGTAAGTCTGGGCTGGTATAGGAATCGGGGCCTTTGGACGTCAGCATAGCGAAGGATGAATCGATAGGCATGGGGATGACGTAGTGTGCACCGCCAGGGTTCTTTCCGATGTCTGAAAGCAGCGACTTGCGATCATCAATGGGGTTGATAGTAGGTTCTGGTCCCGGCTTGATGGCGTCAGTGAGAGTCTTGAATGTAGATACGGGATTCGGGAGCGTCTCGAAGTTGGCTATTGCTAGGACGCGGAGGTTCGAGAAGGTCAGGAGGTGTTTGCGCAAGGACTCAAGCTTGTCAATCACCTGCTGAGGGTCCGTCTTGAGCTGCTTCAAGGTGCGCTTTAGGTAGAGGGCCTTGACAAGAGTGTTGGTGGCGCGGACAGAAGAAGCCTCTTTGTAGTGGATCATACGATCAACAGCAAAAAGCATGCTGTGGCCGTCACGCTTCTCGTCTGGCACATCTGCGAGCATCTTCTTCGCTGCAGCAATCAATCGCTCGGTGTCGAAGATGGAGTTGACAAGAAGGTCAGCGAGCCACTGAACGACATCCTTGAATTTGTCTGCCTCAGCAACAAAGTGGATGTAGATCATCTCGCCATTGCCAATATCGTTGCCACGGTCAAGGCTATACTCTATCGTATCTTTCTCCAGGTCAGTGATGACTTGCTCGAATTCGATGCGCTTGCCATCTCGTGTGATCGGCGTGCCAAAGAAGTTCGTAAGATAGACGCCGAGCAAAGGCTTCAGCTCAGTAGGTATACCAGCGGTACCAAGCGCGAGTCCGAAGTGGACGAAAGATGTTGGGATAGACTCGTAATGAATAAACAGCGGAAGGCCATTCTCGTCCTTGTCAATGATCTTCTGGATCTTGTTGTCCATGATCCCGAGCTTTTTTGCGAGGCCAGATCGCGCGGTCGTAGTCTCGAAGAAGTGGATCGAGCCAGTGCTAGGGACCTTCAGCCTCTCCATCATCTCCAATGGGATCGGTTTGTCGTTTTCGGCTTTCGCCTTCTCCAGCTTGTCGGCCTTCTCTTTCAAGCCTGCCTCGCCGAGCTTCTCTTGTTGTGCCTTGACGCGTTCGACTTCTTCGGACTTGATCTTTTCCGCGAGTGCTACGGAAGGCTTTCCAAGGAGGGATACGTGATGCGGTTCGACAATCCACTTTTTGATGAATGAGCGCCACTCTTCTTCGCTCCATTCTTCGAGCTCGTCAAACACAGAGAGAGACTCGAGGGCTTCCCGGAGCTTTGAGCCATCACGTGGACCGTAAGAGTGGTCTTTGATGACAGGATCCTTGAACTCGTCATTGCCAATTTCTGAAGTGAACCTCACTTGGCGCTTGAACCGATGCAGGCAGTCCTTGAGGTAGGCCAAATCGATTGGCTGAGCCACATGCTCTTGAAGAACTTCCCAGAAGCGCTTCTCGACTTCTTCAAGCTTCTCAGTAGCGACACTGGTCAATGTGAAGTGTATGATCGACTGAGCAAAGCTCCGGACATAGAAGTACACCATACTGGTAAGGTGCTCCTTCTCCGCAAGTTTGTTGACCAGAACCGAGACTGAAGAGCCAGCAAGGTACATGAGCACAGTGTTAAGAGCAGTCTCAAGCTTCTCGTCCGTAGAATCAGGTCCAATGAGGGCGATCTGAATCTCACCAGTGGACTCGTCCTCCTCGGGGAATTCCACAGTCTCAACGGTCGTCTTAGTGAGGCCCGCCTCAAGCTTTGAATTTGACCATGGCCGCTTGAAGGGAGCGGTGTAGGCGGGCACGCTGTCGGCGGTGTCGGCCTCGAATTTGTCCAGAATCTCCAGAAGATCTGCGTGATCGACCTCGCCGATGAGGACCAACCGAAGGTTCTTGGGTTGATACATGTCGCGATGGAATTGGCGGATTCGTTCTGCTGTGAGGACGCGTAATGCTTCTACACGACCTCCGGTCTCGTAGCGGAATCCATAGCGCTCGGGGTACAGAATGCGACGCATCTCCAAATCCATCAGGTCACCTTGTAGGTTCTGGCGACCTTGCATCTCCGAGTAGACGACACTTTGGTTGTTAGTTTGGATGTTCGTAACCTTAGTAGGGTGCTTACCCGGCATCGTTCCCAGTACCATCGATGTGGTGCACCTCAGTGTAGCATCCCTCATCTGTGAGAGTAGGCACGACGAGGTGGTCAAGGTAAATGGGCAATATCTGCGCGAAACCTTCCCAGCCCGCTGTGGTCAATGTGTAGACGGTCTCGTCGACGTCTGTCCAGGCATTGGTGTCGGAGTAGGCCCGAGTAGAGAGTTTGTCCAGCACACCCTTGAAAGGGTATTTCCGTGAGCCCATGAAGCAGAGATGCTCCAGAGTGTGTGCTGTGGCGGGTTAGGAAATGCACAATTCAGGTATACTGCGAGTACTCACGTGCTCCAGAGTCATCGTGGATCTCGGTAGCCAGTGCAAAGTAGCCGTAAATCTTGGGTCCTTTCCTGTCGACCACTACGACATTCATGCCCGTGCGCTGCGATTCATACTGGGTGAATTCGGCCTCGGTGTAGTCGGCTTTGAACTGCTGGACTTTCTTGAAGTTGGTCTCCCGTGCAACAGACCCCATCCTGCCGAAGTAGAAAGGCTGCTGGTCTGTGTCGGAATCGTAGAAGGAGGACTCCTCGTCAGTGCTGGGAAGTGCGTCTGCCTGGTTTGCGATTACCGTTCCGGGCGTGCAGGCTTCTTTGTATGACGCTCGTCTAGTGCTAACATTGTTCTCTGTTAGTTCCGGGATCGAGGGGTGAGAATCCTCGCGTAAATGTGCGGTAAAACACCTCGACAGCTGCGTGGCCAAAACAACAACGCAAAGTGCGTTATGGAAGGTGCGCATTACCGGTCTGTAGGAGGAAGCCACTCAGCTGACACGAAAGCGAATTATGCCGCCTCATCAGCTGAGTGTTCCGGGGAAGGAAGAACAGGAATTGTGCAGTGCAGGGTAGAAGCTTACCTGTATGGTAACGTTGCCTAAAAGCAGAGAAGGCCACCCACGATGCAGCCCCGGTCGTGTTTATGAACGTGCGGACTAGAAGTACAGATTCCCGAATGTGGCGAGCCCGTAACAGCGCACTGCGCAAACGAAGGCGGTGTGTTGTGTCAATGTGATTGGCAAGGAAGAAAGGAAATGGAACGAAGTACTATTCCCTGATTGGACTTCAGAGGAAAGTCGTAATCGAATGCTCCCAGCGAACAGCTCTTGACGATGGTGGGGTGGTGGGGTTGGCATCTTTCGGTAGGGCTTTCGCACGGCCCACTTTGACTTGCAGGTGCTTGGATACGCGCCACGAATCAACATTGCGTAGTTCCGCATCTACAAAACACGTCAACCCCTCCAGCGAACGACATGATCATATGCCGATAGCTCCAATGTCCTCATCAGTCTCTGACCAGGAGCTCGGGGACGCGCTCCTCCATTCCGTCCAGCATGGCTCTTTCCCACAATCTGAGCATGTATCCTCTGCGCCTGTGGGGTCTGCAGCTCTTCCGAAGCTTCGACAGACTTTGGAAAAGGCCAGGGATGACACTAAGGTATGCCTATTTGCTGAGTTCCTAGCATATGCTCCGTGGACATATGCCAACAGCAACTTTAGGAACAAATCCGTCAGGTCTCCCGCGAAGCCGCATCCGACGTCGACGGCTGGATGACCCAAGCCCGCAAGCTCCAAGCCGACATCAAACGCTCCCAAGAGACCGCCAAGGAGATCGTACAGCAGGCAGAGTCTGGTAAAGAGAAGACCGCCAAAGTTCAAGACGCCGCCTCGAAAGTCAGCTTCCTACATTCCGAGATCGCATACAACGAGAGCCTTGTGCGGGTTGTGGAGCAGCTCAAAGACATCTCGACCCTGCTAGAATCAGCTCAGGATGCCGCGGTCCGCAATCACATTCTTCATGCTCTCGAGAGACTGGAGGACGCGGACAGCGCATTCAAGAGGCTTGGACCGTTCGAGAACACTCGAGTGGTAGGCCTTCTGAAGACAAAATCAGACCACCTGAGGGCGGATATAGTGGAGAATGTTACGGAGATATGGAATAGTTTGCTTTATGTCAACACTGCAGAGCAAAGATTCACCTTGAAAGAGAAGGCAGAGCGCGAGGATGGAATTAGTATCGGGACAGTTGTCGAGGCATTGACAAGACTAGGGCTGCTCGACAAGTTCATATCGCGCCTCAGTCGAGACTTTGACAGCATCATCGTGCAGCCACGGCTGACCATTGGCCCCGACCAAGTCGTATCTGCATTGACCATCTATGGCGACGACATACAAGTTGCAGGACAAGTGAGCGACATGAGCGTCCAAGCCGCACTGGAGGATATTCAAGCCATAGCCGATTACCTCAGTACACGCATGCCTCCCGACGTCGCCGTCCCGCTGTCCGAGAAGCTAGTACCAGTCATCGCCAATCGACTAATCTCAAGTTGGCTGCTGCCTGCTATACCGCTGTCTACAAAGGGCATTCCTGACTTCCAAGAGACGCTCTCGCTCGTACTCGGCCTTGTTGAGTCATTCGATGAGCTCGGCTGGAGCGGGCAACAACGCTTGACTGACTGGGTCGATAAGTCCGCCGAGAAGTGGCTTGCGCGACAGAAAGAAGCTGCGATAGCTCAGGTGCAACGAACCTTCCCGAAACGAGTCCAAGAGAAGAAGACGGTGGAACGGGTAGAGACCCAAGTCTTGTCGAGGGGAGACGCTATGCTTGGCAAGCACGAAGAGCAGGATGAAGATTGGGGAGCTGATTGGGGTGACGACGGAGCGGCGGAAGAAGAGCCCGTAGAGGACAGGGAAACACAGCAGAATGAGGCTATGGAAGAAGAGGACATGAGCGCCTGGGGCATGGACGAGGACGAGCCACAAGAACCGCAGAAGGAAACCAAAGGCCCGAAGCCCGAAGCGCAGGGCGAGGAAGATGCCGAAGATTGGGGCGCCGATTGGGGCGATGAGGAAGAGCCAAAGCAACACCCGCCTTCCGCAGAGCCTCAGGCCAATGGACAGGCTGCTAAAGCAGAGAAGCCTTCCAAGAACCGGGAGATGACGTTGAGGGAGACCTACACCGTAACGGCAATTCCAGACTCTATCATCGACATGATACTCCAAGCCGTGTCAGATGTCGGTACTCTCAATACCCCCGATCTTGTCGGCTCCGCCATTGCGCCCGCCAGCAGCGGTCTCTTCGCCATACCAAGTCTGCTGCTAGCCATGTACCGAGCTACGGCGGCCACCCACTACTCTCGTGACATCGCAGCCAACATGCTGATCTACAACGACTGCACGCGCCTGTCTGACCGCCTCCGCGCTTTCCTCACAGAGCAAGCAGAGAACGACGCTTCATCGGGCTTGCCACAACACCTGAAGCCCTCCGTCAGACTCAAACCGCGGCTCGACCAGGACATCAAAGCCATCGAGGCGTTCGGCAAGCGCGCATACGGCCGCGAGATGGAGTCTCAGCGGACGATCATCCGCGACCACCTCGACGCCGCACAGGGCTTCTCCGGCTGCACCAAGATGCCGTTCGCCGCCGAATGCGACAATGCCATCGCCATGACCATCGACCGCATCGCCGACGTGAAGAACGCGTGGAAGCCCGTTCTTTCGCACTCCGCGCTGCTCCAATCCCTCGGCTCGCTCGTGTCCACAGCGCTGGCTAAATTCATCACTGACATCGAAGACATGACCGACATCGCGGAGGACGAGTCGAAGAAGCTCCGCGGGTACTGCATCAGTCTCTCTTCTCTGTCTGCGCTTTTCATCACGGGAGACGACGACGGCGAGCAGAGGGACATGACGAGCGTGTACACGCCGAACTGGTTCAAATTCCAGTATCTAAGCGAGATCTTGGATTCGAGCTTGGCGGACATCAAGTATATGTGGACGGATGGGGAGCTGAAGTTGGAGATGGACGTCGAGGAGGTGCTGGATTTGATACGGGCGTTGTTTGCGGAGAGCGAGTATAGGAGGAAGGCTGTTGCGGATATTAGGAGGGCGGCGGGGCGTTGAAGACACGAAGGCTGGATGTGTGGGCAATGGAGTGTGCTCCCGGCAGATCTTGAGGCATGTTGATGATGAATGAATACTACGATTGGACGGGTTATTTGCTTCCACGCTTGTTCTGTGTGCAGGGCTCAGAAGATGAATGCGCGGTAGAGTGTATACTCCCACTGCAGATTTTGATGCATCTCGATAAGCAATGAAAACTACAATTGAACATATTTCTTTCCACATTTATTATGTGTGCAAATGGTCTCTTTGGCGTGCTGAATGAGCAGTTACGTGTACTCCCACTGCAGATCTTGGTGCATCTCGAGAAAAGTAATGAAGGCTACAATGGAACGGCATATTTGCTTTCACACTTGTCCTGTGTGCAGGGCATAGAAGATGAATACGTGAGCAGTAGAGTAGTCCCGCTGCAGATCTCCACGCATGCCAGCTTGTCTGCTTCATATGTAGGCAATCAGCACGATGACCAATGAATGCTACGATGGACCCCTGATCATGTCCTCAATTGACATTGTTTCCACACTTCTTTTGTGTGCAGATGGATTCTTTAGCATGCACTACATACCGCTCTCGATGGTCAGGAAAGGATCTATGATGACAATGCGGGCGATGTCGTGTGCGGGTGGCACATGTGCCGAGAGTTCCCGGATCGAAGGCACGGCCCTCATGACAACGGAAGACGTCTGATTGGTCGCTCTTTCTTTGCCCGAGGTCTTGCACATCGTGAACGTAACCACCTCCAAGACAGTTCGCCATCCCCACCCACGAATCCGCACACGCCCAAAATGGCCTCAACTCGCGCTCTCTGCCGTCTGGCTACGTCGCGGACAGGTATGCATCTTCTATACATGCCTGGGGGGCGCAATTGGAGCTCTGCTAACACCGCCCGCAGCTGCCGTCCGCCCAGCCGTCTTCGCACGCGCATTTGCCTCTGTCACTGACACCAAGGCCCGCGATCCCATCTCAAAGGTCGGCGAGGCGATTGTCCCAGATGCCGCGCGAGCACCCATCCCAGAGAGCAAGACGTCGACCGTCAAGGAGGCTGCGCCGAGCAAGGATGCGAAGATGAAGAAGTTCCACATCTACCGCTGGAACCCCGACGAGCCCACATCGAAGCCCAAGATGCAGTCGTATGAGCTCGACCTGAACAAGACCGGACCCATGATGCTGGATGCCCTCATCCGCATCAAGAACGAGATCGACCCGACCTTGACCTTCCGACGAAGTTGCCGTGAGGGCATTTGCGGTAGCTGTGCGATGAACATTGACGGTGTCAACACGCTGGCCTGTCTGTGTATGTATATGCACCATTCGGCATATGTGTCAGGAACTGACTGTCCTACCAGGCCGCATTCCCACTGAGCCCGCCAAGGAATCGCGCATCTACCCGCTCCCGCACATGTACGTCGTCAAGGACTTGGTGCCTGACATGACGCTCTTCTACAAGCAATACCGCTCTGTGAAGCCCTACCTTCAGCGCACTACCCCGTCACCAGACGTACGTTTCTTCAGTTATCTTCCCACATTTCGGTTTCGACTAACTTCTGAGCAGGGCCGTGAATACCGCCAAACCAAGGAAGACCGCAAGAAGCTGGACGGTCTCTACGAATGCATTCTCTGCGCCTGCTGCTCGACCTCGTGCCCGTCATACTGGTGGAACCAGGAAGAGTACCTCGGACCCGCCGTGCTGCTGCAGAGCTACCGCTGGATCGCCGACTCCCGAGACGAAAAGAAGGCCGAGCGCCAGGATGCGCTTAACAACAGCATGAGCTTGTACCGATGCCACACCATTCTCAACTGCTCACGGACGTGCCCCAAGGGGTTGAACCCGGCATTGGCAATTGCGGAGATCAAGAAGAGCATGGCTTTCACGTAAGAGGAGAGAGCTAGTTGGGAGCATGGTTTGAGTGGGTGGAGGACGAACTGCATCGTGTGCTTGGCTTGCGCTTTCGTTTCTGTTTCTTCGTGTATGTACATGCGCAGGTTTGGAGTAGGAGCTTGTATTTGTGAGAATGTATGCGAACCAATAGATTGACACATACTATCAATCGAACATTCCAAAGAACATCAAACAATACCTGGCCTTGGAGCTAGATGAATGCAGCAATGCACATGCACATGCGACGCCATCTGCTCGCGCTTCTTTCCATTGCGAGCCTGCGTGCGGGGTGGAAAGACAGGCTCGCTTGTGACATCCAATCCTCCACCAAAATCGATCCGGGGTATTTGCCCAAGTAAGGCACACGGTACGGCGTCAATCTCCACAAGATGCCTGCCATTATGCGAGGCTCTCCACCGTCTGGCTTTTACGCGGGGGCAGCCAATGGTTAGGCTTCGCGCTACACCATTCCTGACCAGCATCATGCCTCCTCTTTCCGCGCCTCACCCACAGTGCCATGGACACTTCTTACGCGCCCAAGACCTCCCTCAAGAGTTTGCACGATGGAGTCTGCGCAGTCGAAAAGAGTGTCCAAAGCATGTGACGCGTGCAAGCTGCGCAAAGTGAAGTGCAATGGACACGAGCGATGTCAGCAGTGCAGCCACCTCGGCTTGAGATGCGTCTATTCCATCTCCAACAAGACACGCTCACAGGGCAAGCGCGGACGCATAATCACTGAATACAAGAACAAGACCTCGAGTACCGCTGTCACGTCTCCACCTATCCTGCCGGCCATCACAGGACAGGTTGCTCTGCCGCAGCGGGGCCCTACTTTGGCCTTCTCGGAAGAGCTTGACGGATGTAAGTATATCACATGGCTGCAGGCGACTTCTGAAGAGTCCAATGTGTAAGCGTGTATGGGCCTGTGATACTAATTTACGCGCAGTGAATTCACCTATCGAGCCAGGCTTTCAATATGACCAATCTTTCTTCTTGGACCTCATCCCTGACTACATGGCAGGCGTATATCCAGTACAGCCTGTCATCCCAGAAGCAGAGCTCCGCGAGTACATCGCTTCCATGGATGTGGACCAAGAACTTCGCACCTTCGTATGTACTTTTGGGGCATGCACATTGAATCTCACGCGAGCGGGCGACAATCGAACCGACGAGGTTCTCCACAACATCGAAACGCTCACGAACTATGCCATTTCGACATTGAAGCCTGTTTACAAAACCTTTCGCTCCTCTGTGATCAGAGCAATGTCATCCATGTTCATACACAACTGCCTTATGAGCATGTCAGCCAGCGACGCTGCCTTCCATTACATTCGCGACGCCATTACCGCCGTCCAGCTGATGAGAGTCGACAACGCAGATACCATGGCTCAGTTACCCCCTCCGGAAAGATCTCGAAGGCAGCGTTTGTACTGGCAAGCTTACATCCACGAGCGATTTCTCGCGATTCTCGATTACCGCAATGCTATCCTACCACCTTTGAATGCTCTGCCGGAAGCTGACCCCAATATACCCGTCCAAGTTCATGATGGCTTCATTCAGATCATCAAGCTTTTCCGCCTTCTCGATCCCGAGTTCATCCAGAATTGGCTGGGTAGCCAGGGAAATGTCACCTCCACTTGGATTGAAGAGAAAACCCGGGAACTTGACGGCGATGAAGAGAGCAACGCGCGGGAACTCGCTAATCTGTCAACTGTAAGTACACCGCAATGGCGGTTCGATCGAAGCAGCACATGATTGACTGATTTGACCACGTAGATGCAACGGGCCGACCTCGCCATCACCCGAGAATGGCTTCGAACGCTCATCTGGCGCCTGGCAATGGGGAAGTCTCTATTATCATCAAAATCATCCAAAGAGTGCCTCTCTCTCCTGTTCCCTGTTCGGCTGTCGCAAAACCTCCGGCAACAAGTTACCAGCATGTCCCGACACGACATCGAGGTGCACGGCAGCAGCATCGTACAGAAGCTCTTCGAAATCACAGACACCATCTCCGACGTCCTCATTCATGTACCTGCCACCACGCTGGAAGAGACGTCCCTTCGCATCGACGACTTCCTGTTCATTCTCGACTTCGTCCTTCAGTTCCCGACGCTCGACGCCACGCGGAGGGGGATCCTGCTGGAAAAGCTGGAGCGCCTGCAGGGCCTCTTCCCCGAAGTGGTCAGCAGTGCGAGCTCTCCCAACCTGCCGATCGAGCTGCAGTCTCCGACCAACGACCCCTGGTACCAAGTCGCGCAGTCGAAGATCGGTCCGGACACGGATATGGACCCTGCTGGACTGCAGGGGCTCGCACCTCTGCCGTACATGGGCCCATCGCAGCCGAATCCAAGTGCGAACCATCATGCCGCCACTTGGAACCATATTTCTAGACGACTGTCGATGGCGCACTTTCCGGTGAGCTGAGGCGATGCATGCGCGCATCAAGAAGATATCACAAGCTTGTCACTGCATAGCTCTTTCCTTGAGTCGTTGAATCACGTACACGCATGTTGACATGGTTGAAGGAGGAAAAGATCAATTTTTATGTACTCAAAAGTGTATTTCAGAACATGAGGGGAGTCGAACGCATCGATCTGACACTCTTGCGCTTCAATTGCTCACGTTTGAATTGACCTGCTCGACGTGGGCTACCTTGTCGCCCTCGAGCTTCTTCTCCGACACGGATTCGTCCTCCTCGAATTCTTGCACGACCGTCTCCTTGAACTTGCGGGCGGACACGCGTTGCTCGAAGAGGATGTCGAGCTCACCGTAGGTACGGCCCTTGGGTTCAGGAAGGCGGAAGTAGGTCCATACTAGGCACAGGAAGCAGGTACCCGCCCAGAAGAAGGCTGATTTGGCGCCCCAATGCCAAGCGCTGGGGTTCAGCATACGGGGCGTCATGATGTTGCCGATGATGGAGCCGATGTTGTACCAGTTCCTGGCTAGGACAACGGTCTTCTGGCGGAGGCGCGACGATGGGATCTCAGCTACGAGGCAGTAGCAGACGGGGCCGACACTGGCGTCGTAGACGAATGTGAAGATGATCAACATGGCTCCAATCGACCATTGAACGCTGGAGTTGCCCTCGGGAGCAATACCGAGGAAGCCGATGATGAGCAGAATGGCGAGCATGACGACGAGACCCCACACGTACAAGGTCCGGCGTCCCACTCGGGGCATCAGCCACCAGGAGACAAATACACCGACAGCACCGATGGCATAGATACCCAGGCTCATGCTGAAGGCGTTGGAGGTGTCCAGGCCAGCGTTCTGGAAAAAGTACGTGGAGAACCCCATGAACGAGGAACCACACCACGCCTGCGTAAACCACGTCATGGCTGCGATTTCCGTTCGGCGCAGATCGGTACCCTTGAAGCAGTCCCAGTACGACGTCCCCTCACTGATGGCTTTCTCCAATTCGTTCGTGTGCTTGTACATGGCGATGGTCTCGTCGGCGTTGAAGTCGGGGTTCTTCTCGGGCGAGGCGAGACGCAGAACCATCTTCTTCGCATCCTCGTATCGTTCTTTCCTGACGAGCCACCACGGGGATTCTGGCGCGAAGGCAATGCCGATGATCAGCGGGATGGGATAGATCCACTGGATGGCATACGGAATGCGGTACGCCCACTGGTCCGGGCGCTCAGACACACCCTTGAGCACCCCCGACGCGATGAACTGTCCAAACACCCAGCAGAGATTCACATAGGTAGTGAGAATCGGCCGCAGCGGCACAGGCGTGACTTCAGCAGCGTACGTAGTCGTAAGCGTCTGGAACACGCCCCACGGCACGCCCACTAGAATCAATCCCACAAGCAACATCTGAATGTTCTGCGCAAAGAACAAGATGAAAATCAGGCCCGTCACCGCCGCCAAGGCACCTATCATAGTCTTCTTGAACCCATATTTCTCCGCGATGATACCATTCACCATCAGGCCTAGAATCTCACCGACGTAGGCGCCGTTGGTGAGCCCGGCTTGCCACGCGGCAGTCACCTCGTAGGAGCCGTCTGCGAGCTGGACGCCGAATTTCTGCTTGAAGGCGGGGACGGCCTGGAGGTTGGCGATGATGTTGATGTCGTAGCCTTCCATGATGATGGCGCCGCTGAGGAGGACGGACCAGGCGATGGCCTTGGGGTAGAGTCGGATGCCTTCCATCAAGGTCATCTTTTGCTCTGCTTTTGTCGCCTTCGTCGCGTCATGATTGAGCTGCGCGATGTCGGCGTTGTTGAGGGACATGCGGCGCTGTTGCTCGGCGTCGAGGGCGATGCTGTTGTGGCGCGACATTCTGCGAGGTTGGAGTGGAGTCCGGATACAATGCGCGGAGTGAAAAAGACAGGAGGTCTTCCTACGAGGGAAACCTCTGGCGATGGCGCTGTAGAGCTGGTCGCTGCGTGAAGTGAAGACCTTGCTCGATGCTGAACCTCACCCCCGGGCTCCCATCGTGTACTTATACAAAACGACTCGATCAATATGTCGCGCAGCACGAGCACGCACCTGCGCAGCCAAGCGAAGGCGTGAGGTCTAGGCTAGCGCCGGGAACGAGGTTCTTCCCCAGCTCTCCCCAGGTTCATTCTCCAGATTAGGATTGGGAAAGGCGTGAACGGGGGGACACACGCGAGGCGTAGCGGACGTTCATCGATTCTGGACCAGTCTCCTTGTGATCCCGGTGCAGCAGTGCAGCGCATTGGTGCATCTTCGGTCCGAGGGGGCCTGCGGCGCGGGAATGGCTGGTCACATGTTGTGCAGACGGCCAAAACGTCGAAAGAACCTGGTTGCAAGCGCGTGCATCACGCGATCCGCGAATCATGTCATACTCCGAGAATCTTCACGAGCTTCGGTGTGCGCTCGTCCATTCGTTGCATGTCGGCCCGAGAGCCTGAGAGCTGCACCAAGTGGGGAGCGCACAGCAAGTCGGAACTTTGGAGATGCACTGTGTGTGGGGAACACACGTTGACCCCCAGGGCACACCATCTCGGGGGGATTTGCGGTTGAGAGAAATGCCCTTTGAGGATGCGAGCCCGACAATGGACCACTGACATGGCCTGGAGATGCGTCGCGAGCTCGTGGTATCTATCGACAATCAAGAGAAAGATTGGGGAATAGGTGGAGCAGAGCACCCTTAGCCAGGTCGGCGGGTTGTGCCTGAGGTATAAGGGTCCAACGCGCCTTCTGCAAGCCACCAGAGAGATACTAGAAATACTTTGTACGTCAAAGTATTGACTTCTCGTGCCGACTTGGTGTTTGCCTTGTACCGATTTCGGCGTCCTTTGCGTCTGTGTCCACATTTTGCCTCTTTGTATTCCCGTTACACACACCATCATGACTGTCACAGAGCGCAAGTGGTGGAAAGATGGCGTCGTCTACCAGATCTACCCCGCCTCGTTCAAGGACTCCAACGGCGATGGCATTGGCGACTTGAACGGTATCCTCTCTGAGCTGGACTACATCCGCTCCATTGGCGTGGACACCATCTGGATATGTCCCATGTACGACTCTCCGCAGGTGGACATGGGCTATGACATCCGCGACTACGAGAAAGTGTACCCTCCCTACGGCACAAACGAAGACATGGAGAGGCTCATCGCCGAGACGCACGCTCGCGGCATGCGCATCGTCCTCGACCTGGTTGTAAACCACACTTCTGATCAGGTATGTATATCCCGTCCCGGTCCAGCTATACTATACATCTCGCAAAAATGCTAAGATAAGTACAAGCACGCCTGGTTCCAGGAATCCCCGCTCCTCAAAAGACAACCCCAAGCGCGACTGGTACATCTGGCGGCCTGCCCGCTACGTGGACGGCAAACGCTGCCCGCCCAACAACTGGCTGGGTAACTTCGGCGGCTCCGTCTGGATGTGGGACGATCACACGCAGGAGTACTACCTGCACCTCTTCTGCCCCGAGCAGCCGGATCTCAACTGGGAGAACCCCGTCACGCGGCAGGCGATCTACAAGTCTGCGATGGAGTTCTGGCTCGAGCGCGGCGTCGACGGGTTCAGAGTTGATACCGTGAATATGTACAGCAAGGGCGAGATGGTAGATGCGCCGATTACGGATCCAAGAAGCGAGTGGCAGTTTGCAGGACTCCAGTACTGCAATGGGCCGCGCATGGGGGAGTTCCTAGGGGGAGATGAACGAGGTGCTGCAGCGGTACGACGCCATGACTGTGGGAGAGTGTCCTAACACGCCGGACATGGCGCGCGTGGTCAAATACGTGTCTGCCAAAGAACGCCAGCTTAACATGGTGTTCCAGTTTGTACGTCAAGTCCACTCCTCTTCCTCCTTTGCATTTCCATCGCCGTGCCAACCCTACACCGAAAAAGCAGTCAGCTGATGAACAGCAGGACGTAGTCGACATCGGCCAAGGCCCCTACAAATTCCAAACCACACCTAAGAACTACACCCTCCCGCAATTCAAGCGCGCCATCGCAACAACACAGTCCCTCCTCCGCCTCTCCCCAGACGCCTGGACAACCGTCTTCCTCGAAAACCACGATCAGGCCCGCTCCATCACGCGCTTTACTTCTGACGCGCCAGAGCACCGCGTCGCAGGCGGGAAGCTGCTCTCCCTGATGATGTGCGCGCTGTCCGGCACGCTGTTCATCTACCAGGGGCAGGAACTCGGCATGACGAACTTCCCGCTGAGCTGGGACATGTCTGAATACAAGGACGTCGACTCGAGTAATTACTATAAGATGGTTGCGCAGCGCAGCGGCAACGATCCGCAGAAACTTGCTGAGGCGAAGGCTAGTCTGCAGCATCTTGCGCGGGACCACGCGCGCGTGCCGATGTCGTGGAGTACCGCTCCGTCCAACGGGTTTTCCCCCGCGGATAGTAAGGCTGAGCCGTGGATGCGGCCGCTCGAGGACGCACAAGTGTGTAATGCGGAGCAGCAGCGGGGGGATAAGGCGTCTGTGTTGGCGTTTTGGAAGAGGATGCTTGCGCTGAGGAGACAGTTCAACGACCTTCTTGTTCATGGGGAGTTTGACGATCTGGATGAGTCTAATCCTGACTTGTTTATCTTCAGCAAGACGTGGCAGGGGAGGAAGGCGCTTGCGGTGTGTAATTTCACGGATAAGGTGCAGAGTCTCGACTTGCCTGAGGGGGTAAGGAATGGGAAGAGGGAATTGTTGGTCTCGAGTGCGGACCGGGGGACGAGGGGAGATGGGGGCTTGGGAGGGGCGCGTGTATCTGCTCTCGTAAAGGTCGTAGGTGGACTGTCCGGGTTGAGGGATGGTTAGTGGGGAGAGCGTTTCTTTTCTTTTGATGTGGATGACGGGCTGGGTGCACGAGATTGTGCATGTGAAGAGAGATGCTGTGGACACAGCGCATGATACCACGCACGAAATTAAACTCGAGTTCTCGTAAGGCCTGTAGGAATCATCGTCTCTCTCATGCATGTGTACGCCTATATACATTTCAGCAGCCATGCACCTTACACTTTCAAGCATATGTCCAATTATCCACGCCTTATCCTCCAATCTTAGCGTCTTCCTTTTGAATCTAGGCAGATTATGGAAACAGCGTTACTGGGATCCCATCGACGGAATGGGCCCGTGAGGCTTCACAAGTGTTCATGTTCGTTTCACGTATAGATTGCCACAGGTGTTTAGGCGGTGTAGGCCTACTTACTATTCTCTTTACTATTCTATTCCATATAGCAGTAGTGAGATACAGCAGGCTACCAGCTAAGTATTATATTAGGGCGATCCTCGCAAGGCTGGGCTGTACGCTTTTGGAAGTGAACGGAGGCTTAACGTTGGCGAGGGAGCGTCTAGGCTACCGTCATCAGGGTGGATGGTAGGGCTAAGATGTGAAGAAGATAGACTGACCCACGAGGCGAGAAGGACAGGATTGGTATGCGGTTGGAGGATGGGATGTTTGATATGCGGATGGGTCTGGGTCGAGCGCAGATACTGGACTGTGTACCAAAATGTAGTCCAGTCGCGAGAAGACATACGCATTGAAAACCTCACATGGACGTAGATCGTATATAGTACCAATACCAGCGCTACATGCATTGCCCAAGAAAAACTGCTACCTCGCTATGCCTTTATGTACGCTTCATAACTCATAGTTCATCAATCTCCTGCACATCCTCATCAGGCTGCTTGGGATACTTCCTATACCAGTCCTTCGGATCGCCTCCCGGGACGCACAGCCCCAGCCGCCAGAAATAATCCCTGTGCGCGAAAAACAATTGCCAGAATTTGAAGCGCGCGGGAATACCCCAGCTCGGGCCGTCTGCGTCCGTCCCAGCGATACACTTGCTGTCTTCGTCGCCCTCGCAATGGCGGATATCCTCCACCTCCAGCGGTAAATCCGGCTTGGGAAATGAAGAGCTCCTCGCTGTGCATCGTGTACCCCCATTCCGCGAGCGGAAGGAGAGGCACGGGGTCGTCGTAGTGTGTAACGCGGTGGTACAGGTTTGTCTCGCGGTTAGAGGAGATGTTAAAGCGGGCGTTGATGTAGGCCATGAGTTCTGCGTTTCCGACGCGCGGCTCGCCGAAGGTGGTGATGCGCGGGGACCAGCCACGCGCTTTGAGATCGAGGGCTGCAAGTGCGGCGACGGCGCCGCCGAGGGAGTGGCCTACTAGGACGATCTCGTAATCTGGATGGGCCTCGATGGCTTCGGTCAAAGCGGGGAGAATCGCTTTGCGGGTGTTCAGCCAGGAAGAGTAGAAGCCGGTGTGGACGGTGCAGTTTGTGCACTTGGGAGGGTCGGCGGGTGGTGGTTCGTCGGCGGCGGTAGGAGGCGGGCTCGGGGCGAGGAAGTCGGAGGTGGCGCCGTCATCGTCGTCGCCGGGGTAGGGGACGTATTCCTGTGGGATGGTGGACAGGTCGACGATGGTGTTGGCGATGGAGTAGGTGCCGCGGAAGGCGAGGATGATGCGTGGGCGCGAGGGAGGATGCGAGAGGGCGATGTAGCCGCAGGAGTCGCTGAAGAGGGGGCCGGTGTTCCACGCCTGAGAAGTGTTAGCCTCTATGTTATTGTACTGTGGAGAGTACATACAGTGACCAGCTCGAAGTCCTTGAAGTCCTCGTCGCCGCAGTGGCTCGCGCAGCTGAAGGGCTTCTGTATGCCCAGTCCAGCAGTGCCTACGCAGTAGGAGATGTCGACTATGCGGGCGAGCTCCTCGAGCTCGAAGAAGAGCTCGCGGGTGATGGTGTCATTGGCGCGGGTGGCGAGGGGGGTCTGCGCAAGACCAAGAGCGCTATGAAGGAAGGCGAGGCATATCACGCAAAGTATGAGGCCGAATGCGCTGGCCATTGAGTAGACCGTCTCACATGTTCCTTGGGTAGAAGTGGAGGTAGGGGTAAGCAGGAGGATCGTACGAGGCAGGACGGGCAGCCTATGTAAGATGGTGAGGTCACACGTTGGGGCCACGCTACGAGGGTGTGACAGTGGCATTCATCCGTCCGGGGAAGAAGCAGGCTAAGCCCCAAGCAGGCCTCGCAACGGCGCGTTCCCAATGCTTGCAGCGGTTCCGCCCAGCGTCGGCGCCAAGGGGCTCCTATGACGTCTCCCAAGCCGTGAATGGCAGGATGCTGCGCGGAGCCAAGTGTCTCTCGTCCATCATGTCATAAAGACACGCCATGCAACCTGCTTACAACTCCAATCACAGCGCCGTCTAGCACACCTCCTGCATCCTAGACCTCCGCTGATAAGAATCGACGGCTTCCGCTGCTTCCCGGAGTCGTGACTTTAAGGTTCCCGACGAGCTCGCAGACACATCACATTCATTGCTCCGAGAGGAGACGCGACGACATTCACATGGCGAGTACACAGCACACGGCATCGACGGAGCCGCTGAGGCAGGACGCCACGATGCAGCCAGAGGTTGCCGTCGAGCCGCCGACGCCGCAAGACACGCCGCAGACCGAAAAATCACTCGACCCGTTGCGACAGCCCGCTACGGAGGGCATCGAAATGGCCGACCACCGACTCACACAACCTGCCACCCACCCATCGCTACAGATCCCCGGCATTGCCGTCGCAGACACTGATGGCACCTCGGACGACCGTGGTCGCTCCACCACTGCAGGTGCTGCTACGCCCAATGGCAACCTCAGCGCCCATCCTTCACGGGCACCCTCACCGAACCCTTCGGCTCACCCTTCGGCTCTGTTCCCACACACGCAAGTCGTGTTCGAAGACCCAGACTTCGCGACCCCGCCGCCGCTCAATTACAGCTTGCGTCCGCGCAAGAAGAGCATCTTCTGGTTCTGGTTCTTAATCTTCCTCGACTGCGTGTGCATGCCCATTGGCCTGTACTTTGGCATGTGGTATGGCCTGACGCGAGACCAATTGAGCGCAAATGCCGTCTTCAGTATCAGCACGGCGTTGTTGGGCACAGTCAGTATCGTGGAGTATTTTATCCGGTTCAGGAGACTTTGGAGGAAGAACTCGAATTGCAGGGTTATAGGAGCTAAGAGATTCTACGTAAGTTATTCTGGAGCTTGAGATGCATCGATTAGGTACTGACGATTTGTTAGTTGGACTGGTTCCACTGGAATCTTTCCGTCGGTTGGTTCTTCGTCATGATCGAGCTCATCGCCGGCACCTGTCCGCACGACCCACCCATCCGCCTCCTCGCCATCCCTGCCTCCACCATGCTCTTCGCCATCGGCGTCGAGCTCCTCCTCGTCGATGTCCTGCGTTTCGCGGGTGTTCGCGCGCCCTGCCGTATCTCCTCTCTTCCTATGGGCGCCCCGCTCCGCCCGGGCATCTACGCCTACATCGAAGACATCTGCGCAGTCGACGGAAGCGGCGGCACCGAGTTCAGGCAGAGGTTGAACTTGAGATACCAGGCGAGCAAGGCGTTCAGAGAGATGCTGCATCGCTTGACGCTGTTTTGGGCTATCGGAGCGATTGTTTGCTCAGCGGTCACGGTGGCCATCGTCTTCACCATCCAGCGCGATGCCGCCTACATCGTAAGTTCTTTTCACATCTCGTTCTCAAACGCAGCACTAATTGTTTAAGGTCGGTTGGGTCCTCCCCTTTCTCTGGGCCGGTGTCTGGACCGCCATCACCATTCCCTGGGTACAGCGCAGCCTGGCCCACGAGTACGAGCAGTGGACAACCGCAAAGTGGAAAGCTTAGGAGCTAGACTAGACCCCTCCTTGTTGTTCATCGCTATTTTATTGCTGTGTATAATATGCCGAGCTTAGGCATGGCGGCGGCGTTATGGGATGCCTGGGTACAAAGGGTGCTATATACCATTTACAGAATGATACGCATAGGAGTTTACAATGGAAGGATCCATCGTTACACACAATCTAAATCTTGCATGGCATTCTTAACTCGCTCGTGATATATTTTTTGGTCGCTTTTGTGCATTTATCACGCAGTCGACGTAGGGCGCGCGCACTGATCCGACCGCCGACATGGATTCGCTCCTCTTTTTTTTTTCATCGATATCATACGATCCGGTTTAGGATGGTGATGTCAGGACAATCACAATCCCATGTGTGGACCCTTGTCCTTGTCCTGGCATGGCCTGCCGCGCGGACCCAAGGGCCCCAAGCCAAGTCAATGACGGAGCCCAAGGAAGCGATCGGCGCTCGGCTGTGCAAGACTACATGCACGACGCTGGGAATTGGCGGATGGATTATTTCCGTGTTGGAAACACATTTACTGTGTGCTATTTTGAAATGGTTGCACGGTGGGCTGAGGGCTTACTCTAGTTTTGCCTCCGATGGGAGATGTATTTGTGTTGCAAGGAAGTATATACAATAGGTATGCGATGAGACTAACGTGTACATAGTCGACTTGCAAAGAAATATGGATCTATCGAGGATCATGATGAGTAGAGGGAAGGGGGTCTACTCTTTGTGACATGAGAGCCGCGAGTGGAAGATAACGCAGGTGCAGAGCAAGCTGATTGTTTTGCACATTATGGATACTACGGGTATGGTATGGTGTTTCCTCTATTCGGAAGACAGTATCTGAGCGGGAAGGAACCCATGAGAGAAAGAGGCATTAAAGTGTTACTGGAAAAGGGTGTGGGTATCTATGATTGAAGAGGAGGGAAGCAAAGCAAGTATTACCTGGTGATGTGGGATGCAACGCCCCCATCCCACTCTCACCCTTACACACCAACCACCCAATCCCCCTTCCAGTCCGCCTTCTCCACCTTCATCCGCTCATACTTCTCCCGCAGCTCCGCAAGCACCGCCCTGTACTCCTGCCACTTCTTGACCGGGTCGTCCTCCACAACCAGCACCGGCTCCTTCTTGACCTCCCTATTGCCTGGGGAGTTGAAACCCCGCTGGATGACCGTCTTGTGCGCCTCTGGATCGGGAGGAGAGTCCTGGATGGGGGCGAACCGCGGAGGAATGAGCGGGGGTGCTGCCAGGGGTCCTGGGTGGACTTGACGAGCGTTGCGATGAGGGCATCCAGCCCGAGGAGCAGTGCCCTTGCCCAGGGTAGGGACTTTGACTTGACGAGGGCCTGAGTTACCCCCGGCTCCACCATCGGCTGTGTAGCCCTCCAGAGTAGTAGGGAGAGCTGCACTGAGGAGGGGGCGGAAGGGAGCAAGACGGCGAGGAAGGGCTGGTGGGGCCGGGAGTGACTTGATGGGTATCGCGGCGGAGGTGCTGTGAGGGGATGCCTCAGGGTGGGGATGCAGATGCGGCGCTCGAGCACGTATGGCGAGCGGGCGCACCGCGATGGGGCGGTCTGTGATGAAGAGGGTCGTGCCAGCGGGGAGGGACTCAGGACTGGAACCGACGGCGCAACCGGAGGAGGAAGTCGACTGATGTGGCTGCACCATGGTGGAGCTTTGGTGGTGGTGGTTGAGTGTGTGTCTTGAGGAGAGAGTGCGCGAGTGCTTTACGGATCGCGGGCGGTAGACGACGTAGAGTTCGTAGATTGTGTGCGGGAGCTGAAATTTGATGTTGTTGTGCAAAAGGCGACTGTGGAGTTGAAGTTTTGTGTACTGTTGTGGGCCGAAGTGCAGCGGTGAAGTGAAGACAGGCGCAAGAAGCAACCGCACAATCAATATCAAGTGGGTAGGTTTTGGAAGAGTGTATTGAATGGAGTTAGAGCGAGCTTCAAGAGTTCGTCGACAGATTGCGTGCTGCACCGAAAGAGTTGCAAAGAAGCTTTCCCAGAGCTCACCTAGCAACAGTGCACGGGACAGCCTTGAAGGCAGCACCCACCGCGTGCAAACGGGCGCGCCAGGTGATGTTGACAATTTGCGATCAGTGCGTATGGAAAGTACGTTTTTTGAGAGCGTCAAACAATGTCTATTGCTTATACTTGGTTTGAGCACACCGACTTTCCCTTGCAAGTCTGATCGTGAGTCGGACATAGGCATATGGAGTGGCTGTATCCTGGATGATTCGTATAGCTCCCTCCCGCAATTGAAAGCTTGTTGTCCTAGATACTAATTCCCTTCATACCTCTTTCCAAGGATCGCAACAGCTTTCTGTAAGTGGTTATACATCGTTTAACCCCCTCACACTTGGTGATATGGCCTGAGTAATGTGTGAGTCGCAGTTTTTATCTATTAGTAGCTTTATCCGGGCAGGGTTCCAAGTCGGACAATTTCGCCATACGACGGCCTGGGATACTTGTCTGAGTATCCACCCCAGTAGCATATGGAGTGTGGCCTTAGCAGTCCCAACCATCATGTACAGTCTTTTTTCATTCAGATTGCATAAAATTATAGGATATAAACAGCACTTTCGAGTGAGACTTCAAGATCCGATGAGGGAAGTGGAGTGAGTCGGATTGGAGGTGCGCATGTTGGAAGTGTAGATACTAGGAAAGTTGTCGTTGTAGCATCGTTGAAAGCAATGGTGAGGCAGACCGTTGAAGCAAAATGCAAAAGGATGTGGAAAAGTTCAGTGATGCGATCAGTATGGAAACTATCTAAGGGGAGGCTTGGGAGGGTTTTAGCTCAACATTTCTTTCTTTTCGTTAATTCAACCTGGTCACTCCGCAACCTGCCTCCACAACGGCTGTTGGCCCAAGGAGCAGGGTCGAACGGCATGCCCAGACTGTGGTGAGATTTGGATATATCCACTGCAACATCCAGGCTGTGAAATGAAAGCATGCCCGAGGTGTCAGCAGAAGTGCGGCCCAGGTGTCCGCGTAATGCGGCGAGAACAGGTCGAAGAGCACCTCCATGGATCAGAACACCAAGCCCAGATTTCGGCTGGGACTAATACTAAAGACTTAGCTTTGTGGGCAGAAGGTTCTACAAGGTTCAGTCTGCATAGACTTTGGCGCTAGTTCAAGAAGAGCTGAAGCTTTCACACACTTAGTCACATCTGCTAGATCAAGATTCGAGGCCTAGAGTTTGGTAATGTCTGTCTATTTTCTAGAGCGAATGTTGCGTCCTCTGCCTGGCATTCTACTACCATTAACCTTACTACAATCTCTTTAGACATCCACTCATAATGCAGGCGTGATTTATAAGAGAATCTCTCGTTGCTGCTGCTACACTCTGAATAGACTACACAACTTGTTTCCAATCTAATGATCCGCCAGAAGACTGCATCAAAAGTGCCCTGGGATATTTCATCTGGTACACCATGTCACTCTAGGAGGAGGAATGCAGTTCCCAAACTCTTGACCTGGTAATGCACACTATCCGTCCCTTGGTCTTAATTAAAGCGAATACCATCATCACACTATTTCCATTCAATGCGTTACCTCCATAATCGAAGCAGCATTGTACCTGAACTAAGCATTCTTCTCTGTTGCTTTCTTAGGGTTATATGCAATCCTGCTCGTGTCCAGACCACAATCCGTGTCGAGGTAAGTTCTGAGAGACACATGCTTCTCGACGCCCACGGCCACAAGCCCAGCGGCCCCAAAAGCTACAGCAGTGAGCCACATGGACTTCAATGCATCCAAGTAGACTTCGGAGACTTGCGATTTTGCATTTGGTGGTAGGGGTCGAAGGAATGCACCTGTAGACAATTGATATGCTCTTCCTCAGAGTGCGGCACGGACCACATCATCCTGTATCTTCCAGGACATTCGGTCAAGGCTGTTGTTGAACATGATACTGGGAATGGTGATGCCCCAAGCAAAGCCGAAGCTACGCAAAAAGGAACAATTCCTGTAGCCATAGCAACATCTTCCTCCGGCAATGAAGCGAGGACAGTAGGTAGGGTGGTCGATAGGATACATGCTCTCCCCAGAGCGTCGACAATCTGAAAGATCACCCAGGTGGCCTTAGGCGTGTTTGTCGTCAATAACAGGTTCAAGCCAGGATCAAGTGGACCCCAAGCCCTGTACAGTTCGAGCCGCGATCATACTTGTTGTACTTTTCGCTCCTCCAGCAATACCACTTCCTAGCGCGAAGATCATAACCGTAATAATCATTGGCCGTCGCCGACCAAAAATGTCGCAAAGTTGAGCAAATGTAGGCTGAATGACGGTTTGAGCGAGGAGGAAGCAGTTGACGACCAGTACATATTGATTCTCGGAAGATACAGTCGTTGGTCTCTGCGGAAGTGCTATCGCGATGATCGAACCGTCGAGAGATGACGTGAAGGCGATCAAACATAGCGACGCTAATACTAGCCAGAAAGCGAGCCCTTTTCTGGAAGGTGTGGATTTACCAGAAGTCGCTGCTTCTGCGGTGACTGTGTCAATCTGTTGCATGTTGTCTTGAGCTAGGAGTTTCGAAATTGGACGAGTTGTGACACATGATGGGTTGGCAATGGACTCCTCCGCCATGAGATGTCCGAAGGGCGCCGGCATCACCAGCAACATCAGCACAGTTATATGCATATATCAATGTGTGGTCTTGTTCACTCCACGTACGATGATTCGTGCAGTGTTGCGGCGTAGTTGCGGGGTTTATAGTCGCGCCGCGTTTGAGCCGCACAACAAAAATATCACGGATGCAAATTCGAGGCTCACTTTCGTATCCTCATCGATACTTAATATGGCTACCTCGAGACTTCTCTACACCTTAGGTGCGCCACTTCTATCCTCATTCCTCTACTTATTATGTATTGCCTACCGAAGGCGCTCCCGAATCCATGCCTTGCGCAAGCACGGAGTGGTACGACCTCAACCCACGCATTATCATATTCATACACTAATACAACCCAGGCAATGCCAGCTGGATGGAGCTGGTGCTTCGGCCACCTCCGTGTACTAGACCAGAAACTGCAGCAATTGCCATCCGACGCAAACATCTACCTGGCCATGGAGGACATGGAGAACCACGCCGATGCGGAAGTCTTCCTAATGGACTTATGGCCGGTCTTTGAACCAGTGCTCATGATCTCTGGTCCTGATCTTGCGATCCAGGCGTCTACTACCTACGAATTGCCAAAGCCTCGGGATCAGACAAATTCGATGCGGCCAATGATTGGGGGAGCCAGTCTCCTCACGATGAACGAGCAGCAATGGAAGGTGTGGAGGTCGCTTTTAAACCCGGGGTTCAGCTCGTCGCATATGCTTAGTTTGGTTCCGACTATTGTGGACTCGGTGGAGGTATTTCGCGAGCAGTTGCGTGGGCACGTTGATAAGGGGGGTGTTCAAGCTGGATGATATGGCAACTCGTCTCGCAATGGACATTATAACGAAAACAACTCTGTATGTATTCTGTTCACCTGACATATGCGCACCATGCTGATTAGCACCCAGTGATACCGACTTAAATAACCAGCGTTCAGAGCATGAGATCTCGCACGCGTTGAATACGATCTTGAATTGGCATTCCTTTTGGGACCCTCGAATTCTGCTGAACCCACTGAGGCCGGTCGTGCAATGGTATTATGGCCGGATCTTGAAGAACTTCATCATTCAAGAGCTTCAGAAGCGATTTGACGAGATGAAGCTTGAGAGATCAAAGTCTAATGCAATTGAAACGAAGAAGGCGAAGTCCGTAGTCTCCCTGGCGCTCGAGCAATACATTACTCAGAACCAGAACAAGGATCCGCACAGCCTCAACGACCTGCATCTAGACAACAACTTCGCTCAGATCGCTTCAAATCAGATAAGCCTCTTCATATTCGCCGGCAACGACACAACAGCGACAAGTATCGTCTACGCATACCACATGCTAGCCTCATATCCCCACACACTCTCCACCCTCCGCGCAGAGCTCAATACTATCTTCGGCGTTGATGGAAAAATTGCGAATCAACTCAAAGAAAACCCAGCCCTAATCAACCAATGTCGCTACACACTCGCAGTCATCAAGGAAACTATGCGTCTTTATCCTCCCGCATCATCGATTCGAGAGGGCACAACCAGTGTTTCGCTAGTAGACCGCAAAGGAACTGTAATTCCTACCGAAGGTCTCAACGCCACGATCATGCATCGTTTCGTCCACATCAACCCGCGTGTTTGGCCTCGACCAATGGAATTTCTCCCTGAGAGGTGGTTAGTCGAGCCTGGACACGAACTACATGTGCCTACAGCATCTGGTGCGTACCGTCCTTTCGAGCACGGCCCGCGCAACTGTATCGGACAAACTCTGGTGATGAACGAGCTACGCGTCACTTTGATCATGACTGCACGAACCTTTCGCATTACACCTGCTTATGAAGAATGGGACGCTTTCAAAACTGCGAACGAAATTTCGTGGACGAGATTGGCAAGAAAGCTGGGCATCAAAAAGGATGAACCAAAGCCTCCTCGAGGGGAGAGAGCATATCAAACCTCGAGATCTGGTGCGCACCCTGCAGAAGGCTACCCTTGCCGTGTAACCCTGATTTAGGACGCATCGATGGGGAAATCATGTAAAAGCACTGTTAAGGCCACGAATCACATCTTGCTTCTCTTCTTTCATCATTTGAATCCCCACAGTTTATTAATTTAGTGGAATCGAGCTGACAAGAAGTTCACTATTCGAAGCAAAACTTTCTACATGACGGTTTCTGGCTTATGTTCACCCAGGCTAGCCAGAGACGGATGACTCAGTGTCAAGACGGTTCCTTTGGGGATTCTGAATCCCCGAATATAGGTATCCGACATGGTAGTGACACAAAACCTGGACCAGGAATCTCGGAGAGAGGAAAATTCAATCGGATGAGAAGTGGTGTGAGATAGAGAAGCTTCGTTCCAACAGCAAACGTTGTGAGTGCCGGTACTGTACTTAGATACAAAGTGGATACAACGCAGTGGAAGAGGTCTCGGACGATAGCCATGTTGTTGCTGTAATGCTGAAATCGCCTAGCGCTGAGGTTTACGGTGAACTATAATCAGAAGGAGCTGTGAAGTGAATTCAGTGAAGAACAACATGAGTAGATGGAGGACTGAAGCACCGCACTTTTGCTCTATCTTGGGACTTGTTTGACCCAAAAAATGTGCGCCACTGCTCGGTCCGATACTGGTCACGCGCGCGTCTGCGGTTGTGCGGTGCGGTCACAGTCAAAGATGATACCTGCATGCACTGCGCCATGCATATGCAATAGCGGTTGTGGCTCCTAATTTCCGCTCGCTCACCGATCACGGAGTAATTGTAACAGCATACGTGTCCATGTGGTGGATGCATTCTTTCCAAAGACTTGGTTTCCGCCCCCCATGTCGGGGACACCCGCGCGACAGCGCCACACGAGCGCAGAACCACGCAATAAACTTCTTCGGTAAATGTGATCGGTGATATTAGCCTCGTGAGTTCAATGTCAGAGTAAATGGGGAGGGCCACTTGTGTCCGACAAGATATATCTTAGTGATATCCTAGTTTTCTGGTAAGCATCAAAGTCTCTACGACTGACTTACAACATCAAGTCGTAGAATCACTATGGCTGGCGCTGATATGCCCCGATGGATGTGGGCACTGGCGGATGATTTTCCATTCGTCGAGCCTCCAGAGGTAAAGTCCACGGACCTCAAGTGCTGTTCAGTGGAATCTACTGATCGTCAGTAGGGCATCATACCTGACTTTGATCACCCAAAACTCACAGGGTATCACTCACTTACCATCGAATGTAGCATTTGCATTGTCTTAGCTGTGGTCTTTGCCGCAGCACGATTTTATGCAAAGGTCTGGATCATCCGCAAGGCCAGCATAGACGACTGTAAGGATTGTGATCTCCTCGCTACACAGCTAATGTCTGTAGACTTCTTCTGGGTTTCTCTGCCTATGATCTTAGTCATTTTGAGCTTGTACACTTACCGTAAGAAAGCCTTCGCACTCCAATGCGCGACTTCAGTTGATATGAATAGTTGACAATCACGGCGCATATGGCTACCACGCGTATGATATTAAGATCCGGACTTTGACGAAGCCAATCCTAGTTGTGAGTAGATAAATCTTTGTGCGAAGGCAACAAGCTGAACCTCAAGTGCACTTTCCTCTCTCAAATTTTCCTCTCAGTAACTTCCTGGCTGATCAAAGCGACACTCATGTTTCTTATACTGGGAGCGTTCAGAACAATCAAATGGTTGCGAACCATGTGTTGGATTGGCATCATCACTACGTTTCTCTTCTACTCTGCCCACTTTGCTATCAACGTCTCGTCCTGTCGGCCTCGGGGAGGGACGGACCGTATATCGTTTCTAGCGGGAATGGCAAGCCGCGAGTGTGCGGCCTCTGATTCGGCAATACAGAGAATGAGTTTGGCTGCAGGCATATTTGGTTTGATCAGCGACATCTATATCTTGATCATACCATTGCCTGCTGTCAAGAAGCTCAACATCCGAAAGAAGAAGAAAATTGGTGTTTACATTATCTTCTCTTCTGGGGTTTTGTTAGTTTTGACTTATCGTTAGAGTTCTACCAATTGCTGACTTTAACAGGGCCTGCTTTTTCAGCATACTTTCGTTGAGTTTTCGTATCAAATCACAAGGCACGAAGGATCTGTTCGTGGACAGTATCCCCAACATGGTTACCCAGTAAGATCAATGCACTCCCTGTCATCATTTTTCTGGAGGTAACACCGTTACAGTATGGTCGAACTCACTGTGGGTCTCATCATAACCTGTATCGCACCCGTGTCAAAGCTCACCCGGCTTCTCCTCGATAAACGCCTAGGAGATTTCTTCGGTGGTAACACGTATCGGACAGGCTCTGGTGAAGAGAAAAGAGAGAAGCAGCCTCGCCGCAAACACTTTCCAGGCGGTTTATCTGAGCTTGATTCGATGAAGACTTTCGGAACAACCGTTGATACCGAGGGCAAGCGTGCAACATCTTGGGAGGCGTGAACACTCCTTTGACACATCAAAGCTCTACCGTCACCGCTCAGGTCAGTGCTGGAGTGTGAGAGGAGCCAGTCTTTTTGAGAACATCTATTACAAGACTCGATCTACGTTCCTGGTACCTGAGTCATCAGCTCTTTAAGTGCATCATCCGGAGGTGCCTCATCGAACCCTATTATTCTCTTGTATTTTGGGCATTCCTGCCAATGGGATATCGTTCAATGTAAGTACGCAGAGCAATAGCCATCATCCACGATTTCATGAGGTTTTTCACAAAACTTTGTGCATTGGTCCTTTCCACAAATGAACGGCAACTCCGCGCCCGAGGTTTCAAGCATACAGTAATAAAGCTGTACCTGATAGGCACCACATCTCGCCCTTGTGCTTCTCCCAGTTACTAGCATTTGTATCCTTTAATCGTGGCTTCGTAAGCACATGCAGCAAACATCCCATCGATATCCCACTCCTTTTCTTCCCGTTTATGCCCACAGCAACCACTCATCCTCTCACCGCTCATTTCCCCTCTCGACCGCCCACAGACCTGTCTAGGTCGACCCACAGCTCACTTTCTAAACTAAAAATCGACACCCCTCACAATCCTGTCGACTCGGATGATCTCACCCGAACCACTCATCTCCCGTCAATCTAAAAACTTATCAATGAAATCCATTGTATATGTATTCATTTCACAGGAACACCCCCTCTTGATGATAGCAAGCATCCAGCACCGTAATCTCGTCTTCACAAGCGCTTGCACTGCGCTTACACTGCACTGCTGTGGCAGACCAGCGCCAACACTCATCACCTCACCTCACAACTGTACATATCAAGCGACGCGCCTCTCCACCCATCCCATTCCGTCTGTTCGAACGTAGCTAAGGAAATTGTTGCGACAAGCTCCGCTTCTCGCAAGTTTTTTTAGGCTTTAATTTCACCTCCGTCGAGTAGCAGAGATCCTTCTGACCAATAGTCCAAGGCAAGACAACATTACCTAGTCTGGTCAATCGTGAAGGTCCTTGTCGAGAGTGGGATTATGCGGGTGTTGAACGCTCGAAGGCGCAGCGTTGGCCTGCAATGCTGTAACGCCGTATTGTCAAGGTAGCGAGTTTGGCGGCACTCGGAATCCAGATAACTGAGTGGATGGATTACATTACGGCGTGGAAAGGGTGTTTAGTATCACCGGTGCCCCATCGTGCGAGAGGTCTGGGGCCGCGGACTAAGTGATGTTGTAGCATGGCTAGGAGACACTGAGGAGTTGGAAGGACATTGTGACGGTCTGTGCTTGAAGGGGGGAGCTAGTAGAAGCATAAACTAGGAGTCATGTTGGCGGGTATAAAACGTTCCTTCGTCAGTGCAAGCTCAGCCCATGTGCTGAGTTAGTCATCATTAATGATATATGTTTACTGTACAATCGTACACTTGCTTCCTGTCCCCAATCGTAATCGTCCGAATCCATCCCAACCCAAACCCGTGCCAGAACGCCAATGCTATGTTTACATGTACAACCGATAAAACGCAACGATGTGGGTATCTTATATGCTACGTCCGCACCGAGGGGAGGAGATATGTGAGAGTGCTCACGCAATATTACCCGCCAGTCCCAAGAACAGCGCTTGGGCTGCGAGCTGCAGCGTCCATATGCCGACTTTCTTTATGCGGCGCTTGCGGGCGGTATTGTCGTCTGTGATGTCGCGGGCGAAGGCATCGTACATCTGCATATTATGTTAGAAACATTTTTTCCCGAAAAAAAAAAATGTGAGTAGGGGAGCTGCAATACATACCTCTCTTGAGATATCGTCCATCAGCCCGCTATCATATATAGTCCAAGAACCGTCGAACTCGGATGCCCTCTTGACGACACGGCAGTTTACGGGAATGAAAGTTTTCCTCGTGTTGATATACGCGACGATAGGTCGAACAAGCGCATTGTTGACGTAGGAAATGTCCTTGGTGAACAGGGGCACAGCAGCGCGCACGTCGTTGAGATGGACTCGTACATCCATAATGACGAACCGCTTGTCGTCCTCGCTAGCTTCTCCTTTACTTTCCTGTGCGTGGGGATCGTGTTGATGCTGGTGCTCATCGAATCCATGCGCCGCGTGATCCGAGTAGTGACGGTCGTGATTTTGAGTGACAGTTGCTTCTACGCGATCGTACATATCGCTCATGACCTTCGCAAGCGAATCGTCGTCGTCGTTGGGTAGCATGACATCCGCTATTAAGTCCACGTTGCCTTCATAGATCCAGGAGAATGGACCTTCGTAGCCGCGGTTCAGGTGGTCAATGTTCAAGCCGTCGATGCGGATGCGGCTCTGCTTCTTCCAGGTAGAGCCGTCATCTGTTTCACGGCCGTCTTTGAGCTGCATGCCGGTGTAATTATGCGTCTGTCGCGGATGAATGGTAAAGAGCGAATTGTCGAATGAACCAGACATCATGTTGGCGGACAGGAAATCGTAGAAAAGCCACTGCTTTCGCAGCTGCGGTAAGTCGCAGCTATAGATACTCACAGAGAATGGACGGAACTTGTGGGGTTGATAGATGGTGACGAGCAAATCCTCCATCTTGAACGACTCGAGCTCGAAATCTCCGGGCTCATGGTTATGCTTGTAAGAGCGCGGGTCTACGCCTTCGATGGCGTAGACGGATGTGCGGTCTACGACGCCGCGGATACCCTTAATTTCCACATCTTTCAAGATACCTTTGCCATTCATCCATCTGGAAAACGAAAGTGTGACGTTGACGGTGTCGATGGAGATGTCGAACTGTGTGTAGTTGGTATCTTCCTCTTCCTCGGCTGCGTCCGATCCTTCCTTCTCTTTGTGTGCGAGGGCCGCGGCAGCAGCAGCAGCTGAAGCAGAGGACCCCTTGGTGACATGTGCGTTCTTCTGTCCCGGTCGTCGGGATACGAAGACCTTCCTGAAGGAGATGACACCATCCTTCCACTTGGGCACCACGGCGGACTCAAAGACGACTTTGATGCCAGAAGACTTGGTTAGGTAGTTGCCGATCCACTGGGCGACCGTCTCTTGGGCAAAAACCGTATTGATCAAGAAGACCGTCAGCATGATGAAAGTCGTAGTTCCGAGCAATAACCACATGAAGTGGGCAGCCAGTATCCACGAGAACAGGGCGTATATTTCGTCCGCGTTGAACGGGCGATTGCTCCTGATGGCCAGCCATTTGAGATGGACTCTTATGCGCGACCAGAACCCAGACGCCGCTTCCAGCAGCTCTGCCTTGGTTGGGCGCTTCAGATGTGGAAGTGCGTGCGGCAGGGAGAAGTATTTACTGGAGTCGGCAGCATTATCAGCGTCAGTCTTGGGCGGCTCTTTCGGAGTTTTCGAGGACTCTGGAGGTGCTTCGGGTTGGGGGGAGAGGGTGGCTTGGGGCGCAGAGGTTTGCTTCTTCGGCTTGGGGTCGTTCGAGACTGAGCTCTTGTTGCGCCTATTCGTTGCGCGATATTTCCGTCTCGAAGTGTTCGATATGGTTCGTGCATTGTAACGAAACGCTGCTGCCGCTGCCGACGCGACGCTTTGTGTTATGTTCGGTCGCGGTGGTGGGCGTAGGAGGAGCGCGGCGATGGGTCCAACATGCGATCTCGAAGAATTTGGTAGACCGCCCCAACTGCACGCATCAATGCCCATTGATCGCATGGAAGTCTGTATTCCTCCTCTTGAAGCACTCCATCCTGCCCTCCATAGCGGCGCGCCCTGCGTTCCCAAGCCCAGTTCACCAACCGAGCGCCTCACGGCCGCGCCGATCACGAGCCCAGCATTTCTTTTCATTGTATTCGCGGGCACATGGTCGAAGCCTGCTCTCGTTGCGATGCAGGTTGTATAGGTATAGAATGGGATCGTGGGGTTGGTGATGGCGTTCAACAAGTTATAGAGCAGAATTCGAGAACGTCATGGCTGGACGCGCAAAAGGAGCTACAAACTGCAGGGAAGCCGCTGCCGACCAACGCACGGGCCAATTCGACAAAAAATATCACAAGTCGCTATCGATAACTGCGGCCCACCACCATTCTCGCGAAGTTCCACGCCACGGCCGCAACGTTCTCAGAAGGAGACGATTACACCCGAGTAGTAAAAGAAGGACTTGAATTTACGACTGTCAATTTCTGGGATTCTCCACATCCAGCCACCGCCCCTTCGAATCCCGCCTCGATCTTGCCCCGCCGAACTTTCTCACACGCACAATATGCCAGCGCCGACCGCTTTACAACGCGCCCCCGAAGCGCTCGCCGAAAATGCAGACACGAGCATGGCCGAGGCTGTCCCTCTGCCCGAAGACAGCACTCCTCTCCTAGATATGGATATGACCGCAGCCCCCACCGAAACCCCCACCGAAGCGCCAGATGCACAAGATGCACCCACCACGGACATGTCAGGAAGGCCACAGTTCCCAAAAGGAGGAGATGTGCCATTAGCATTTAGACGCGAGGTGAGCGTGCCGGATTACAAGTCCCTGGGGCATCAGGCTGATCCAGCATTTCCAGATGAGAAAGGTTCCAGTACCCCCGCACAGGATGAGTCCGCTCAAGACCGCGTGGTACGTATGCTCAGGGTACACAGAGGGTACTTCTACTGTTGTTGTTCCTTGGAATCTTCAGACTTTCATTCTAAGTCTGGAATGTCCAAAGAATAGCACCTAGCTAAGACACCTGCTGATACCCTATCTCCTACACTCGCGAGAATCACGCTGACTTCTTCCCCCCGCATTGTAGGCCTAAGATCTACCCACCCCTCGTCGAGCACTTGAAGCTCCAAGTCCGAATGAACACATCGAAAAAGAGCGTAGAAATGCGCACAAGCGGAGCAACAACCGACACCGGCGCCTTACAAAAAGGCGAAGACTTCGTAAAAGCATTCTGTCTAGGCTTCGACGTCGACGACGCAATAGTACGCTATCCCCGGGACCAAACTGTCTGTGTGCGTCAGGTTCAAGAACGGTCCTTTCCGACTTGCCCAAGACATACACACACAACCAGTCCCCAACCCACCCCCCTTTCCGACCTCACTAACCTCCACCTAGGCCCTCCTCCGCCTCGACGACCTCTACATCGAAACCTTCGAAATCAAAGACGTCAAAACCCTCCAAGGCGAGCATCTCGGGCGCGCAATTGGCCGCATCGCAGGAAAAGACGGGAAAACCAAGTTCGCAATTGAGAATGCGTCGAGGACGAGGGTCGTCCTGGCGGATCAGAAGGTCCGTTCACATCATCGAGTTTCCCTACATACCTTCCATTCGTTTCCTGCTTGTTGGCTATTATACTGAGCTATCATACTGATTCAATCTGATGTAGATCCACATCCTCGGCGGCTTCAAAAACATCCACATTGCGCGCGAGGCTATCGTTTCGCTTATTCTGGGGTCTCAGCCGGGCAAGGTGTACGGTAACTTGAGGACTGTGGCGGGTCGGATGAAGGAGCGATTCTGAGCAGCGCGATCTAAGCAAGTGAGAAGAGGATATGGAAGAGAGGAAGGTGCATGAGGGAGACGATGTTCATAGGTTGGAAGAAACGAGCGGAAAGACGATGTGTTGTGCATTTCACGGCGTTAGGGGCGCAAAATACCATTTGCACTAGATGCTTTCATGAAGAGAAGGATGAAGGAGATTTCGATACCGCGAGTGGAGGGTATGGCATCGATTTAGCCCACTGAATGGAACGATGCAATAACCATCAACACGTGTGCTCGCGTCTCTTTCACGCATCGCGTGGCTTGCAGCCGGAGAAAAGTCTAGCTACTCTACGAGTCTTGCCACTGTGCAGTGCCAGCAGTTCCACCACTTACGCTACGGTATCATCGATCAATATATGTCTAAGGCCATTACGCGGGCGAGCACTCCGTAGTTTCTGCATCCACCATATATCACCTAGACCTAGACCCGAAGCTCAACCTTCGCCTTCGCCGTCTCACTATAAGCATAAGCATTCGTCTCAGCAACGCACGCTCGACGCACTACCGTAGATACACCATGACTCTCACCCGAACCTACCATTACCGTTCAGGCACTATCGTCTCAAACCTTTGTCAGCCAGTCTGTGATGCGCTATTCACAGCGCTATCATACGCTTGTCTCCAACCCATCTCAACCCCACGCTCGCTTCTGCTCTTATCGCGCCGCAGCGGAGTGCCGTGTTTCAAGCCCTGAATAGGGGGGTGGAAAAAAGAGAGGGCGTGCGCGACGCTTATGTTTGACGAGGACACTACACGAGGACACGTTTGACTCGTGGGAGCGGAAGCGACAGAGCAAAAGGGTAGGTAGCCGAGTGCCCGCCTCGGGACGATGGGGATTCACACATTGTGCATGGTTTATGTCTAGAAGAGAGGTAGACATAGGGAATAGAAAGGGGGACCGGAAGACGGCCGTTGCGCTAGTAGTCTTGCTGTCGAGATTAGAAAGACGGTGCACACCACGACATTCTGGAGCGCTGTAGTGAGTATGCTACCTCGTCACGCGGACTACGCTGCCGCGTTGTGAACACAGGCGTCAACACGAGCGCCTCACTCCTGTAGAAAGCCCGGCGGTATGGGAGCCGGAGCTTGTACTATGTAAGAACACAAACGAGACTACCGATAGTCGATGGCATAGCTAGCATTGCCAAACGGGGACGTGTCAACGCCACAGTGCCATCATGCGCCCAGCAGAACGGAAGCTCGAGATGTGTGAGAGCGCACATCTACGTCGATAGTGAAGCCGGTATAACCAGACGTGGATGCATCAGCGCCACTTTGTGGTACAGCGCGCATTGGGTTTACTGCGGTACTTCGTCGGCTTAGGCTATTCCAGGAGAATTGGTCGGGACGAGGGCCGAGCCTTTAGAACGCAACTGACGTTTCCAAGACCACTCATCATGCTGCATAGAGAAACATCTGCCGTATTCTAGAAACCCATGATTGTGGTGAGTGGGGGAATGTCTCAAGGCCTCGTCCTTGACACCTTCCCATTTGGGAAGGCAGCTATGCGGATGTCTGTGCGATAGCACTGCCGCAATACATACGCCATGTGTGTTTCGCACGTGCTGTCAATGCATCGACACCGCTTCCACGTGAGAAGGAATGCCGTCGCTGCCGTGATAAGATTGGGTTGGGAGTGCGGGGTTCGAGGACAGTGGACAAAGGAACGGCACCGATGGCACTGTGGTGTTAGCAATGGTGATGTTGGCCTTGGGTGACATCGGGACAAGGGTATGGAAAGGAGTGCAAGGACTAAAGTTTCGGATGCAGATGTTGCTGCGAAGTGAGTAAAGACTGAGTTCTGCGGCAGATGGACGGAAGTATGGTAGTAGGTAGTTTTCGGATCGTAGCGGTGTTGTGATTGTAAGGCCTCCCATGGGATCGCAAAAGCTGTCGGGCCTAGGGTTGGGGGTTGAAGCTGGGGAGGATCAGTTCCATAAGATGGCGTCGCCATGCTGGAGGTTCGGGTGGGATAGACTCAGTATCGTACGAAAGACACCAGCAGCCGTCAGCTCTCGCATCGGAAGATATCCAGTCGAGCTGTATCGTCAGTCAAAAGCTTGAGCACATGCTTCGTAGATCTGGTTCGCCTCGGTAATGAGGTCCTTGCGCCGACATGCCCGGGACCGTCCGGCCTCGAAAGTCCGCCTGAGGCATATTCAATGTCTCTCGCTGCTGCAAGCGAGAGGTAAACCCCGCAGCCACGGAAAAGGCTTGTCCTCGTCGAATCTCGTGTCGACTGTGATGGGGGATAGCCGTGGTGGCAGCCAGTCCCAGGCCCAAAGAGGAAGGACGTTGGAGCGCCGTCACGCGACTTGCACCCCGCGCGGGCTATCGAGCTCAACGCTCTGCTAGTGGGTTCAACTTCAAGATAATGTGTCCTAGGTGAAGCGAATTCGTGCTCCGTATCTGATGGTCATAGATGTCTCGTCAGACGGTGTGGTGATTCTCACCGCTGCTCTGGGGCTGGCGCTGCATTTTACCCGACTCGGGTAATGCTCTGGCTCGCACAAGAGATCGGGTCGTGTTCCCTGGGCGTAAGCCGTTGTAGGACGGGACGAACCCCTCGGATCAGTGGAATTGAGTTTCGCTTGACCGGCCGAACCGTTGAGTACGAACAGGCGGAAATTTGGTGCTTTGCGCAGAGAAGGGAGCAATTTGAACGCAGCCGAGAGGAGCGTATAATTCGCAGGCTATATGGCACTATGGGTACCTGACATGTGCGTCTAGGCGAGGGTCGCGAATAGTATGCATGAATTTCGCCGGAGCGAAAATAGATGCAGATTCAGCCCTAGTGGTACAGCGTCCAATATATCGTTGGGCTGGAGCCGAGAGCGTAGGGACATGGTCTTAGTGACGCCGTCTTCTAGCGTGTAGATATTGCGGGCGCATCAGCAGGGGGATTCACAGAAATGCATCATGAGCCTTCATTGCGGCGCGGCCACGGACTGCAGCGGTCCGAGGGAACGAAGAGAGCTACGGGGAGACTCATTGCGACGCGGTCGCCAACTGCAGCGGTTGGCGGGGAGGAAGAGAGCTCCAAGGAGCCGTTGCGTCTGCGTCCCGTCACGCACGAGATGCTACCCGGATAGGGCATTGTTCGAGAAGCGCAAAGGGATACGAAATGTATTGGAACGAGGGTCAGCATTGGCTAGCATGGTGGTTTCGGTGCAGTCCAATGGAAAAACGGCAGCGGCTGCAAAGGGTGACTGTGGGAGGTGACGTCGAGCTAGGGGACCACTGAGGACACAGCAGCGTCCCGCGAGGCGTGCGAGGCACAGCTGCGGGTAGGCGATGGAGATGCGGGAGTGGAGGTCCAAGTCGGAGGCGGGCACACGACATGCTCGAGCGCGAGGCGGCAGGGAAGGAGCGACCTTGATAACAGCTGCGCTGTGCGGCGCCGGCGCCTTCTAGAAGACGCCGCGGCAGGCAAGCGCGATGGCGGGGACGGAGGCAGGAGCGAACGAGGCATCGCGCTGAGATACGCATATGCGCCGCCATGCGCGAGGGAGCCTTTCTTTTTGGACATGGCACAGCTCTTCCGGCGCTGTGGAGTGACAGCGCGCGAGCCACGGTTGCTCGCTGGATTGCGGGCTGGCATCCCTGCACAGGTGAAGTGGGCCCGAGTCGCCGGGGCATTGGCGCATGTCGCCATCAATCACGATGGGTGGCTGTTCACCGGGCGCCACGGCTGCCAACCATGACGCCCGCCATTCACTGTTGTGCGCTATCCTCCCCGCGACGTTATCGCCGCCATGGCAAGACAAGAGGCCCCCCGAAACGCTCCTCAAAACCAACCCCCCCTCCCGCGTCTGCTCTGCTGTCTGCTGTCTGCTGTCTGCTGTCTGCTGTGTCTCTAGCCCCTGCGCCCATATCGTCTGCAACGAACGGCCCAGGCCATCGCAAACGGCCCTGCTAATCAGGCCAATCTGGATATGCTGCTACTTCGCCTACACAACCCTGCACCGCTCGCGCACTTGCAGTAAGCACCCCCCGACGCCCTTGACCGCTACCCCGGCTTGCACCCACCCTACGCCCATAAGCAGTGCCCGCCCCCAACTGAAGGACACACGACACCCACACGACCAACAAACTCACTGCGGCGCCACCCCAGGTTGCAGCACCGGCTGCAGCAGCCATCACCACCGCCGCATCATGCCGTTCAACAACGACGACGACGACTATCGCACCGAAAAGAGCTTCGGAAGCGGGAGGAAGTCGCAGAGTTCCTACTATGGCGAGTCCTCGATTCACAAGGATGGCCTCGGACGGCGGGTCCTCGACAGCTTCAAGCGCGACCCCAACGTAACCATGACGCCCAAGGGGAGCGTGGGCTCCGACGGCAAGGTCTTCGACGTCGAAAGCGCCGCCGCGAACACGGCAAACTCACCGCTGGCGAGGAGACTGAAGGGCCGCCATCTGCAGATGATTGCCATCGGCGGGAGTATCGGTATGCTTCCTCCTGTGACCATCCTAGTGTAATTTCTAACAATCACCAGGAACTGGACTCTTCGTTGGATCTGGCCAGGTGCTCGCCGCCGCTGGACCAGCAGCGCTTGTCATCTCTTACTGTCTAGTCGGTATCATGATGTACTGCACAGTGCATGCGCTCGGCGAAATGGCTGTCCTCTTTCCTGTCGCCGGTTCCTTCTCAGCGTACTCGACGCGCTTCATCGACCCTGCATGGGGTTTCGCAATGGGCTGGAAGTGAGTACGGTAACCCTCGTCACCGATCAGCGCAACTAACCCATGCACCCAGCTATGCCCTTCAATGGTTGGTCGTATTGCCGCTGGAGATCGTCGCCGCAACCTACACCATCAGTTTCTGGAACCACGGAGCCATCAATAACAATGCCTGGGTCGCCATATTCCTAACGCTAATTGTGGGAATCAACTTGTTTGGAGTCAAAGGCTACGGTGAGGCCGAGTTCGTATTCGCCATCATCAAAGTCGCCGCAGTCATTGGCTTCATCATTCTGGGTATCATTATCAACATCGGCGGAGGACCCAACGGAGAGTACATTGGCTTCAAGTACTGGCATGACCCTGGCGCATTCCACAACGGATTCAAAGGCTTCTGCGGGACCTTCGTCAACGCCGCCTTTGCCTTCTCCGGAACCGAGCTAGTTGGCCTTGCTGCCGCAGAGACAGCCAATCCTCGCAAGTCGCTCCCTACCGCGGTCAAGCAGGTCTTTTGGCGCATCACCCTGTTCTATGTCGTCTCACTTCTGATTGTCGGCCTGCTCGTCCCCTACAATACCCCAGAGCTCCTCCAAAAAGAGAACGATTCGGACGCTGATACCGTGACCTCCCCCTTCGTCATAGCCATCAACAATGCTGGCATCAATGTCCTTCCCTCCGTCTTCAATGCCGTCATCATGATTGCCGTCCTCTCCGTCGGCAACTCGGCCATCTATGGTTCCAGCCGTACGCTCGCCGCCCTCGCGGAGCAGTCCCAAGCACCCAAGATCCTCTCCTACATTGACCGCCAAGGTCGCCCACTTGTCGCCATTGCTGTCTCCTCTAGCTTAGGCTTCCTCGCTTTCCTTGCCGGTGCTGATAGGAAGAAGCAGGTTGAGACCTTCAACTGGCTGCTCGCCTTGTCCGCGCTTTCTGCCGTGTTTACCTGGGCATCAATCTGCTTCGCGCACATCAGGTTCCGCAAGGGCTGGGCGCTGCAGGGCCACACGCTCGATGAGCTGGCGTTCCGCTCGCAACCCGGCGTCATCGGCTCATGGATCGGTTTCGCCTTCAACATGCTGGTCCTCATTGCGCAATTTTTCGTCGCGGTAGTGCCACTGGACTACAAGGAGCTAACCACCAAGATGCGGTTAGAAGTGTTCTTCCAGATCTACCTCGCGCTCCCCGTCACACTGGCTTTCTACATACCGTATAAGCTGTACTACCGCACCAGCTATGTCCGCAGCTACAACATGGACCTGCACACGGGCATCCGGGAGCTCAACCTCGAGGCGCTCATCGAGGAAGAGCGCGAAGAAAGGAAGCAATGGCCAAGGTGGAAGAAAGTGTACAAATTCTTTTGTTGAATGCATCTCCTACCCCCAAGGCAACAGACTGTACATTTCTCAGCGATGCATATTTCCATGGCAGTCCGGCGTTACTCACTCGGTGCGTTTGCGGTTCGGCTAATGTTTGTGATACCTGGCGGCATGCTCTTCGGTTCGAGGCAATGCGCAGCCCTGCGATGGAGTTCGATTATACTTACGAGACAACTACTGTTCTGTAGTGTCTATGTTTTTGGGGGGCTGGGAAAGACGGTGACAGCGTTAGCTTCACGTCCCCTGTTAATGATGTTACTACCAAAAATGCTGGCTCCCAGCTAAAATAGATGTTACCATGTCAATTGATCAAATTCCATAATCGAGAACGGATGCTCGTTGCCTCTCAACCATGTATTATACTGCTAGGTGCGAATATGAGCAGCGTATGAGCTCACCCTGCCCTGTCCTCATACCTCCAGCCTCACGCCTAAAGATGTTAGCCATCAACGATCAAGAGCTCGTGTATGTTAGTGAAAGTTTGCATCCTGTTTTGTATGGTCTTATAATAGCATGTGCGGCATCGTGCTCCTCTCTAACAGTGTCTTCATCATCTGTGACATCATCAGAACTTGTGAAGCTGCAAGTGCAGAGGGCACAAAATAATGCACATGGCACGTGGGAAGGTGTGGAGTGGTATGAATAGAACAGAGGCCGACCGAGCTGGCGGAGATCTGCGCAGGGGGGTTCTCCAGGCCCGGCCAGTTAGCGGCGACGGCTGGCCAGCATCAGGATGAAAGCTCAGGAGAACCGTTGGACGGAGGCGCCTCCACCGACTATCATCAGCTGCAATTCCCGCCATTGCTCCCCGCGTGCTCGCTACCTCTGCGCCGGACCCACGAGTTCTTCTTCCCTGGATTGCTGCCGCGCGCGTGTCTCCGCACCCGACAGGAGCAGTAGCTGGTAGCACCACGCCCTGCCCGGGCAACCCACAAGCTTGAGCGCCATTGCGTGTTTGACCGTGTCGGGCTCATAGATGACGCTGCGCCTGCCAACACGCGCACCCCGATGCAGTCGAGCATCCGCGCTCAGGCTGAAGTCCAGGCCCAGAGGAAGAAGGTGCGCTCAATCCCGCAAACATGCCTTGCTTGCTTGCTAACTAGCTGAGCAGCAGCTCGCAAACTCGTACAAGCAGCTCCTCGAGTAAGCCCGCACCCGCCATGCGCCTCCCCTCCTACGCTCCCTACTGATGCGCGACTCGCAGTGAATTTAACGCCCCGGACCTGAAGAACGTGGGCAACTATACGCTGGGACGGCTGATTGGGAAGGGCAGCTTTGGGAAGGTCTACCTGGCCTCCCACAAGCTCACCAATGGCTCCAAGGTGCGTCGGACGGATATGGAGTACAGGCAGAAATTGACAAGGACAGGTCGTGCTCAAGTCCGCGAAGAAGGACGATGCGAACCTCGCCCGCGAGATCCACCACCACCGCCAGTTCATCCACCCGCACATTGCGCGCTTATACGAGGTTATAGTCACAGAGTCGCTGGTCTGGCTGGTGCTGGAATACTGCCCTGGTAGGATGCTGCATTGGGAAATATATGGATTTGTCTAATCTGTACAGGCGACGAGTTATACAACTACCTCCTCGCGCACGGCGCGCTCGAACCGGCCAAGGTCCAGAAAATCTTCACCCAGCTCGTCGGCGCCGTCTCGTACGTCCACAACAAGTCCTGCGTCCACCGCGACCTCAAGCTCGAGAACATCCTGCTCGACAAATACGAAAACGTCAAATTGGTCGACTTTGGCTTCACACGCGAATACGAAGGCAAGTCAAACTACTTGCAGACATGGTGCGGCACCGTGTGCTATAGCGCACCCGAGATGCTCAAGGGCGAAAAGTACGCGGGCGAAAAGGTGGACGTGTGGAGTCTGGGGATCATTCTATATGCGCTTTTGGTGGGCGAGCTGCCCTTTGACGACGACAACGAGATGGTTACGAAAACAAAGATTTTGAAGGAGGAACCGAAATACCCCGAGAGCTTTCCGCAACAGGCGAAGGAGCTGTGCCAGAGTTTGCTATCGAAACGCCCCATATTGAGACCCACGTTGGCGGATATATTGCAGAATCCTTGGTTGGCGGAGCATGCGCCGAGGCAGCAGGAGATTTTGAAGCTGACGCAGCCGGAGCCGTTCTCAACGGAGCTGGAGAAGGAGGTTTTGCATAGGATGCGCGCTGCTGGTGTGGATATGGACACTATTATTGAGAATGTCCTGGCGCAACGGTGCGATGCGCTGGCTGGCTGGTGGGCATTGTTACTCGAAAAGGAAGAGAGGAAAGCCAGGAGAAGAGAACGCAAACGAAAAGAGAGGGAAGCCGAGGCTAAGAGTTTGAGGCGATTGAGCGCCGCGAGCAGTCGCTTGGATAAGCTTGCACCTACCATAAAAGAGACGGACGAGGAGGGACATCACTCGGGTCTATTAGGGGACCCGCCCAAGAGTCGAGGACGGGCCCGCAACCGCAGCAGTTTGCATGGTAGGTCACAAAACGTCTCACATCTCCCTCTCACTGACAATTTCCAGGTGTACCCTCTGACCTCCCAAAGCTCCTGGAATCTGGAACCTCGCCCGAACCAGACGCCGATTTACCTCCACCTCCAGTCCCCAAGGACCACATCAGGACCTCGGATTCGTCATCCCGGCCGCCTCCGCCGCCCAAAGAGATGATGAGAAGACGGTCCCAAGCAAGCATGCTCCAAGTAGTATCCACCAACCCAGACCTCCTAAGTCCAAACGGCTTCGTCCCCAAGCGCCGACGGAAATACCAACCCCCCTTCTTCAACCACCTAACCTCTTCCCTCCGAAACTGGATCAAAGAAACCTCAAAACGCGCCCGCTCACCAGGCGGCTCCAAAGCCTCATCCGCGAAATCCCCTCCCAGCCCGACTCCTCCACCACCTCCCCGAATCAAAACGCCGCCCCGCCAACGCAAACCGCAACTCGAGCGTACACGCCCACCACGCAGGCGCCACGCCCTCAACCCACGTCGCCGCCCGGCCCCGCGTATCTTCGTCCGGGAAACGACCGTCTGTGTCCCCTGCGCCACTCACCCCACGCTCCTCCTACCGCCGTTCCTCAGGCGGTCTCCGCGGCCGCAAATCCACCTCCTCATCCATCTCCTCCATCCGCTCCATGCCGCACCACCACCACACGCACTCCAAAGCAAGCTCCACCTCCTCTGCAAGCATAACCTCGCCCGCGCTCAGCGTCTCAGGCCACGCCCACCACAAGTCGTCCAAGTCGCCGCACGCAAGCGTCAAGGTTCTCCCTGCTACGCCGACACACACGTCGTTCCTAATAACATCCGCGTGGGGCTCGCGGTGCGCGGCGGGCTAAGTGAGGGCGGGGCGGCCTTCGGGCAGCAGCCGCCCGGGAGTCCGGGGCTTGTTTTCGCGAAGCGGAAGAGGAGTGTGTTCAAGGGGCCGGGGTTGGCGCTGAATTTTGGGCAGGGGCAGGGCTTGGGGCTTCAGGGGAGTTCTGCTTCTGCCTCTGGCGCGGCTGGTGCTAGGCGGGAACAACAGCAGCAGAGTAGAGCGCAGAGTACGCAGGGCCGGCGCAGCACGGAGATCATGGGCATTGCGGAGGAGGAAGAAGACGAAGAGGAGATTGAAGAGGTGGAGGAGTTTAGTCCTGTGATAGGGGGCGTGGAGGAGGTTTTCAGTGAGGAGGAGGAGACGCGTGGGGAGCGGAGAGTCCTAGTGTGAGTGCAAGGGAAGAGAAGGGGCTGGGAGTGGGACTGCTGGATGGGAAGGCGCTGAAGGTTAGGCAGGAGGAGAGGGGAGGGGACTGCTTTTGGGGAGGTTGCTTGAGGAGAGGGAGGAGAGTGGTGGGCCTTTGGCGGGTGAGGCGGGGAAGGAGGATGCGCCTGGTACGGCGGGTGCGAAGGCGCCGCTTACGCCGGAGAAAGACACAAAGGAGGCATAGAAGGGGTGGGAGGTTAGAAGGCTTGAAGAGGGGATGTGGCTTGGTTAGGTTTTGTTCGATACCTTTTGCTTTTCTTTTCCTGTTCTCTTCTGTTTCTTTTCGAAAAGGTTTGGATGTTCTGCATGAGCTGCATAGCGTTTCTGTCCGTCGTGTCTCACACCCTTGTTCATGTTGTTCTTTTCAAATAATGTCTTTTTGGATTGTGGAAAAAGGTGTGGATCGCGCTTCTTGTATATTCCTCTTTCTTTCCTTCTTTCTTTCCTTTCTGGGCGTTTGATTTGATGCGATGCGATTCGATGAGAAGGGGTGTGCACAACGATGGAAGTATATACTCGCACCGCAGATATAGATCGGAGAATATACGAGGGACGTTAAATTAAGTTCGTTGAGTACATTTTGAGTGCGTGAGTGCGTGAGTGCGTGAGTGCGTGAGTGCGTGAGTGCGTGATGTTGGAGATGGATGAACCGTCTTGTCTCACCTTACACTTGTAAGAATAATTCGCGTCGGTATGAGTCTACGTCGCTTTGACGGTTTTCTCCCTCCATTATTAAGTTGTAGGAGTCCGCGCGAGGGGAAAGGGCGTTGGTGTGAATGTCTTGGACATATTGGGTACGGATGACAGGTCGAGGTGGAGTGTGGGGGAAGTGTGCGGGCTTCTTGGCCTTGAGACGCAGTAAGGCGATGCTGATGTTTGGTTTGGTATTGGTTTTGTGTGGGATGGTGGTGGAAAGTGAGGAGGGCGGCTGGGGTGGAAGAGCTGGTGGTTAGACGTACTGTTGAAGTGTGGAATGATGATTTTTTTGGGTGACCTGGAAGTTTAGAGGTATGTTTGGATATGCGCGGCTGGATGGTATGGAGCGGACGTTTTGGATGAGTATGGTCGATCAATTTGTCAAATGATTGGAAATATAGCTGGGCGTCGTTTCCATACTGTAGGACTGCGAGAAGGCAGAGATATGGAATACTCGGAGACATAATGTGAAGGGATTTGAGTTGAATTCATCTCTAGGATAATCACCCAAGGCAAGCTTCCTGACTTCTCCGTCAATCGGAGACTGGTCTCACGGGCCACTCAACTACCACCTCAACCCTTCACCACTCACACTACCATCTAGTGCCCCACCATCGCCTGCATCTCCGGCGGATACCTATTCCCCGCCGGCTTCGCCCTATCAAGCAGCTCCCGCATACTCTTCTTCTCCTCCTCGCTGAGCTCCACCTCCCTTGACGCCCAATTCTCCTCCAACCTCTGCTTCTTCGTCGTCCCCGGAATGGCAATCATCCCCTGCGCCGCCACCCACACCAACGCAATCTGACTCGTCGAGCACCCCTTCTTCTCCGCAAGCTTCTTCACCTCCTCCACAATCGCCTTATTCTTGTAGAAGTTCTCCCCCTGGAATTTCGGCACCTTGCGCCGGAAGTCGTCGGGCGCGAAGTCGTCGGGGGACGCGTAGTCGAAGTTGTCAACGAGCCAGCCGTGCCCGAGGGGACTGTACGCTACGTACGCGATGTTAAGTTCCTTCGCCGTGTCGATCAGCCCGTCGGATTCGTGCAGCGTTTCGAAGGCAGAGTACTCCGCCTGAATGGCGTCGATTCTGGCGATGGAGTTTGCCTTGCGGAGCGTCGCGGCGGAGCATTCTGAGAGGCCGATGTACTTCGTCTTGCCCTCGCGGCGGAGGGCATCAAGGGCAGGAATAGACTGCTCTAGAGGAGTCTTGGGATCGATACGGTGGAGGTAGTACAGGTCTGGCGTGAAGCCTAGGCGTTCGATGGTGCCTTCGATGTAGGTCTTGATGTGCTCTGGTGAGTTGGTGACTTCCCGAGGGCCGTTGAAACACTCGATGCCGCACTTTGAGGCTACTGGAAGGATGTCAGTGGGACTAGAAGTCGAGGGGTAGGGGATCGTACGGAAGATCTTGTCTCTGACGTTGTGCTTGCGGATGAAGTCGCCGAGGAGTTTCTCGTTCACGCCGGCGCGGTAGACGACCTGTGCAGCACGTATTAGAGTCGCTCTCGCAATAGCTTAAGCGATTTATAGACTAACAGCGGTGTCCCAGAACGTGCAACCCAGTTCAAGCGCTCTCAACAGTACCGGCTCAGCCTGTTCAAGAGTGAAATTGTTGCCCATGCCGTGGCTGAAACCCATGGCACCAAAGCCTGGGAACGGCACTTGCATATCTCCGAATGGCAGTGTTTTCGTCATGTTTGTAAATTCCAAGATCTCGATGAGATGACTCTGGTTGTAAAAGTTCAGGCGTCTGTACTATGGCACTGGCTACGAACCACCTGGGTCTACTTATATATCTGTGAGACGCCTTGCGTGCCCGAAGATAATCGGGCGTCAGGGCTCCACGATTCGACCTTGTGAACAGTAGAATGCAATGTGATGGAGGAGGTAGCGGATATACCGCGCTAAGCCCGAATGTGAGTAGGCAAGCTAGCACCGACATGGGCTTAGTGCGCATCGGATGGGGCCTAGCGCGTGAAGATCGTCTGAGTGATGTGGACGTAAGAGCTCTTTGACAACGGATTTTGTGTGAACCTTTTTCGTACGATAGGGCGGGTGCAGTGTGAGACCACTATGTCATATTGTAGTCTGAACGTGTCAGGAACCAGTTGCCGCAACCGCAATCTCAGCATGACGGCTACCTATGGTATTGAAAGAAATATTCTACTGCGATACCTATGCTGTTGATGACGACATATCAGGTGGTGTCGCACAAAGAATTCTGGCAATGTGAGACACGATCAAATGGAAGAACAACCATACTTCAAAGATGATATCGAGAGGAGCTTCGGGCATAGTGCGATTTATGTGAGCTACTTGCGGGCGACTAGATGCCTCTAACTCTGTATCCATCCGAGCGTTTTCTTGCCATAAATTCTGCACTATAGCAACAATCGCCCGACGCGTTCATAACTCTGCATTTCCCGATATACCTTAAGCTTGCAATCATTATCGTTGACTCAGTCCATGACCGAACCATTTCAGAGGCCTTTCCTCCGCAAGAGCAGTGACATGCTGCCTCAAGGCGACGCTGCTGTCGGGCTCGGCCAGGGCGAGACCGAAAACGTAGGCTGTCCAGGATCTTCCGGCTCTTCATCATCAGTCCAATCGCTATCGTCCTCCTCCTCGTCATGGTCCTTTTTGATGAACAGCAAATTGAAAAATCCATGCCCAGGCTGTTGACAGAAAACGGTAACGCTCTCGATCATCCTCCTCTCGCCGAAAACACTCTTGTGCGTAGCGAGTATGAGCGCCGTGCTGCGACCGTTTGGACTGGCGAGGATAGCTTTGTAGGCATCATCATGGGGATAGAATACCTTCCTATTCGGCCATAGGTACCTGCAGAGCTTTGTCAGTCTCCGTTCGCGTGCTCTTGATTGAGACGGTAGGCGTATGATAGATAGGCAGATGACTCACTTGTGGCAACTCGCGTAAGTAAGCCTCTCGCCAATAGACTCGTAGACCGCCATCTGGGTCTGCTCGTTTTGGATATCCCAAATGAACATGTACTTCAAATTGCTCACTGGCTCGTTTTTCTGTGCAGCCAAGTATGCATAGTCGAGATACAAGAGGTCGTATAGATTCTTGAGCTTTGTCACTACGGTAACCTTTGGGTCCAATTGGTCACCCATGTAGGTCGGCCCAAAAGTTTCAGTGGCGACGACCAGGCCGTGCGTCACATCTATATACATTTCCGTATGGGCGGTTGTGGGCTGGTAAAACTGTCAGTAGAGCTGCCACATATGGCCCTGTATCAGGCACTGGTGAGACAACGTCACTCACCTTGTATAGAATGCCGTCGTGGGTTGTGGCATGGTCGTGATACCATTCTCTAGCTTCTGCAAATCCGCCATCGCTTGGCACGTTCAGCGGTGGGAGGCCGAGATCCTGCATTACTGGATCCAAAACCGGATTCATCGTAATTGTCCTGAGTTTATGTATCGCTGGCGGAGTGAGATCCCATCCCCAGTCATTCAGGGACTGCCAATTCGTCCAGGTGCTCTCCGCGGTTGTGCGCGAGTGTGCCGGCCTCATGAAGTTGGCGGCAACCTCATCCTTTGTGAGCATCATACCCATCAGCGTGCACCCTTTCTCGACCAACTCCTCATATCCGCCTTCTTCAGGGAAGGTTCGCCGGGCGAGAGTGCGGTCGAATCCAGCGACGGATTTGTTCAAAGAGGTGAGATTGAGCTCTCGGTGCTCAAAGGGAAGGCGTGGCTCGACGCGATCACTCTGCGGGAAACGCAGAGAGACACATACTGGAGCGATGAGCAGCAGAATGCTAAAAAGCTTCATGGTGCCGAGGGTGCGTCAATTTAGAGTCGCGCGGAACTTGAGAAGCTGCAAAAGCTGGAATGAATTGTTCTTGTAGTTGAAGGGCGGTTTCGGAAGGCACGCTAATCGAAGCAACGTCCCGTGCTAGAACCAAGTTGACAATCGAGGTGAGGGGAGCTCAAAGCGTCAGGGGACACCGAGCGTAGCTTGCTATGGGTGATGATCTATTTACTATGGTATATTATATTAGAATTCGATAGTTTCACTTGTAGACGGTATACGGCCCTGCGTACGTTCAATTACCGTTGTAAATACAAGCTGAGCGCTGCTATGCACTTCTTCGAGTTATCCCGGATCTCATCTTCTCTGTTCAAAACTCTGCGGTAAGTCCTTTCCGCCTTCACTATCCGTCCGCGACTCGCTCGTAACCTCATGCACGACCGTCTTCATAATCCCATGATCGCCAGTCTCGGGCAGAATGCTCCTCTCGCTGTCCCCATCGTCAATCCCGATATCCGACCGCCCCATAATCTTCGTATTGCGCTTGGTGGTAACCTTGGAAACATTGTACATGGGAATGCCGCTGCGACTACCCGGTGTGCGCTTGCTGGTCTGGAAAGTACTCGGCAGCACTTTGCGCAGTAGTTTTTCGAATTGCTTGCGTAGGGGTGGGAGGGAAGCGACGAGAATGCCGACGGACAGCTCAGTTGCGGACCAGATTGTAAGGTTCACGCCGTCCCAGGTCGGGTCTTTGGTCTTTTGAAGTTGGCGCAATTCGACGGTTTTGAAGATGGAGCATATTGTCGCGCTTGGATATTGTCAGCTTATGTGCTTAGGTATTGACTTTGAGTGGCAGGCTTACACGAGGCCGAGACAGAAGACTAATCTGAGTCCCCATTGTGTGCGCGATGACAACTGTACGGTCGAAAGGTAAAGGATTGGGGCCACAATATAGACTACATCAGTGAGGATGTTGGACACGCCCTGCATGTACCTAGAAAAAGCTTTCTGTCAGTAAAGGCGCACTGGATAAAGTCGGGTGGATAGTTCGTACGTGAGCGCCTGGGTACCATGGTAGAAGCATGTACCCTTGATGCCCTTGTTCCAGTTCGCCTCGAAGGGTTTCGCGCAGAACAGTCCCAACATCGGTAGTGTAAAATTGAAAACTGCCACCATCGCTATTGACAGGTAGATGATGATCTTGTAGATGAGTCCGAATGGCAAAGCTAGTAGATATGTGCAAATCGATAGCTTGAGAATTGCCATTGCAATCAGGTTGATGACCTGTCCGATGTACAAGTAGTAGCTATACTCGAGTATGTCGTGAGGTTTGCTGATGCTGGGGTCCATGATGTGCCGGCCCTGTCCGTGGATCGTGGACTTGATGCGTATACCAGATGACGCGACATTGAGACACTGCAAGTCATGTCAGCGGGAAGATCGCATCGTGTGGTGCCTCCTTGTGGTTGAGGCACAGACTTGCGTGCTTGTAAGGCAGCGATCGGCAAGGTGTGAAGCTGCACAACATCGTGATAAGCTCGGATTGCACATACCGCAGCGACGATCAGCAAGTAGTCACAGACCATGATCTTGCGCTTGCTTTGGATCCCATATATGATTCTCCATACTAGGATACCCGTACTGAGAATGCAAATGCTCAGTGTTGAGCCCAGGATTTGGCTGCCACGATCTGACCAAGTGCCATCCTCGTTCATTGTAAGCAGCAAAGACGAACGACAATACTGGTAAGAATGTAGGGATGGTGTCGGTGACAACGTTCCGGTGGTATGGGGCTTATGAATCCATAGAATAGGATGCGACGTGACAGACGGCTCGGGAGAAGATCCATCTAGACATGCCTGTGCGTTTGGTGCCAATGAACCCGGCGTCGTGAGGAAGATTCGACAGACCTTCTGGGGTGGCCTCTAGGATTCTCAGGGGTTGCTTGCACTGAAGTCGCCCGTCTGCACCGTTAGGAACATGCCTTCAACCCTGATATGATAGACCAGATAGGCCAGCCGTCTGATTTTCATGGCACTAACTGCAATCAGACGTTGCACAAATCCGATCCAAGATTTAGAGGTCCCTAGCGCCTCCATTGGCCGGGTCCCCGTGGTGTAACAGAAACCTGTCGGAACCTCCGAGCCGTGTTCGTCTCCCCACGTTGGCTTCCAACGCACGCAGGTACATCCTCTTTTGAATGCATATAGCCCTGAATTGGGATTAAAGCTCCGGTGTATCGTATTGATTGCATGTATCTCTTCTCTGCTGTTCATCATCGGCGTTGGCCGTTGAAATTTACGCACCTGGTCGATTTCATCATGTTATCAGCAGCACACAGGCATAGAAGATGACTGGTACCTCACTGTCACTGCAACGACAACGTGCATAGTCACACTGAGAGTGACCCGGTATCTTGAAGCACTTGGCGTTAAGGCCCAACCTCGTGGAATCCTTCCCTTGTTCCCCACCATTGAGCCGGATCCAGATCGTATTCGCTACTCATGCACCGTCTAGGCGAACCCTTTCCGTGGTGTCCACGTAACGCGCAACTACAAGAAGATGTGCAGTGACATGTCTGCCATCCGTGCGATGGACTTTTGTAGTTCCGGAAGAATTTTTAAAATGATCTTGTAAGTTGTTCAACGGTTGTATGGGACGTTGCTGGTTCTGGATCAAGTTCCGGTGGCGGCCTGGATTGCATGGCATGCCACGGCTCGCGTAAGCGTCGGAGAGTGGCAGGATGCAAACCTGCGGAAGAAATTGCGCCACAGCGAACTAGCCAGCCGTGCTCGCATTAGATCCTACCGTTTAGGTAGGTCAGTAAGCGACAACCTCGTGTTCGCAGCCGGATGTTCCAACAATTTCGTCCCCAAAACTGACTGCATCGACGTTTGGAAATCGCATTCATGGTGTGCGGCGTAGTACCCTCGTGCGTTATTCCACCAACTTGGCTCCCACACTTCCACATCACATATCTCCTAGCGGAATCTAACGTCAATCAGCGGGCCGAGCCTTTTAGTCCATCTTTAGTAACAAGGACACTAGCCAAGACGCTCAGTATTCTAGCGTGGAATGGAACCACGCATCCCTCCAGTCCTTCCAGGTAAAGACGTATGACGATCCTGAGGTCCTTGTCATCTCCCTGCGTTATACGATAGCTAAGTTCTCTCCCACGCCCCTGGCCTAAGCATAGATAGGCCCACCGACCGAGATCGAGGACCAGACGCGTATCCTCGAGTCAGTCAAATCGACCCAAATCGAGCACATGCTGCTACGCCGCAATTGACTCGTGTAATCGATTTCGCTTGCGGTCCAGGACCACAGGTTTGGTGGGGAGGAATCCAACGAACGGCAATTATTGCAATCACCCTGCTGGGGCGTTCATGCACAGGGGCCAGATGGAAGCTTAAAGTTCGCAGCGCGCCTGTTGCGACCAACTGTGCGCCGCGTTCTCGGAACCTGCCCAACCTGTCACTCGTTTGTTTCGCTTTTGCTTTCCAGCTACTCCGTTCGTGCATCAAAGCGGTATCAACATGCGTTCCTTCATTGCTGTTGCTCCGTTGCTGGGATTGGCTGCCGCGCTCCCGAGCGCTGAGCTGGTGGAGAAGAGGGCATCTGATACCTATGATTATGTAATTGTTGGTGGTGGTGTGACGGGCCTTATTGTTGCTAATCGATTGACTGAGAACAAGAAGAGTAAGTTGCTGATGGGTTATCCTGACTGGCACTGTGCTCACCAATGCAGCGACTGTTCTGGTGATTGAGGCTGGTACTGACGACCTGCCTTTCCAACAACGATTGCCATATGGGGCCGCCAGCGCCTTGAATACGTCCTTGCTATGGCCCAACTACGTCTCTGAACCTGAGCCATTCCTCAACAACAAGACCTGGAATGTCCGTGTCGCCGAGGTTCTCGGTGGCGGCTCTATAGTCAACGGCATGTTCTATGACCGCGGCTCTGCAGCCGACTATGATGCTTGGGAGGCTCTGGGTAACTCCGGTTGGGGATGGAAGGGTATGTACCCTTACTTCAAGAAGGGTACCACTTTCATCCCTCCACCGAAGAAGACTGCGCAGGATTTCGACATCACATGGGACCCGTCTGCGTACGTGAATCAATAGGAACGACTTATTCGCAGCTAACGTCATGCAGGTATGGTAGCGGTCCTCTTCACCTTGGAATCTCCGACTTCCAGTACCCTGATATCCTGCCTTTCATCGCGGCCTACGAAGGTGCGGGTGTCAAGAAGCTCCTCGATGGCAACAACGGTGAACAAGCCGGCTTCTCGTGGTACCCCAACACCATGAACCCGTTGACGGGCGAGAGATCCCAAGCTCGCAACTCGTATTATGACCCGATCAAGTCCGCACGATCGAACTTGAAGCTTCTCCTTCGCACTGAGGCGAAAGAGCTTGTGTTTGCCAGTGGCAAGAAGCTCACTGCTAAGGGTGTGAAGATTCTCGACAAGACTACCGGCAAGACCTCTACCGTCTACGCCAAGAAGGAAGTCGTTCTCGCTGCCGGTTCCGTCAACACCCCTAAGCTCCTTCAGCTCAGTGGTATTGGACCTAAGTCTGTGCTTAAGGCTGCCAACATTCCCCTTAAGCTTGCGCACGATGGTGTTGGCGCCAACTTCCAAGATCACCCCTACACTCTTGTCTTGTTCAACCAGTCGGCCTTGAGCACTCCCAACCCCAACTCTCTCGCCACCGACGCAGCCTTCAACGCATCAGCATGGGCCCAATACGAAGCCAACAAGACCGGCCCTCTCACCCAGGCCCGTGGAAACAGTCTTTCCATGGTCTCCCTCCCCAAGGTCGCGCCAAACGACTACAAGAACCTCGTCAAGCAGATCAAGGCCCAGAAGGACGAGTCCTACCTGCCTGCGATCTACACCGGCAGCAAGAAGCTCATCGCTGGTGTCAAGGCCCAGCGCAAGGTCCTCGCCGGCCTCTTCGCGAACAAGGAAGCCGCTATCGTCGAATTACCCGTTGGTGCCGGCGGCGCTGGTGTCCTCGTCGGCCTCGAGAAGCCCCTCGCTCGCGGCTCCATCACCATCAACCCGACCGACCCCCAAGGTCCCCCGAAAATGCTGTACAACGCCCTCAGCAACCCCGTCGATAAGGCCGTCATGGCCTCCTGCGTCCGCTTCCTCCGCACCGTCTGGAAGCGCCCCGAGGTCGCGAAGTACAACCTCGTCGAGCTATCACCTGGCGCTCAGTACACCAGCGACGAGGACATTATCGATAAGATGAACGCCGCCGGTAGCATTTGGCCTACGCTTTCGCATCCTTCTGGCTCATGTGCGATGATGCCTGAGAAGTATGGTGGATGTGTGTCGGATAAGCTGCTGTTCTATGGGGTTGAGAAGCTGTCGATTGTTGATGCTAGTATCTTGCCGCTTGTGCCGACGCAGCACATTCAGTCTACCATGTATGCTGTGGGTGAGAAGGCGGCGGATTTGATCAAGGCTAGGGCTTAGATAATGCGCTGCTAGTTTTTGTGGTTGGAACATCTGTATATATGTGGTATCTAATAATGTTCTCGAAGTAAAGACGATGTCTCCCCTTCATCGTGGTTCTCGCTCCGATGTTCGCCTGCGCAAGTACCTCTTGCGGTCTCCCTTGCTGACTGCGTCTCAGAAGTGCCAATGGCCGTGTTGGTGACAAGGATTGAAAAGAGTGAACTGGTAGATAAGAAGCATTTGCATCATGAGGCTTCTGCCATGTTGTCAAACCCCTGACGGGTTGTTAAGCTAACAAGCTTAACGAGAGTGAGTGCACAATTTTATATGCGATCTTGGAATAAAAGCAATTCTCAGACGCAACCTCGCTTTTCTCATTCAACCTTGTAACATGGCCATACTATTGACGTGACACGGCCGTAACATGCACTCAGCTGCTTGACTTCACGCTCACTTCCGAGACCTCCAGCGCTCAACTCCCAGCGTTGATATCCTCCGGTGTAAACCCCGTGAAGCACTGGAACTTCTTGTGGACGACGTACGTCTCAGTCGCACCTAGCTCCGGGGGATGGGAGAAGGAGCAATAGTCCCACACGCCGGGTGTACCAATCGGTTTGCACGCGCCGTATGCGTTTCCATCCGTTCCCCGCAGCTGCCAATTGCCAGCCTCATCTAGCCAGTCGTGGTAGATGGTCCAGTGGAACAGCGGCTTGTTCGTCCAGTGCATCTCGACCAGCTCGATATTGTCCGTGCTGTGATCGTGGATGCATCCGTCGCCACGGCAGCGTATGCCGAGCTTGTTGCCGCTGACCTATCGTTGGGTCAGTGTCATATTCAACTCAGAAGTGTAGGGTTCTTCGGTCATGATATGTGCTATGTAGAGTAAGCATCTCAAATCAGTGACTTACATCTTTGCTATCGGAGATGTGTTGTGCACGCCCGAAATCCTGGCAGCCCCAGATATGGGGCACGACACTCCAGTGGGTAGTCTCCGTATTTCCCGCTATCGTGGTGTTGACCTCGAGGTCACGAGCGTGACGCTTCATTGGTGCATGGTGGAGGACATCGATGCGATAGACGTCGAAACTGGCGACAGCGGGGGTTACCAGGGTGATGATTGCGACCAGATACACCAGGAACCTGGCGAAACTAGTGCAAGACATCTTGATTGAAGCTGAGAAGAAACGAGCTGTAAAATTCCCGGATTTGACAGCGGAAGTTTTACTCGAGGCGCTTGGAGCACGAGGGTTGGAGCTGAAGAACCTAAGCTTCGAAAGGTCAGATTATGGCAACATGGGCCTGTACCAGGGGCGCAAATGCTTACTGATTCTGACTGTACAATCTGGCGAGGTGTGGAAAGCGAGTTGAGTGGGCGAATGGAAGGCGAGTCGAGAGTGAGTGGCAGTGAGGGCATGAGGCGGTGGGAGGTTTATATTCGTGGGCGGAGACGCGAAAAGTGCACGGGACCCTTTTCTCGGTTACCCATTTGCGAAGTTGAATCAATAGTATAGTACTCGGACCCCAGCCGAATGTGAAAGACGTGACCCCACTCACACTCGTGTGACTGCCAATGTGAACGACTAATTGCCATGGCTAAGAACGCGGCCAGGACATGACCGCACTGAATGCACCTCTGATGTCGTTCCGCGGCTCGATTGAGTACTACTAGTTTCGGATATGCAAATTCACAGACTCTGAGGCTGCCGGTGCTGAAGCGAGGTCGCTTATTCGATGCATGATCATGAAGACGTTCATCGGTGCGCACCTCTTTCATATTGGTTAAGCATTTCGAATGATACTTATTTGGTAGCAGGAGAATAATATGACGACGTGGATGCGGTTGCTAGGCTTGTCCACGGGTTTGGCGTACCTATGAACGAAGTGAATATTTCTGAGTCCTTCTCTGTCCCTATGGTGAATATATGATCATACCTATAGTATATACGAGCGTAGCACGTTATATACGCAAGTTTCAGGTCTTGCTTTTGGTTTCGTGAAGTAGAAGTACCAGAATTGTTTATCTTTGCAAAGCGACGCTGGAGATCTAAATCTGAGTGATATACGTTTTGACAAACAGAGCTGCGATGACAATTTGGGACAGCATACAAAATCAAACAAGTCACAAAGCATCTGTTCCGAAGAGGGGAGGCTCTATTGATCCTGACGAGCGATATGAGCTGGCTTCAACACGATTCAGGACAGATATATAACATCTAGTTGGGCCGTGGTGACTTCTGGATGGGTCTGCGGTTGAGGGTCAATGAAGGGGACTCACGGCGCAGTTAAAGAACACCAATAGGTACAGAGCAAGAAAACATAATCGTAACTATTAGATCATAAAGCAAGGCCAACGAATGCCAGCATTCTTTCGCCACATGTTCCGACAAACAAAGAACGCCACGCGATTGCCTTTGGCCGCTGACGCTTTACATAGCACATCTCATTCCTGAGACAAAGAACTTTCAGACAATAATATATATCACCGCAATTGCGACAAAGCGCTCGAATTGCGACCGCTAAGGGTCTCATCACATCATTCGCATTTATAACAGACCATAGTTCTGGCTAGTGCTTCAACCATCATCATGCATACTTCTCTATTGATCAGTTCGATATGTGCGCTATCTTGCGCATCTGCTCTACCAAGCAATATATCCCACCGCCAACAAAATGTAGGCCTGCCCGGAGGTGTATACACATGCACCAAAGATTATTTCAGAGGTATTTTGAGCCTTCTCCTGTCCTTGCGCGGCATACTAATAACCACCACAGGTGATTGTCAATGGACTGCACCGACAACAGCCTGCCATATCAACATGGGCATACACTCTCTCGGCCCAGACGAAAACGGGTGGTGCACCACATACACAAGCTTTGACTGCACACCTGGAACAGCAGTTAAGGTACATAGATATCCAGGGCAGCAGACGGGGATGAGCGATGATTGGCACAGCTTTGAGTGTCATGCCGACGTTAATCTGCCTTCTTCATAAGGCAACTATGGGAGGTTGCTGGGGTTGGCAATCAGTACTAGAGTCGTTGTTTGATCGAACAGTCCGCTACGCGATACGATAATGTACTGTTTAAAGTTCTGGTTTCATGAAGAATTTGCCTGGGACTTGTAAATTCGCACACCTTTCTTCGGCATATCAGAATGCATGTACTATCAGCCATTCCAGCTCAGAGCTACGGGTAATATTCGTAACAGTGAAACTGAAAGCGAGCCTTGCGCGCTGACATGTAGTGACAAATGTATGTTTGGAAAGATCCCACTTTCAGTCTACCCAGAAAGAGCCTGTGAGGTTTCGTGAAGCGAAGCGAATCGTGATCACATTCAAAGCCACATCCATCACTTACTTCATCATAGTGCCCTTCCCGATGCATAACCTGCGCTATATTATGTCAAAGACGCGACTGTATGTGCAACGGATTGCAGATACCTTGCACTGTTGCGCTGAGCAATATTATCTCCACTGCGCGTCTTGTTGAGGTTGCCATGGCGCTGTGCCGCCTCTGCCATCGCTCGGCTGGGGGTTACTGGGACCATAGCCCTGCTGCGAGTTGTCCATGGAATTCATGTGATTTCGAGGGTCGTTGGTCATAGTAGCGAACCTGGGCTCGTTCACCGCACCATAAGTTTGAGGAGCCGTCGTGTACAACGGCTTTTGCGATTGCGAAGGGTACGAACTTTGACCGGTGCCTTGAAAGTTACCAGAAGATGAAGCGTATTGCCCTCCTCCGTATTGTGGAGTCTGGACATGTGAACGCGGAGCAGAATGCCCATATTGCCCTCCGCCATGGCCCATCTGTCTGTTGCGCGGGTCATTGCGTTCCATTCGATCGTATGCAAGCTCACTGTCTGTATGCCCTAGGGTTTCTGCCCTGTCTTGATCATAAGATACCGTGGCTTTATCGACCAAGTCAAAATGGGACGCGTGGAGCTGCTTTTGCATGGTGGGATCGTTTTCTCGTTCCAAGTCTCCGTCGTGGTGTGCAAGTGAAGCTGCGATAAGGAAAGCATTTCGTATTTGTCGGCCATTCCACATGCCTATTCCCGATCCATTTGCATGCTGATCGTAATGCTTGCGCGCGAAATCTAAGAGATCGTTTTCGGCTATGGAAAGGCGAGCCGACTGTTCGCCCCCGCTGCTGCTCGATAATTCGCAGGCGCTTGATATTATGCTTGAAGATCTCGACAGTTTGATCTTTGTCGAGGTGGTTGTACTTCAGATGTAAATGTACTCGAGACTTGATAGCTTCGTCAAGGACCTAAGATGCACGTACAAGTTAGCTTGAGTGACAAGGATCGGATTGCGTACTTCGAGCACGTTCTCAAAGAGCAAGCCGAACGTATGGTTTCTCTGAGACAGACACGTCTAACATGCACCTGAGGATTTACTTACACCAACACGGTTTGTAGTCAGAAACAAAACGCCGTTGTAGTATTCGAGCATTCTCAAAAACACTGGGAAAATCAATTTTCTGCTCCTGTAGGAGGTCACGAGGACATACCTGATACGAGTGCGTTTCTTTGGAGATCAGCACCAGTCTTCTCCCTTTGTGCAATGAAAACATCGGCTTCATCCAAGAGCAAAACACAGTCCCAAAGATGCGCTAAGCGAAAGATCTCTTTCAATGACGCCTCCACCTTCTCAGGTGTAAAGCCTAAGTCTCCGCATGTTATTGGAAATAGCGGCCTCTTCCACTTTTGCGCGACCGCTTCGGCTGTTGCGGTTTTCCCCACTCCCGGAACACCGTGTAATAGGATCACGATGCCTCTGCCTTTTCCTCGTATCAAATCTTGTGTGGGTATCTCGATTCCTTGCGACTCGAGCTCTTTCTTCTTAAAATGCGATTGAAGCAGTGCAGAAATTAGCCTCTTATTGACGTCTAGTATTTGCAACTGTTCAAATGCTTCACCCTCTTCACCATGTCTTTCGGTTCGCTTGAGGTACCGTGAATCGATGGGAAGGAACTTGCGATCCCACACAGCGTAAGCATACATACGCCGAGGAAGCAGTGAAAGCTCATTACCGGACGGTGCCGGTACCGCATGAGCAGGACTTGGTGATAAGCAAAGTGCTGGTTTAGTGCGGAGAAACTTTTCTACCTCAGCCTCGTGTACCCACGCGTCGTCATGAAGCTTTTCGTACCAAATAGAAGTCACCTTCGTTCGAGTCTTGTTGTTCCAACTGATGATCCGATGGGTGTCATCCTTGTCGGGCATATCAATATGTGGCGGTTTCGGGCCTAAGTAGGCAAAATTTGGCCTCCAGGACGGAATCGAATCAAAAGCCTCCGTCAGATCTACGAGCACATCACTCTCTACGTGCTCCGGATTTTTCATTGGCTCATTTGTTTTGGGGTCGGTGATAGTTCTGAGGTCAGGGCCCTTAATCAAGCTCCATCCACTATAGAAACTGTAGCGTTTGACAAGGTGATCCACATAATTGGCACCATCAGTCTTTGCTTGATCGAAGTCGGCTTGTCCCTGCCGTGGGAGATAATGCAGAGGGAAGAAGTCTAAATCGGTGACCTTTTTCTCTCCTGGCCAGAACCATGGTTGCAGATCGGTGGTAAGTGCGCCATATCGTTCGCCATCATGGTCCAAGAAATAACATCTCAGAGTCCACGTCGATCTGTCTCTGTGTTCGCATTCGTACAGCTTACAACCACAGGGCCAGATTGTGTACACATTAACGACCCTCTTTATCCGTTGCTCGGTGGCAAGCGGTTTGCCTATGTGGTGAGATTTGTTGATGTATATATATTGCCCGAGCTTGAAGAGATAATCTAGCTCATGAAAGCGAACAGTCTGCGATTTGGTGAGATTAGAATGGTCGAATCGACGAGATGGAGGTATCAAATGCTCGTCAACAAACTTGATGTAGCAGCGAAGCTCTTCCTGCGCCTCCTTGGTACCGAAGTCATACCCGGGCCTGCCCTGTGGTTCCTGATCTTGGACGGAAGAGTCGCTTTCTGCTCCTGATCTCGTCTCGTCCTCGCTTTGAGCCGCCGACGTCTCCTGGAAGATTCCTTTCGTGAGTTCTTCTACCCTTCTCTTCATTTTGTCATGGAAGAAGAGAATATAGCGGAATGGCCGCAGGAACGTGCGCGGCTCGCCCTTCCACCGCCTTCCTTGTCTGCTAAAGCTTCCCAGCAATTCCATTATCGGACGAGAATTGATTCTCACGCGGTGAATCCATGGTTCCTCCTTATAGTGTTTTGGTCGAAAATATTCAGATGGGTTAGGGGCTACATGTGGAGGCGGAAGCGGCATATAGCCTGATGCTACGGACTTCGGCGGCGCGGGCGGTGGAGAAGGCGCAGGGGCAAATACGCCCTCTCGCATGCGGTTGGTTGTTTCTTCTTCTATATCCGAATAGATATGCAAATCGGCTTCTAAAACTTCAATCGCATAGCATGCCTCCTCTTCGCTGAATCTGTTCTTGAACTCTCCCCAACTGCATTTGCGCACTTCTGGGATGGTTCGTACCGGAGTAGGGAGGTCCCCATCCACGTCGGGCTGATCATTATCTAAGCTTTTCCTAGATGCAGCCGAGCTTGATGGCGGTCGGGGGACTAAGTCTGGTGGTGGGGCAAATGGATTTATGGGAGCAGCACTGAGTCCTTGTATTGACTTCGTAAGGTCTCCAATGCTTTTGTCTACGCGATTAAGTGACTGATGAATCTCGTTAAGGCCAGCCAGTGACGCCCTCGGCGCTTCTTCAAATGCTTCCTTCGCATCAACAGCAGTCGGCCTCACGTCCGCATTGTCGATAGCATCGTTTTCTTTCTCCATTGTCCAAGATAGGTTCCGTTTGCTGGAAGTCAGCACGGTAAGGAAAATGCCTGAGCACTTGCGACAAAATGAAGGATCTGAGAAGGCAACGAGCCGACAGGAAGGTGCTGCTCGCGAGGTAAGGCTGTTTAAAATATGGAGGGATCAGCTGGCTCATCAGAAGCGAAAGCAGCCCCTAAACCCATCGCTCGATAAGATCAAAGCTTGCTGACGCATGGAACATCACACAAGCAATTACTGGGCGGCACGTTTTGAAGTCGACCAATAGCACGACGCTTACCCTACATGTAACCCTACGACCGCGGCGCAGTGCATGCGTTTCTCGCTTATTCGTGCATCAATCCATGACATACCTAATGCTACTGGCTCCAGCATTGAGAGCACATAGGCAACCGCACAGCCTGGACATTTAGACAGATTGGCACTTGACTGCGGATAGCCTCTTGACGGTTACAGGAATTGACTTTCCTGCAGATACTCACGGCCGTTGTCAATAAGCAGCGTTATGAAACCAAGAACGAAATTGCAACGCTCCAAGAGAACCAGGAAAACTCCTCTTGATATTTCAGTGTCATCGTAAGAATATACAGAGGAGATAACAGTATCTTACCAGGTGTCCTCAGACGTCCGAGCAGAAGACATATTATTGCGCGGACCATGGAATCAACTGCAGCCTTTCCGCAGCCCACAAAGGCAATTAAAGATGCGTTGAGTGATCAGCGTGAAATTAAAGCGTTCGAACACTGGAAAAGTCGCGCGGGCAACGACTTACATCCGACGTTTGGCGAGAAAACGGTGTATGACAGCCAACGCGCAGTCTGGAGAGCTCCTGTCACTCAGTAAGCGCACTAAACACCTCTTCAGTAGAGTGCTTATGTTGTCTAGGGAACTCGAAAATGTCCTTGCTTCGGCACAACAGCTCGATCCGTCGTTCGACTTGAAGGATTGCACATGGGAAGCCTTGCTAGGCCATATCGACGCAGCAATCGAGATAGACGATCGAAAGAACAAAAACAAAATTCGTCGCGGTGTCAGAAACGCAAAAGCAGATGTGCAGTTGCTGAATTCTTTGATATCGATCATCCCGGATGAGAAAGGCCTAAGTCTCCTACGTGGAGGACTCTCTATCATATTTCAGGTGAGTGAGAATCGCAGTTCTTTTGCTCGCGGGCACATCCTGATTGAAGAAGCTTGTGTGGATTCAGCTGACACCGTCTCGCTCAGTCATGGATCCAACGTATCGAGACCAAAGAGCACATTCTAGGAATCCTTACAGGGATTATTGAGCTTTTCGCATTATCCGCTGCACAAAGACGTTTATTCGCAAGTGATGACGAGTTGCGAGCCTCACTCTTCGATTTATATGGCGTTATGTTGGATACTGTTCAAGAGCTGATTCGCATATTACTGCGAGTGCATAAAGGCAACTGTAAGGGAAGTGGCTATTGAGATAGTCACACATGCTGATGAAACAGGGCTCCAGCGTGTTCGCAAGCAGCTACCACCTCATGAGTCCCAAAAGGTCGAAGAGATTGTGACTCATATCGAGGTTGTCAAGAAACGAGTCACGAATAGACTCAACCTCTTGAGCTTGGAGCGTGACACCAACACCTACAAAAACACCCAGATCATCAAGGACGAAGTTCAAGCCACACGCTATCACATTTCCACCGTTGAAGTCAACGTGAACACCATGTCCCACAACATGCGGGCAACACAACAGACTGCCGAGGATATCTATGTTCAAAATCAAGACATCAGCACGCAGCTGGATGGAATAGGTACATCCGTCAATAATGCCAGCGCCAATATTCAAAGCTACGTCGAGGCCTCAGTGGCGCGACAGTTCGAGCGGTGGAAGCAAGAGTTCGATTCCGGCCTACGCAGTATGCAAAAGGAGAACCAAGATGTTGTAAGCATGATACAGACATCCATGTACCAGTTCATGGGCGAGAAAATGAACGCTGAGAGTAAGTGCCGCCCAGAAGAGGGCCACCCAGAATACACCCACGCAATGACACCACACTGACCATCACGAAGGACTCGGCTGGCTTCCGCGCCCTGCCCCCCAACACCAACCTCTAACCTATCAACCGATAGAAATCCCTCTCGAACAACTCACGCATATCCTCAACGTCGACCCCACCCCCATGCTCCAAGAAACGCAAAGCATATTGCGCCTCACGCACGCCATGCAACCAGATGGTCTCACAAAAGTCCGCAGTCTCATATCAACAGGACAACTCCGCGCCTGGATGAGTCTTCCCTTCCCAAACGTACTCCTCGTAGACGGACACTGCAGAGACCAAGGCCAGGGACGAACATCCCCGCTCTCCATCTTCTGCGCTTCACTGGCCGCCACGCTGGCACAATCCAGCTCAAACATCGTCTTGCATTTCTTCTGCGAACACCACAGCCAGCCGGAGTACGATGCAGTCAGTGGCCCAGCTGGATTACTACGCTCACTCATCACGCAGTTGCTACTGTATCCGGATGCGTGTAACATGCCGACCGTGGCACTGGAGCAGAGCATGTGGGAAGCGATATCAAGACATGAAGTACCCGCGCTGCTCAGCCTTTTCGAACAGATACTGGTGAGTACAGTCCTACCGTTGGTGGCTTGGACTCACGCTTTGGACTAGCTAGTATTGCCGACGGACAAGACGATATACACAATCCTAGACTCCATATCCGCTTACCAAAGCACCTTACACGACTACACTCAGCCCACCCTGCAGGTCTTGCAGGTCTTGCACCGGCTAGCGGACGAACGACGACCAGGACCACGACTGAAGCTCCTGATGACAAGCGCGAATAGAACGATGGATGTACCTTACATTGTTAACCAGGCAGGTGGCGAGTATGTCGCTTTGCAAACGAGCTCTACGGGTCGACGAGGGGCATCTATGCGCGGTCGTCCCTTCGAGCAGGATATACACATGGTCATGCAGAACCCCCATGATACAACATTTTTGAATCCTGTGGATCAACGCAGTCATAGGGGCTATGGTGATGAAGTGGAGCGCAACGATATATCTATTGAACGCCCGCGTTCTGTCGGAAGATTTATGTAGATTGCTCATGATGATGCCCTATATCATTTCATTTCATATCATTTCATATCATCCTTACTCCCCCACTTCACATTCACACTGAGAATAGTCTTATGCATACAAGCGCATAACTCCGGGATGCGAAACGGCTTACTGATGACGTCGTCCATGCCTGCTTCGAGCGCCTCCGTCACCTGCTCGCTGCGCACATTGGCCGTTACTGCGATGACGGGAATATGTCCCCTTACGATTCCTTGGGACTGTAGCTTGCGGATCTCGCGCACGCAGGTTAGGCCGTCCATTACGGGCATCTCCCAGTCCATCAGGATCAGCGATAGTTCCTGTGTTGCGGATCCCTCGTCGGGGATGCAGTATGTTGTTTTGCGGACGTAGTCGAGGGCTTCGACGCCGTGGTTCGCAACGGCGACGTTCATGCCGATATTTCTTAGTTGCTTTGCTAGCACACGCTGGTTGACGAGGTTGTCTTCGACGATGAGAACCTTGACGTGGGCATTTCCCTCTTTGTTTTCGCTCAGCTTGCGGCCGATGGCTGGAGGCTTGTCTGTGTCGTCGCGAGAGCGATTGGCGAGAACGGTGGACTGTGCGCGTACGCTGAGGTCGGTTGCGGTTTCGTCCTGAGGCGAGGGCAGGGAGGCTTTGCGGCATTTTACGTAGAAGGAGAAGGTGCTGCCGACTTTGGCTTTTGATGCGAAGCTGATGGCGCCGCCACTTCGAGAAGATTAGCAGACTATCTTGGAGAGGATTGCTAGGGTAAGGACCTACTGAAGTTCGGTGAGCCGGCGCGAGATAAAGAGACCAAGACCAGATCCACCTGCAGAAGGCAATTAGCGAACAGAGAAGGATTGAAGAAGGCAATATACCATAATCGATATGTGTGCGAGGCGAAGCTTGCGAGAAGCGCGCAAAGAGTAAATCATGTTCAGCATCGGTTAACCCACGGCCTGTGTCATGCACGGAGAAGATCATGTACGCAACCTTTCCCTTGTCCCAATCTGTCTGCAGAGTGTGCGACACTTCCGCCCCAGGCGTACGATGAAACTTCACACGCTCATCGAGTCCTTGAAGTGGTGGTTCGGTAGATAAACCCAGCCTAACGCTGATGTGACGCGTCTCCTCAAGCCTTGTAAACTTGATAGCATTGGTGATGAGGTTCTAGATTGTTAGCTATAACCGTGAATCGTGCAGCTGTAACACTCACAATCAAAATTTGGAGGACGCGTGTCGGATCTAAGGAAACATAATTGATGCTTGTGTTGCTGCAAGAAGCCTCGGCGTGATACTCTAGGGCGACGCCGGCGGCTTTGGCTTCACCCTCGAACATCTTAACTGCATCGCGAGCGATTGACTGAAGCGGGACATCGACCGGTGTCATGACGAAGAGTCCGGAATCCAGCTTCGACATTGTAAGGACATCTAGAGGATGTTACATTTATTGTGGCACACACGTGTTAGGGTAGCGCTTACCATCGACAATAGTCTTCATATGCTTTGAGCATTGGACAATGGTATCTGCAGATTCAATCGTGGTCTCTAAAATGTGTTTGTACGCAGCTTGATAGTCCGTGGATCCTTTAAAATCGTTGTGCGAGGAAATGATGCTCTGGTCACGGTAAGTGTAGCCCCACGAAGACAGCTCAGAGCCCACTTACATCGGCACACTGTACGATAGCTGATAATGGATTGCGCATTTCATGCCTGCATCACGAATTAGCTAACAGCAGAGCTGTGGCCACACCCAGGTGACCTCTAAGTGAAACAATAAAAGAATCCCACAGAACTGTGGGCTTAGAACTTACGATGTGGTATCAATGAAATTCTCTAGTTTTCGTTTCGATTCTTTCGCGTCGAGCGCCCGAGTTGCCTGCAACTTTTCGCCAAACTTCTGCCTGCTAATGTCTTGGAAACAGCCTACAATCTCCAATAGATCGCCTTTTTCTGACAGCTCAGGTTGAATTGAGAGCAATATCCACCGAGGTTCCTCTTTCGCAGATCCATCAGTATACGCGGTCCATGTTGTCTTAAGTCGTAATTCCCAGGTCCTATTTCGAAATTAGCAATACTCCAATGAATGTAGGTATTAGGAAGAACTACTGATGCTGTTTCGTTGCAATCAAGGTCTTGAACTTTTCTTGACCAGATTCAATGTACTCGTCGTCGATGAGTGCTCCCCAAGATTCGGTGAGCTCTACATCACGGTGTAGGGAATCGGGATCCAGTATCCTCCACCACGCATCATTGCGATAAGAATATATGCCATCTAGACCAACAATGAAGATACCAACATCGGCGCGCTCAGCAAAGCGCTGAAACTTCATGGCACTCCGCTCGACTTCCTTTTGGCTTGCGATGAGTTGCCGTCTAAGCTCACCTTTCATGATCTCTGCATTCTCGATCGCACGCTCTCGGCGATGTATGTCCTCTTCGTGTAGTAGTATAGAAGTCAAAGAGGTAGAGATCAAACGACTCGCAACCATGATGAAATGTCGGTAATCCTCATCGTAGGGACGGCGAGGATTGAGTCCGAGGACCATGTAACCCAAGATGTTATCTTTGGAAGAAGTCGGAGTTATCGGACAGATTACAGCTCCCCGGCAGGGGTCTCCGTATCCCTTCCAATCTACCCCACGCACAAGTTCGTATACTGGAGAGCCTTCTGTTAGGTCCACTGTAGTTGTACCACGCGTAGCCATCGCCTCTCGGAAAAAAGGCATAAATCCTTCATTTTGATGGAAGTCAAGCTTTGCAACGGCAACAGGAGAATCTTTTGGTAATCCAAAGGCACCGCGTAGTGTACAATCCTGGTCTCCATCAATCTGTCCTGTCGCACTAGAACAGGAGCTGGATTCGATCATGGCTTCGACCGAGTATAAGAGTGCGAATGGTATGTCTTTGGTGTTGCGAGATAAAACGTCCGTCGCGATGTGCCAGTAGGAATTCAAGTTGCGTGCTCGTGGGACCTCCTCGCTGAGCTGCAGGATGGTATGTGCTCGTCGCTCTGCAACAACCTCCCTGGTTGTTTCTATAAGGGGTTCATAGTGAGCGATGGTCCTGCCTTGATCATCGAAAATGGGTATAAAACTCCATGAAAAGTACGACTCTTCCATAAACCCGCTACGTTCCATCTGAATAGGATTGTTTGCTCCTTCCACCGTTTCGCCTGCGAGATTCCGTTTTATCAAAGGCTCAAAGTAATGTGACCAAACTGATTCAAGTGCGACGCGAGCACTAATTCCCATGCATGGATGGAATCCCCCCAGCAGCTCGATGTATGGTTCATTGTAGATCATGATAAGGTCTGGGCCACAGAATACAACCGCAGGCCGTGCATCCTGCATAACGAGAGTGGCGACACTTCTGAGCTGTGATGACCACTCGCCCATAGACCCCAAGGCGGTGCTGGCCCAGTCGATGCTGCGAGCCCATGCGATATGACTTGTCATTCTGTCTGGAGGCGCATCGTATGTCCAATCGAAACTCGTAGTCTTGGACCGTGAGGGAACCTTCAACAGGGTACCCTCTGGCTTGCTGTACGTGGGCTTGCAGGTGATTGCAGCATTGTTGGTGAATAATCGACTGACCACAGTCCATTGCTTCGAAATCGTTATCTTGATCCAGACGTAGTCGCAAAAAGTGTACGATCCGGCCGCGCTTTCTTGAATATCGGCGAGCCAGTCTTTGAACTCCGCGAAACCTTTCACTGCGGAAGTAGCATTTGGCTTAGCCGCAAGCTCTAGCAACGCATCTAGAGTCTCCTCAGAATCGAAGTCTGCAAAGGCGGAATTCCAGTAAGACGGCACGGGAAATCCTTTCTCGGAAGTGGCCTTGGTGTCGATCACGAATGTCGGTCTTGGGTCATGTTCGATCAATTCAAGCGCCCCGACGCCGCTCAAACACTGCGGAGCACCTTGCGGAGTGCGCTTTTGTGGCGCGCTCATGGTGGGGTTCACCACCGTCGCAAGACACTGCTCCCTTCTCTCTTAGTTGCGCGGTAGGAGGGGACGTAGGGGCGTGGGCAATGGGCATCGAAGGCATTTGTGAATGCCCTATCAGGCTGAAGGCGGCAAGGGTAGAATTGGGATAGCTTTGCTGCGCCATTGGAAGTGTTCTAGGCCAGCCATGTGGTATTTCGGGCATCCACACACTTTAGCGTGGCTTCGTGATACGTCATGATCATGTGACTCTAGCCGTATCTGGCCGATCTGGATCCACCTCTCGGCTCAGATCTCACCTGCATCCTCAGCGCATCGTTCCAACGAAAACACCTGCTCCATCGCGGACGCTCCTCGATTAGATGATCGATTGGTTGCCATGTCCGTAGTCGCAGGATGAGGATGGCTTGAGATACCTATTGCAATGATCACTTTGAGTGGGGAAGCGGCGAAAACTCCTCCCACTGCCGACAACCTCTACATTTCCAAGCGAATTTGATACGGAAAATATAACGAAACAACCTTGAAGATACCACTGGCCCCAGGCCTTGAACGATGCGCAAGCCAGGCGAGGGGCGCTGAGGGCAGTGAAGTGAAGCCCTTACATGGTGTTTCGAATAGAGGTACTGAAGCGCTTAAATTATAGGCGCCCGATGAAACTACTCTCGGGAGTAGCTATTCACCCGCGACTTACGTCGAGGGTCTCCCAAAAGCGAGCGGCCTACAATTCGGCTTTTCGTTCATTTACTTGGCCTTGCATACTTCGGAGTGGGGTACTGCAGGTCACGGTTACTCTACATGGCGCTTTCGTATTCGCCAAGTCCACTCCAACCAGTCAGAGCTTGCTTGGTATACTCCTGTGCATCTTAGTTCGACAATATGCATTGTCCACCCACTCGGGGGCTTTGCTGGGGCATAGGGCTTACTGTTGATCCGCGCGACAAGAGTGACGTAAGCTAAGTCTCTATGCGGCATCGTACGAGAAAGCACGAGATAGCAGCGCATCAATATCTGCACTTAAAGTCTTTGGGGAGCGCCAAACACAATTGACCCTGCGTGAATCACTGTCCTTGGGTACCTCTCGTCTGAACTGGGTTCGCCAAACCTACGAATACCAAAGCGAATTTCCAAAACGCGACACGAAGGACGTCCAGACTCCTCCCGTAGTAGTGTATCTTGGTGGTATCACATCAAAGGTAATTTATTGCTGGTTGAGGACACCATACAGAGTTTGCACCTTAGGATAATTCGCTTTCCTGTCGTTACCACCGAAAACATGGGATATATCAACCCCAAATACATTACCCCTCTTCCTCGCCTGACTCCACCACCTCCATCCTACGACAAAAGCACCCTCGTCGGAGACCGGTACGAGGCTGTCGTCATTGGTGCAGGTCCTACAGGTCTCCTCCTATCCGTCTTCCTCACCCGCTACAATCTCACCTCGGTGCTAACCGTCGATGCCAAATTGGGCCCTGTCACCGCAGGCCACGCAGACGGGTTCAATGCACGCACTATGGAGATACTGGCGAGCCTAGGTCTACATCACGAGCTGCTGGATCTGGATAGCTGCATGACTAGTGTATGTTTCTGGGGCCCGGACAAAGAGGGCGGAAAAGGGATCGTCAGGACTGGCGTGGCACCTTCCAAGGACAGGACCAGCAAATTCCCGTTTACGACGACCGTCAGTCAGGCGCATGTTGAGCGTGTGTTTACAAACGATTTGGAAAATAGAGGTAATCCGGTTAGATATGGCTGGCGATTTGTGGAGTTCAAGCTACGCGAGGAGGAGGAGTACAAGGAGTTTCCTGTGGAAATCAAGATACAATCCACAAGCGACGAGGCTGATATCAAGACCGTGTACGCGAAACATCTGATTGGTGCTGATGGGGCGCATAGCAATGTTAGGGCTGGAATGGGCATTCCTATGGAAGGTAGCGGTACGGACGACATCTGGGGTGTCGTTGATACAGTGGCCAAATCCAACTTTCCAGATAAGCGGCGTGCATGTCCCATCGTCTCGCAAAACGGGTCGCTCCTCTGGATACCGAGAGAACGTATATCGCCTACCGAGCAGCTCACTCGAATTTACGTGCAACTCGCTACTACGGCGTCGGATGGATCTGCAGCCGCAGACCAGACAGTTGCTTCCGCCTCCACTGCCGCATTCAAGCACCACACGAGATATGCGGCAGAGACATTTGCGGAAGAAAACGCTGCCATCCCCACAAATAACAACCCCGATAGCAACTCCCGCTCGACGACTAAAACTCTGCGTCTTAAAGCCACCCTTGATGACATCCTCTCTCGCATTCCTCCCGCTCTTTATCCGTACTCATTCGAACCAGGACACATCGACTGGTGGGCCTCCTACCAAGTCGGCCAACGCATGGCCCCGTCATACACCTTCCCTACCTCAACCCATTCTCCACCGTCCCCAGCCAGAGTCCTAATCGCCGGCGACGCCTGCCACACGCACTCCCCCAAAGCGGGCCAAGGCATGAACTTCGGCCTAGCAGACGCCCAAAACCTCGCCTGGAAACTCGTCTACGCTATCCACGGCCTTGTCACTGACCCCAATGCTTTGGTAAAAAGCTACGAAGACGAGAGACACCAAGCTGCAAGAACGCTCCTGGAGTTCGACAAGAAGTGGAGTCGTTTGTTTAGTGGGGGTTTGAGTCCGGCCGAAGCTGGGCTCCGGCCCGAAGAGTTCATGCGCTTGATGGCGGTGAATCAGAGCTTTATTAGTGGGCATGGGATACAGTATCCGGCAAGCTATCTGGTAGGACAGAAGAAAGACGAGGTAAGGGAGCATATGGATGAGATACTGCGCCCGGGGCGAGTGCTGTGTAGCGCTTCTCTTATACGCTTCGATGACGGTTCAGCGGTCGATAGCCAGGACGCGATGTATGCGAACGGGAAGTTCCGCGTCGTTGCATTGATTCCTGAATCTACGGGCTCGTCTCCGCAAGACGAAGCGTGGTGGCCTGCTTTGGAGGCACTTCTGAATAATCTTCAAACCGATGTTTTACGAAGTGTGGTCGAGACGATAATCATTCACCCTTGGCCTGCTTTGAACCATGACATCGAATGGACGCATTTTCCTGCGATCGTACGCGAGGTTTCGGAACGCAATGTATACGGAGAAGCTAAAGAAGATGGAGTTTACGGTGTATGGGGGATCGAGCGAGGGGTGGGTGCTTTGGCCGTAGTGCGGCCGGATGGATATGTCGGGGCGCATTTTGGGTGGGGGGAGATGGATGCTCTGAGATTGTATTTCAGAGGGGTCATCGGGTAGTAATCCCTATCGATGTGTATCGGAAGTGAAGTTTTCAAAGGCGCGATAAGTGTGCGACGGGGCGACGGGGTTCTCGCTGAGTATGCAGATGGCGAGACAGTGAGCAAAACCCGTGAACTAGTCTACCTGACGCTTAGACTAAAGCTATATTTGCGAAATCTCGTATCATCTGCACTGTTGTACCTGTCTCTAGGTTAAATTCTTCGTACCCGAGTACCTACATTGATCTTCACCGAGCCAGCTAATTGCAGTCACTGCGAAGGTGGCGATCCGAACCCTTAGTAGATTCCCGTACTCCGTGCCCTTTGAGATGCATGATCTATATTACATGTAGGTATACTGACGCTGATTTAATGATTGTGCTCTGGGAACCGCAATTAGAGACTGCGCTCAAACTGCATCTTCATAGCGAAGTACCAAACTTGATCATTTATTTGACTTTCACCTCAAATGAGACCAAACAGCATATAATGTATAATGTGACTGATAAATAATAACGCGAAACGCCCTTTAGTGGCGTAGGCAGGTCGAATTGATTGCGTTCTATGAATTCATTGTGCGATCCACAATGCCTGACAGTGCAGGAAAGATCTTTTATCTGTACAAGAACTTGAATGCAACTAGAATAAGGGACTACTCCAAGTGACGCATCTGTTCCTGCAGTGATATGATATCCCCCGGTATACGAACCAAATGAGAGCAAGCGAGCCATGTTCGATATAGAAAATTCGTAATGGAGTTGAATCCTGGAGCCCCTTCTATTTTGCACTTGGCTAGCACAAGTTGAGCCATTCACCTTTAAGTTAGTCAGCGGTAAGCCCCGGGACCCGGTCTGTGTATACAGTCCATTTCGTGCGCACAAGACATTGTCTCAACGCAAGAACCCACTCTGACTGGGAGACAGTCATACCACCACCACCATGCCGCCCAAGCGGACTGCCGCCGCAATGGGCTCTCCTTCCCAGACGCCGCAGTCCAGTCGGAAGCAGCTCAAATTCAACTTTCCGGGGACGCCTTCGCAGAACGCGCCCTCGACCTCCCCAGAAGCATCGCCAGGCAGAGGCGCTTTAGCTTCGTCGATGAGCCAGCATAGGCGCCCAACTAAAGGCGCAACCCAGAAGCAGTTTCAGAAGCACTTCCAGGGTCTCGGAGGTGACATTCAGCTCGAGTTGCTCCAACACGTAAGTCTTGCTGCGCTTCCGTTGGCGTCGCTGTACCTTTGAGGACTAATCGACGCATAGCTCCCCGAAGACGTCTTGCAGGGACTTGCGCACGCGGGCGACACGGCGCTCGCAAATCAAGCCAAGCACACGCAGGCGGCCAGGTTTAACTACCAGAACCTGACGGAACTCGCGAATCATCCTAAAGCACGACCCGCACAAGACAAGCAGGGCAAGGAACAATCGCTCATTATACCAGGGAGCTTCGAGCATTTGGAGCGCACCAATATCATGAACTTTGTACAGGTACTGGCACTTGACACAAACCGGAAAGATGCACGTGCCAATGTTGGAATGGCAATGGAGCGTCTATTCAAGATGATTAGACCGCATCGGTTGGAAGTGCTTTTGGTCCTCTCTGGCATGTGTCTTGAAGACCAGGGCAAGGCTGCGATGCAGGTCCTCTGGCTCACGCAGAGGAATATCCGCAAAGTGGTGCTTCCACCGCTGGCCACTGCATGTGACGGCATCCGAAGCGAAGTATCTGGCATAGTACAGATGATCAAGAATCCCAACACGGGCGCGGTCGACGGCAAGCCTGAGGAACAAGAACAGGAATCCAAGAGTGAGTAACCAGAGATGCACGGATGAAGATTTAACGAGCTCAAAGCTGACATCGAGGGAAACAGATTTCCCGAAGTCTAATAGTAGAATCGCGCCTGAGGCAGCACTTAATCTGTTCGTGCAGCAGGGTAGTGACCTTGATCTGGTGTCACTATATACGCGGAAGCCTCCCAAAGGACCAGAACAAGATGAACCACTCAACTACTCGGTATGCTCTTCTATTATCCCAGGCTGAAGATGAGGTCACCCAGATCCCTGGAGCAAGCGATGTCATCGCCGTCACATGCGATTGGGAGAGCTATGTAGACTAACATCACACAGATTCAACTCAATAGCCTGCCACTTCGTGGCGCAGTTGAGAATCTCACCATCTTTGAAGGAACCGGGTCTAAGCAACAAGTTGACAAGTTCCTAGACGCCGTTTATCGAAACGAACCGGTACGAACTCAAGAGCTAAATCTAGTTGGTAGTCGTATCAACATCGACAACGTAGCCACTCGCCTCGGTCCTGAGGGATTGCGTGCCCTGAATAGCTTCGGTTCGTTCAACGGCAATAGTTGCAATGGATTCTTGGGCAAGTTGCTATCAGATGGCCACAACCTGGAATCGTTCACGCTGGTAGACTATTTGTCGTGGGAAAATTTCCGGGCTCCGAAGCACATGAGGTCAATAATGACGAACTTGGTCCCTGATCCTGCAGACCGCTTCGTTGACCGTCCGGTCGATGGCCGCCTCCTTCGAGAACTGTTAAAGTCCTCGAAAACCTTGCACCTGTTCATCGTAGACGCTCAAAGTTACTCCAACTTTCAGCCGGCTATGCTCATTGCAGCTCTTCCTGCAACGATACAATACTTTAAGGTCGTGTTCGGGTACGAGGCCTACCTCAATTACTCCGCACTTGGGAAGGTCATCGAAAAGTGCCCCGGTATGAAGGGTCTCTGCGCTTTCTTGAAATGCACAGCCAAGAAAGTCCAACGTGTCAGAGCTATCGAACAGTTCGTGGTATGTTCCGTTACCCAAATTCTTGTACTGCGCCACTGATGCCTGACGACTGACTATCAATAGGGTGCGCTGCGCTCGGCCAAGCGGATAGAACTGATCGGTGTACATGTTGCTCAATCCCGCACTACTGACGTCCAGGAGCTCTTCAGAGTAGCAGCTATGATCTGGACGCAAGTGCGAAAGAACGAACTGCGTCGCGTGAAATACGTGATCGTCTCAGCGCGCAAGTCCCACTACACGGCTGAACAGTCACCGTCAGCGGCTCGGTACTACCGCTCCGTCAAGGACGAAAAGTGCGTCGAGGTCAAGTTCCTTGATATTCCAGCTGAGGATCGGAAGGTCGCTGGTCTTCTGAGTGGAAACTTTGGGAACGGCATGATGCAGTGGGCGGATAGATGCGATATGGCTTATCAACCTGAGGGGCCCTATGACCGCAGCAAGGACTATTAAGTGCAAGCGGATTGTATGCATGGGTCTTAAGTTTCAGGGTCTGTGTCGGAGTTTCGAGGCGATGCGATTCATTGACTTAGTGAAAACGAGGTGGGACCGTGCTCATGCTTTTGCAATCTCCTCGTTGAAACCGCCAATGACGTAGTCATGAAAAGATAATGTTGGAACTCTTGAGACACTACTGATGAACGTCCACGAGCACGAACACATAGCAATTATGATTATCATTGCAGCCCTCAACTACTGTTGCATATTCACGGCAACAAGGATTACTGCTTTACTGAACAATTGACAATTAAAAATACTGTTCTCACACTCAAGACTTGATCAGCATGCCACAATGCAGCGCAACATCTGTAGCCATAAAGAAGCGAATGGATGAACTCAAGATGCCGTAGGGTGGTGCGCACCGTGGTCAAAAGCAACGACACTAGCGATTCAATACAAGATAGAATCCTTCTGAACTATCTCTTTGATGAACAGCTATTGTTCCGAATGATATTGAACCCTCCATGACTTATTCACGCGGACACCTGGGTGAAAATGAACGCTAGGACGCTAGGACGCTAGCGCGGCCCTAGCGCGGCCCTAGCGTAACCCGTTCAACCTATATAATACCTCGCGCCCGCCCGCTTCTCCGCTGCCTCCACTCTCCACCATATTGGACTCTCGTTTCTCACCGCGGGTGCTACTGTTTTCTTCTATCTTTATCCACTAAGCCCCCCTCGGGCTCTTGTTCCCTTATGACAGCGACGGTGACGCGCGATAACTACAGACCTGTCCCGGGACGGCGGCGAGCTGCTGAAACGGGACGCTTGCAGGTATTGTATCAAGCAGTCGCAAACTCTCTGTTTGATCAGCATACATCTTCTTCTATCTCTTTACACGCTCACTCACGGACGCCCCATGCCCCTCCCTTCTCCGCCTGCACCGCATCGCGCTTGCTACCGTGACAAGCATCTTGTCTATCTTTTATCTTGTCATTCTTTTCATCACGGTGCCGGTTGGCTGGCCGAACGCACTTCCTTCGAGGTTCATACCGAGCAGACCACCGAGGTCACTCGCTCACTGAACCGGCAGCTAGAGCGTGAGCAACTCTACTGCACATCCGACCGGTGTCACCACTACAGTGAATGGCGTCCCCCCGTCAACTTCCTATCGTGCGGATTGCAAGATCAGCACAATCGGAAACGAATGGGTCAGGATAATCCCCCAATGGGGGGTACGTGAGCTTGTAGTGATCCCAGCGTACGGAAGCGTAAAGATCCGGTCAGGATTGAGCGCTGCGCTGTGCAATGACCACTCTCAGCAACCAGAAGAAGCTTCTAGGCTGTTATGTGCCCCGATCGCGGACACCAGAGCGCCACGTTCCGCTGTGTTCAATCCGCCAGCGCCGAGAGCTGATCTCGTACCGCTGCCTCTCCCATCGGACAGCTACGAATATGACCACGACGACTACGACGACAACAACCATCATACCATTTTCTTTCATCACTGCGTCTAGCGTGCTGGACCCGTGAGGAAGGATGCGCCAGGAAGTTACATCTTGCATACGAGTATCTATATTATTGGTATGGAGGTTATAATGGCTGATCCAATCATAGATAAGGTCTATAGGTGCTCTTCCTTTGCGAAACAATATCCAGTATGGTAGCGTGTGAAGCAACTGTTTCAATGAAGGCTCGCCTCATGGACTGATCGTGGCCTGTCGATGAGCAAGTCGGTGTTAGAAACTAGTTAGCGCCGCTTTTCCGTGATTACCTCGACGGGATTAGCTCGATGCGTGCTGCATACACTGCCATCTCTGCGAAGCAATAGTTGAATACCGTGATTCAACTCGCTGTAATATGCCGCCAGCCGTTTTCTGGAAGCACGCCACGGCCCATGTTGTGTTCTATTGGTGAAGCAAGCGGAGATTGACTGATGTGATTTCACGGGCGTCATGAACATGACTCCCGTGACATAGATATCACAAATTGAACTATGTGAAGACGCGATTGTGATATGAGTAATTTATCACACCAAAAAAACATTTAGCCGTGACGTATTCAGCTGCTTCTCAATATAGTCGTTGGGTACCTCTGTGAAGCATTGGCAGCATAGTTCCATGTGTAGTCTTACACGAGGCCCTCAGATACGCACACGAAGCAACCAAAACCCCAACGCAATGGACAATCCCAAAAGGCAGCCTAGAAATCAGGGAACTAGCTCAAAGCAACCTTTTCCAACTTCCCAACAACAACGCTCAGCGCATCCAAGAGGGAGTTCGTCCACTACCCAAACACAACCGGACAATCTCCCGCAACGAGAAGCCTCTCGTGGTCTCTCCATCAGCTCTTCCATAAGCTCTGCCTTAGGTCTTGTGCAGTATGGATACATATCACAGATCTGCATACCTTCGAATGCCGCGTGGCGATGTAACTCATGCCGAAACACGTACGCAATACAGTCTGCCAGAATCGATCGACCTTTGGGGTATTTTCGATGTAGAACCTGCCACCGCTCCACTGATTTCGACATATTGAACATTCCACAGCTACGCGAGATAACCGGCATGGAGTATGAGCTGGCCGTGCCTCACCATGCTGAGGCCCATGAACAGTCCCCCCAAATCTATCTTTGTATGGGTTTGTTGCACGTGTGGGCGTTCGTGGCCTCAGGTACCGACCCCATGGCGCGCTTCACTTCCAGCATCGCAGCCGGTAAGATCTTTCGGCAGAAGTGCACTTCGTCGTATCTTTCATCTACGATCGGACTACTCAGCAAGAGAGCCCAATCCCGCTCCTACACCGGTAGGTCTTCGAGGGTGTGCTCGATATATCGTGACGTTTAATGCAGGGTGTCTGTGTGCACACTACACATGCACAAACTGCTTTCGCGCTATGGTTCTAGCAGAGGGAGAAAACGTTTCAAGGAGATTACAGGAAGGAGAGGCCGTTGATATACCGCAGGAGACACTGGAGCGCAAGAAGGATGAGATCCGCGCAATGGGTCTGGATCCGGATGAGTACTTTCCCTGAAAAGTCTACACTGGGTAGCCTTTTCTGGCTCTGGAAAGGAACTTTCAAAACATGAGCGGTTTTACTTCGTGTAATGAGTGGATGGTTTGGCATTTTGCTTGAATGAGCATCTGAGTACCATTATGCAGCTGTTGCATCTGTTACGAGGACTCGGGACAGAGCCGGAGCCTGTGAGCCCATGAGTACTCGCGATTACTTCAGGTGACTTATAAATGTCAATGATAGAGGATCAGCTCAGCCGAGATGCCGCAGTAAGGGCTCGATCTTGTGCTACTGGTATGGAACTTCTGAATGAAGTTTTCGAATTTTGCATTCCTGAGTCGAGGATCAGACGATTGATTCAATGATTTACCACTTCGAAAAAGTATTACTCAGGTTCGAAAGACCATAAATGATAATGCACTCAGTTTCACTTGATGATCCAGAGAAATGCGTCAGGTTGCAGCTCATTAGCTTGCTGGCTTCGATCCAATTCTTCTACGAATCTAAGAGATATTCGCACTTTGCACAAATATAACGAACTACATATGAATCGAAGTCGGTGGTACGAAACTGCCGTTGCTGTTATGTTTCGACGTAGTGACTTGTCACTAGTTGTAACAAGTGATGTATTTCGACTGGGCAGACATCTGTCGCTCTAGTATGTACCATGTATGCAAGAAAGTCCTCAGAAAACGAAATTAGGTCTACTTTTGTATACGGCGAGTGCAGCGGTACTGTTCTATGGCTGCAAAGTTTCTAGACAGCGATTATGAAAGTTACAACACGCTAGTGCAGGAACAGTGAACTCACGAGATCCGACATGTTGTTATGGTCGCCCTTTAGGCAGGCGCCACGATGGTGTGTGCGCCCTGTGTATAGTCAACCGCAACACTAGCGCGCACCAAAGGTATACAAATCCACCCATGACTAAAGAGACCCTCGCCCGGGACATACTGCTCTACCCATCATCTTACAGTAAACCGTACTGCAGTCAAACAAGATCTACCCAAGTCGTGTGTGAGGCGTACATAGAATCCCTCTCTGCGCTCTCGTCCCGAACCATGGCGCCCGAGAAGCATACCGTGAGCTCGCCGCACGCCCCCGATGCGAAGCGCCGACGCGACGACACTAAACAAGGTATTTACTAGAAAGGAAGAAATAGACACGCACACTAATAGCAATTTTACAGATCCGCCAATCAGTCCGAATGCTGCAATTCCCGTGGTTCATCGCGAGAATGCGACCATCGGCGCGACCATCGGCGCGCACATCAAACCCCCGCAATCGCTAGAAGAAGTTTTTGCGCTCTTCGAGAATCGAGACGAAGATGATGACGAGGAAGACGATGACGAGGACCAGGATGTTGAGGACGACGATGATGACGAAGCTGCGAAGCCAGTGAGCATGAGCCCGGTCGTTGAGCCTCCAAAGCCGGTGCGCTCATTCAAACCCCCGGGGGCGCGAGATCCAAACGCAGCTCGGAAGGATGCCAGCATGAACCCATGGAGGTTCCGAAAATTAGACTATGGGCCTTTGCATTCTAAGAGCAAGAATGGAATCCCAGACTACACCTCAAGTAAGGAAGACCGATCATCAATGATCCAGCACGCGACAAAGACAAACAATTTAGGCAAGAATCGCGAAGGTCAATCGGGGGACAAAAAGGATAATGGGAGCGGAAATCCCTCGTCAATAGTTCAGACATCCCCAAACGATACGGATGAACAGCGTTCAGTCGAGAAGCTGGTCGGACGTTCCTACCGCTTAGGCTATGACGAGTCGGACTCTGGAGTTAACGACTCTGACGAGCTGGATAACGACTCTGGCGAGCTGGAAAATGTGGCGGACATGACTGGCTCGCTCGTCGCACCGAAAGCTGACAGCAAGAGCTCGACCATCGAGGAAGCTGCGCAAAGCACCAGCATGGAGCAATTCGCCATCAAAGTACAGTCAGACGCAACAGCAAGCAATATCGACATCATGAAGCAAGAGACTGAATCAAGCCTTCCCTCAACACTCACGCCCATCATACCCTCGGCTCCGGACTGGGCACCTTTCTCCCACAAACCGATCTATCTTGGCGAACCTGGTCATGGTCGATTTAAGTCTCGTATCGTCTTTGAAGCGGATACTATCCCTCATGAGCAGCACTATGCTGAGACTACGTACGGGATTACCACCAGCAGTCGCATGAGCGCACTCGAAAAGCTGATGGAGTGGCGTCAGAATTTCGGTAGCAAATCGAAGGATGGTCAACTGCGTAAGGCTGAGCGCCTTATCATTCTCAATGAGCGCGAACCCTCAATGGCGCGGAATGAGCTTTCTCGCCACACCGATTCGCTCATGAGGCTAGGCAAGTGGCTGAAGCAGTTCATGCCCGACAGCTTTGTCGTGATCAAGACCACCATTCCTGCCAATGCCCACACGAAGGCGGGTAGATTTGGTGCATATATGGAGGCGCTGTGGCAGCTCTTGGCGAATCACCCCTTCCATTTCTTCGTGGAACTAGAGGATAGGTCCATATTGACTATGGGCAACGCAAGCAACGCGCATGGAGGCATGAACGAGGAACTTGCTTCCGCGATCAACTTTGTTAACTCCGTTGAGTTCTTTCGGGTACATGGGCACCTTATGGCGGGGGGTCAGAAGCCATTCGCCACCATGAAGTCGAAGAAGAAACAGAATAAGACTGCACAAAGCTCCATCGACCCAGAGCGCGAGGCAAAGAATGTCACCGCTGTTCTTCCCTGGATTCCCGAGAGTTTCGCCCGGAAGTACTATGAGGATTGTGTGGCATTTCCTGATCAAGATTTCGGTCCTCTGGAGTTCGACCAGAGGGGCACAAATCCGGACACGCTGATGCCGCAGGAGGTGATTCGCTATATAGCATCGATGAATAGGTACTTGTTCGCCAACCTCGGTCATGCGAGCCAGGGCCCGCCAGTGTCAATGGGAAATTCGTATGGATCGTGGGCTATATAGACCTGCGAAGGGATCCTGTGGGTTTGAATTGTGTTAAGATATCGTTTCTTGCGCGGTTCCTGATGCGGAGGGAGAGCGGTATATGACTATGGTACTGCACGGTCACATCTTGTTGGCCTGGCACTGCAATTGCTTTTAATCTTCCACGAGATACCTAGCGTGCGTTTGTTTCCGTCAAGAGTCTGTAGCAATTACAAATGACCCTGAGTTTGCAACATTGCATTGACTCGGCGTGTGTCGTGCCAGCATGATTTTGCTATGCCGAAGAAGTGCCATACCATCATGGTAAAATTATGTTTAGAAGATGACACTTCCTCGTGAATATCGACTCTCCTCAACATACGTCTCATGATATTACGCGACGTCTCGCTGACATACATTTCATCCAAGATCGATCCGAAAGCTTCTGTTGCTTGTCATACCATGAGTATAATAGATGCTGTTTCGGAATCAAGTCGGTCTTGTGGAACCCTCCGGATAGGGAAGTCAGGGAAGCGTTGTTGCGCTCGATTCCCACCGTAGCTGGTCATCGTAACCTGGAAGTTCTTGGGCCGTTCTAAATGACAACCAATATCGTACCTTGAATATATACTTCTTTCTGTAGGTAAGGAGGAATCTTTTCGATTCAAAAGCTTTCAAGGGATCAAAATCTGTCAAGAGCGTAAGTCAAGGGGTTGATATCGCTTGCCAAGCTCACTTTCACCCTTCACTTTCACCACGAGTTACCTCTCTTCCACGGGCCCTCGTGAATGACTCTGGGCAGGTCCCGGCACGATCATGAGGCTTCTTTGGCATACTTGATCGCAGAATTTGACCACCCGAGCCTCTATCAACCCGCGCAAATTGCTATCGCAACTCTTCCCGAGCAGCCTGCAGTCGAAAGCCGAAAGCACATCACGCGCACCCTTTTTCTCAACCTCAATATTTCCCCACTACGTCACTATTCTCTGTACGCACTGTTCTTCACACGACCGCGCGGGTCTGGTCCAGCTCACACACGACACACTCAACCTGACGACCGGTATTATAGGTCACCCGCGCCTCGTGTTGCGGCTATTTTGCACGTCTACACTTCAGCATCGAGCTGTATCCGACAATTCGAGAACTGCAAGATGGCGCCGAATCCTTATAGTCCGAAGGGAGCGTCCAACACTCAGACCGAACGCATCGCCGAGGACAAGAAGGGGTCGGGCAAGACAGGCTCAGTGACAGCCACCCCTGCATCTCATATTGACGGTGTCGCCTCCTCTGTGCCATCTGACACTTCCAATCTTCCTGTTCTAGCATACGACGCCGACGCCGAATCCTTCGATGAGGACGAACCAGAGCGACCAAAGCCGACGAAACCCTCGGCGCAAACCGAGTACGATCCTTTCAACTACCAGACCCATTATGGGCAGCAGCCTATCGTCTTAGACTCATCGGTTGATAATATCTCAACGCACGATTCGAACGACGAAGAGGTGGAGCATAGCATGGAGGTCGGATCTGAACAGATGCTTGACGAAGAGAACCATGGTCATAACGCGCTTCAAAATGCTATTGTCGAGGACGATCTTGCTGATGACATGTGGGCGGCCTTAAGTCTTCCCACCGAGAACAGAGCCAATAACGAGTACAACGATTCGTTGTTCGACGCTTCCGATGATGGGAAAGAAGAACCTCAGCGCTCGAAATCTCTGTTACAGGGTGACAGCACTGGCAATACTACTACCGGAAATACTACGTTGGTAACAGCTGCTGGCGCTCCCGGGTTCAAAGCCACGCACGACTCCGACAAGGCCCACGAGTCCTTTCAGCAAAACGTCCCCGATGAACCAAAAACCACCGCTTCTGCTCAAGAACAACCTGCTTTGACGACACCAGGGGCATTGGGTGCAGGCAAGAAGAGGAAGAAAAAGAGCAAAGCTCAAAAGAATGCAGAGAAGGCACGCGCTGCTCAGGGCCACAAGGATCAAATAGATCTTCAATCTTTGCAGAATAAGGCGGCCAAGGAACAAGAAGAGGTTTCAAAGAAGCGGGAGAAAGATAGGGCATGGGCGGAGTACTCTACTTCATTGGGTGTGAACGGCGCTGGCATGTATAACTTCTCCAATGAAGAGGCGTCCGTATCGGAGGAACAGCAACCTGAAGATGGTGGCACGAACAAGTCGCCCTCAGATGACACTGGGCCACCTCCAAAGCTTCAAGAAGACCGAGACCAAGTGCCCACGCCAATACTTACTCAGGACCCAGCCGACATCGAGCCTGTATCTTGGTATACCTCTAACGGAGACTATGCATATCGCATTGTTTTCAAATCCACTGAGGTGCCAGTCGATGCAATATATCTGGAGTTGAAGGACCAAGGCGAACTCGAGTGGCATGCGGCGGGAGAGAGGAAGTTGAAGGTGGACGGCCAACTGTCGAAGAAGTACTGGAAAGAAGACGGAGCGCACCTAACCAAGAGTTTCCTACGCAAGAACGCGGCCGCAAAATTGATTGAATGGCGCGATTCCAGGAAGGTCTCAAGCCTGGGTGAAGATGTACGACACAAACTTCGCGAGCGTGTTCACGTAACACTGGACATGGGTCCACCCAATGGGCCTCTAGGTGATGCTGCTTTCTTTGCTGAGAGCATCGCTACGTTACGGAAGCGTCTCCAGACTCTACCGAAGTGGCTGCCGCAAGCTGACTTCCTTCTTAAGTTGGCAGTGCCCAATGATATCTTCGTCAAGCATCCACTCGAACGCTCAGGCTTTCTGAAGTACTGGGATGAGGTTCGTGACACCCTGCTCACATTCCCCACACGTTTCAAGGTGGGACTCACGGACTCGTCGATCACTGACGCCCGGCTTAACGAATGGTGGGATGAGAATGACAAGGATGAGCTTGATCGCCGAGTGAATAAAGCTCTAACGGAGCTTCATGCACCAGTTGATGTCAAGTTATTCCATGAACAAAACTTAGAGATGACGACAGGGTTTGGTAAAGACAAAAAGTCGGTCAAGAAGCACGCAGACCTAGCATCCACAACTACTGCACTTCCGACTATTGTCCAAGGTGTCGACGCGATGCTTAGCTATTTCGGATACAACGAAAAGTCACTGAAATCTCGGATTGAGGCCGAGATGTCGCAAGCTTTGCAAATGGAACGCCAGGAGTGCAAGAAAGGAGGAGGCGATCCATCGAAAATCAGATTTGACGACAACCTTCTGAACCAGCGCGTAGATGCCGAAATTGCGGAATTCGAAGATATGAGGCGGGCCGAAATTGTGGAAAAGTGCAAATCGACGTTATTGACATCAGAGAGCGTTGAGACTGCCATAAAACAAGGCACACGGTTCGTAGAGGACCTCCAATACTTTCAGCAATACCGGAAACTGCCAGAAAGAAGCGACCCTGTTCCCGACCCTGTTCAAGTAACTTTCCCAGCAGCGCAGATCCCAGCAACACGACCGTCATCGAAACCCGCTCGAGGCAAACAGGATCAGCCTGGGCCCGGTGCGCACAAATTAGGCATCTGGATACCTCAAAAGAAGACGGATGGATCATTCGCCGTAAAACGCTACGAGCGAAAGACACAGAAGATTCTCCTGGAAATCATGAATCAACGCTGGCTTCCTACCGAGGAGTTCAGAACGAAGCTAGAGCGTGCTGCCGTGATCGCAGCCGACGATGCCGGCATATTTTGGACAGCGTACAACAACGCCAAAGCGGAGGACAACAAGGATCCGGAAGAAGACTTAGCAATTGCTCCACAAAACTCAAACTTCGACCACTCGCATTCCTTTAGCCAGGATCGATACACGAATCAAGCCCTTTTGGCAGGAATGCCCACCGTAGACTCCTTTGGCACCCTTGATATGGATCTGCTCCCTGCTAGAGTACCCGGCGCAGGCTTACAGAACTCCATCGATCCAGCTTTCTTGCCCCATCAAAACCAGGCATCGCCACCGCAGCGTAATCAATCCTCGAATCAGTCACAGATGCCAGAATTCCCTCTAGGGTTGCACTCTGACTATTATCCATCAGTTGCCCCCGCCCATGGAGTTCGGCCTGCGCCAAATCTGCAATACACCTCGCAAGGAGACGTTGCCTCCCAAAATGATTCTTCCAATAAGCCACCAGCTGCGCCAGGTCAACCTTCTTCTGCGCTCAGCTCTACGTATAACGTGAAAGCACAGTATGTTCGAGGACGGTTTGAGGCTCTGTCAGAGAACACCACTATGCAGAATAACATACCTATGCCTCCCACAGCCTTTTCAGTTGGCCCTGAACAGCGTCGTGGCAAGAAACGCGACCGGACGGAATACAATGAGGCCGGAAATGAAGACCAGATCAATGATCGGGTATTCAAGAAGCACGCTGGAGAGCGAAATGGTTCATATTCTCTCGATGTTCCTGTGAAGCCGCTCAATGGACATGTATTGGAGAGCCAGGGTCACCCGCCCAGCAATCTAGGAAAGCGTAATCGCCATGGAGATCCAGACCCCTCAGAACGACCCAAGAAAAAGCCAGCACTGTCGATTGCGGATGCTACAAGCGCCGCCCCTCGTCGAGTACTAAGGCCTCAATCACCTCAAGGCTATCGAATTCGAGTGGACTCCGCCACTGAGACGCTCAGGCCGGCTCCCGGTAGATCTGCTTTCCAGGAACCTCTGTTACCTGGGAACATAAACATGACTCATCAGCCGACTACCGAGCAAGACATTCAGAACGCAAACAATATCAACCATCATCAACACGGCTTCCGCCCAATTGATCAGATGCCCATCCAGGAGCCGGATTTCCAGCTAGATGAAGAAGACTGGCTTTTTCTGAATGCTGAAATCGAGGATCCTCATCACCACCATGAACAACAGTACGGAGCAAGCCAACCTGGCAGCGAACAGTGACAATCTATGCAAGGTTTGCTGGTTTCGCGGATGCCAGAACCGGATGGATACATGACACTTCCCCACAATCAATCACACATGGCCGCGCAGCAAAATCCTCAACTTTTGGACGATTCCATCGAAATCCCTCGAAACTTCGCTGAAGAACAGTATCTTCAATCACTGAACAATGGTCCCATAATGTAGCTTATAGCAGTCAGAACCTGTTGAGTCGTCCCTCCCGTCCTCCCAGGACAACTCACAGCAGGCTGGAGCTGAAATCAGTTTCGGAGATGGCTTGCAGCCACAGACACGAACACTTTCCAAACTTTAACAGTCCCAACGAGAGATGGGTGCATGCCCACACAGAAGCTGTACTTCTGTGAGAGTTGGGCCGGTCCTCGATAAGCGAACCCACTACATGAGGTATGCAGCATGAGATACCCATTGCGTTGATTGCACTAACATCAACACCGCAGCTTATTCAAGGACACGCCTGAGTATGAGTGGGTCTCCCTATTCTCATGACACTCACGGAATAACGAGATCTAAGAACACTAGAAAGACAAGTAAGCGCCCGCTTTATCCAAAATATCCGATGACATTAGCTGAGCAGACAGATTGAGGATGCTGCATCGAATCTACGCCTTATGACATTCAAGGAATCGCACCCGACGAACACAAGTTTTCCTCGAAGATTGTCACTGTTTTTAAACCGGAGAAAGACGACAAACCCTTCGCAGCATCAGTAATGACACGACCCTGCTACAACCCCCTTCCTTTGGACCTTCAACAATGCTGGATCTCTTCAACACGTCAAGCGCCGTAGGATCCACACATGGAGCTGTAAGTCCTATCTACAGATCGATGCCGCATAGGTGCGTCTCTGGGATATGGCAAGAGCCTAGATGGGTAAAGGGATTGTGGGTGGAGAGACTGTAGGCGAAAAGATTGTGAGCGAAGGGAACCAGGCGAATTTGAATTCTTATGTTGTACTGTATTATGGTAGTAGACGCTTGATCTGGGCCGCACCCGTGGAGGGATGCGCCGGATGCACCTCAGTTCAAGACGTGCGTTCGGGGCCTGGCAACAATAGCGCATACCATACTTTATGGTACATGTCATAGACGAATTTGTATGGTGACAAGGGTAGTGGAGATCACGATAATTAAAGCTACTCGTTTATAAGAGACTGTGTCGTCACTGACAGAACCTCGAGAAGGAGTGATAGCAATGTCGTTGACCTGAGGACGGGAAGTGGGGCCTTGCTAAATCTGGTTAGCTCACCAGCCGCCCCGGTTTTCCGTTGCTCGCATCAAATTCCCCATCGAGAGCGTCGCAAGCAGACTACCGTGTTCTTCCTCTCGCCTCTTTGTAACCTCACGACAAGCCCCCTGAGTCAGTCGGCAAGACGTTGAGTCGTTCCGTACCAATTGCAGTCGCTCGATGACGTTCATTAGCCCAACCACCAGCTACTAATGCGAAATCCTCAGCCCCCACCGTGTCCTTCAAAACGGCCGGCTCTGGCATCTGTCACGTACTTTACCTTTCTTAATACGTTCGCAAGATATTGTCGTATACTTTGCGTCGCATTTGATCATGCCACCTCTTCTCCACGGCCTCCTGGCACTGTCTACGCTCCCTTTGGCTTTCGTGCTTTGGACACTGTACTGTCTAGGTCGTAATCATGCTAAAGCACGCTCAATTGGCCTCCCCATAACCGTCCGCTTCATCACTCCCGGCGGCCCACTCTGGATGATATTCTCTCCGTTGATAGTACGCATCGCGACCTATCTACCTTTCACTGCTTCCTTTATCAAGAAGTATCGGCGTGGGTGGGAATGCCGAGAAAGATACCGCACCCACGAGGAGCACGGCGAGCTGTTCACGATCTGCACGCCTGGCGGAAACTATGTTAAGATCGGTAACTTCGAGGTGGCTGACGACATATTGAGACGCAAAGACGATTTCGGTCGGGATCTGGAGGCATTTGCTGTGCTTAATATATATGGCAAGAATCTCGCGACGACTGAGGGGAAAGAGTGGATGAGGCATCGCAAGGTAGCCGCTGTGACATTCACTGAGAAGAATGCAGAGCTTGTTTGGGGCGAGGCATTGAAGGAAGCAAGTCAGATGCTAGTGTATTGGGTGGAAAGGGCGAAGAAACCTATACGGACCTTGGCCCAGGATACGCAGATTTTCTCCCTCAATGTCCTGGCTGCGGCGCTTTTCGATCGCTCATATCCGTTTGAAGGACGCGAAGAGAGGGTATCGATCGCGCAAGGAAAAGCCAGTTCAGCGAACTTGGTCACAAACCTCGTTCGTGCGTGCGAAGACGAAAGTTCTGGTAGTCTCAACACAGAGACTTCCGCCGGCGGCAAAGCCATACTGACGAAAGACGAGATCATCAGTGACCTCTTTGTGTTCGCATTCGCGGGCAACGATACTACTGCTTTGACGTTGGCCTATGTTCTGGCTGAATTAGCGGCGCACCCCAAGATCCAAGACTGGATATCCGAGGAGATACGGCATCACACGGCCACGGAAGATGTTACCAAGTGGGACTATACAACGTGTATGAAGCTAAAGCGCTGTTGGGCAGTCATGTATGAGACACTACGACTTTCGCATCCAATCAACCAGCTCGTGAAGAATACAGGAGCGGAGCCCAGAAGTATTACTCACAAAGGAACAACCTACCTTGTTCCTGCACATACAACAGTGGAAATAAATCTGCCCTCTTTATCAACGATGCCGTCGCATTGGGGCTCTGAGAGCCTAGAATGGAACCCAAAACGCTTTGTCACTTCAGGCCAAGGCGCATCCGATGGGTTTGAAGAGGAGGCGATTCCTCCGGACACGACGTCTACGCTGTTTCCGTGGGCCTACAGTCGACTGGTTTGTCCTGGCAAACGCTTTTCGCAAGCAGAGCTTGTCGGCGCCCTGGCAGCTCTATTTCGCGATCATCGTGTAGAGCCTGTGCCTGAAGTGGGTGAAAGCATGCAAGAAGCGTGTCGCAGGGTGAAGACAATGTCAGAGGATATTGAACAGAGACTATTGAGTGAGATGCGGGAGCCCGAGAACATTGCACTACGATGGTTCAGGGCGCAAATCTGATGGTTGCCAGAACTAATTACGAGGAGCCTTAACGTAGGCGTAAGGTCGGCAAGAGTGTGAGCAGAAGAAGGCGTTCTCTTATCGATCACACGGTAGGCGACATTGCATCCTGAACGTACTGCGCCATCTCGTGGCCTTCCTTGTATGGAACTCGACAAACAAGCTCGAACCAGCTCCTACATCCAATCGACGATCCGGACAGCATATTCTGTGATTCAATCTGCACAATGCCCACCATTATCTTCGCCGCGCAGGTTTCTCGTGGATCCGAAGCTCGATGGCTGCAAGTCTGCAAAAGGTCATCCGGCCCAAATACGAGGCTTGGGCTAGTCCACCAGTGGGATAGTCTCAGGCACACCCGCTTACAATCCGGGGCAACATCTATGCACGTTATCGCAGGGTTGTCCAGCTGATGGGGCCAACGTCTCACGGTCAAGCTCGGCCACCACCTTACTATCGCATGTGATCAATTCAACCTCCCACGGCCCACCCTTCACCACCAACCGCCTATAGCAGCCCATAACCTTCCTGCGGTGTTCGAAAAACCACTCGAAATCATCAGACCCCACAGAGCAGGGGTTGCAGTATGCGAACTGCGAGTTCTTCCCATGCGATCACGTCAGCCACGTCAACTACAGGCAATAAGCCCGAGCTGGAGACTTTCGGGCGCTCAACCTTCAGCTGAAGATGACCAGTTGTCGATGAAAATGACCGACTGACGGGCACCCTTTGCAGAGGTGCCTACAGCACAGCCTTGAACAGGCACGATCGGTAGCTCCTTATAAGAGATGGGCTGGAAGTTGCGATTCATCGTTGCTTTGAATCACTCCAACATCAACAGTGTCCAATGACCATGCGGTCCTTTACAGCATGCGGCAGCAGTATGGCTATTCTGTTACTCTCGCTCAGCGCTGTCCTCGCAAGCGACTGGCACTCCAGCGCTGCCAACGGAGATGCGTGCGAATATCCCAATTGCAGACCAGAACCCCAGATTCCGGCATCTCGACCACCTCCCGGCGGCAACTGGCTTGGCTTTGGTGCCGATGTTTACAACAACCACTGGGCTGGAAGTGATGCCCTCGTTGACTTAGCTAATGTTAGAAATCTCACTACCGTATGTCAGAAGAAATACGAACCGGGCCTTAGTGCAGCACCGCTCGTCGAGGACGGCATTGCGTACTACAATACGTTTGGTGGCCTGCTAGTGGCACTTGATTACGCAACCTGCGAAGAGCAATGGACATTGAACGTTACGGAGTTAATTCTGAAAGTCAAAGGAAACAGCGACAATATCGTCGCAACAGGTGGTGCGCTTGCCTCGCGCAGCACACCTGTTGCTGATGGAGATGTGCTGTACTTCGGCACACTCGCAAGAGCTCTGGTAGTCGCCGTGAACAAGGTTTCTGGTAAAGTCATCGATACGCTAGAGATCGGCAACCATCCCTTGTCCGTTCTCACACAGTCTCCAACTGTTTACAAGCACCGCATCTTCTTCGGGGTATCGACAACCGAATCCGGTGCACCAGCTGCAGACCCCAGCTACAATCTCACGCATCATGGCTCCATGAATGCTGTGGAGCTCCGCCACGGCCGTCTTGCTCTCGTCTGGACAACGCACATGATCCCGCCAGGCGCCAACTTCTCCGGTGCCTCGGTCTGGGGCTCTCAACCTTCCATCGACCCTATCCGCAATCAGGTCTTCATAGGCACTGGTCAGCTTTTCTCGCTCCCAGATGAATTCGTGGAGTGCCAGGATGCAAACAAGAACCTGCGCGTGCAGACCGAGCATCTCGCCAACGAGCCCTGTCTTCCACGCAATGTGTACCAAACCTCTGTCCTCGCACTCGACATTGATACCGGTGAGATAAATTGGTACCGCACACTCGGAGCCTTGGATGCATGGAACGCAGCCTGCATCCCCGAATTCCTTGGCGGACCTCCTGGCACCCCTCCCGGGCCGAACTGTCCCAAGAACATCGGCAACGATACGGACTTCGGAATGGCGCCTGCTTTTGTCCTCGGCTCGGAATACACCCCTGGGCAGAAGGATGTCATCGTAGCAGGTCAAAAGAACGGGAACTTGTACGCGTTCAGCGCGCAGACCGGCACCGTGCTGTGGGCGGTCAACCCTGCACCGGGCGGTCTCGAAGGTGGCTTGAGCTGGGGCGTTGCCATCGACCAGGACACAGTGTATCACACTGGGATTAACACCAATCGCGTTAACTTCACTATCTTCCCTTCCAACGAGACGATCTCTAATTCTGTATTCGGTGCCGTTAATCTCAAAGATGGTAGCACGAAATGGCAGACCGCAGCTCCGAGAAACAGGACTAGTATTGTCATGCCGGTTGTTGTCAATGATGTGATATTGACTGGGACTACTGGCGATTGGGCAGAAGGCAGTTTGTACGCGGTGGGTCCTGGGTCGTTCATTGCGCTCAATAAGTTTACTGGGGAGATCCTGAGAGAGGATGTGCTGGACGCGTTCTTTCACGCAGGCATTGCGGCTGTGAAGGAATATGTGATGTTCGGAACTGGGTATGGGGGGCTTGAACCGGCGCACAATGGGTCGTTTAATGTGTTAAAGATCGGATCAACGACCCCAGCGAGTGGTGGCGATGCGGGAGATGACGATAATGATGTGGAGCTCGAGGACAAGAAAGCTGAGGTAGCTAAGGGAAAGGCCGATTTGAGGAAGAAGATCGAAGAGCTGGAGAGGCAGGCTGATGATCTGGATAGGCTCAGAGATGAGCTATAGGTCTCCCATGGGAACCTGCTACCTGCCTACCGGTCTCTATGTAATCTCATGTAATGATATTGGCATACAGCTCCACGGAATCAATTCCAACTTGATGGCCCACCAACCTCTGATACGACAGACGCATTAAGCATCAGCCCCGCAGGTGTCACAAGGCACCGGATAAGCAGCCGGGTCCGGATTTGCCTTGTCCAAATCAAACGCGCCACTCGGCCGTTTCTCTCCATATGTCTCAACAACAGTCTTGTTGTCCTTGCTAGTAATGTGAATCTGCTGCCTCGTAGACATCGAATTCTCGCTCCTCAAGTAATTCTGCGGTCGAATAGTAATCCCGGATTGCGATCCCATAAACACCGTATTAGGCAGGTCATACGTATCAGGCATATGATGCATGCCCAGATTAAAGTAAAGCACCAGATCCTCTTGATCAAGAGATTCTCCGTCGAAGAAATCATTGAAGTCGACCAGCGGTTTTTTAGGGTCCTGGGAATTGGCGGGGTGCGCGGAGACTGGTTCGGAGTCTTTGCGGCGGAGGACATAGAAGGGGTGGGTTGCCCAATTGACGGCGTTGGAAAAGACGGAGGAGTTCTCGACGGTGAGGTGGATGCTTGATCCTGTTGACGGGTAGACGCGGAAGCCTGGGTATTCTCCGAGGTCGTTCTTCGCGTCTTTGTTTACGACGGCGTATGCGGCTGCTGCGTTCGGGGACCAGTGTATTTTGCCTTGGTCTTCGTTGGCGACGAAGCTGCGCTCGGCCTTCATTGTGTTGATTGGTTCGCCGTTTGACCAGTCGTAGACCTGGGTGTGGGGCACAAACTCTGTTTTAAAGAGGCTGTTTTGTGTACCGTGGATATCCATGTCCAACTTGAAGTTCAGCACGTGGTCATGCATAGAGCCGGAGAGTTGATCTCGGATGTGGAAGCCATAGTCCCAGTCAGCGGTACTGTTCGCCAAATCTGAGCCCTGTATATATCCGGAAGCCCGGACGACTACCTGCATCGACCCATCGTGGTAGAACTCGTATGTAGTTTGGTAGTCGTAGTTGCCAACAGTGCTGACGCTACGCACGAGAAAAGCGACATTCTTTGTTGCGTGGTAGTAGTCGAATGCTTGGTGTCGGTTCATGGGGAAGTCCTTTGGATATTCGAACAAGCAAAAAGCATTCGTGTAGGTCGCATAGCTTGGGCAGTCGTAGCCTGGGATCAGATTGAATTGAGTGAACCCAATACCGACATCCAGGTATGATGCAAAAGTCTGATCGCGGTCGGGGCCTGCATAGTGAGCGAGTGCCTCTTGCATCGCTACTTCGTACACGATTCTTTCGCCCTGGAAGCGGATGTCGTGCAGAGCAATGCCGGCCGGACCTGTACTGACATAGAACGTGAAGTCCACTAAGACTCAATTAGTACGTAACTAAGCAATCACCAATGAAACATACTCCACGAAACGTAGTTTTGCTGTGGGTCAAACTCATGGCGGGCTCCATCTGGAAGAATAGCAATCGGTGCCGCCTTGTCGTCGTGAGGTAGAGACCTTCCATTCCAAGCAAGTTGCTCATCGTAAGGATCATATGGTGTTCGAGCACTAAGAACGCTTCTGCGTGTTGTTTGCGTAGTCGAATTTGTTGGCTCTGGTCCATCGGTGCCGATATCATCCCCATAGCAGCGGTCGGGCCTACAGTCCATGGTTCCATTGCCGTTATTAGCATAGCTTAGGACTGAAGCTCTTGTATTATTGTTGACAGGAAGCGGCCTAATGTCAATCATGGGTTAGTCTTCATTCATTAACAACGAAAATCATCCGTACCCAACCATATACTCCTGAACAAAACGCTCTTCATAGTTTGTACCTAATACGCGCGCGAACCGCGCAGGCTGGGGGCCATGGTCGTCAAGGTATGAGGTTGCCTCAGTCTTGTTAGGTGCAAGCAACCACGCCGCCCTAGGATCTAAAGGATCGAAATGCAGGTTGCCTGGACTGTCAAAAATTAGCGAAGTCTTTCTACTTAGAGATGGAGATTTTCCATACATAGTAATATTCGCCTGTTTGTTCAGAAAATCCGAGATTGACTGCATCTCTTCCCTCGAGAGCCCGGAGAAAACATTGATACGAGGTGCCGTTGTGGGAATATAAGACCCATTCACATCTCTCTTGGAGTGCTGAAAATGAGTATTCTCATGGACTGAAGATGCAAGGACGGAAGCTGACGCAAGGGCTGGAAGGAGAGGAACGAGCCTCATTGTTGATCAGTATATAGAGGAATTGGTAAGACAGAGCTGCAGTCACCGAAAGAACGAAGGCGGTCACAACTTATACATTCAAGTACCCCTATTACGCCGCCGAATGAAAGACCTACAAGGCCTGTGTTGGGGCTTAGATTCCGAACAGGTGCCGTGAAAAGTCTAAGGAAGGTGATATGAACTCGGCATCCAGATGCCTGCTCCTGGTAGTCCAACCAAGTCCTTTGAGCAACAAACTCTAATGGTTATCGGTCCGTGTTGCACAAGGCAGACAGCAGAGATGAAAGTCCAGCCGAGGTGAAGGCTTTTCCGATGAAAATATCTTGTGGGGAGAGGTGGCTATGCTCGGTGAGGCCCATTCTCAGCGACTTTCCCAAACAATCTGGGGGTAGCCTATCAGTGCGCGGGGAGCGTACGTATACAAAGTACTGCCCTGCTATATGCAGATTCCCGAAGAAAGCAAACAAAACATGCGCCATTATGCTATAGGCAAATGAGGTGATACTTCAACCATTCACAGCTGTTCACCAATGCCATAAACGTCTTAGCTGTGCTTGCGGTCGCTCTGCCGTGGAACTTTGTGTTATACTCGGCTCCAGAACAGGCCGCAGAGTTGATCTAATTTACGTTACGCCGTACTGGGAGTCATTCGAGTGATGGACCCAACAGCGCTTCCTGTGATTGGCCCATGCGTATAACCCCGACATTGCGGGCCGATCCGAAGGCGGTATCAGCAACGAGCATCGGTCTCATTTAGGAGCATTGCAGTAGCATTAATTAAACATCCAACTCGAATTGAGCTTTGGTGGTAAGTAAACCTTTAAGTTTCTCTGCATTGCTAGATGCCATGTTCCATGATACTTACCCCACGGCAGTACAAAGCTATGACCATTGGTGATCTCTTCAAACCGTGAACAACCTCGTACGAATCCACAATTTCGGAATGGCGCTCCTACTCCAGTTGTTTCCCGGCGCCAGTTCCCTCCAGGCTGCATGTAGCATGTCACGTTGGCCGCATCATAGAGAATTAACGTAACAAGAACGGTGTTGACACCTAGAACTGTTATGGCGATGACTGGTAGTGGTACGTGCGAAAGTTTATATACTGGGAAGAACGCCCTTGAGCCCTGCATCTTACTCACGATCGCCGCCGCCTAATCTCCGACCTACGAAGGCACCAGTGGCAGCCCACCAACATCGGTTCAGCTGAGCCACATTCAATGAGTCACAATGGACCTTTTGTTGATTGTGCTGGGTTGCATTGTCATTTGATTTCCAGGCTATGTCTATTGTTACATATCTTTACGTCCTAGCTGAAAGAGGTCTGTGCCGGAAATACTTCCCCTGGTAGGAAGATTTGCCTCGCAACTAGTCTCCCTCCCACTCGACCTAACCGCGAGGAAGCGGAGGGTGAATCCAAAGCCAACTCTCGGAGTTTATAACCTCTGCAGAATCGCCTGAAGACGAAATATTAACTCCAGTTGGAGGTGTTTTTGCTGAAGGAAAGACAGGACTGACATCGACTTTAATCTGCGTCTGGGTGTGGTCCTGTGAAACCGACCCAGCATTGCCCATATTCGGAAACTAGAAGCTGTGATGTCCATCGTCTTCGGATATCGAGCGAAGCTTTCGCCTGCCCAAGTGTCAAAGTACGTCATGTACGCGTCTTCTTGGCAGTACAGCCATTGTCCGTCGTTAAGTAGATGTTCAGTCCATCTGTATGAAGGTTTATTCTTCGTCGCTTATTTGTGCTTTAGGCCGTTGGATCCTAGAGTCCACTTGCATGCCACCCGGCAGCAAACCGTATCCCGGGCTATTTCCAGCGTGGTAAGCATTGAGACAGAATGCGAAGTAGCGGCAACTCCTGCGATCCATGGCCAGAGAGGCTTTTGGCAATACTTTTTGCGTCAATAGCCTTTTGTCCTAATCGGTGTCGATCTCTTATAAATTCAGTGTGCATAAAGTATTCATTCATGGGCAAACTCACCAGGCTTTCCGGAGAATGCAAGTGCTGTTACGCCTTTCAGGCTATCCTCATCAACGTCCAGATTTCCGTCCGGCCGACAAAAATAACGTTGAGATGGGTTGGAGATGAATGCAATAGTCGCGCTACCGTTTCCGGGAAGTCTTCGCACGTAAAATCAAGGGAGTCTCGACACAAAAGAGCTTTCGGACGCGCGATGTCTTGAGCGTCGGCGACAGAAGGCAAAGAAACCATTGCACATTATAGCAACTTGTAATGCGCGTGGAAGGAAAGTAATGAAAATTGTGGTAGTATCTTCGGTATTGTATTGCAGTGGATGTTCAATTGAAAACGCAATGCAACTGGAAGTCGTGACTAATCTAGAAGCGTATATGTAGAAGAACATTGCGACAGAAGTTACTTACGTCTGCTTGTTTCGGAACCTAGACATGGAAGCTGAATTTATGAAGATAGGCCCAAATCTGCGGCTATACCGAAGAACAGCAGCGGAAACGTACCCATAGATCAATACGCACGGCCTTTTTACCTATGATTTGTCTCAAAGATGATTCATACAGGCATTCCGATCAGCTTGTACGTGCGATATTAAAAATCCAATTGCCAGAAACGGCACCTCTATAGCTAATTGGACCTCGAGCTACTCCGGTCCTCTTAGCGTTGAAAACCGCGCGCTGCTGCCTGTCACTCAGAACCCTAAACCTTGTTGCACTTGTCAGCTTGGGAATTTCATCTTCTGTATTATGTTCGGGATTGCCGCAGCATGGGCTCTCGGAGACTGAAGACTGCAACGTGAACTAGTAATGACGCGGCACGAGAGCATAAAGCGCTCATACGTTGGGCCATATCATGTGCTAAACCAATGTCATACAAATCAAGGCGAAGTGGCCGCCGCGATTGGTCAACTTTCTGCTCACACAGAGCTCCTCGCCTACGCTAGAAATTGCAGTGTCGATTTCTATTTCTCCGCGCAAGTGGTCGTTTCTCCGCGCATCTGCTGTAGCACATATTAAGCTTGACCTAGCCATGATTGGGACCGATGTACTGCTTCACGAACGAATTTGACTCTAGCGAAACCACGCTCGTCCCGATATGGTCGAATAAAGGTCTCGAACATCCCAATTCATCGGAGTTCGCAGTAGCATGGACGCAGCGAATTGTGTTAACTTTCCCAAATAGTATTTATTTTGCTCTCTAATCGTGTCGAAGTCACATCGTACCTTTACGGGGTGTCTAGGCTCCAGCAGCCCCTCGCCGGTGCTAGGGATTGCAGTGTCATCTGCGTTATTTGGTTGGGGCGCAGTCACCAGCTCTGCCTGAGGCATCTCCAACCCCTCGCCAGGGCGAAGAATTGCAGTGTTCCGATCTAAGGGGGCTGTGAATTCCACTTTTGATGCCGTGCATTGTGCTTGGATAGGGCCACCGCTAATTTAGCCTTGTCGCTATATGCACAACTCCACGATACAGGAGCCGGAGCTAGAGATTGTAGTGTTCGGCCCAAGAAAGAAATCGGTGAGACCGCAGTTGGGTCTACCTCAGCCTCGCCAGTCTAACCTATCACACGCAAAAGCTTATTGTAAATTCAGCCAGTTGAGCACACCCGGGTCGAAGTGAAAAGGTGCAAGCGTTTCAATCGCTGGACTTTGCACTATAACTCCATACTAAAGAGCTGGATTAGGGTGCGTAGGATGTAAGAGAGCATATTGTGTAACCTTCTAGTAATAATTGGATTATGTTCAGGGAAACATATCTCGTGGGAGACGGAGTTGGCGAGGGGGTACGAGAAAGAGAGGGGGGAGGGCGTCTTATATCGTTCTAATCGTGCGTACCTCTTCTCCGCAAGATCTTCGTGTTAAATAACCCCCCAATAGATCTTTAAACCTCGTTCACTCTCATACCAACCAAAGAACCCAGCATTCCCCCTACCATCAAGTCATATATCTTCTCACCCAGAACTCTGAGACATCTATCTCCAGACACTCATCGAATCGTAGATGTCCGGTAAAACCCACGGAAACCACGACATTGGTCTCTCTTTGGGGCTAAGAATTGCAGTGTAATTTTCCAGGAAGGAACCAATCTTGGAAGGAACTTCTGTAAGTACTGCAAGAGCTGAGCTAAGCCTATATAGGGCCCCACTTCCCACCTGAGCAATCTATCACTCTTACATTCAACTTCACGTTTTGTACAAGCTTTTCTTCATACCTCAACAGTTGACCAAAGCCATCTCAGCCTTATGTGACTAGGAGCAGGTGGGCGGCAATGTCTCCCCGTCGGTGCTAAGTATTGCAGTGTAAGGACGCTGAGAGCCAACCATTGCAGTTTTGCTATGCTGCCGTTTGATTCGTGCGCCTCGCTGACGAATCACACGCGAAAAATGTCGGTGAAGCGTTTGGTTCGGGCAGCAGTACGCACTCCAACATGAACGAAAATGTAGCATGCTAGGCAGCAGCGTCTCCCCGTCGGCGCTAAATATTGCAGTGAAAGAGCGCTGAGAGCCAACCATTATTGATCCTACTCCCAGCTGGTTAACTTTCTCACTACAATCTCTAGCCCCGATGAGAGACGTCGAAAACAAAACATCTCTTTATGCGCATTACTTACTAATCAAATGCTTTAACGTTACCACCTTCTTTCGCGTTTAGATATTTGTACTATTTCTGCCTGAGGCATTCTAAATCTCACACCGGGGCTAAATATTGCAGTGTAATGAAGCGGTGAATTGCTCTGCAAAATTGTTCGAGCAAGGGCTAACTTGAAGGCTTCAATATGGCTGGCTAGGCAGCAGCATTTCCCCGTCGGGGCTAAAGATTGCAGTGAAAAAAGTCGTCAGCTTAACTAGAATGCTTTAGTATTATTATGCATATGCAGTAATGCCCGTCCTCACTAACATATCACACACGAAAGACGGTGATAAGCTTTTAATTCATAAAGGGGTATACATAAAGCTACTCAGACAAACCGCAAAGGGATATTTATTGCACAGCATAAGCCAGTAGCCGTTCATGCGTGTATTATCTGGATAAGGTAGATGGATGCAGATTTCAGTGGGTATCTTAGCACATCTAATCGATTCGCTTGCGCACGTTAATATTATTGGCTTTAGAGTTCTGCTATCCTATCTTAAAGGTGGAGATAGACGAGCATACCTATGGTAGTGCACGAGAGAATGAGGACTGAGTTGTTTTGCTGACGGGTATATCTAACTATTAGTATATATGGTAGGAAGGAGGGATACTAGGCGCCCGGCCTAGTGTATGGGGGGCAGTGGAAGGCAGTGGGAGGCAGCAAGGCAACAATGCTTCGGACTTCCAAAGTTCATTTCGATAGGAAGTCAACTTGAGATCTGAATACCACTAGTGTAGTGGCTATCCATCGTCAGTCGTCTGAGGAAAGGTCCGAAATCTCGGACTCCTCGGCCGACACTTGGTCCTCGATAGCCTCGCCGTCGTCATCCCACGACGCACCCTCACTCAATGTGACGTTTCTGCCCGTCAAGACATCGAACGCCCGCATTTCAATACTCGGAAGCGCATGCGTCAATATCCTCACTGTTTTTGGGGCCGCCATCTGTGCCACGAGAACTTGCGCCTGCTTCTCCATATCTGCTTTCAGTTGAAGGAACCCCCTTGTGGAGGAACCGCAACATGTGGCGTGCGCGGCCGAGGTGATTTGGGGTGACTCGTTGGATAGACTGAGGTTGATGAGCATCTCGTTCAAACGTAGATTGGTGCTATCTTGTCGGGGTTTTAGAACATCGGCACAGATACTGCGCATGCGCAGTCGCAAGCGTCGTAGCGTAGTAAGAAGCGCGGCGATACTCGTGCAGACGTGGAATCCTTCGCCGTGCTCTTGGCTTTGATGCGGTATGAGTCGAGTACCGCATAGATCTGGCTCTAGACTAGTTAGGTTGCTGGCTGATAAGAAGGCGTGTATTGTGGATAGGAAAAGGTAGTCGCGGCGTTCTAGAAGACGAAGTAGCGGATGCAGTTCACTGGTGGCTTGGATGCGTAGGATGCGCAGTTTCTGTGATTGTTTGATGATGGTGGCGAGGTAGAGGAGATCGTTATTCAGCTCTGTTGTCCAGGCTGCGCGCACCGCGCGTCCATGAGCGCCTTGTACTACCACAGTACATTTCAGGCAGCAACGTCTCCCCGTCGGGGCTAAAGATCGCAGTGAATGATAGTGAATCTGACCTGACCTATCATACGCGAAACATTGTAATAAGCTTTTGATCCATGGAGGGGTATGCATGAAGAGATACGCAATTGGACGAACCGCGGAGGGATGTTTGTTATGAAGGAGGACAGATCACTAACTGTTTCAATATATATTGTTTGGACAAGGTATATACACGAGCTAGAAAGGTATGGTACGAAGATAGTACGCAGCGTCCTCAGCGCCCCGTACCAACCATCACAATCCCATCCCATTTCGATCCCCACTCAAAAACGTCGCACCAAACGACACTGAACCACCGGGTATACCAAAAACCAAAACGCCTTTTAAAACCAACTCCCAAACCATTCCAGCTTCGCTCCAACCCTTACCCGATCCCAAGTAAAACAGGTAAGCACCCTCCTCACCCCAAAACTCCCCTCAACCAACCCTCCCACGCGCCCCCGTCTCCCAAACCCTCTCCATAACGCCCCTCGCCCTCCCCAACTGCACCATCCCACTCCCCTCCACACTCGCAAACCTCCCCAGCACAGCCTCCCTCTGCGCCCCTCCGCAGCATCGCACCCCGCCGCAAACATCGGAAAAGAAGACACGCCTCCGCGAACTGCCTCTCCGCACTTTCTTCAGGAGGTCTATGATTTGGGAGACGGATTGCTGGACGGCGGGGTGGGTGGAGGGGTAGTTGTTTACGCGGCGGTATAAGTGGATGAGGCCAGCCCAGTGGAACATTTCGTTTGTGGCGTCGATTTCTGAGGTTGCGGAGGGGATTTCTGAAGAGGAGGGGAGGAGGAGGAGGAGGAGGAGGAGTGGGGTGCGGTGGGTGCAGGATGAGTGGGTGGGGGCGACGGTGCTGGTTAGGCCTTTCCAGAGGTCTTTTCTTATGCGCTCTGCGCGGGCGGCGACGGAGGCGTTGGGCCGGAAGGACGCGTTGATGGTTCCGTCGCAGGCGATGCGCAGGGGCTGGACTTCCTTTGCGAGCTCGGCGATGCCGGCGAGGAGCCCGACGCACCGGTTTGTAAAGCCGTAGAGGCAGTCTATCTGGAAGTCTGAGTCTGCGGACTCGTTGGCGGAGTTCCAGTACCAGCTTCCTAGCGGTTGGTCGTTTTTATTACCTGAGAGCGATCCAATGACGTCCAGGTAGGCGAACCAGCGGGAGAGGAAGTAAGCCGCGTGGTCGGACTTGTCCATTGTTTTGGGGCCGCCGCGGGCGATGATCATCTGGCGGGCCATGGCGAGGTGGTCTTGCCAGGCGATGGGGACTTCGAAGGTGTTTGGGGAGATGATTTCGAGGGAGGCCATCATGATGGCGGGGGCGAGGGTTTCGTTTGTGATGGTCGAGGGGTTGGCGAGCGATTGGCGGAGCTTGGGGAAGACGTCGGTGACCCACATGGCGATGCGGTTTGCTGGTTCATCGTGGCAGAGGACGCGGGCGCGGTGGGAGGCCGAGTATGCTAGGAGGAGAGACATGATGTTTTCGTCTTTTACGGCCACTGTCGGGGTTAGCAGGTAGGTGTTATGGATGGGTGATAATCTTACTGCCTGGTAGGATAGTCCGGAACGGATTCTTCTCGCAGTCGTGAGGTACGAGTATGCGTGCCGTGTGGTCGATGAAGTGGTGGAAGTAGAGCAGGTTCATGGGGTTTTCGAGAAGCAACTAAATATCGGCCAAGTAAGTAGCTGACCCATCTCCATTGAATCAAAAGTACTTACCGGAGGTAGAGGTTCCAACGATTTCGAGATCTTGATTGGAATAGGCTTAGCATAGTAGCCTCCCTTGTCGAAGGCCGTTTCTGGAGCAAGTGGCTCGGGGCTGTCTCCATCAATATCCATAGCGCCACTCTGCGGGGTGGAGACTGCGATTGGGTTTTGATCATCGTTCTGTGGCATGTCGATATCAGGAAGACCGGTGTCGTATCCATAGATGGTGTAGTCTTCGTCGGCGATTGGATAGTGCCGGCTCGAGTGAGTGCTGTCACCGGGTGGGCCGCTCAGCAGTGACTGTACCGACAAGCGACGAGGATCGACAGGCATATGTGTGTTGTGGGCTTGTCCGGAGGTTGGCCGCACTGGTTCATCAGTACCGATGGATGAAGTAGGCGTCAAAGGCATCGTAGTGAACGGGCTGTAAGGATGAGTAGGCGGACACTGGGGCGGAGAGTATGCATCAGAATGCGCTGGAGAGTCGGCAGAAAAGCTCCGTTGGTGGTTCATCGGATCCATCGAGTCGCTATACTGGCGATGGCCTAGTGTCGGATACACGCTGGGTGGCGGCATCGAATGTGCCGCCGTGAAAGGCGGATAGCCCGCATTGCTGTAGCTGGACGCATCGAAGCTTGTGGCGACAGGCGAGGGATAGTCAAAAGTGCTGGAGTACGCAAAGACGCCGAAAGGGGCTGCAGGCTGCGACGTTGGTTCCTGGGGAGGCGAGTTCCCATCGAACATAGCGTTCCCAGGTAGTACTGGATGTGACTGGGTTTGGAAGATGTGCGTCTATGTAGATCGAGTCGCATTAGCGGAATCGTCACATGTGTTGGGCTGTGGGGGGTAACTCACCAATTCTGGAACGATCTCAGGCCCAGAAGCAGGAATGGACGTAGAAGACTGTGATCTTCCATGCTGCGGTCGTTTTCTGCTCGACTTGAGCCGTCCAGGTGAGTGCGAATGGACAAGGGGGGGTACGGTGTCGTCGAAAGAGAGTGTCAACTGATAAGGACTACTCGCCCTGCTGGAGCCAGAATCGTTGTTGGATGCGGGTCTGTCCCTTTTTGTACGGCCTCCCCAGTTCAGACGAATACTGTAGTCGCATGATTCTCCCTGGCGTTCGCAGTTCAAGCATCGGGGTCTCTCTTCTCCACTGTACAACGATGAGCGCATGCTCGTGGAATTAAGATATACGATGCACCTTACCACTTGACCTTGCGTCCTTTACAAGGCCTGCACTTATGGTTAGACGTGTACTCCTTTTGACATGGGTGCCTGAGGGGGGCTCACCAGCAGCCATTTCCTACAAGACCAAGTCAGTATGAGTCGCAAACTAGGAAGATACATGGTGTGTCTTATCAAGCGAGAAACGAGTCTCTACCGCCAGACAGGCACGACCATCTCGTATCAGGGCCTTACGTACGGCTTCGTGTTTTGGGAACATGTCCTTCTTTCTTTGGCCTCGGCATCGTGTTTGATAACCGCGATCTTCCTTATCTCAAAGCGTACAATCGCAAGGGGGTGTGACATGCCCAACCCTGCTGGGCGTTCGTCCTTTTCTACCTGTGCAAGCTCGTGACGTTGTTGCCCAATGCTTAAGCTGAGCTGCTATGTTAAGGCATGCATCCAGGATGGATGGAGCACAGACGTTGGCCAAGGAAGCGGGGGTGTGAAGGCAGCGCGAGCTAGTCTTCCGCGCGCTGCTGGGTCGCCCATGGGCTGGACCTCCAGCAAGCGCGATAGCGCGATGCGACACTTGGCGCGCTATGTTTCCTCTGGACGTGAGATGGCGTAGCGGGTGTGCCCAGCGATGCGACTCTTCGATTTTTTTGGCTTCTGCTTCATGCGCGATGAGCGGATGTCGGCTGTCACAAAAGCAAACTCGGTGCCATCTTGTCCACCGATGTCGCTTGCGGAGGAGCAACAATGAAGCAGATCGGATCGTCGACCACCCTGTCACTCCAGCGCCCTTCGTCGTTTCCTTTCTCTGCCAACCACACTCGAAACAGCAGGCAAACAAGAGTAAATCCCGCTGCCACCTCAGAAATTTTCCAACGTTGCTTCTTCCATGCTTGTCAGCGTCCCTCTCCAGCAAAGCCACTCCGTCAACGCCTTCTCGTCCCCAGCTCATGATAGGCCAGAACTCCAGTCCGCGCCGTCGCACCCCATCGGCCCGGCTTTGACGCGCTGAGTGACACCCGGTTGCGGTACGCCGCCCACCGTTCAGCCCTACGACTGCGTCAGTCAACCACGAAAATAAACCAACGAGCGCGGTGTTGGTTCAGTTCGCTGCAACGCTCCACCGTCCCTGCAAGCTAACCCAGTCTCATGCCTTTTCTAGGTCATCGCTTCCGGTACGAAGCGGCAGCGGTAGGGCGGCAAAGAGCCTCATGGTGAGCTTACGGCACCGACAGCCGTGGAACCAACGTTCAACATAGAGGAAGCGTTTCCAGAGAAGTCTTAGCAGCGCTGACGGTTCAAACGTCTTTGATCTTGGTACACCGTCGGAGCATAATTGTAGCGAAGCGAACGCATGTTCTCGAAGAGCCTGCACCTTCCCTCGTACTCTTGTGGCTGTTGCCTCTTTCACGCACGCGCTGTCTGCTATTGGCTGGCTGTCGTCTCCCAGCCACACATGTAGACACAGTCTAAGAATATAGACACGTAGGGCGATGCACTTCGGTGTAATTGAAGCGACCGTGCATGTGGTGAAGAGTAAGAAAGAAAGAAAGAAAGTGTGGTTGAGCAACTTAGGTAGTATCTGTGGCTGTGGCTGCGGAAGGAACCTTCGCGCCACACGACGATCGGATCGTACGATGCTTGCGCCACCTCGCTGGGTGAGCGCAGCTTAGTGTATTGGAGAACACTGCGTAGTAAAGACAGAAGGTTGTATTGCTAAAATAGTCTTTGACAAGTTGCTAAAAGTCTGGTGTGGTGGGTCGGACACGAAATGTTGCTCATCGTCTCAAGCTTTCTTCTCCTCCCCGCGGAACTTGCCGTCCAAGATCCGTTCACACTGCTTCGAAGACTTACGCGCTACAGAGACACCATCTGTTCAATGGATTGTCTATGGTCTGCAACCCTCAAATCATCCGTTCCTTGGCGACGTGGAGAAAATATGGCTCTTCTCCCTCGTCGCGGAACTTACCGTTAACATCTGATCCCAAAACCTGCTTCAAAGACTGCACAGGGTCCTAAGCAACGATCGATACGCTACACACACGACCTGCTCAACACACGGTCCTTGGCCTGCACCCCTCAGATCATTCACCCCTCAGATCATTCACCCCTTGGCGATATTCACCCCTTGGCGACGTGGAGAAAAGCGTGCTTGGCGCCCGACCGTTGAACTAGTACTCACGCCTTGAAAATGTTAACATGTCCGCCGATCTTGGCGATAGGAACGCTCACCAGGAAATCTCCGAATATTGTGAGAATCTCGATGATGTAGACTAGACGTTGTTGGAGTGGCGATCGGGGCGGTAGTCCTGGGCAGGGCAGAGGAGATACATCCCTCTTCATGTACGCAAGAGCAAGTGTATGAGGGATTTTTGCTGCAACAGGAGACAATGTTGCCAATGCATGTGAAACCCATGTGGTGTGGTGTGGTGAATGGAGATGTGCATTCGTTGATGGTATCCTCCTGTTAATACATGGCGCGAGGCCTCGATATGATATGATCCTTGCCTGGTTGCATACACAGCCTTTCGTCCAAAATATGTACTCACATCTACCTCCCCACCGACCCTAATCTCCAATACTTGGCTCAAGGTCTTGCAATCATGCCACACTCGGACAGACGACAATTGCTGCAGAACAAAAGAAAACTGGTGCATTTCCGTGACGCTTACTTTCTCCTCGTGCTCTCGCCCCGCTTGAGATTGAACGCCCGCTGGTCCTTCAACCACTTCCTGTAGTCCGCCACGCTGCCAATCTTTTCGCCGTAGTAGTCAGGCACTGGGTTCGCCATCGAGGAGGTTGTCGGGTCGACGCGGTTCTTCTTGATGCGGTCGTAGAATTCGCGTTCTTTCTGTCGCAGTCGTTAGTATTCATTGACCCATTTCTCAGTCGCCGCTCAGCCTCTGCTTCCGTCCCAGGCGTGATGGAAGTGGAGCAGGAAGCAAGTCCGGACGTACCTTCGCAATTTGAGGCCCAATAGCTCGATTCCGCATGCTGAACACGGCATTCGAGAAGAACGGTCCCAAGAGCCATCCCACCGTCAACATCGCCGCGCTCGCCAATCCCGTCGTGATGATCGGATCAAGACCTATTGTCGCAGCAAGCGTCCCGTCATATCCCCCGCCAATGAAAGCCTGAAGACCGGCATATGCGACACCGATAGCAGTGAAGCCAGAGGTGACTTGGCTGGCGCGGCGGCGCGTCTTGCGCAAGGCGAAAAAGTCATTCCATGTGAGTTGCTGCGAAGAAGATGACGTAGGGTTGGCGGAAGAGGTAGAGGAAGCTGTCGTAGAGGCGTGGCGGATGGCTAGCGCGAGGGGAGATGGCCTGAAGGAGAGGCATTGTGCGGGCTGTGGTCTCGCAGGACTCGTCTTTGTCTTCGTTGAGAAGGGAGCTGCGGTTGCGGAGGTGCAGGGTGCGATAAAGCCGGGTTGGAGGCGGATCGTGAATGTGCGCGCTTGTCGCAACGCACTAGGAGCGAACATGATTGTGGTTTGCGTGTTGTAGAGCGGAGACGGGCTGGTGTTGCGGGAGCTGAGGCTACGGGAGGAGGTGCGTTTCGTATGAGCTCAAAAGTTCGGGGTTCTTGGCATAAATGCGATTATGCGGAGACGCGTCTAGCTCACGCGACACACATCGCAAGAATTATGTTGAAAAGCAAATTTGGGTAACTGACGCCGACGGTTTCGAAACCAACTAGTTAAAGACATAAAGAGGAGCATGGGAGCTTCAATTGAGTCGAGAGGTTTCCTCGCGCAAACGTCATAATCGCAGTCTTCCGCGCTCTGACCATCTGCTTACGAGACATCCTTCGATCTTCTGCGACTCGATGCAATCAACTCCATCATACCACACGAGCAAAGGCAAAAGACTACGGCGAAGAAGATCTACGTTCAATATGCGTAGCATTAATTAGCGTCAACTGTCTAGCAGATACATTCCTAGCTACCCTCCAAATCTCCCTTTCATCCCCAGTCGAAGCCCACCCCACGCCTACAATACTTTTGATCATTGCCTATCCTGCACAACATCCTCATCACCAACAATCCATGCAAAACGTTACTTCGTAAACACGGAGCCGCCATGCGGTAGAGTCTAGTCCAGAGAAAAGTCACCATTTCGTCGCGGTCGTACCCCTTACAATCCCTTAATGCCCTTGGCCTTGCTGGCTTCGAGCGCAGCAGAGAGGGCAAATTGGGTATTGATACCCTCAACACGGTGGGTAGAGTTGATGTTCTTGACAAGCGTAATCTGGAAGCAGGTAGCCGTACCCTGACGGGATGCAATGGTCGAGTAAGCCAGGAAGAACTCCCAGATGCGGAACCAGCGCTTGCCGTACTTGGCGGTGACCTTCTCCTTGTTGCCGATCCAGTTGCGGTACCATTTCCAGAGAGTAGCAGAGTAGTGTACACCGACGGTGTCAATCTGCTTGACTTCGAAACCGGCGCCTTCGAGCTTGTCGACAACCCAGCCAAGAGGAGTCGAGGCATCAGCTCCAGGGAAGACGTACTTGTTCATGAAGAGGCCCCAAGTAAAGTCCTCAAACTGCCACTCCTTGCGGAGACCAGCAATCTGGAGGAAGAAGACACCGTCATCGTCGAGCATGTCCTTGACCTGGGAACAGAAGCCGGAGAAATGGCGGACACCAACGTGCTCAGCCATCTCCAGACAGGTGATCTTCTTGTAGCCGCCGGAAGGGACGGGAATATCACGGTAATCCATGCACAGAATGTTGGATTGGTCCTCGCCGATGCCGTTTTTCCTCAGACCGTTGTTGCCCCACTTTGTCTGGTTGCGACCAAGTGTGACACCGGTAACATGGCCGCCGTAGTGTACAGATGCGAATCTAGCCAGGGTACCCCAACCGCAGCCGATGTCGAGCATCTTCTCGCCCTTCTGCAGACCGATCTTCTCGCAGACGATTGCCAATTTGTTATCCTGGAGTTCCTCGAGGGTCTCCTCGCGATGGATGTCGGAGATGATACCGGACGTGTAGATCATGCGTGGGCCGAGGAACCAGCCGTAGAAGTCGTCTCCGCGGTCGTAGTGGTCTCGGACCTGCTCCTCGTCTGGATCTCAGTCAGCAGATGCTCCAAAAGGTGCCACAATCGGTACACAAGCTATTCATGAGAGAGTGTAGGTACCTTGAGACCTCGTGTGCATAATCATTTCAGGGATCATGCCGAACAAGAAGTGCTTGATCAGGCCGAACGTGAAGCGGAAATTGGCCCAATCGTGGCGCAATTCCATAACCTCTAGACAGTCGCCCTTGAAATCGACATCGCCATCGAAGTACTTCTCGTAGAAAGTCTCCATGGGGATCTTCTTGCCATGGTAGGCGTCGCGGTCTTCGCTCTTGTGGAACTCGAGGTAGGTCTCAATGGGCTTGCCCGGGAACTTGGCCTTCTCGTTCTTACGGGGAGCGTACTCGGAGGTGACGATCCAGAAGGCGGCGAGGATGGGTAGGTCGACAATAAGAGCGAAGAAGATCCACGTCTTGAGGCCTCCACCGAGCTTCCATGTGATGTAGCCAGGGACGCCAACAAGAGCAGAGATCAGGGCCGTGTTCGAGAAGTGGTCACGTCCATTGCTGTCTGCGGGAAGGGGAGCGTTGGCAATGGCCGGGTACTGTATTCGCACAATTGTTTAGCTACGTAAATCCCCGTGGTGGAGCTCAATGGCGCGCGGGGCACCATTGAGGGGGACGCGAATTTACTTACAGAAGTTGTCTTCACACCACAGTCGAAGTCGGGCTTGGTCGGGGTGCGCGCCGGCGGCGTCTCGATCCACTCGAAGGTGTCCTCAGACGTCGTCCCACTGCTCATCTTGCTGGTGTTGTGGAATTTTGCAAGAGGCAGCGTGCGAAACAGTGGGCAGGTGCAGTGTAAACGCCAAGCAGGGACGGTGTGACGCTTAGCGGCTCCCCGTTTCGGGCTCCTGTTAGCGTTAGCCTTGCCCATCGCCAGCCGATAAGAAAGCAGTACGTATCCACATGCATGCGTGTTCACAGGCCGGGCCCTTATTTCGGATGGCTGGTGAGGATTCAAGGACAGCTCGTTCACATGTCGCCGTGTAGCGTGCGCTTGATGCTAGCTAACTGCTCCTTGGTGATTCCGGCGGAGAGCAGGTACGCCTCGACCCCGCCGTATTTCTCCTCAAGATGGGCATGCACTTTGGGTACTACGTCGGGTGCACATGATGCAAACTGTTCCGACAAGCCAATGCTTGCAATCTCCTTTATACGCTCCGGCTTCTCTGCTTCCAGCTCTGGTCCAGACAACAGGTAATCCTTCTGAATCGCTGCGACGTCGACGTCGAGCAGGAAAAGTAGGAGCATGACGATTAACCCCGTCCGATCTTTGCCCTGTGTGCAATGCACTAGGACAGGCCAATTCTCTCCTTTTGCTAGCACATCGAACACCTTCTTCACCTCGGACGTGCACACGTCCAAGGACTCGGTAGCAAGGCCTACGAGGCCCATCTCTTCCATGTGCGGCGCGAGAATCTTGATAGCGTCTTTGCGGTAGCCGGCTGCCATGAGCCCGACCAGCTTGAGGAACTCCCGCCAAGATAGCTTTGACATGAGCATGCGCGAGAAGGATGAGCCGTTGAAGTTGATCTCGTGATAGGCCACCCCAGGTATCTTCAATGGCTCTGCGACATCGTCGTTGGATTGCGGTACTGCTGCTGAGGCTTTGATTTTCGCATCTCGCTTCTGCGCTTGCTCGATGTGCTCCGTCCTACCATCGTTAGCGATAGGAACAGATATTTCTTGAAGCACATCCTACTTTGTGCGCAGGTCAATGATGGTCTTGAGATGGTACTCATCCACCAACTTTTGCCGGTCGTGGTATGTTGCTTCGTCTGTCGTTATTAGTATGTTTTCGCGGGGCACAGGGCAGTTGTCCGCATACCTGGTCTTGCTCCCCGATACAGTAGGCCAGCCTTCACGCGTCTAAATTCATTCAATTCGTTATCCATATCCGAGAGGCGGCTACGCTACCTTTGCCCCGTCTCATTGTTCACAAATGCTCCGGCATCACGAAAATTGGGTATGCTTTTCAAAGGAGATTGAGTATTCGACATGTTCGGCTATACTGTCGGCGAAATGGGAATCGTATGAGAAAGCGTATGGTCTGGCTGTGAAGGGTTGACGATTGATGAGTCGTTGCTTCGATTTCCTGATATCTCACACCGCTGACGTCGGCTCTGTAAATCCTTGCGCTAAACCGTATGCAGCTCGCGGGTGTCTGTGAAATTCAAGCTTTGTTCAATCACCCCGTATTGATCCATAATGCAATGGGGTTCGGCGACTCGGCCATGGTGAATTTCTGACCTGGTAAAGTGCTGCGTGAAGCTTTGGGCAAGCAATGCCTCGCTGACAGGTTCTCGTCAGTGGACACACCAGACAAGAACTGACAAGCGGCCGGCTTTTTTCCAAGGACCTAGTAGAAAAGACCGCTGCACGGTACGAGTATGCAGAGTTAGTGTGCCAGGCTAACATAGCTTGATGCTACTTAATTTGCGAAGTGCAGGCGTACATAATACTTGATGGATCTTGCTATCGACAGGGACCACCACTTGCGCGACCGCTTTTGGGGGCTGGATGCTGCATTCGGCTCGCGAACATGTGTTTCGTGCCGCAATTGGTGCCCTTCCATCCAATAAGGGACACGCTGAGGTTGGATTAACGCCTTGATCCCCAGGTCGATCGTCACCGAAGTCCATGAGTCTAGCCACCAAGGGCGCTAGCAACGCGACCGATCACTTTCGCACGCGCTGTGATGTCATAGTCCTACACCACCGCCGCCCTACATCATCACCATGCCGGCCCCTAAGGCTGTCGCTGGCGTCCGCTCTTCCTGCGATACATCCTCAGAATTGCATTTTCTACTCACACTAGCTGGTCGCAGGGCCAGCACAACCTTTCTCGACCTACTCCGAGATACAGCCTGCCATGGCTACCCTAGGATCCCAGACCCCAGCGAATGGGTCGATCGACGCACCCTTGAAGCCCTCAACACAGGGAAGCACTGTAGATGGCGCTACTGATGTGCGATGTCCTGACCCGTCCGCACACAAGACAAAGAACTCTACGCTTCAAGACCATGCTTCCGCCGCAGCCCTCTACAGTACAAACCCCTCAAGGGCGAGCACCCGAAACCCGCTTGGCTCCAACGGCAAGCTTTCTTCTGCTAGTGAGATACCCATTTGCTGCGCATACTTCTGTTGCTCACCCCGACTTCAGGCGCCGCAACCAGCCTCAAACACGCGCAGGCTCATGACCTTCCGAGCTACCCTACAGTCGGCATTGATACGCGGACGTCTGCCGGTACAGCAGCAAATCTAGCCCATGCAAACTTCAAAAGCCCAGCGTACCCCAAGGCAGGACCGACATCAGCAGCTGCAGGTAAGGCCGCGTTGCTGGCGCACGACTACAAGATGGATCCTCTCTGGCAACCCGAATCCAGCGCGGCAGGTTCCAAGGCAGCTTTGCTTGCGCACAAAGACGGCGTAAAGTTGAATCTTTGGCAGCCTGAACCTCATGCTTACGGACACTCTGCAGCGACCATCGCGATGAGCAAGAAAGGATTAGGTCCTCAGGCAGACTGGAGTAGCACGGAAGACGGAAGAAAGAAAGCTTTAATCGCGGCCACGGGGGCCACCTCAGAAACGAGACGAAAGCGAGCTCAGTCGAATCCCGCTCCCCCACCAATCTATCCCGACTCACACAATTCTGCGAAGAATGCGCTTAGCGCGGCCACAATATCGCACAGTGCGTCCGTGAGGATGAAGTCGCAGCACGCAGGTACCACTTCCACCGGTTCGAACAGAGTGGGATCAGAAGCCATGGAAGCCGCGCGAATCCAGCACTCAAAGGTCTCCCGGGAGATGTATACCTCCCGTCCTCCCGTGGCATTGGAGGTTGAGGAGAAGAAACGACAAGACGCACTCAGGGCTTCCGCAATAGTTATGGCAAAGAAGATGATGGACGCACAGCAGCATGCCCCCTCCTCGGGACGATCGCACGCCAACTCGGGAGCCATCGCAGCTCACAATCAACAACCCAATGTTAGCTCCGAGGACAACCTTAAGCAGGAGGCCATGCGCTACATTGGCATTCAAGAGGCAGCGCAGAAGCTCGCCGCTGAGCGACTTTCAAAAATTGGTCCAGACGAGGCATCACAATTTCGAAGTTACTATGGGTACGAGAAGCCGTCCCGGAATAGATTATCGATCCGCCGAGGGCGCAATCGAGCATCTAGCAACCCGGAAATCGGCGATTCAGACTCCGATGATGAGATGCAGTCTCGGCGGATACGTGCCCAGATGTCTCAGCTCAACAAGGGTATTGCTCAGGTATGTAATCAACAAATGCCCAGCGTGCATGATACGTCCTTCGTACGCAATCAAAGCCGCTTGCTAATGTGCCCTCTTTACCCTCTAGGTCGATGAGAAGAAGCGAGAACAGGACCGCAGATACCTACTTGAGGCTGCACAACGAAAGGTACAACTGCAGATGGCCGGAATTGATAAGAAGATATATGATGAGACGGGCAAGTTCACTCCGGCCATGGTGGAGGATTGGGATGCCAAAGCTAGAGCTCGAGCTGCGGCGAACAGCGAAGCCCGCATGGAAAACCATGGCAAGGTCCACATCGGCCACGGCAAATTCATGGATCAGTCTGAGATTGATGCAATTGCTCAGGCCAGAATGCAACCGACGCTCGATGAGATCAACGAGAAGACTGAGAAGCGGCTGGCCGAAGAAGAGGAGCGGCGTTTAGAGTTGGCGGAGGAGAAGCGACAGCAGCAAATTGAGCATGAGCGTGCTGCTGAGATCAAGGCTGAAGAGAAAGCCTCCAAGGGTAAGTGATGTCTACGAGCGTAATGACTCAACTCTGATGTGATGTAGCCGAGGAGAAGAAGGCCCTCAAGCAAGAAAAGGCGGCCGAAAAGGACAAGAAGGCCGAAGAGAAGCGCCTGGCAAAGGAGCAGAAACGGAAATCTCGAGAAGCTCCCGCGGAGCATGAGCACGACCAAGTGGCGACGGGTGGAGCAGCGCTGGGCACTGCAGCAATGGGTGCAACAACCGGGACTGCTGCTGTCACATCGCCAGCCGCAGCTGTAACGTCTCCAGCTTCCGACAAGTCCGCCGTTGAGGAGAGCGACGATCTCTACCGTGATCCTACATCGGCCGGTCGGACATCTGGTGAGGAGCCCGCGGCTGTACGCACATCTGCAACGGAAGACGGGACATCAGCTCCCCGCCCATCCACGGCCAAGGATGACTCTTCAAACTCTCCGACGTCACCAACATCGCCGACAAAGAAACGCCTGACGGGCCTCTTCAGCAAGTTCAAGCGCCGCTCCAAGCACACCTCTGAACCCGGCTTCATCGGTGGCGCCACTCTCCGCAACTCGGAATCAAACCCTCAATCGAACCATGAGTCCACCCACGGTAGCCCGGCCCCTAATCATATACCCAACGTTAATGACGAGGACGGCGGCCACTCGGACGTCTCCTCTTTGTCCACTCACTCAGCCAGAGGTCGGCCCATGGAGCGTAATGTGTCGCAAGAGTCGAAAGTGTCCGAGTTGAGCAATTATGAAGAGGCTAGGGACACCTTCAACGAGAATCTCGCGCCGCCCCCGAGCTTTGGGACGGATATCAACGCGAGGAACAGCGGGAGTCCTGTCAGGGACTCGAAGTTCCACGAGGTGCTCTGAAGAGATTTGGTAATTTTCTATTTGTTGCACGTGTTACGACGGCATGACCCACGTCTCTGTTTTTTGCTTGTATATAGGCAATGCGTGTTGGCTGTGTCTGGATATTCGGTCGGGAGCCGGTATACGTGGGCTCAAGGGATGGGTAATGGTTGTTGTTTCCCCTGCTATTCGAACAGCCGACCTCCAATATCATTATCTCTCTTTCGATCTAAATAAAGATGAAAAGACATCGGACCATCAACCTGGATCACGGCCAGATTGTATGTGCAGGGATGCGCTGGCGGTCCTCCAAGTGCTCGAGCCAATCAGTGATCATGCTGCACCCTCTCACCTAGCAGCCGCTGGGTGGGGCTGGGATGTCGGACTCCTCAATAGTAGGAGCGGTGAAGCCTGATGGCAGTCGGTCGTTCAAGTGCTTGATCTGACACTGAGGGATAGTTGAGGTGCATAGATTGTTTACTGGTGTTTGATGTTCAAGGAGGCTGGTTCGGGACTAAAGGCGGGTGGCTTCCGTCGATCGCCTAGACGCTGCCTTGCTTGGTCGGCTTGGGGCTTTACACGTCAGAACACATGCTGAGCCCACCGACAGCGAACGACAGACACCGCCCACATACACCGTACAGCAGCTAATACTCCCGACCGCTTCCCATCCGCTGCCCACCGCACCGCACACGCTGAAAGTAGATGTCTGGCCTGCCCCGTTGATAGGCGCGCCCGTCTCCGCACATGTCCAAACGAGCCCAATAGCACAGCCTGGCAGCCGCGCTTGTGCACCACGAACACGCACCACAACTTCGTCTCGCTGCGGCACAGCTGGCCTGCTGAGCAGTTCCGACATACACCATGCTAAGCTCGTCCGAATCGTCGCGACGGCGCAAGAAGGATCCGGAAGGGGAGCGCAAAAGCCCCAAGTCCAAGGACCGCGACCGCGAGAAGGACAAGGACAGGGAGCGTCACAGGAGCAGCAAGTCCTCGAGGTCGTCGGGCAGCACCCGCAAGCCCCGCTCCAACCCTTCCAAGGAGGACGTCACTGAGCTGGGCGAGCGTCCCCGTCCCTCGTCCACGTCGGCTCCCAAATCGCACAAAATGGCAGTCGTGCCGGAGATGGAGCGCAGGAGCTCAATGGGCACCAGCTCGCTGAACGGCTCGCGGACGAGCCTGGGGTATCCCACATTGTCGAGGACGCACGCCAAGGAGAACATTTACAAGCGCGAAGGGCCCGTTGATCGGACATCTTCGCCATTCACGCCTGAGCCCACCGATGTCGACGACGAGCAGAAGGAGAATAAGTCACCACCTGCGCCGACGCGGGCACCTCCCAGCCCACCGGTCACCGCCAGCAATGGCGCAGATCTCAGGAAGACGGCCAGTAGGAACAGCATGCGGAGGAATGCTGATGAGCTACATAGAGAGATGGCATCAGGCAGGCAAAGTGTCGACAGCGGCACCCGCTTGACGCCTGATCCACGGACTGGGGCGGCGTCACGCTCGAGCATCAGAGATGCAGACATCGACAGCACGGAATTCACATCGACGACCAGCAGCCAGCCCAGCACTGTACGCGCAAAGTCCCCGAAAGCCCCTCCGACAAGAGCACCACCAGCGCCACCCAAAGCTCCACCACCACGATTGAAGACAGCCAGCCCTTCAAATGCGCGAGCATCAGGAACAGCACCGTCAACGACCGTAAGAGCACGCTCGCGTCAGGCCTCCGAAGTCACGCAGTCGACTGGTTCCGACTTCACGTCAGTGCTGCCAGAACGTCAACCATCCCGCAGAGTGGACCCGTCACCCACCAATTCTGAAGTCTCGCCCGATTCTGTGATGGACTCCTCACCGCGCACACCAACGCAGCATTCAGCCATTCCCACCGTCCTTTCAGCGAAGAAGGTGCCTGAGAGACCTTTCGTTGAGATCATTACTGACCCCCTCTCCCGCACTCAGTCAGTAGACTCTGCCTATAATGAATCTCCTCTCACGCCGCCTCCCCCTCCGCCACCACCAGCCATGATGGATCCACCCAGAGTGGATTATCTGCTCCAAAATGGAGGTCTGAAGCAGCCAGTCCCTCGCACTCTACTAGCCGCGATGGATGGCACACCAGTACCTGCTTATTCTCAGTACATGTCGCCCCGTGTGTCCGGACCGCAAACACATGACGCTCGAACGTTCTTCAATCCACTGCAAAAACTGCTGGACGACTACAATGCAGTCATGGACACCAGCGGTTCGTTGGCGGTCGCTACAGGCTACCGTTCTATAGCCCGTCGTCTGCTCGACCGGCTCGAAGCAGTCTTTGCGCGCAACATATCGTCAGAAGAGTGTCCGTGCATCATGTGTCTCGACAAACCAATTCACGAAGACCAAGCTGGCGTAAATTGGGGCGAAATCCTCGAACTGGTATCTGGACGATGTGACCTCCCTCCATGGCCGCCTGTATCTGCAGCTCCATCAAATGGCCTTGGTATCGCTGACCTAGAGCCACCCTGCCAACGTATTGATGTCGATGTGCCGGAGCAATACCGCGAACACTACCAACAGCAATCCCGCAAGACCAAAACCGCAGTCCAGTCCTGGCTGTCTAACCAACAGGAAGCGATTCCCGAAGACGCCGACGACGAAACGCTGACCTTCGCCATGCTCACTCGTCTAGACCAGACGCAACGCCCGCTGTTCTATGCCGTGCTTTGGGGCATGGACATCATGCCTCATCCTCGCGCTACAAAAGACAGCAGACCTACACCACCGTACATCACGAAAGCCGCCTTGGCACTACAAAGACTGTACAGACTCTACTCTCCGCCTCGCGACCAACTAGTCGTCATGTACATGCTCCGCAACCCCGACACGCATAACACCCTCGCGACCCTCTCGGCCGTCACAAAGCACGAGTGGGAAATCCTCGTCTCGGGCCGCTTCGACGGCTTCCTCTGGTCCGGCGCCGAACCCTCGCCTTCGGCGTCGCGCACGCCCTCGGGTGAAGTCCCGACGCTTAACGGCCCGCAGCGCTTTGCGTCGCCATTTGGCGCGCCGATGATGAGTCCGCGGCCGGGATCTGCACGCCCGGGCAGCGCAAGACCAGGTACCGCTGGCCCTGCCCCCGTGCAAATCGACGAAGAGACGGAAATCGCGGTCCTCGCTGAGGTAGAGCGTGAGATCTACCTCGGCATGGAAGCCATGGAAGATGCGTTCGAAGCGCTGCACGTTGCGGCTGAGAATGTGCGAAGGCGCATGCGGGAGCGTGGGGCTGCGCTGTCTATGGTTGCGCAGGCGAGGAGGCCGGCGGATATTGAGGTGCGGATGGGGACGCCGGCGAGTGTGGTTGAGCAGGAGGGGTTGGGGGATGAAAGGAGTGAGATTGGGCCTGATGATAGTGCGAGTAATGTTAGTCATAATAGGAGGAGGAGGGGGCATCGGAGGGAGAGGAGGTGCAGACGCCGGCGACGGTGGAGGAGGATGGTGGGAGTAGTTTGGCGGAGAGGGTGAGGAGGAAGTATTAAGTGGAAGGGGTGGGTGGGTATTGAGTAAGTGGAAGGGGGCGTTTTGGCTGGTTGTGGGGTTTTGTATCTTTTTTCTTTGGGGGAAAGGGATTTGGAGGATCAAAGTTGGTGGTGATTATGAACATGTGATATGAGGAGTATGGATACCCACGCTGATGTTTTCTATCAAGTGTAGTTTAGCATATGAATGTTTGTTCGTTTTTGGAAACTTGGGTTGGTCTACACCGGTTTTGAGCTGTGGGGAAGCAGGGGTGCGGTGTGTCATGTCCACATTGACACTGTAATCTTTAGCCCGTATGGGGAGGTGGTGGGTTAGGGCTCACTCATCTGTTTGAATGTGACCATTCCACCGGGTGGACTTCTCCTCGGGGATATAATTTGCAGTGCGATTCTTCACTACAATCTTTAGCGTGGACGGGGAGGCGTTGATCCCTCGAGCATGAGCCTATTTAGATTGACCGGTTCAGCCCTATTCTTGCACTGCAGAATTAGCGTAGGCGAGGAGCTAAGGTCGGAAATCCCCTAATGAAGTACACTTTTCATTGCAATCCGTATTTCACTGCAATCTTTAGCCCCGACGAGTAGGTATGACTGCCTTAGGCAGCAAGGCTGCCGCACTAATCAGGATTTCTAGCTACGTGGCTCAGGTGAACTTCATTTCACTGCAATTCTTAGCACCCACGAAGAGGTCACTGCAATCTTTAGCCCCGACGAGCAGGTATGACTGCTTCAGGCAACAACACACTTTCACTGCAATCTTTAGCCCCGCCGGGGAGGTGGTGGGTTAGGGTTTTATCAATGTGGGTGAGGCGAAGTCAAGTGGTGCGTCACGACACTGCAATTCTTAGCCCTGACGAAGAGGTGTGACGACTCAGACGACGATAGGAGTTCAATTTCAATTGTAGTTAAGCATATGAATGTTGTGAGCTACTGGAAATTGGGTTAACGCACCATTGGTTTTGAGATGTGGAATTAGAGGGTGGATGTAAGTGGGAAAATGGTCAGGCATATTTTTTCTTTTTAGTGTTCGCTTCAGGAAGCAGGGGGGTTTTCAACTTTCACTGCAATCTTTAGCCCCGACGAGCAGGTATGCGTGCCTCAGGCAGAAAGGCTGCCGCACTAATCAGGAAGGTGAACTGCACCGCAATCCTTAGCCCGACGCCCGAGGGGGCCATCATGTCCTTTTTGTACAGTGTGTTCAAGGTTTCCTACACTGCAATCTTTAGCGCCAACGAGGAGGTAGGCGAACTTTCAGCAACCCTCCCACGAGATCCCAATGATGCCTGTTGGCTTCCCGCAACGTCTGCCTCCATCGAAAAGCTTGCCAGCCATAAACCTGGAAAATTTGGTAGCGGGGAGGTGCGAAGCAAGTTCTAGAAGGTGGAAAAGGCGAAGATGGCTAGGGAGGCAGCAGCTTTATAAGTATATTTCTTTCTGCCAAATCTTATGATAACAAGCAAAGATATGATGCGAGTAGATATGTAAAAAAGTACGAATATCTACGCTAAGTCTACTTCGGGAAATTTTTGGTTATATCATAGTATGTGAGGCCTCGTTCCTTTCCGTTTTTAGCATCGTGGACAGCTCACCGAGGGCGACACTGCAATCTTTAGCCCCGACGAGGAGGTGTAGGTTAGCGTCAGACTAGGATGGAAAGATGGGTATGGGATGGGCTCAGCGAATAGGGGGGGAAGAGATGGCTTGCTTCACTGCAATTTGTAGCGTGGACGAGGAGGTGGTGGATAAGTACTTGTCCAGAATTTTCGCGCCCAATCATCTCAGCCTGCACTGCATTCTTAGCCTTGACGAGGAGGTGATTATGCCTCGAGCAAGAGCCTATCTGGGTTGACCGGGTATGGAGTGAGGCTGAGCTGAGAGGACTACATCACCCAAGCCCCCAATTGCACTGCAATCTTTAGCCCCGACGAGGAGGTGTTGATGCCTTAGGCATCAATTAGCCGACAAGGCCATTGGAGACCAGGCTAGGGCTGTCGCAAGAGCAGGTGTTGACCGGAAAACTGCCCACAACTCAGCCTTGCATGGCATCCCGGCTCTAGGCAGCAGTACCTTTGCGCAGGGACTGTGATCACAGTACAATTTAATGCCTCGACGCATATTGGCCTGCTTTAGCCGGAGAGCTGGCAACCAATGTAGTTCGAGCTGGTAGGCTCATACGCGCTGCCATGAGCATATAGGCTCTGTGATGTGCTCGCGATGTGCTATAATTCAGAACAGAACGTTATGTGCATCCTGGCTGGGTTGCCCTGTTGGCTACCCGTCGCATTGTACTCCAATGCCCTTATGAACACCACGATTACTGCAGCTACCCCGGTATCTCAGAGTGCCATAATCCCCTCGGTATCCATTCTTCCTGACGCTTATCCCTCCCCGGAAGTGCATGCATGCAGGTAAGATAATGCAGCGACGTCTCGCTCAACTCTTCGCTCGAAAATGGATCCACCGATACAAGCAGCTTTGGTCTTCCGTCCACAATCCAAAAATCCTGTTTCGGGTGACCGTTCTGGACTGCCACACGTAGTAGTCTTGCCCAATGTTTCCAGTGCTCGACAGCTAGTCCTGAGGCTGCTTTCATTGCTGCTATTAGTTCCGAAACGCGGATGCCGTCTTCGTTTCGCACGTTGATGATATGGAGGGCTTTGCGCACTCGTGGCTTGTTCATCATTGGGATCCAGGTGCTGACGTTGAGGGAGATGACTGGTGGCTGCGTGAGGAATTGGGTGGCGAGGTAGTTCATAGCCGCTGGAGGCAACGAGTCCCAAGTCGACCCACTGTCCGTGGGGCATGGAGGTTGGAGACTGATTTCATATAGACCATTGATAGTTTCAAATGCATCTTGAAATAAGTTCGCAAAATACGGATTCAACCTGAACTGCGTGACATCGACCCACTTCGGCACATAGACGCGCCTACAGTGATAATGGAGATTCACATCGATGTCGACTCCCATCAACTGCTCGGAGGAGAAAACTTGGGGTGCATAAACCTGGCGGGAAGTTGCATTCGATGCCATGGTTATTCGTCCCGGGAAGCAGACTGTTTTGATGATGTTTGGCCTGTCGGACATTTGGAAGCGGTCCATGCTTCGATATATGCCGTCGCGATCCCATGGCAGATTTAGCTCGAGTTCCGCTAAAAGGTCGTCGAACTCTTCGGTCGTGGCAGGCAGCCAGTTATTGAGCTGTTCGGGAATTCGATCACCAAATTTGACGGGCGGGCAGGGGTAGGCATGAGCGAAATCATTGGCTACGCTGGATGGTCGCATGATATAAAGAGCTACATCTCTCCACTCATGAGAGACACTCAAAGCGATGAGGTGTACCGAGCTGTTGGCGTGGCGGAGTCTCTTTTCCAGGAGTTCTGCGATTCTGAAAACGCGGTTGCTGGCTGAGCCGACATTGAAATCGGAGCTTGCCTCAGCCATAAGTGGCGACGATGGGATGTCATGTTTAATTGGAGTTATCTCGTATGAATCAATGCGAGTGTTAATCAGTTGGAGCCACACACGTCTAGATTCTTCCAAACGTTCTCGCTCGGCGTCTGAGGTCGCCGGGATATCTTCTGGTTGCAAACACCATGGCACTTCTCCTTTCGCGAATTCGGTAGGAGTCATGTATTGAAAGTCGCCTATTTTGTCCATAGTGCCGTTGCAGATTCAACTCGCCTGATGCCGGTTTCTGGGTCGAGAGCTATTTTGTAGGTGGTTGGCTGCAGGTACGAGCTGATCGCTTTTCGGAAATATATCGACGCCTAACTAAGACGCAAGAATGACAGAAGAGGCTAAGTTGGGCGGTAGTATTTCAGAAGTCGTGGGATTTCGAACGTTCTGTAATGGTTTCAACGCTCGAGAAACTACGCCGCAATCTCTAGTGCTAGCAAGGAACTGTTGCTTGTCGCTGCCTGAACGACCAACACGCTCACTGGTGGGGCTGCTGGACATGGGTCGCTTGCCTACTCCCGCTCGATAGGCCAACTCACGAGTGCGATTGCACCTGATGAGGGCATTTTGGGTTAGGGTTTGGTATGTAATATCTGAGGTCCTTGTCTTTCAAGTCGTGTCCCCGCAGTCTGACGTATTGCTGCCCCTGTAATAAAATGAACCACAAGATTTTTGTTTCGATGATGTTTTCGAATATGGGTGCGGTCGCAGTATCCTCTCTCTCTGTCTCTCTCTGTGTCTCTCTCTGTCTCTCTACCTCTCTACCTCACTCCCTCTCACATGCAGTTGAATCGCATTGCACCCCGACAGGATGAAAACCTCATTAACAAAGGACGTGTGTAACTCTCACTGTAACGTTCCGCCCCAATGAGTACGAGTTTTAGCGCTGAGCTTTCGCATGCAACTGCGGGCCGACCATGGTCACATACAAGAACAGAGCTATGCTGGTTTCTACAAAGGGATTGTAGGGGCGACAAGGCTAACCTGTGTATGGTGTTTCGTTTCTTCCGAGGTTGCACTGCAAACTAGCGAGGATGAGGAATGTTGATGCCTTAGGTAGATGCAGGGAAGTCATCGCTTGGCGAAATCATTTGTTTTCGACACTGCAATCTTAGCATGGGCGAGGAGGTGCTATCAGCCTAGACAGATGTCAACACGTCCCAACGATTCGTTCTTGAGACCCTTTGTAATTCGTGTTCTCTCGAGCCGTGAGCTAGGATGCGGATCTCTGCATTTGGGAAGGCGGATGGTGGTTTATGCTATGCTGCATTCATTTGGTATCCGGAAATCTAGCGAACCGCTCTATGGAAATCATCACCATGATGCACGTATCGCTCTCCCCACACCACTACAGGCTCGCCGGAAAATCTGTCCTTCAAGAGAAGAATAGCTCCTTCAACTGCCTGTACGTATCCTCAGGATCCTTCACCGCGTGTCCAATCGTCCTGGGATCGCTGTAGATTTCCCAGTCGTTTCCGCCCTCGTACGCCTTATCTCCAAAGAAGTGAATAACCTTGTACTCGACGCCATCCTCCCTCTCCTTATCGGCCTCGATGTGACGCAGGCAGTATGTCTTGTCCCAGCCAGTGGGGAAGACGTCGAACGAGATCTGGCCGCCGACGGAGTAGGTGAGGCCGAGGTCGGGGAATGCCTCCTTAAGCTTGGAGATCATGGTTGTGCGGATGTTGTTGGCCTTGTCGTATTTCTCGTACTCGTTGCGCTCGTCGCCGGACGCGTTACGGCCGATGGGGGAGACGTTGATCATGCCGTTGCGGAACTCGATGAAAGTACCGCGCTTGATGGGAATGTCGAGGTCGGCGATGTAGTGGAGGATCCTAGACGCCTTTATATCAGCCTCATTCTCCCTCATATAACAACGTAAGACTGAAACATACCACTTCACCAGTTGCTTATACTTCTCCTCGCCGATCCAGCCAATGAAGCTTGTGCTCGCAAGCTCCTGGCCCAACCGGTACGCTGTGAGACCGTTTTCGGAAAAGCAGAAGTCGAAGAGCGTAGTAACATCGACGGTGCCGCCAAGCTGCTCTTGCTGCTTGACAAGGTTGGATCCGCCTACGTAACCGATGGCGACCTTGTGGCGGAGTTCAGAGAGCAGTTGAAGCATCTCCGGCTTCGCAAGCTGGACTTGGTCTTAGTGTACATTCGAGGAGTTGGTGATGTATCGTCGCACCTTCCTCGCTTTGGAGAGCGTCTCGTCAACATCGAAGAGCAGGACCGTGTTCTTGATCGGGCGATCCCTGAGCGGGGGGTAGATGGACGCTGCGGCAGCCATTGTCTCTGTCCTTTCTGATTCTGCGTGCGGAATTGGATGCGAAAGACTCCGCTGAGCTAGGAAGACACGTATGAATTAAGTGATTTGCGATTGAACAAGGAGCGGATAGTTGGCGGCGGCCAAGGGATATATTTGTGTGTTTTGGAGGGGCAGCTGCAGGCGGTGAGGGTTTCCGCGTGGGGTCGCGTCAACTAGCCTGATTGGTCCAAGCCTGGACCCTGAGTCGGACCATCGAGAACCGTGGCGGCGACTAAACACCTCCATGTGTCCTCTTGGTCATCGATTCGATATTGACAGATGGCAACAGTTGCGTGTATTGGGGCGGTGTTGTTTCAGGATAATGTTGACGCGCGTGGTAAAGGAAATTGAGATGACGGAAATGGAATGGCTTCCGCCTTTGTCTTTGATGACATGCTAGGAATTCATTGACACATTACTGTCGATTGACACAAGAGCAGGGTATATCAAGGACAATCGCCAGTGTTTCCCTCAGATGTGTGCCACGAGTCTTCCTAGCTAATATGGAATGCGACATGAGGGCTTATCACGGCGCATCCGATAATTGAGTTCTGGAAATAGCCTTTACTCGTGTTTCCTTTCCAACACGAGCTGCTCAAGGGCTCCATTAGGATTCACATGAGATGAAGGAGAAGCCCAGAACAATGAAAACGCAAGACTGGACGTGAAACGAACGAATGGGAGATGACCTTTCCCATGGCAAACCTACTGTACCGCCGATCACCCAGCCAGATATTCGCAAACAACTACAATAAGTGCGATAAGGGAACCGACATGCACGAATGTTGCAGTATCGCCGAAGCCGGATTTTATAGCTTGATAAAACGGGAACCCTACAGGTCCATGGTGACGGAAGGGAGACACAACCGTCAACGACAACATCCAGACTACATGAGCCGTGCAGAGCTAACAACAGTTATCCTATTGTCTTCTTCGACACTATTTCGCTAACCACAATATATAAGGTTCTGGGTTCTCGACTAACATGAAAATGATATCTAATGTCATGTGCTCAACTCTACTATTGCATAATTTGATAGGTTCAACAATGCAGCTCTCAGCCGCGTTGTTGACCATCACCGCTCTTGTATGGAAAGTGAAAAGTATCAAAGGGTAATAATTGCTTTGCTTTAATATATATAATCGGCCCTGTCAGCGTTACACTCACCGATACACTTCCATCAACCTTCATCAAAACGATAGGGAATATGAGCTTTCTTAAGTCCTGGTTCTGTTTCGGAGGAACTCTGCTCGCTAAAGATGCTAACACCACGGGCCACGATATGGTGAACGAAGTAGTGGGTCCTATACCTGGTGCACACGACTTCGTCATCTGGTTGAAGTCCTTCCGTGGTGGGAAGAAGGCCCGCACGACCAATTCTGCCTCGAGCGGTCATCGCGGGACTAATGGCTTGGAACGTTCTCGACGCTAAGGAGTAGCAATTGGCATGCTCATTCTCATTCGCTCATTGATGTATCATACTTCGGGACTTGAGGGAGAGGAATCAAGAGTGACTCCTTGGACATGACCATTGGGCATATTCTGAGAACCAAACTGCCACCATTTCCGCACTGCCACCACAAGGTAAAAGCGAAATGTAAAGCTTCTAAACATTGTGATAGCTACACCAAGTAAACAATAGCTTTTCCCTCAAGCACCCCTCTACTCGAAACTATTTTTTATGCGTTGTGATCACACAGTGCTCTTCGGGCACTCGCTAGAAGGCAACCTATCACGTTTCGGGTACAAAATCTTGCGGTGTTAGATCCAAGTTGACATAGACGGTCGCAGTATGCAACCCCTTTTATTATCTTTCTTTTGCTTTGGCGCGTCCTCACAAACTAAGCAGAAACATCATCGCCAAGGAACAATGGGCCAAATAACGCCCACACGTGCACCAGTCTTTGGTCGTATACCTAGGTAGTCCGGCCGATGTGAATCTAGTCGCTTCGTCTATTGCTACCACGCAGCTCGCGAACAGAAAAAGCCAGGTGGCCTATCTACATCCCCCGTTTCGAAGTAGACAGATTCTGGAATCTGTCTACATGAGAGCGCCGGTCCATCTACTCCGTCGGGCGACGCTACTATCGCCACCATGCACATATTGGCCTGCATTAGCATGGGTCTTTGGGCTGCTCAGAAACTCAATGCAGAGCAGGAGCAATCTTCATCCACACTATGGAAGAAAACTCATTGTACTGTAGGCTTATACTTCTACTAGCTTTACACGATGCAAATCGGAGTATACTACGATATCCTCACGCTAGAGCTCACTCACAGGGTAGCTCTTACTTCTAGAGATCCATATGCTCTGTCATTAACTTCAAGTAATACGTATGCACTTCTAACCATGCATGTTGGTCTCATTCCGGCATCACCGATCATGTTTTTCGGGCACTGCATGATGCTTCGAGTCAGGCCCGTTATACACTAGACGATATGGATACTTTCACCAAAACTAATCACACACGCGAAAGGGTCACGCATACGCCAGCCGCAATCAGGCGCCGAGGCCATGCTACTGCTTTGATAACACCAATTTCCCTTGATGCACCCTGCACGATCACACCCTGAGCCCCTCAACCCAAGAGTGCAACCATGGGCTTCCGCCAGAAACTCAAACGCCTCTTGCGCATCAGTCGACGTGGAAATCATGGTTGCAAGCCTTCCTCACCACCGCGCTCTCCGACTCGTATTCTGGAGGCTTTCTACGAACACCCTAATGAGCCTATCCAACCTGAGCGCAACCGCCTTACTAGACCATATCTTCGCACCCAATCTGCCGATATACAGGAACCCCTCGAGTTCACCTATAAGTCTTACACCACATCATCTGGGGTGGTGATTCCGCCCGACTTCAGCTACGATCGCCCGAAGAAAGTCTACCAGGTGTCTGGACTCTCATCGACCAATGAGTGGGTTGCAGACATGGAATTTAGCGACGACGAGGTCACGAATATGCGCGAGGAGATGAGGGCCGAGGCGTCTAATGGAGAAGACGAAGCTTCTACAGTCTTGGACTACTCTTCTATCGCTTTGAGCCGCATCACTGAGGTTGCTAGCGAGGACAACTGCTCACTTCGCACCGTCTCGCCTCTCCCTTTACCAGAGACACCCGCTGAAGGCAGCAACACCCATCTTCCAGCACGTCGTAGGGTTCGTATTCTGGCGGGTAGGGCTATGCGTAGGGTGCGCGGAATTCGGATAATGGTCGTTGGTGACAGGCGCTTTCGCATCGTTCGGATCATCAATGGGGGCGAGGCATTTTCAGATGATGAGCCACCTCGTTCAGGACGTCTATAGTTGTATCCGTTCGGAGAGTGCCTCAGACGGTTGGGACAAGTCGCTAATGGCCTCTCAAGGTTACAAGGCAATGGCATGCATGACTTGTCTTGTAAAGATTGTTGTAATGATTAGGATTGATTGATACAATCACAGCTCACAGGGGTAGTAATGCAAATATTCAGCTGGCGCACACAGTACACAATAAGACATTTCGCATACAACTTCTTATCTCGAAACCAACAACTAAAACAGATCAGGCGTGAACAGAACTATGTGCCCACGAGTGTAAGTAATGCTGGTGAAACGTCGATGAGTGATTTTCCTCAATATGGTTGTAACATCGTGGAGATGCTGTGATACCTCGCCCAGCCGCCTCAACATCAGTAGGACAACACCTATCATGCCATACATAGAGATCGTCAACACGATTTAATTGCCTGTTCAGAGATTTGAGATGTTTTAACATGATTCCATATGATAATGGGCAATATTTCACCATCATGCATAGACATGCTCTATTTCATGAAATTTCACTGATGCTCCTTCGTACATATGGTGAACAGCATATCTTTCCCTTGGCTCATCGCTTAGTTTACAACTGCACACAGAAACACAACTCCACTCCGCTCAGCTTCAAAACGTTGAGCCCCATTACTTTCCAGCACTTTCCCAGGTCATCTGATCAATATGGGGTTCATCGCGATGTTCAAGTATCGCACCTATAAGTCCACTGCTCAGTATGGTCACCTGCCCAATCCGGCGAACATCATTGGCAGGACTGCGCTTATGCCGGCCCATGATACACGGGAACAACCCACTTTCGGCGGTGCCAACCTGGCAACAGTACAGACGCCGATCTCGCAACCATCTTTCGGGCATGGGCCGTCCACCCGGTCAGCGTATGGAGTTCTGGAGACTGCGACGGACGTAATGAAGCAAGATGAGCAAAACGGTCGAGGTTCAGCCCAGGGCCATTTCGCCGGTTTCCGTGCTCCTTACAAGAATGGTTGCGGGAAAGGCCATGCTGAGCAGGCGGACAATCTTCCCCTTCAACGCTCACATGCAATTCGTCGAAAGCCCCTACCACCAATTCATCGAAAACCTCTGCCAGTAATCCGTCGAAAGCCTCTACCCTCCGCGCGGGTCGCATTGAATGAGGGTCCTGAAATTGAGCGCTCAGACACGCCTTTCTCATATATGTTGCCCACCGAACCTCTACCGTTCTCGACCAACATTGCATTTGAGCAGCCGCAACTAAAGCGTACCGGTGCAGTACGTCGGAAGAGGGTCTTGAATTATTCTGAGCCCGAATTGCAGAAGTATCCGCACATTCGTCCCCTACGGCCAGCTTCCCCAGAGCGGAGTTATGAAGAGATCAGGTTCGCGCGTGCGGCGACACTGGCGCGTTTGGAGGGCGTCAGGAAGTCTAGATTCCTGGAACATCTTTGAGCTACTCGGGCATGGAGAGCAGGCTCACGAATTGTCTGAGGCCAAATTAATAGCTTCAAGCACTTGAGTACGGGATGGATGGCGATGTAGTAATGCCTAATACGGAATGTACAGGGTACTGAAAGTTCCAGCAATAGAAAGCACCAGATTTGGCAATCATGATCTCGGTTTAACGATCTACGTTCTGAGAGTGATTGATCCCAAAGGGTGTTAGCTATATTTATATGCAATAAAACTTATCTAATTCAAGTCTTTCTTTCTAGGTGATGCAGATTTCTTTCTAGATGATGCAGATTGAATACGAGGATAGTGATCTAATCTCTTTTGTCCATCACCATCAGGCTTTAGGATAGACCAACATAAGGCCCAGCTTTTCTGAAAATCCAACCTATTGACTTAATGCTGCAAGCGCTTATCTCCGTCATACTTGAACAAGTATTAGGCGGATTTTGTGAGTGTAAGACCATTGCGAGCGTTCGTCTTCCCAAGCTAAAGTGTCACCGCAAGACAGCATCACGGCTATGCGACGCGAGACACAGGCCAGTCACTGTGAGTCGACGCTGAAACCTTCGGCATATGTTCTAGATGACAATAGAACCCTCAACGTTCTATAAGTACACCTTGTGCGTTCACAAGAGGTCTGTAGTCGCCCGTACTTCCACTATAATAAGACTCTCCAGCATTGTATATACACAATTCAATTTCTGCACGCATTATGCCTACGCGAAGCGAGCGTTGGTCCCTGTTACACCTTCCAACACCAACACCCACACCCACACCCCTATATACGATTCTTCGAGATGGACCATAACATCACCCAAACGCAGAGTTGTATTCGCAACCGCAACAACGAAATCCATCGTTCAAACAGCTTGTTTTGCAATCTTCGACTAGACAACAACCCTTGATCTCAAACATGGGTTTCCTCTCAAAGGTCAAGTCTGCGTTCGGATCGAAGACTGACCGCACCAAATCCAAGAACAACAAGGCTTCGCATGTTGCTAGAGCCAATCATGCTGATAGTACTCGCTCCCCAGGCATCCGCGAGGTGATTCCACGTGCTCACGGCAATGTTCGTATCAATCAGCCGACTCGTAAAGATCCGCCTGTCCAGCGCGCTTGGTCTGTGTGGTCTGCATCTCCGAAAACTGGCAAGAAGTTTTATCGAGGCGATGATTTTGTAGCTCGAGATCACGCCGATAATGAGACGCCACTTCGTTCTGGTGTTCCCGGAGCTCCAGGCGAGTATCTGGACCTCTGGCCGAACTTCGATGGCCATCATGTTTCAGATACCATAGGTACCCAAGAAATGGGCATGTCTCTAGACGAGGTGAGCGAGGCGAACAATGTCGAGTCAGACACGGCACCAACTTTCGGTCTTTTCGCTCCTCGAGAGGGTGGGTACCGGGTAGGCCACGTTGAAGAGCTTGAGAGCTTCGAGCTGAAGCGGTCTAACGCGGTTCGCGAGAAGACTTCACCATCCAAGACGCATGCCAGACATGCCAATGCAGACCGCTCTCGACCTGAACCCTCTGCTCGTCCCTTGTCCTGGATGATGCCTGTGGGCCAGCCTTTGCCATCTTTCGAGGAGGTTATAGCACATGGGCAGCAGGCTGAGTGTTTCCTTGCTGCTGACGGAGAGTTGGAGTTCATCCGACCTGAGTCGGGGAAGCCATGCCCAATCCGCAAGGAAACGATGCGGAAGGCGGCTCTGGCGCGGTTAGAAGGTCGTCGTTAGGCCAGCCATGGGTGCTGCTTAGGAACGAAGCATACCATTAGCAGAGATTCACTTCCATGATTCCAGTTCTCGTAGCATTGCAAATTAGTTTCTATACATTCCAAACCATTTTCTTTCTAAAGCCCACTTCCCCCCTTATCCTCCTCCCTCACTGTGCAAAGAACCTATTCTTGTGACTCTTCCCGCCCGGAACATCATTCACGAATCTCTCCTTACTCTTCAAATTGCCATACCCATCCAACTTCCTCCTATACTCCTGCTCTTCCCTTCCTGCTCTCTCTACCGCTTTTCTAGTCGTCGTTAACAGCGTACGCTGTGTAGATACTGGCAGGCTAGCCAACATTTGCGCGTCGGAGCTACGTATCGTGGTGCGGTGCGATTTGGACCCAATGTGAGGCGTTAAAGAGTTGGATGAAGGTTGATGATGTGTAGTTAAAGAATGAGAAGGCTCGTCTTCTGAATCGGAGGTTGGTGGTGTCGGTGAAAGCCTGGTTTTCGGCGATGGTATCGAGGTCTTCACTGTGACCGGATCCGGTATCATTGCGCAATTACCATGAACCTTTCGTGAAGTGTGCATATGAGTTGATGTCGCAGGCGATGGCGTTCTTCGATGCCGATGTTTGGACGTGTGTGGGCCTTCTGGTTTCCTCGATATAGTCTTGCCTGATGGTAGACGGATCCTAGTGCCGTCTTTGGACGGTAAGCTGGAATCGTTGTCCGAGTCTTCGGTATTACTAGAGGTGGATTCTGGTTCTGGACATGGGTAGCCGGTGTCTTCAATTGAGAACTCCATTGAGACCATAGTGGAGTCATATTGCTCATGGAATAGTTCGCTCATGTTGCTAGCAGTCGTCTGAGCCGTAGTTGTTGTGTTTTTTGTTGTGCTTAGCATGTGTGTAGTTGTATTTGTAGCAGTAGTAGTTGTTCCGCCGACCATTAGCTGTTGGATCGGTTGAGATAGTTCAAGTTCTCTTGGTTCGGTGTAAAGGCAATTCGATGGGTGCCTTCGATGTGAAATTGGTGCTTTGGAATGACTTGAATCTTTCTCTTTCCGAACATTATATATACCTCAGGCATTCGGGCTTTCGTAGAAGCCAAGCATGTGCATGGGATGAATCATTCGAGACTTGACCAATTCGAGACTAGTGTGAATGAGTCGAAATTGCTTGCGATGGCGGTGTTACCATGTGGCAGTGCAAACACAGAACATAAAGTTCTAACAACATGCATGACTACTTACTCTTTGGGTTATTTGGTCTTTCCCCACATTCTCGAACCGCTCGTCGAGACTCAACGCACTTTTCAAAATTCGCCAGCTTCACTCAGAGAAAATGGTGGTAACTTGGGTCTCGTCGTTTTCCCCTTCATTTTAAAGTCGCCACAAAGCCGTTATGTAAAATTTCTGTAGAACTTCTACTGTAACCCACGTCCGTAAGTGATGCAGAACTCAAGTTTCGTAAGATACCACCTTCTGCAGACAACCAAGTGCGCAATCTCGGCGGACTCCTCCCCAGAGCTAGAAATTGCAGTGTTACGAGGCAATGCGATGCGATTCGATGCGATGCGACTCAATGCGAGCTATTGCGAGTCTTCACAGGGAATGAGCCTCAGCAGCTACCGTTATGGCACATGGCCGGATCACATCGCTCAGAGCGTCTTCGTACCAACCTCACAACTATGTCTCTTCCCCTACGTTGTAGATTCCCCCATCTCTTACACTGCTCGTCTAAGTTGAGATTGCATTGCAGGGACGTGTATTTTTGCGGACATTGAAGGCACCCTTCTTATCTCGACCAGTTCTTCAGCCTTGTCAGTAGAAAATGAAGCTCTTCGTCCGCGCTAGAGATTGCAGTGCAAAGGAAATGATTCGTTGTACTAGTTTTGGAAAAAGTCTGGAAACCTCAGCCTCGTCGCCTTCCTCAGCTGTAAACGAGATCACTGTAAAGGCAGTAACGGGGTTACACTTCATGACCATAACCTCAGCTTCACACCCCTTCAACGAAGAACTGATATGCTACACTCTAGTTTCTTTCTACGCCAGAGCCTGACACGAAAACTTTCGAGATGCCTAGAGTCACGTGTCAGCCTTGTCACCAGGGCTCCACGTAGCCCCGCTTTCTTCTTTTATACCATAACCCTATCATCCGGTCCTGAAGACCCTGGGCCCCCTAGCTCCCTCGTCTACGCCAAAATTGCAGTGAAAATCGAACAGACCGCCATACTCGAGCCCACCACTACCATTGAATCGCCCAACAACCAATTTATTGGATTATGTGAAGGAGGATATGCGCTGCTTAAGCACATAGCGACTGCATTGAAGGTGCAAACAGATGATATTTGGGTGTGTGCCCTGGCAGTTGATAAGCTGACAGGTGAAGAACGGCGGTGAGATGCGGTAAAAGGTGTAGTCAGCTAGGGAAGGCAGAGGCTAGCACGTGATCCTCGGATCTCCTTGCCAGCATCGAAGTCCTCGTCTGCGCTAGACATTGCAGTGAAGGGCCCAACTGAAATACCATACACAGTAGGCAGCTAAACTATTCGCTGTCATCCTCTGGCTGGGCGTTGAGTTTTCGAGCGGGGGGATGTTATCCCGTTGGAGAAGGCCGCAGAACCGGTGAACACCCTGGTCCACATCCTCGTTGTCGACCTCCTCGCCCGGGCTAAAGATTGCAGTGAAGTACTTCATCAGCCAGTATTATCGCGTGGGGAAGCGAACCTTATCCGCCTACTCGTCCGCACTAAAGTTTACAGTGCTGCGGCTGCATGAATATTAAGTCAACGCGCCGTGCCATAGCTTGGGGTTCTTTACATACCCAACACCAACACATATGAGCTTCTATCCCTTCTTTTACTTGCTACCACCACCATCTTCTACCTCACCTTTTACCATCACCCTCGTTCCCCACCCTCATCCTACCCCTTTTAAAATGCCACTCACGGGGAACAATGCTATTGACAAGCATCGCATTTACCTCATCTTAAGCTGTCCACCAACATAAACATAGTGTTGACGTTCAGGTGGCAGCATTGTCTCCCCCAGGTTTTATTCATGTTCAGCGTCGTCAGGCTCCTCATACAGGCTAGAAAATGCAGTACTGAACATGCTTCTGGTATGGGGCTTCAGCCAGTCACATGACGGCAGATCGGGGGTGCACGTGAACGCTCATGTGCATGTCAGCCTTCTCGACCTCCTCGCAGGCGCTAAGGTTGCAGTGAAATGGCTAAGTGTGACATGCACGTTCTATCCCCATGCATTCAGCCTCAGCCTTGTCGACCTCCTCGTCCGGGCTAGAGATTGCAATGAAGAACTTCAGCAGCGTATTACCGCGCAGTCCCCTAACACAGTATCGTCTATCTAGCCGAACATCCTCATCATAAATTACCCACCCCCATGAGGTTGTTACCCAATCACGTGACAGTTTTTCTCCCACGACCGACACCAAAAGTCACATATACTCCAAATTCTGATACCAATTCCAAGCTGACTAAAACTTGCTCGCATTTTAAAGTAGTTCAAGTCCCAGTGCGCGAAGGCTTAGAATGCGATTCCGCCTCTAAGATAATATAGATAGAAGGGTGGGATACGCGTGGATGTAAGAGTAAAGTCTAGCATGTGAGACTTTTGATAATATCTATACCTAAATCGACTCATTTGCAAATGTCGTCCGAAATGGGGAGAAACAACGCAAACCAGAACGCCCATATACGCCGCCCGCTCCCGCACCTCAAACGCCTCAAAATGCGCGATCCTGGTATTCGCTTTCGCCATACAACGCCATAGACCCTGCTGCTTTTACCAGCTCGTAAAATGAAAGCCAATCCAGATCCCTTTTCATCGCATGGCTCCAAAATCCAGCTTTCTTGCAATCTTGGTCATCTTATCATCCTCCGTCTCCCCGACTCTCTTCAAGGACTCTCCCATCGCCTTCTCCGCCTCCTTCCCCCCTTTCCTCGGCAAATTCTCCTTCTTCTGCGGCTTCGGCGCAGCAGTCCAGTAATGATGTTCGAGCGCCTGTTTCGCCGTCAATCTCTTCACCGGATTCATCGTCAGCAACCCCCGCACAAGATCGATACCCGCGTCGCCAATAAGCGGCATGCGGCCGCGCCACCAGCTCAACGGCTGTGGCCGTTTCGCAGGCGTATTTTCCAACTGCTCTTTCCAAAAGCGGAGCTTGCTAATACCAGGCCAGTCTGACTCCGTAGGCACGCCGAACACCTCAGTGATAACGCCCAGATGCGCGAGGTCCGTTTCAGAGGGAAGGAACCAGTCGCGGACGGCGAGCTCCGCGATGACGCAGCCTACGCTCCACATGTCTACACAACCGCCGTAATGCGAGGAGCCGAGGAAGAGCTCTGGAGGGCGGTAGAAGCGCGTGATGACGTTGTAGGTCATTTCTGCTTCGGGGTTCGCGAAGCTGCGCGCGAGACCGAAATCCGCGAGCTTGAGGGAGTTGTCGGCTGCGATGAGGATGTTGTTGGATTTGATGTCGCGGTGGAGGACGAAGTTTTCGTGGAGCCACCATACGCCTTGGCAGATCATGTTTGACCAGGCTTTTACATCAGCACCGCCGTAGGCTATGTCCTTGTCTTTCCATATGTCTTGTAGTTCGCCCCGTGGCAGGTGCTCGAGGACGAGGTTGATGTTCTCGTCTTTGGTGGTGAAGACGGCGATGAGATTAATTACGTATGGGTGGTGCAGCTCGGCGAGGTATTTCATTTCTCGTAACGAGTCAAGGTTGATGCCGTCTTGCCATTCGGTGTTTTTCTTCATCTTCTTGATAGCGACCAGCTTCGAGGGTTCTTCGCGGTAGTGTCCCCGGTAGACGGTGGCGTATGTACCTTCTCCAAGACGTGCCCCTGCATGCACATGAGCAATTGTCCGTAGAAGAGGTTCTCACAAACTAACCAAAGACGAACTGATTCTTAACCACATCATTCATTTCCTCTGCCAGACCCTCGTCTGGGCCGCCGGGGGTCGTCGCTGCGCTGGTGAGGGACGGCGACGGGACGGTCTTGTGGTTGAGAAGATGCACGAGCGGTTTCGCCTTTGCTGCGTTGACGGGACCGTGTGAGCCCGGCGGGTTAGGCCTTGGGCTCAAAGCAGGTGACATCCCCATGTCTTGTAAGGTTGGTCCAGGCTCTGAAAGAAAGGTGGTGAAAGGCGCGTGTGAGCGGCGAGCGTCCAAGCGCTGGATCAATGCAAAAGCGGGCACGGAGCTACGGTGGGACAAACGAAGGTGTTGCGGGAGGTTTGTCGCGTGGTCGCAGGCCTTCTATCATACTTGGAATCTTATCGGGTAGTGTGTCATCCTTCTCGTCGCAGTGAAAGAAGCAATTGAAGAGCGTCGCAACAAAGACGAGGTCAAGTCGCGAACAAGGGTCACCGCACAGACCACGCGATTTTAGGTCGCGCATGCAAGCTTTCTGCGGGGAGATTCCTCACCACCGCCTACGAGTCCACCCACAACGCCGTACACGATGGCCACTCTCGCGCGCCCACCGCCGCCTCCCGGCCTGCCTGCAAAGGTGCACGCCATTGCGCCGAATAGAACGTACGCCCACCTACCAACGCTGTTCAATGCCGCGCAATATCTGACTTACCGAAACAGACTCTACGTCCGCAACCTCCCCGACAAGCTCCCTAAGCAAGACCTCAAGCGGAATCTGTACATGCTGTTTGCCACATACGGTGTTATCCTGGATGTAGTCGCGCTTAAGACGCCGAAGATGCGCGGCCAGGCACACGTTGTGTTCCGCGACATTGATTCCTCGACGCAGGCTATGCGCGCACTGGAGGGCTTCATGTTCTTCGGGAAAGATATGGTATGCCTCCTTCATTCTTGCCTCCTTTCGTTCTGTACTTGAGGGCTTACCCGTACAGCACATCGGCTACGCGAAAACCAAATCCGACACCGTCGCGAAGCTCGACGGCACGTTCAAGATGCCTGAACCCGACCTGCCAGAGAGGCAGCTGGAAACGACCGAGCAAACGGGTGTTGCGGCAGCGGTATTCGGCAGCGCGCCTGCGAAGGCGGTACCGGTGAACGAGCAAGACAGGGCGAAGGGGACGAAGAGGGGAAGGGAAGAGGAAGAAGAGAAGAGCGAGAGCGAGGATGATGATGAAGAGATGCAGATGTCGGAGAGTGACGAGGAGTAATGCCGATACGATACCCAGCACGAAAAGGAAATATTACGGAATCAAGGTCGCCGTTTCAGAAAACGTCTGTCGCCTGTTGATGCCGAAGCGATCGTGTGGCTGACTTGATCTAGGGTATTCAGTACTGTCTCAGGTCGCGTAGATACACGCCACCCAGCGGGAATCGCCAGTCCGGAGGTTTCTCCAACGAGACTCTGGGTCTGCCACTGAAGATCTACGATGAAAAAAAATCTTAGGCAAGGCTGGGCTCCGCAGACTGCCCGCCCAAGCCTCAACTAGTGGAAAGATTCTAACGCTGTAGCCGATCAAACTGGATTGACGATCTGATCGATTGCGAGCTACGTGGTCGTAGTGATATAAGTTCAACGTATGATATAGGGGTATCAGGTCTATCTACAACTCCCCCACCACCGTTCTTGACCGTGACTGTGCCCTTACTCCCAAGACATGAAATCGTGTAATCGTACAAGAAAGCAGGAAACCGAAACCAGTAAAAAGAAGCCCACCTATGCATAGCACGCTCAGACAGCCTCCCGAACATCGCTCAAACAGCCACCCAAACACCGTCCAAATGCACCCGTCTAGATTGGAGCAAGGAAAGAAACCGGAATCCTTAGGGCCTCAGCCTGTAGAAAGATTTCCGTTCTTTCCTCCGCCCTCTGCGTCCATAAAACCTCACTTCCCCGTCCCCATCTCCGCCTCATCCGGCGCCATCCCCCACCTCTCAGGCGTCCTCTCCCTACAATACTCCTCCGCCTCCTCCATTGTCAAACTCCTCCCCGGATCCCTCCTCGCTTCATCCCCGTCAAATTCCCCTCCCCATCCAACACCATCCCCTTCGTCCTCAACTTCGCCTTAACAAGCGGCACCATCTCCACAAACGTATCCACAAGCGGCACCCCATACCTCTCACACACAAGCTCTACATTCCCGCTCTTCCAAAACCGCCTATCACAGCAAACGACTACCTTCCCAGAGTGCGCCCACAGCCCTAGCTCGCACATCGTAACTGGGCTCATGGTAGCGTGGTCGAAGAAAAAGCAGATAACAGTGCATGTCGTCAGCGCAGCTAGTTCCCATTCTACCTGCGCGCGGAAGGCTGCTGTTTTGGCGGAGGGGGTGATGGATTTGTCCCAGTGGCCGCGGCGGGGTTGCAGAGGGTTATAGGGAGGGGCAGAGGTAGTTTGCGAGCATGGTTTGCCATTGGATGGCGGCGCCCATTTCGATGCTGCCAGCTGCGAAGACGGAGAATTTCGTGTATTTCGGGGTGGGGGTAAGGCGACGCTGAACAACGGATGCGAGTCTGTGGCTAGGTTGTGGATTGGTTTGGGAGCTGGGCGTAGGGGTCTGGGACTACGCCGTCGATGTCGGTGGGGCCTTGTTTGGGGAGGGAGAGCTCCGTGTCGCAGGTTGGGCAGTGGGAGGGGCGTTTGCAGAATTTGCAGGCGGTGGTGTCTGGTTTTGGGGGGTCCTGGTGTGTCTTGTCTTGTGTCACGGGGACAGACTCCTGCAGGTGGGCTGTGTCGTGTCTGTCCATGGTATTTGCTCGGGAGAGGTGGTTGCAAAGCTGGTGGACTCGCTCTTGGGCCGAGATTGTAGAAGACCGGGAGATTGGACGAGAGGTAAACGAGTTTGTAGAGGCGTTGGTGTCCGTTCTACGGAAGTTGGAGCTGTGAGGGTGTTAGTGGGGAAGCAGAAGCGGCTAGCTCCTTATGTACCTTGGTACGAACTCCATAAGGCTGAGCGCACGGACCTTGGCGTAAGTGCGAACGGAGAGTTCAAAGAGAATCACAAACAAGTCGCTGCGAACGTGTGACTGTGGATTGGAATGCTGAATGGAATGCTCTTTGTGCCACCAAACCGTCCTCCTGTTTATACATTGTGACCAGGCTGAAGCCTACACTACAAAGGCGCGCGCTTGCGCGCCTGAGCGGTCTAAACACAACGGGATCGCTTGGGCTGTGCACTTGTGGCGGCGCAGGGTAATCATTTGTCCATGAAAGGAGCGCCCTCACCGCGTGCCCCCGCCTTTCGAGGTACAGTCACCGGCTTTTCGGCCTCCTGCTGATTTTCTATTGGACAATTGGCCGTTCGTTCCGGCTGCCTTGATGGGCTGTGGTTGGCTTGTCGCCTGGCCTGTGGCTGAGGCATCCCCGTGCCGGTAGTCAAGGCTTTCCATGAGGCTCTCCTCGCAAAGTATGTCACCACACCATGGAGGAGTGGAGTGGAGTATGTACGAGCCAGAGTAGGTGCCGAGTATCGGTGTGCAATACTTCGGGTCCGAAGTCTTCAGGGGGTTGGTGTTGTGAGTCCTTATTCTCCTTTGTGAAGATGCAATTGCCAACACTTCGCAATTCACAGATTCACAAAGCGGTCTGAAACAGACCGTCATATGCTAAGTCGCTCGGAGGTCTCCGAAGTCACGACAGGGCAGCAGACTCAGCTGCCAACAAAGTAGCGGAAGTGACTATCACGGATGACGAGAAAAGAGAAGGGCTCACAAAGGCGAAGCTGAAGAAGTGCTGACGCTCAGGTCGCCTCACCACTGCTGACTGGAATTAGTGACATGCAAATCCTGTCCTGGGGACATAAGGTTCGTTCTGCAACATCGTCAAAGAAGATTGTTACCGGAAGGTGCGACTTCTACAGTCGCGCCTGCGCGCACCCTACGCCATCGCTTTGGCGCTCATCACTGGTCTATCAGCTGAACAGCTGAACAAGCACGCGGATCAACGCTATCCAACGCATGCCTCATGAAAAAAAAACACCCACAAGGAGAGTCGGCACAGTCAAGCGCGTGCTCTCCTTCAATCTCCACCTTTCCGATCGTGTCTTTCTCGCCCCCTCCTCAGTCTCAAACCCACCCCTCCCTATCGCACTTCTCCTCCCACGAGTCCCTCGCCGTCTTGTCCACCACCGGCGCACTCCTCAACGGATTCGGATGCTCCACCCTCCACGACACGCCCTCATGCTCGTTTCCAGGCTCTACCTTCCCCAACCTCAGCATCGCCGTCCCATGTCCCTTCTCCTTCAACTCCGGCGTCGTCGTCCACCCCACTGAATTCCCCTCCTTAACCCACAACCCCCAGAACTCTTTCTGCTTCCTATCTCGCTCAGTAACCTGCTCGCCCACAATCTGGAAGCAGAATGCTGAGTCTAAGCTGATAGTTGTGCCGCACGTACAATTCACGCCGCTGAACCGCACAGCTACGTACTCTGCTTGCTTCGGCACCTCTTTTCCCGGCGGCGTAACGATGCGCTTGTTCCCGAGCACGAGCGTAGAGCGCGACTTGCGCAGGCGGCCTTCCACCGGTGCAAGGTGCACCGCGCGATTGAGCGACACGCTCGGCATTTTGCGGAGTGTCTTGGAGAAGCGCTTGCCGAACTCGCGGGCTCTCCAGCTCAGGCCGCAGGAGGGACAGACGATGCCGAAGCGTATTTCGTTTCCTGGCTCGCCTTCTGCAGCGCTGGCGGCGTTGCCGCAGGGGACCATGGCGGGCTCGTTCATGGGGAGGAAGGGCTTCACTTGTCCGGAGGTTAGGCATGCGCTGCACGGTTTGTGCGGGCAGTCGCATGCTAGGAAGCCGAGAGGGTGCTGGCCTGGGTGGACGTACACGTGGTTCCGCGTGCCGCAGGCGCAGCAGTCCCAGGTGGCGGTTGCGTGGTCGATGAAGGGATCTTGGATGCCGCCCGAGGCGCGCTGAACTTGGAGGGTAGGGACGCAGACGGATGGGGACATTGGCGGGTCGTCGACGAGGGTCTGGCTGCGCTGTTCCTGTTGGGGCGGGAATTTCTGTAGTGGTTTCGTCTTTGTCGGAGAGGTGAGCGCGGCTGGCAGCATCTTGATGGGTGACTTGAGGGCCTTTTTGAAGTTTGAAGTGGACATGGAAGGGAGAGGTAGGGCGACGCTCGTGTTGAGCTCTAGGGCAGGGCGCTTGTTATCCATTATGGCGTCTGCGAGTGTTCTTTGAGCGGCCGACCGTTCAAAGAAGTTGAAAGCTCGAGCGCGGGCCTGTTTGCTGTCATGACGGTGTTTGCGCGTTCCAAGGTCGTTGCGGGAGCAACCGTGAGAAGTGAAAGTACGCACCCGAAAGTCCTCGCAGCTGACTCTGCTTCAACTGACTATCTGAGTACAGCTCAGATAGCCACGGATGAGCCGCGTTTGTCTAGGCTGACAATGGCTGAACTCATGTGACATGGTCACACCGGTCAACTTACGCCCTTCGCGAACGCCACAGCCATGTCGAAGTGGACATCATATAGGAAATCGGCGGCGTTACTCGAGTCTATCTTGTCGTCTGAATGTGTTTCGCAATCACGAGTAAAGTCGGGCCTTTTCTTAGATCAGCCCACGTCACACCATCACGATGGTACTCAAAGAACCTTTGACAATGGAGGTTACTCCGTACCAGTTTTGTAGCTCGAGTCTATCCAAGCTACTCCTTCATCGTGGGATGCACTCGCACTCGAATTGTGTAGAATATGGTCCCCTCTGACCTTTATTCGCTGCACCCTTCTTCTCCCGTTTCTTGCAAGTTACTCAAAGAAATCTACTTACGCCTGCATTCAGAATTTCTCATATCGCGATCGCGTAGTCGCGGTTTATCTCCCTACACATGCCTACTCGCTTCCTTATTCCCATAATTCCCATAATCAAGATTTCGTTTATCCATCCCACCAGTCCCTTAGGTCTTCATACCCAGCATCTACTGCCACTCTTCCTCTCAGATTCCGATCTCATAATCCATCTCCCTCTGATGCAAACTCTCTCCCACTTCCCATACACCCACCGACCCCTCACTCTTCCCGCCGAAACTCCAGACAAACACGCGCCTCGCTCCAGTCGTCTAGCTCGGAGTGCAGCTCGTCTCCCTCTCGACGCCCATCCACGTCTTGGGTATCACCATGGTATTCCTCCACACCAAGCTGTTTCTCAGCCTCCTCCTCCGCGTCCTCATGCTCAAAGCTCACCCAGTTCTGCTCATCTGCTGTGCTCTCCTCCTCTTCCTCCTCCTCCTCCGGCGTATCCTCACCACCCACCACCAGATACGGATGCAGCAAAAGGAACTCCTGCAGGTCAAGACCATCGTCGTCCGTCCTCGGCAGCGTAGGCGAAGAGCTAGGCAGTGGGTCCATCCTGGTAGAGAACGAATTCCTCCGCGTGCGAAGTTCTGAAGAAGGGGTAGGTGGGAAGGCGTGCGGTGGCCATATGGCGGTCGTTGGAGACGCGGGGATGGAATTCATAGGGAGGGGGAGGATGGTTCGGGGGTGAGGAGGAGGAAAGGAGAAGGGTGGAAGGTGAGCTGGGTAGGGTGTGAGTCTACGAATGCGGCGATGTGTTAAGTTGATGCCATGGTCTTGTGTGGTGGGGGCGTATGCGCCGCGTGACGGTGTGGGTTGGTCTCGTATACGCGCATTGCCACGGCGGTATGATGGCCGGGATGGCGTCGAGAGGCTTGACGGCGGCAAGGCGTGGTATGTAGGTGGTCTGACGAGTCTGAAGGCATCCCCATCGTTGAGTTCAGCGGGGGAGCTGGAGCTGGAGAAGACGTCTTCTTGGGTGGGGTGTAAGGTGGGACGCGCTATCGGACTGAGCATGCCCAGGGTGTCAGAGTCGCCGGACTGGTCGTCGCACTCATCGTCAGACTCATCATCCCACTCAGAGGAATCGCTCTGATCCGCCGTACGGGGGACTTCAAGATCTGAGCTGTCGGAGGAGCCGATGTATTCCGGCAGGCGGGCGAAGGACGCGCTAGTCAGTCGTGGAGGGGTTGGAGGGCGGTATAGAGTATCGGTGGTAATGTCGCGAGATAGAGGACCCCACGGCTCTGGTTGCTGACTGCTTTCCTCTTCATCTTCGGCGGGACGAGGCGAGCTCGACTTGTCTTCTGCCTCGCTTCGATATGCTAGAGAATACCTCGGGACGGAGGGTGTCGACTGAATGGTAGTAGACATTCGTATTGGCGACACTGGCTGGATGGGGTCCAGTGTTGGCAGCGCTATGATTCGAGCAGGGCCTAGGGACGCAATGGACGGCGATGGGAGCATCGAGGCAGACGGAGTCAGTGTTATCGTGGAATGGTATCCAATTTGTTGGTTTCTAGGCATAGTCGCAGTTCGTGCCGGACCAACGCTTGCGGATTTCTGCTTGTCTCCGCGCCCGGTCGCCTTGCGGACGAAGCGGGAGAATTTGCCCATCGTTGTGGTTCCGCTAGTCGATCGAAAAATTCAACGCGAGGGCGCTATCAAATGAAGTCTGTATGAAATTGCGGACAGGGGATGAGGAAGTCGAATACCTGCGAGAAGGGAAATTGAAGTTGAGATTGACGAGGTGTTGAAGGTGCGTGATACTCAGATTGCTTGGGTAGTATAGTAGGGCTGGTTGATATAGGGGCCGCGATGAAGAAGCTCAGACCTACGAGCGCCATGATGGCGAGCTACGCCGAGGGTGCAGAGGGTGAAAGTATCGAAAGGTTGCGCGCACGTGATGACATCAACTCCAGGGCTTCTTTTACAGTAGAGGTGGCTGACACGGAGGACTTGCTCCCAATACGGAGTGCAGATGGAGATAGCACGACACAAGACACCACTCATTTTAAGAATGCACTAGTCTGTTACTTCCGAAAGGATAGTGACCATGAAGCTCAATTGACTCTGTTTAATTGGACGAGTGGCTTCCACGAGTTGTATGAATGCTTATGGTACCTACCGAGAATTGATTTGTATCTCATCAAGACCGATCCAAAATTACGTTTGTTCCTCGCGAAGAACCAGCACAGGTATACGTCCCAGATTCACCGGCACTGGCCTGTTGAGTTGGATGAGACTACGTCACGACGAGGCTGGAAGCAGTTGATCATACAATGGCACGTGAGCACGCGCTAGGTTTCACCGTGGATGATCAGCGTGATGCGCTAAGCGAGGGCACCCATTTTAAGACGCACGCATCCACTCCCTCAATCGCGACCACCATTACTCGCAGCCTGGAGGTGTACTGGGCCGAACGTGTCGATTGAACCGTCGCACCTAGAACCGTTCTTGTATTTCTATCTGGGCAACACGCCCGCGGTGTGCCTTACCCAGGACTTGCCGCCCGAAAGGACTCCGCAAATATATTCCTGCTCGGATGCGGCGGTTTTCGCAATGTGTTGTTCACTGCTTATTCGAATGCCTGGCAAGGTGGGTTTCCGTTTGACTCCGATTAAACCGCGACTTCTAATCATGTGCACAGGACGACGAACATTGAACGCTGGACGTGACTTGCTGCGACGTCTGCGTTGAGACCCTTGCTCGCAACACGCAAAGTATTGCTCACGGGAATGTCAGAGGGAGAACTGGAAGAGATGGCACAAGGATGTTTGCCCAGTCTTGAAAGTCAAGGGCTGGAAAGGCTTGGAGGATGCGTTAGATGAGATGCCGGATTGGTAGCCATAGTGTTACATTGCGGCATTGGGCGGTGCAACAAGTACGGGATAAGGTTCATAGAATTCCGATCACGTGCTATAGCTATCTGGCTATCTTCCCCTCTCCTACGGGGTAACCATTATTGGCTTACGGACGCGCGGGGTACGATATCCAGCTCTGGCGAAAGTAAGGGTGATTATAGCATACAAGTATCTGCTCTTGTGTCTGCTTTATATCGAAGTACCTATGGATCCCAACCACACAGAAGCGATGGCAGCACACGATCTTGCTTTCAAGGCAGACAATAATGAGATCAAGATGTATACAACAGAAGATCAGAAAGATGTCGCAAAGGGAGAGCTTATTACCTTCCATGACTTTAACCTAGCGATGTCGGGTAAAATGAGCACAGTCAACGAAGTGAGCACAGGCTTATGTTCTTCAATATGATGCTGACGAAAGGAATAGGCCATCAATAAACTCGGCTTTACTCCTTACCATTGGAAGCTGTTCTGTCTAGGTGGCTTAGGGTAGGCTCTCCTGCCCATCTTCGTACAGCACGAATTCACCGGATTGAACAGTTATGCTGTCGATTCTCTTCTTGCAATAATTATGAGCATTGCAGCTGGTCAAGTCGACCTTGAGTTCCAACCTTCGTACAATCGAGGTGGCCAGATTGCGTTGTACGTCGGTCTTCTCTTCGGGGCTCTCTTTTTGGGGTCTTACCGCCGACGCCATTGGGAGACGGTGGGCTTTCAACTTTTCCCTCTTGACAGCATCGATATTTGCTATCAGTTGCGGTGGTGCTCCAACATATGTTGGATGGTGTTGTTTGGTCGCGCTCAGTGGATTCGGAGTCGGGGGAAACCTCGTGCTGGACTCTACTGTTTTCCTTGAGTTCCTGCCCGCGAATAAGCAATGGATGGTCACCCTCATGGCACTCTGGTGGGGAATAGGTCAGGTCTTAGCCGGCTTTCTGGCGTGGGCATTCATTCGTAAGCTTGCCCGAAACTGCCCTTGACACTCGTGGCTAATTGACCATAGCCAAATTCAGCTGCTCATTTGCCGAATCTTGCACTCGATCGAACAACATGGGATGGAGGTATCTCTACTTCACTTCTGGTACCTTCGTTCTGTGCGTCAGCATCGCTCGAGTAACGATCATTCGGCTTCACGAGACCCCCCAAATATCTGATATGCAAAGGAAAGGATGCTGAGGTAGTCGATCTATTTCGGGCGCTTTCAAGAAAATATAACAAGGGGTGTAGTCTCACGTTGGAAGATCTACGTCGTCATGGGTCCGTGATTCAATCCGAGAGCCACCCATTGTCATTTTCTTCGATTATCGGTCACTACCGCGGACTCTTCGCCATGCGCAAGCTCGCATACTCCACCGTATTAGTCTGGATGTCTTGGACCTTGGTCGGGCTAGCATATGCGCTCTTCTATGTGTTTCTACCGGAGTATATTGCTAGTCGCGGCGCCAAATTTGGCCAAACATCAACCTCCGTCACCTGGAGAAATTATGTTTTGGCCCAAATCTGCGCAATACCTGGACCAATCTTGGCAGCTGGTCTTTGCAAAACTAGGCTCTTGGGTCGAAAATACACCATGGTAATCGGAGCGCTTATATCAAGTACGTATATTGACATGCTCTTGAGGACTAGATCTGACTTTCAGTACAGTGAGCTTCTTCTTCGCCTATACAGCTGTTCGCAGTGATGCCGAGAATCTTGCATTCAACTGCGTTGTGTCATTCGCAATTAACATTTACTATGGAACGTTGTATTCATACTCGCCCGAAGTAATGCCATCCGCGCACCGTGCTACTGGTAGTGGCACTGCTGTAGCCTTGAACCGTTTGATGGGGATCATGGCTGCGGTAGTGGCGACTTATGCTGATACTTCAACTTCGGCTCCAATATATGTCTGCGCCGGTGCCTTCGGATTGCTTGCCATAGTAGCGATATTACTGCCCTACGAACCCGAAGGCTCACAGAGTGGTTGAAAGGGCTTCAAAAACACAATGAGCGGGAAGTGATGAAGCAATTATGAATGAAGCTGAGCCACTGCGGGATGTATTCATGCGGGAAACAGGTTAGATTGCATGTTGCCTGTTGTGTTATATGTTAGGATTATCGTTTGGAGGAACTGACTTTGACTTTCTTTTCTTCAATTTCGGGATCGTGGCCAGTACGTCTGTCAATACGTGCATTTCTCGTCCACGAAGATACCAGGTAGTACATCTACAATCCATTAGTGCCCTATTACTTTCACATGTCGCTTCATCCGAGGACGCGATACAATCAATCTCTTCTCTGAATTTGTTATTGACACTATCCGCGACAGGAAAATCCGCAAATTTTGTCAATATTCCTCGCCAAAGATACGAGTGAAAGAGATCCCGTACACGTGATCGGAAACACGCCGCTTTGCCGATGTCTAACCCCGCGATAAGCTCCTCACACTAGCCGATCGGAATCCGTCCCTAATAACCCGAGCTACTCTTGCAATATCCTTACTACTTTTGAATTGCGGTATCTAGAAAACAAATTGAAGCTGATAAGTCCAGACGGGCAAGACGCAGTGACAAGAGAGTCCTCAGACATTTACCCAGGCTGTACACAGTCTCGTCATGACTTCTTACATTCAGAAAATTTTCGGATACAGTGCTAAAAACTCTCAACCCACTACCAAAGAAGGCCTTCCAGCTTCATGGTATCGCAGTCCCGAATTGTATGAGTTGGAACGACGAGCGATATTCTCCAAAACTTGGTTACTCATCACGCACAAAAACCGTTTCACCGTACCTGGCGACTATCTGCGGTACTCACAAGCAGGCTACTCGTTCTTCATATGCCTTGATCGGCAAGGGAACATTGGCGTCTTCCACGACATCTGCCGCCACCGAGGATTTCCGCTCATCCACAAAGATGTTGGAAACACCAAGATTCTGGCTTGTCAGTATCATGGTTGGTCATACGGCATTGACGGCAAGCTGGCCAAAGCGCCATATTTCGAAGACATTCTAGACTTTGACAGAAGCAAAAATGGCCTGCTTCCTATACACGTTCACATTGACCAGTCAGGTTTTATCTGGGTGAACCTGGAGTCATCAAATGTGCCTTCAGTGGCTTGGCATGAACAATTTCCGGATCTCCAAGCACGATTTGAGGTCTTTGACTTCTCGGAATATACCTACGACCATAGTTGGGTTCAAGAAGCCGATTGCAACTGGAAGACTCTAGCTGACAACTACAACGAATGCCTGCACTGTCGAGTGGCTCATCCAGATACCCGGGGTTTGCTCGATCTTCATTCGTACAAGGTGGAGGGAAACCAAGGATCTCTACAACATTTTAACAAGAAACAAATGGATGGGTTGATCGAGGTCAAGAACTCTGTAGCAAGCGCGTATTTTTACCCCAATGCTTGTATGACCGCCACGTATGTCATAATGCACAACGGTCCACACTCCAAATTTCCTGTAAGCTAACTCTATGTTAGGGCGCATTTCATGTACTATATGAGATGTGTGCCGACTTCAGCAACAACATGCTCCATGCAGTACGAAGTGTACAGGCACAAGAGTGCAAACGATGAAGATTTCGAGCACATTAATCAGTTCTTCAAACGCGTTCTTGCGGAAGACAAGTGGTTGTGTAATCTTACTCAGTCCAACCTCAACGCAGGCATCTACGTCAACGGTCAATTGCACTCAACCCATGAGCAGGGTCCACTGTATTTTCAGTCTCTGGTCAAGAAAGCGGTGAAGGACCACAAGCAACAGGAGCAGAAATTGGGAGAGGAGATATGGCCTGCAAGGCAAAAGGTCAATACGCCAGAGATCTCGAAGGAGCTGCAGTTTTGTTCGGGCTTGGCCTGCGGGAAAGGGAATCAGTCAATCCTGAACTGGTAGTCAAAGGATGAAGATCAGTGCAGAGCCCCGATCGTAGCATGTTATACTTAGTTGGAAAGAATTTGAAGTTCATCCTATTTCGCTCTTTGTCGAATTGATCATTCGTTCAGTAGAGCAATGTGCTTGTGGGGGCATGCTTATCATAAGTGGGGTATACCTGCTAAGAACGGGGTTTTTCAGGTTGGCTAGATGCGGGGTTAGGGCAGGAAAAGCTGCCGATTCGAACGAGCACGGACCCGTCGCTAGTGATCATATATGTGCATTGGCACCGTGCCAAACTGCCTCCTTTGATCTTTGCTCAAGTCCATCATTGATTACACTTACATATCCTCAGATGTCCACAGTCAGAAAGCCTCGAAACTATAAACGCGTGTCTCAAGCATGCAGCAATTGTCGGCGAAGGAAGAGTCGCTGTCCAGGAGAAAAGCCGAATTGCTCCCACTGCATTCGACTACGTCAGGAATGTCAGTATCCTGACGGCCAATCCAGCGCAGGAGGTGGCAATAGCAGCTCTAACCCCCATCTAGTAAGCTTATAATCTATCTCTATGCTTCAGGGCCTAACATCAAGGTAGGAAGCCCGACTAGCACAGCTCGAAAGGAAATTTGAGTTGCAGATGGAAAAACCGCGGTAAGCCATAACGCATTAATAACCCTATCCTATGTTTTCCCTATCTCCAAACTGACATATTGCAGCGAATCGTGCCGACAGGCGGAAAGCATCGCGTCTGCGACAACTACTAGATGCAGATCACCCGCGAACATTCAAAGCACTAGCTCAGGGTAGGACATACTGGAAACATACAGAAACGTTTCTGATCACTATAGGCTTCCATTGCCAGACGAAATCGTTCTCCCGGCCATCCAGGTTTTTTTCAAATACGTGCACCGACAACCACTATGGCTTTTTGATCGCAATGATACTCTCAGCACGGCCTCTTGCGAAGAATTGCTTCTAGCGACTCTGAGCATCATGGCCCAGCAACCGTATGCTGACTATAATCTTGAACAAATGCTTTCACCTGAGGTCTATGGTGAAGCCGCTAGAGGGCTCATTATGTCGAGAATAGCAACTGGGAGCGTAGATGTCTATGTTCTTCAAGCTCTGTGTTTACTCACGTATTCGAACTTCTTGCGTAAGGAGCAAGATTCCTATCACAGCTGGACCAGAGTTAACGCACTTTACAGTAAACGACGCCGTTCTAGCGGGCTTCCATGCCACAATGCTGAAAGCTTTATTACAGAGCTCCGGGCTCGGCACACAATTGTCACAGGAAGATTCAGCCAGATCCGAGGAAAGTAGGCGACTCGTTTGGAGTATCTTTCTCCTCGATTATATCTGTGGTCAACAACAAGAGACGCCCACTCTTGTTCAAGACATCCGTAATCCCTACTATCTTAAGGTGACAACGATTGATCAGCGCGTCCATGAACCTTGCCCAACGCTTCCTTATGAATCATACAATGACGGCGAAGAAGAATCTCTGGGCATCTGGGCCCATATGGTAGGTATGATCAGCATATGGAACGATGTAAAGTTGTACATCCTCAGGTGTGCTGAAGGTACTAAAGATACGCCATGGAAGCCTGGATCTGCTTATACGCGCATTAACTCTCATATATATGATCTTGAGCTAAGCTTTCCTGACTTCTACCGGTACGACTCAGCTGGTTTTGCGGAACGATCCGTGGAAGAAATCTCTACGAAGAGAGACTTTTGGCTTCCCTGGCTGCGCGTCCAGATCAATTTCCACGCGATCCACTGCATCTTAAATCATCCCTTTCTTCTAGCCTCGACTAGACCGACTAGGAATTCGGAAACAACCGGATTTTGGAAATCATCATCGCAGCTTGCTTTGTTACACAGCACGTGGATAAGTCGGCTGCTTGAAATGGTAAAACAACAAGATCTGCAGCTGAGCGATCCGCTATTCACATATGCTGCCGCTATTGCGGCGACGCTACATGCTTATTGGAGTTACGCGCCTGATACGACAGTGCGAACTTCGGCAAGAAAGTACCTCAGAACTTGCCGAACATTTGTCTCTGAGTGGGGTCCAAAATGGCCTGTCTGCCAATCAATGGTGAGAAATTATATTGCATCACCTGTTCAGTCCATGCTGATAACGAAGCAAAAGGCCGTGACCCTGGATGATTTCCTCGATCTTATGCTCTCAACGCAGCTGGCGGATCGCGATGCGCAAGAACTTGAGAAGATGAGGGCAACTGCAATGTGGAATATCGTACTGTTCATCGCACCCAGGCCTCGGTCCACGGGGACGAATCTTTTTGTTTCGACAATCGCCCCGCAACGGGTCATGGACATTGACACTAACAACGTTGGTTTGACCATTGACGAATCGGATCTTGGTACGACTCCAATCAATATTCAAGATACCGTCAGCCAATATGCTGCGCCCCCAACCCGATTTTTCCCGACGCCCATGGATCCGTGTGGTGAAGAAGAGAACGTGCGGACAGCGGAAGAGGAATACGAGGACAAGTCGGTGTCACATCAGGGAAGTCTTGATCAAGATGAAATCAGCACTTTTCCTTCTTCAATTCCATTGATGAGTTGGACATGGCCGCCAGACAACATGCTAGCTACTCAGAACGTGAACATGTTTGACCAGTACGGAGGCACGAACCTGGACTGGTGGGACAATGGTATTCTTTAAGACAACAGGAACGGAAAGTCGCGAACATGAGACGAACGATCCTCTGAATTCATGTGCGCTATTTTTGGGTGGTGTGACGAATTGAAGCCTTTTGATGTATGAGATTATCCTATAGAAAACAAGATCATTGATATATGTCTAGAACCGACTCAAAGAATCCCAGCATTCACAACAGTGCACCACTGAGACCAGCAGATTGGACAACCATCTATCGCGCACAATGGTGATTACCTCAGCGTTTCCTTCAATTTTTAGGCTGGGGGAGAACGCTATGATTCAAAGAAACCGTGTCACACGCTGACGACTGATGGAGGCTCAATCATACTACCTTCACTCTCATCACCCAAGACGACTTCATTGCAGCCTTTTCTGAACGATTTACTAACCCGATTCTTCGTGGTCCATCCTTTAGCGGCAAGGTAGTAAGCTTCCAGGGGCAGAGGCGCATATTGCTCCATGTAATACGCGAAATCACCATCGCTTGCATCGACCGAGGTTTCCACTTGGGACAACCCTTCGCCCCAGTAAGCGAAGCGATTGCCACGATATTTCCATTTGAAGTCTTCCCACCTATTGCATGCAAGGACTTCCCGGTAGTGAAGGGAGCTTCCAGGCCACAACGCTCTTACTTTTCCATCGTCGCCTTTATACCATGATCGACATGGTCCGGTCCAGACCATGTCCTGCATCAAATCCTGAGTGTGTGCATCAAAGTCTGCCTGAACTTCCTCTCTTACTTCAACACTGCTCGCTTTTTCGCGCATGAGCTTACCGAGCAAGCGGACGAAGTAGTCGGACGTTGCTTCCAAGGTACCCATGACACTTCCATTCGATATTGGGGTGTTGGGGCCAAGGAACATGAAATAGTTCGGGAAACCTGCCACTGCAAGTCCAAAATAGCTTATTGGGTCCGTTTGCCACAACTCTCTCAAGTCACGGCCTTCTCGCCCGATGATAGGAAATCTCGGTGTGAACGACGTATCGAATCCTGTGGCTGTGATGATGATGTCGGCCCGACGAGTTTCTCCTCCGGACACAACACCGTCCGATGTGATCTTATCAATGGGTTCGAAAATGGGACGAACATGCCTTTCCTGCAGTATTTCCAGGTACGGCTCTCCAGGGTTGATTCTCCTACATCCAACCTCAAACTTGGGTATGAGCTTATCATGGAGAGCAGGGTCGCGCAATAGCCCCTTCATACTCTGTTCAAGAGAGGTACGAAGCGCCCTCTGCGCCTCGCCGTCCTTCATGAAAGCTGGGTACATAGAATTGAATTCTGACTCCATCTTTCTCCGAGAGGACAGAGAGAACTCAGAATCATTTTGAAATCTTTCCTTGTCCTCCTTCGTGTATTCGAAATTTCCTTTCTTGTCTCCGCCTGCCGGAGGCACAATCCAGGATGGTGTCCTAATGTATACATCGCAGCTCCCGGCAACCTTTGCGATGACTGGCAACATTTGGATAGCACTGGCGCCTGCTCCAATAATGGCGACTTTCTTTCCACCAAGGTCAACGTTCTCATCCCATGCAGCTGTATGAAGCAGCGGTCCCTTAAAACAGTCGACGCCCTCGATCCTTGGGTATTGGACGTTGTTCAGGATACCACAAGCGTTTACCAAGATCTCGCACTCGAAGTCGCCTTGCCCATGGACTGATACGGTCCACTTGGAAGTTAGTTCACACCACTCCGCCCGAGTAACTTGGCTTCGTAAGCTGATATATTTGTCGATCCCGTAATGAAATGTGACCGCCGATAAGTAAGACTTGATTTCTTGCGAGGACGCATAGCTATGATCCATGAGTTGGACCGACTGCTTCTCTATTAGATGGAACGATACTCACAATGACGACCAATAAGGGTTTGGACAGAAGTTGAATTGGTATATATGACTTGGAACATCACATGCGCAGCCTTGATCGTAGTAATGAGCATGACAACTCCTACATTTTGACCAGCTTGAGCTTACCTGGATACTTGTTTTCTACCCAAGTCCCTCCAATATCTTCATTCTTTTCGAATATCCAGAACTCCACCTTCTCAGCGAAAGCCTTCTGGAGCTTAATTGCTGTCCCCTTGTCAGTGTTAACCACAATGATACTCGAGGGATGCCGAACCGTGCAATATTCCTGAGACACTGATTTTTGGTTAACAATGACGAAGACATGAAGGAGAGGCTTTGTATACCCTGCCCCGATGATGATGCATCTTAATTTGAGGTTTTCTGAAGATTGATAACCCATGGTAGGACTCAAGAACCTGAACGCTGTACAAGTGTATACGCTGGAGCAAGAATTTGAAGATTGGGGAGGGTAATGCGGCAAAGAAACCGGCATGTCCGATTTCGAAAGATACGCTGTGTGTCTGCTACCGCTCGGCTCATCGGAATTATCTCAGACGCTAATCTTCCCACGTTTCGGTTCGATGTCGTGGTCCGCGCAGGTGGCACCGGGTTCGTCATATCACGTGAGCGGATTCGCGGAATCTCGCAAAAGTCTTGCACACGCTTCCGACCCCTTCCCGGCATTGACAGGATCACTGGACCTTATGGCTAAATCGGAGCTCTGTAACGCCTACATTGTCGCATCGAAGTCTCCAGTAGCAACACAAGCACACCAACGGACCTCCGACAACCTAACGTGCAGCGAAACGTATCAATGGATCAGAACGCCCGGATTATCATCATCGGGGCCGGAGTTTTCGGGCTCAGCACTGCTTACGAGCTTGCGAAGCGAGGCTTCAAAGATGTGATCGTGCTGGATCGTCACATACCACCTGTACGGCAGGTTCCAGCCTCCTTTTCATTTTGCAAACTGACTCTACTCATCCCAGGTCCCCGACGGCGCGAGTGTTGATATTTCTAGGATCATCCGGTTCGATTACGCTGATATCACTTATACCAAACTTGCCAAAGAAGCCTACGATGTGTGGACTTCGCCTACCTTTCCCCAAGGACTATTCTTCTCACAGCCGTTTGTCTTGTCTACCACCAAGCCGTCAGGCCGCAGTTACATCGATCAGTGTCTCAACAATTTGACTTCTATGTCCTTGCCATGGACCCAGCTGCAAAATTCATCAGAGGCCAAAGAGAGATATCCAATACTGACAGGAAGTTTACCATCTCCTGGATTCTATGGTTATTGTAACGAACAGGCAGGTTGGGTAGACGCGGGGCTTGCGATATCCAGTCTGCGTGATCGATGCATTGAATTAGGTGTTTCCTTTTTCACTGGTGCTAACGGCACTGCGACAACATTACAGCATGAGAGCCAGTCAGGTAAAGTTACCGGGGTGAAGACCAAAACTGGCAATGTTATAGAAGGCGATGTCTTCGTTCTGGCAACAGGAGCATGGACGGCCGGACTTGTCTCCATGCACGATTCCATTCTCGCTACTGGCCAAGTCCTTGGATACATAAAGCTGACTGAAGCTGAGAAACAACATTATAGCCGCCTGCCGATCTACATCAACTTTGACAGTGGGTGGTTCTGTTTCCCTCCACATGATAACACGAGTTATCTCAAGGTCGCCGTACATGGATGGGGTTATACAAGATCTCGGGGTGACAATCCAACGGATACGCTGGCGGCTCAATCGTCACCGGCAACGGAACCACGCAGCTGTCGCGCTAATTTTGCACCTTCAGAGGGCATTGCACGACTCCAGGACGGTCTCCGAGAACTTCTGCCAGAGCTTGTAGATCGTGAATTCGATCGTACAGCTGTCTGCTGGTACACAGATACGCCCACCGGGGATTTCATTATAGACTACCATCCCGATTACGAAAATGTGTTCCTTGCAACAGGGGGAAGTGGACAGTGAGATAATTCACCCCTTCGCAGATGATCCGCTAATACTTTACAGCGCTTTCAAGTTCTTGCCTATTCTAGGAAAGTACACTGTCGATGCCATGATGCACTCACTTCCTGATGATCTGCGCACCAAGTGGCGTTTCAGAACGCAGTACCGCAACAAAGACGCCTTCAAAGGCGATGGAAGTCGCGGAGGGCCTGCAAGGAGAGAGTTCACGGAACACGAAAAGGCGCGTCTTTGAATTTGAGTTGATCGTATCAATCTTACAACCATCATTGACTATCTTTCAACACTGCTACTTCTTTGTCTTACTTATTTCTCTACTTTTTGTAACGTTTCATGAGAGATGGTTCTTGAGGCAGAATCACAATTTCGACCGTATTTCTGGGTGCACCCATAGCTTCGTTAAAGGCCCATCAGCTCCATACACCGGATCTTCGGAAGGTTTAGCCACCGATTCGATCTCCGCGCGGAGCATAGCATGATCGATTGCCTTCTTTCCAATCTCATTCCGCCAGCGGGGAGCTCCCTGTACAAGATAAGCTATATCCACTTTGGGGGATACTCATGCATGCGTGCTCACCGTCGGATATACGCCAACATATCTGTAATCTCCAGTGCTTCGCAGATTGCAGTGAGCTGTGCCTGCGGGAAGAACAATGACATCTCCAGCCTGGAGTTCGATTTCTTGACCACCTCTCGTATCGCTGGTACCGCATCCTATCAGCATAGTAGATTTACCGCTGAATACACCTGTGCCTGTGTCAATTTGAGGTCTATTGGGCAGGTCTTAGCGTACCGTAACATTCATGCGTGTTTGGATGAAAATGGCGAATCGGTATGTGGCCCCAAACCCCTTTTTTGACCCAGTCATGCGATTCCAAGAATTTTGTTGTCGTCTCTTCACATAGAGGAAGTGGTAGGCATGACCGATAGACAAGAACAGGAAATATTCCGTTATTAGGGGCGAATCTATTGCTTTGAATAAAGTATGTCTCGGGTTTTTGGTCCATGGTAAAAGTGTGACGCTGTGTTCGTAGTGAATTATACTCTTCGTATGTTGGATTCACAGGACGCAAAAGTCTCTTAAAAATGATTTAATCATATATTGTTACGTCGGTAACAGATGTGATTACCATGGAATTACGGAGGTTGTTTCCGTAGTTTTCCGAACAATCCCGATCTACAGACTAGTATTTCTAGTCCCTCGAGAAAGCGATCGACAAGTTGCCAGGCGACAACCCGATCACTAAGAGGTCGCGAGTTATGCGCGAGTTTCCTTCGGTAGTATGTGAAGACTTTGGTGTTTCCAGTTGTCGTGTTCGATTTTCTGCGATCTCTTTCCATATATTTTTCTGTATATTAGTCTTGCGTTTTCATCATGTTCATCGAATATACTCTTGCTTCATTATGCGGTATCAGTTGAGTGCACCAATAATACATTCAACCCCCACTTATGGCCCTGGAATACAACGAAGTCTTCGTTGTGAAGCTAGACTCTACATACGATGTAAATACAACGCCGCAGGGCGCTTTCGCTTAGGTGCATGACGGCGCCACGAGCGGTTTTCACGGTGAAGCCGACAGCTGAATATGATGCATGAGTCAGTTAAGCGACGATCGAGAAGGCCCTATCCGTCCCAAAAGCGCTTAGCCTCGGATCTTCGACCCCGTATACCTTGCCGGATAACGTTAGAGCCGGCTGTCGAAATAAGTTTAGGTCGCCATGCCCCAAAGGAAGAGGTCCAGAGGTCTGGACCTTTAGCTACCTTTCCTAATTCATCTCGTCGCTCTTCTTGACCAGTGCATCTCGCCAAAATTCTCCGCAATGAGGGATAACGTGGCAGCCACAATACCAACATACGTACACCGGCGGTCTGCGGTCCATGAAGGAGTCAAAAGGAGCCCAATGTCGTCTAGGCGACAAAACTATTCTGGCGGGATAAATAAGTCAGAGGCCCATGATGCTCTACTTCTGAAAGCACCGAGCCTCTTTCCTGTTCGCGATAATGCATATCAAAAACAGTTTCCTGCTCCTTGGAGCCATCCTCGCCTCGGGAACTGTTGCCGACAATGTACATGAGTTAGAGGATACCTCAAATCTCGGGCTGGTCAACAAGGCTTACATTGACCCGGAGACGCACAAGGTCTTTGTCGCAGATGTCAGCCAGAACAAGTCATCTGCTGTTCAGGAGCGTTCATACAATACTGGAAGTACGCATGCACCATCCACCCCTCCAACGACATGTCTTTATGTAGCCGACCACTGACTTCGTTTCGGAATTAGATACCCAGAATACCGATAATATTGTCAAGCTTCTGAAGAAGTATAATGGCTATGGCTTCTGCAAAGCTGCCTGCGGTGGTTACTCTCCCAGGCCTGTCACGCAGACGAAATACAAGACCTTCACTAAAACAACATACACGACGAGGACGATCGTACCTAATGCAGTGAAAACAACCCGTACCGCAACTGCAGAAGCGCCACCAGCAAACACAGTAGCGACTACAATCACTCAATCAACCACGATCGACATCACAGAAACGGCAGACCCGAGCACGATTACATCCACGCTTTCCACTACTTCTACCACGACTGAAACCAGCACTACAACCATTACCTCAGTGGTCCAGTTTCCCTCAGCTACCTCAGTCAAAAAGCGCGGCCAGAGCCCCCCCTCATGGCTGAGAGGCTACGCTTCCCACCTCATCTGCCCAGCTTGCAACCAGGCATGGCCGAAGCCGAAGCCGAAGACGGTGACTCAGTACAAGACGTCAACAAAAATGTCCACCATTACGAGGACAACGACCAAGCCAGCTCAGACCCAGACGGAAATTGTGACCGTAACACCTGCTGCCGGCACCTCTACGTCTACGGCGACTGAGGTGCAGACACTAACGAACACCTTAACTTCTACGCCTGTTGAGACTGTAAGTCGGCTTTACTTATTCTTAACCCTCCTCGTTACACATCATCCACCCCTTATCTCTATATATGCGCTAACATCGCTCATCAGGATACAATTACCCTCACCTCAACAACCACCACTACCGAAGTCGCCACTTCTACCGCATCCGCTTGTGCACAGCAGACAAACGGTATCGCTGGCATTAGCGTTTCAGGTGGTAGCAGCCACCTCGTGGGCTCTTCTGCAAATACTGTCGTCGGTTGTTGCACTGAATGCTACAACTCGGCTTCGGGTTGCATTGAATGGGCTTTCTTGGGTAGTGGCTTCTGCTTCTATGCTGTGAATAATGGTGCGGCGACTGGTGCTGCTGGTACTTGTCCAAACGGTCTGGGCACAGCTACTCTTTTCACGGGCGGATCGGACGATTTGGCGGGTGGGTCAGGGCCTTGTCATTCATAGGCAGATGTTTATAATAATACTTAATATCCATCCAAGTCGAAAAGTTTCTGATCAGTGATGAGAGAGATTGTAGGTATCGATTGACGGTCAGTGCCTTGATCCAAATAGGGTTAAACTGCTGTATCGATGAATGCGGTCCAGTCGGGCAAGGCCAACGAAAAGTGTGCCATGATCCTAGTTCGAGGTGGGCATGGCATGACTTGATTGGTAGAAACTCCGGTCCGCGAGTCGTGCGAAAGCCATGCCCGAGATGCATTGGCTCCGACAACACCACTCTGAAAGGTCAGTTCAAGTGCGCATATCACGATACCTAATAGACACCGAGTACTGTGAGAAATTACAAGTGCGCTCATGGACCTCAAATATGGGAGAAATTAGGAGGTGAGCATGACGTCCCGGCGAGACTGCACCTGCCATTCTTCCGACACCATCCTGCATTGGGTATGGTCGCCAACTTTCAATAACCCTAAAGCGATCGACCCCACGATCATCCTCATGCGAAACCTCCTGACATCTCCAGTTCTATTCTTTGCAACACCAGACAAGGAATCATCTGCAGACCACTTGTCTGCAACCTGCCCTATGCAGCTCTTACCAGAACTCGGTGCCGATTGGCGACGGACAGCTCGGATGGCAGATATATTAAGGACACCCAAGTAGGATGATTAATAAAAGAACGGCTACGCCCGCACAAAGTTCTCAATCATCGCCATTCCTTCGTTCTAAAACCGGTGATGAAGATGAAGGTCACGCAGGCCTTTGCTTTTCTCGTAGGCGCACACGCCGTCCGAGCAGCGAACAGTACCACAGCGCCGTAAGTTCAAGCATCTTGTGTTGCTCCAAAACATATGGTGCAATAATCGGCTCTAGTCAGCCATCTGATACCTTGCTATAGTCAGACTGGAGATGTCGTACCTAATGTCTACATTGTCGAATTCGCCAACGAGAGTGTCACCCCGGACACCTTTTATGCCTCTCTTGCGGCTGAAGGCGTGGACCTCCAGCACCGAATGGATCTGAGTTTCCGCTTCTTTAACGGTGTTTCCTTCCAGGTCAAGCCTTCGACTAATCATACTGGCTCCGACATCATCACGCAGATTAAAGCAAGGACTGAGATTGCTTCAATATGGCCCGTTCGATCATCAAAGCTACAGATGCCGGAAACACAGTCACCAACCGCTTCCGCAGACTCCACATCGCGACTTGTCAAGCGCCAGGATCAAAAAGAAGACACTTTCTCTCCACATGTTATGACGCAAATCGATAAACTCCATGCTGAAGGAGTTACGGGAAAGGGGGTCCAAGTCGCCATTATTGACAGTGGCGTTGACTACACGCACCCGGCTTTGGGTGGCTGCTTTGGGGAGGGTTGTTTGGTTAGCAAAGGCTACGACTTCGTGGGTGACAATTTCCGACTGGGTGAAAATGAACCACAACCCGATGATGACCCAATGGACGACTGCTTTGGACACGGTACTCACGTCTCAGGCACTGTCGCTGCACAGCTGGAAAAGACCAAGTATGGGTTCTCCGGAGGCGCTCCGGGAGTCAAGCTTGCTGCCTACAGAATCTGGAATTGCATCTCCTCGACAACTGATGAGATTCAATTAGCTGCGTTTGCTCGCGCTGTGGAAGACGGGGCTGACGTCATCTCCTACTCCAACGGCTTGTAGGTTCCCTTCAGGTCCAAACCCTCAGCTCGTTGAGCTAACTTGATACAGTCAGATAGGATGGGCGGGACACTTACTTGCCGTAGTTGCATCTCGCATCGCCGACTCAGGCATCCAGTTCGCCATCTCCGAAGGCAACGATGGGGGTCAAGGAATGTTCTATTCTTCCTCACCAGCCACAGGCTTCGATGTGACTGGCGTGGGAGCTGTATCGAACAAAAAGTTCCCAATCCTTGGCCCGAGCGGCTCCTACAGTACAGCCAATTCCACCCCTACAAACTTCAGCATTTTGATGGGCGAGCCGAACTTTGCTTCTGGAGCGAACCTCCCGCTCTGGTCTGCTGTGGACGCAAACAATGCATGCAGCTCTTTACCCAACGGCACGGATCTGAGTGAGTCTATTGTGCTGTTGCAATTCCTCGATGCAAGGGCCACTGGGTGCTATCCTCAAGACCAAAGCGCCAATATAGCAGCGAAAGGCGGCCGGTATATGCTGTACTATGACGGCTCAGGAAGCAATTTGTACGTCATTGTCGCAAATGCAGCGAGGAGAGCATCTTGCTAACGTAATTAGAACGATGAGGGACGATCCGATTGTTTATACCGAAGGCATCGAAGGCGTAGCACGAGTTGCGCCTTATGTTGCGAATAACTGGCTGTCTTTGCTCAAGCAGGACTCCGTCGTCACTGTCAACATCCCAAGCAGCAACAACACTGAAATCCACCTTGAAGAGTTCGAGAATAATGAGACTGGTGGCTACCTTGCGAATTCGTTGACTAGTTGGGGTCCTAGCTGGGAACTTGGCGTGAAGCCGAACCTCGTCGCACCTGGCGAAAACATTCTCAGCACTTACCTAACTAGCGATGGTAGTTACCGGGTGATGACAGGAACCAGCATGTCCGCTCCGCTGGTGGCTTCTGCTTTCGCATTACTAAAGGGAGCGCGAGGCAGCCTTGACCCTCTACGTCTGCGCCGTATCATGACAACAACTTCAAAACCGATTGCCTGGCATGACGGCACCAAGGTCCATCCCGATATTCTTGCGCCAGTCCCACAGCAAGGCTCGGGTATCATTCAGACTTGGAACGCGGTTTATAGCACGGCGGAGCTCAGTATCGACAACATTTCTTGGAACGATACTGACCACTTTGTGGGCAACCGAACTTTCAGCATCCTCAACACTGGATCCGAGGATGCCATTTTCGAGCTGAGCCACCGAAAAGCTGTCACAATGTATACACTGCAGGACAGCTTTGGCGGCGTTCTTCGAGCGGCTAGCTTCCCAAATCCTATTGTTGAGGACTGGGCGGACATACAATTCAGCTCTAGGTAAGTTACTACTACATGGCATGGCCTCCTCATAATGACTGCTTACCCATGGATAGCAAGATTTCAGTCCCTGCTGGAGAGTCTGTCGATGTAACGGTCAGCTGCACGCCACCGGCCTCCGTGAACGCGACCCTTCTCCCTGTCTACAGCGGCTATATCAGTGCCAGCGACACATCTTCTAACATCACTCTCGTGCTTCCTTACCTAGGCGTGGCTGGTAGCATGCGCTCTACCCCCGTCACCCAATCATCGCTCGTCTACATGGCGCAGTACAACACCGCGGTACCCGCGAATACTAGTTACACGATTGCGCGCCCTGATCCTGCGAATCCTCCTGCGACCGACGAAGGAGATCAAGGCTCTCAACCGAACGTGTACATGACACTGTTGGTCGGAAGCGCTTTAGTGCATATCGATGTGCTCAGAGGCGAGGAAGAGATGGGCAGCTTGGCGGGGTCGCCGCAGGTTTATCTTCCGAGGGGTGACTCGAGGGTATTTATCAGCGGCCTGCTTGCAGACGGAACTGTACTAGAGGAAGGAAGTTACAGCCTGCGGGTGAAAGCATTGAGGATCTTTGGAGACGAGGAGAAGGATGAAGACTGGGATGTTGTGAAGACGGTGGAGTTTGGCATCAAGTATGCTTCTTGAGGAGAATAACAAATACTCTATTTACTGTTTGAGTATCGATAGTCCTGTGTAGGTGACTGGATTAGGCATGGCATGTTCGTCACCGGTAGGTTCGGTCAGAAAAGGCGGACTTCGGTCGGTGGGTGACGCATGACTAAAAGCCTCAGTGAGGAAGCGTACTATTCGTGCACTCGTGTACCCCGAACACGAATTCCCATCCGTGTCTCCTTACTCTTCGTCGCGACATGTCGAACGTCATCATCTTCGGCGCTGCAGGCGCAGTCGCAAGCGCAGCTGCCCTCGAAGCCAAGAAGCGCGGCGCAAAAGTATGGCTCTCCGTCCGACAGTCCGAGCTACAACCCCTCAATCAAATCAGCGAACTGGCCTCAGCCAAAGGCTACCGCCGCGTAGTCGCAGATCTGACCAATCCATCAACAGTCACACAAGCCGTCAAAACGTCAGGCGCCACCACAGCATTCTTATACACAGTTTTCGCCTGCCAGGACGGCATGAGAGCGGTCTTCAACGCTTTGAAAGACGCAGGCGTTACCTTCGTGGTACTGCTCTCCTCGTACGCGGTCAAAGATCCTCCATCTTCCATGCAGAAAACAAAGGGATCTGCGTGGCACCATGCGCAGGCTGAGATAGCATTGCAAAGCGTAGGACTAGACGCGGCGGTTCTACGGCCTATGTATTTCTGCTCGAACCTCTTCCTCGTTGCGCATGGTGCGAAACACGGAGTCGTGGAATTATTTCGGCCGGAGACGGTTTTCGATTTCATCGTACCTGGAGATATTGGTGCTGTTGCGGGTGGATTGCTAGCGACGCGGAACCACAAGGGCGTTATCATCTTGAATGGTGCAGAGTTGATGACGATGCGGGATGCGATTCACGTCGTTGCGCAAGCAACGAACCGGACAGTAGAGATCAGGGAAATCTACGAAGAGACGTTCAGGAGGAACATGAAGCACCTGCCTGAGGTTGATCTGCAGTCGCTGGCTGCAAATCACATTGAGTATAGTACAAAGCCAAAAGAAGAACTGTTCCCGAAGCATAGCGAGGCAGTAGAGAATCTACAACGATTTGGGGGACGAGTAACCAAGCTTGCGGATTGGACAGGCGGAGGCGAACTCATGTCTATGATACATAGTACATATGAGCCGTAGATTCCGCACAGGCATATCGTTCAGAGTTGTATAATAGCTTCTAAAAGCGCTTTGCGTGTCTCAATGACCTCAGTGCTTATCCCCGGCTGCCCACCAGTACGAAATTCAACGTAAGGCTGTTTCGGGTATGTTATACGCACCGACAATATACATCCGCGTGCTAATTTGCTGGACGGCCCGCAGTGCTGCATGCATTACGCCCTGTCGCTTCCGCGGCTCAGCTCATTGGTCGGACGAACTCCGAAGGGCTGTGTGGCAGGCTGACCGCGTGGATTTCACAGGTGCGCCGAACAAGCCGTTCGCAAAGCATTAAATACAAGGCGGATCCTTCCCGTGCGCTTTGTGGTTCTGATGGATGCTAATATTGTCAAAGTAACCACTTCGGTTCTTAGCGTGGTTGCGACGTTGGCGGTTGGTGGGCGGCTCTGGGCGCGAAAGCTCAAGAAACAACAGTATGGGCTCGATGATTGGACTGTGTTGGCCAGCTTGGTATGTGGAAGGGAGTAGGATGCGCATCGCAAGCGTGATTGACTGAGAGGATTAGGTCATAATGTGGGCGTTGGCTGCAGTCATTCTTGCAGGTAAGACCTTGGCCCAAGCACAGCGCGAGTTAGGATGCACATGACTTACTCTGGCATAGGGGCTTCAATTGGCTTATACGATAGCCATGAGGTGGATGTAACGACTGTTGATCAGGTCGACACGACGGGGCTAGAACAGCTGATCTCCAAGGTTGTCCATCCCATTCCCGGATCCTTACTGATGTGACTGACATTGGTATCAAAGTACAATTTCATTAAATGCATCCTCCTGATAGCCGGTCTGGGCCTAGTCAAGCTCAGCGTCGTATTCCTCTACCAGCGTATTTTCGACGTCGTTCGCATCTTCCACATCTACTCTATTACCCTCGTCGCACTGCTAGTAGCATGGACCGTAGCGTTTCTGTTTGCCAACATCTTCCAGTGCGGTATCCACATCTCGGCTTTGTGGGGAAGTGCAGATGCGATTGAACGCTATTGCAGGGCCTCCGGACCTGCATCTTACGGGTTTGTTGTCTCCGACATCGTTACCGATGTTATGGTCTTGGTTTCGCCAATCCCAATCGTCTGGCATATGCGTGTGTCGACTGTTCAGAAGTTCGGTGTCACTGCGATGTTTGCGCTGGGCCTGCTGTGAGTAGTGATGTCGAGATTTTCAAAGATGGAAGTTGACGTGGGCAGCTCCACTGCAGCCGCCTGCGGGCGTTTGTACACTTTTCTCGAGGCCTTGCGCAGTACGTTTATCTCTCAAACACATGTTCGCACATACTGACTGATGATAGGAGCTAAAACTTCATGGCGTGAGATATAGCCTGGTGCAGCTGTTCTGTTCCTTTGCTAACAGTTCTTAGAGATGGAGAGCGAATTAGCGATTTGGGCAGTGATCGAGCTCTCGATTGCGGTCGTTGCTGCCTGTCTGCCGGTAACGCGACCACTATTTCAGCAGTTCAAATGCTTCGATGGGATGTTGGCGACCGTAAGGTCGGTATCGACTCACCATTCAAGGCAAAAAGAAGATGCTTCATGGGTCGAGATCAACCATGTGTAGAGACACATAACTCCCCACAGCGAGACAAAGCGAAACAATGAGTTCTAAGAAACACATTTTACCACGATGTAAAAGACATTCCGGACCATTGCATGCATACCAGTGATTATAAAAGAGAAGACGGAGCGTTCCAATCTGTGCTCAGACTCGCGCGTCGACATCGTTAATCGCCGAGTGTGTTATACTCATTTCCTGATTCCCTCCCACCAAGCCCTCATACCCCCCTCCTCACTGCAGCAAAACCTCGAACTCAAAGTCCTCCAACTCATTCCTATACGCCGGCAACGTCTTCGGCCCACAGCTTCCCGTCCCCAATCCATGATGCACCGCATCCAGCCTAAGCACCACCTCCTCCCTCTTCTTGTTGTGCAGCTTATACGGATGATCCGATGCAGCTACATCGTCAATCCTATAATGGCTCGCCTGGAAATCAAACAGCTTCCTCGCTCCCCTCTCCACGAACTGCGCCAGCAGGCTCGTAGCCGAGGAGGACGTGCCGTTGGCGATACGCACCCAGCGTGTGTCGGTGCGATTGGCGCCTTCCTGCGGGACCTCGTAGTCTGTCCAGAGCGCGTCGATGGAGGAGGTCTTGTGTAGGGAGACATGCTGCGAGAATTTGGAGTCGCGGTAAGATTCTCCTGGGCCGCGGCCGAACCACGTCACGTTCTGGAAGTCATGGGGGAGCTCGAGGATGAAGCCGATGCGGGGGAGGATGTCGGGGAGGTTGAGACCCTGGGGCGAGCCCTTGACGTGTGCACGCACGGTGCCATCGCTGGAGAAAGTGTATGTGATTTCGACGTCGATGGACCAGGAGAGCACTGGTGGGACGATCTGCTGGGATACGGTGACCTTGAGTGATTTTTTGTCTGGCTGGTCGTAGTGGACTTTTCGCGTGTAGGGCTTTGCGAGGTGGACGAGGTGTTCTCTCCAGTAGCGTCCGTCTTGGGGCTTGTCGTTGTCGGTTTCTGCACGGTTGATGGAGAGCTCTGGGGGTGTGGTGATGAGCTCTTTACCGTTCTTCTTCCACGACGTGAGGTATCCATAAAGCGTGCTGAAGGTCCATTCGGAGTCTTCGCTCTTGATAACCAGGGTGTGGCTGGAAGGTGTAGTGACTTTGAGGCTTTTGTCGGACGAGGAAGGCGTGTGAACAGCGTGTGATGGATGTACGACGACTTCACCGGTTGCGACGGTCCAGCCCTTGGAGAGGGAGATGGTGCTCTCTTTCAGATCGAAGGTGAAGTGGACGACGGTCTCAGATTTGGCACTTACGAACTTGGGGAGGTCGACTTCGAATGTTTGACCTGGGCCGATGCCGGACGGGATCTTGAGGTCGCCTTTGGAGGTTTCATCGCCACGCTCATTGACGGCGTGCCAATTGAGGTGGAGGTGATCCAAAGTAACGAAGTCGTACCTGTTGATGAATGTAGCTGATGAAATGTTGCTGTGTAGGAGCTGTACCGGCTCGATCGCTTTGGCGAACTCGGTTAGACCCGGATTAGGGCTGTGGTCGGAGAATAATAAACCGTCCATCACGAAGGTGGAGTCGTGAACCTTCTCTCCGAAATCACCACCATAGGCGTAATACTCATCGCCAGTCTCTTTATCTTTCGTCAGTAGACCATGGTTAGCCCATTCCCATGCGAAGCCACCCTGACAGGATGGGTACTTGTAGAACAAGTCGATGTATTCTTTGATATTACCTGGGCCGTTGCCCATAGCGTGGATCTAGCTGGTGGTCAGTCGCGGTCTAACAGCATTTTCTGAATACTTACGAATTCGCAAAGGATGAGCGGTTTCTCCTTGCTTCCTTCTCTGCCAAACCAGTCGACCCAATCGGGATGCGAGTACATCCTTGAGAAGACGTCCATAGTCTCGGCGTCATAATCTGGCTCGTAGTGGATCGGTCGACTGTCATCGTAAGCTTTGATGTGCTTATACATCTCCTTGAAGTTCTGTCCGAAGAAGGCTTCGTTTCCGAGACTCCAGATGATCACCGACGGGTGTAGCTGATCGCGCTTCATCAGATGCTCCGCGCGGTCGATGTACGCATCTCTCCAGTCTGGATTGTCAGTCGTCCATTTAGCGGCTCCGCCTCGCGTCAGCATTTGGCGCTGGTCGAACGGCAGCTCTTGTTCCTCTTTCGACAATAGGGCATCAGCTACCATCTCGAAGCCGTGACATTCCATGTCCGCCTCATCGATCATCCAGAAACCCATTTCGTCGGCGAGAACCAAAAGTCTCGGGTCATTCAATTGGTGAGAGGTTCTGATGGCATTGATGTTGTGACGTTTCATGGTCAGTAGGTCGTGTTTGAGGAACTCCAAAGGCACGGCGCGACCAAATTTCGGATGATGTTCGTGACGGTTGACGCCCCGGATTACGATGCGCTTGCCGTTGACCTTGAGCAGGCCATCCTTGATCTCAACCTGACGAAAGCCTACACGAATGGGGATGAACTGATTGTTATCCAGCGCGATAATCAAGTGATAAAGATAAGGCGTCTCCGCGGTCCATTTGTGAGGGTTTTTACCGCGTAGTGAAATAGTCCATTTGCCACTGCCTTGGGTGGTCGCGTTTGCAGACGCGCTGGTCATGGGTTGCTTGTCCGCATCGAAAAGTTTGAGGCTGACACTGCCTAAGCCTGTAGTTTCAAGGCTAACTTTGAGCTCCGCATCTTTGTAGGAAGAGTCCAATAGGGTCTGGACATGCAGATTCTCAATGCGGGATTTCTTAGGAAACGCAATAAGGAACACGTCTCGGAAGCTATCAACGTCAGTAAGGTGATGTTTCGAGGGATCTGTACAGTCTTACATGCCGCTCAACCACCATTGGTCCTGGTCTTCGATATAAGTCCCATCGCACCACTGATAGACTCGTACTGCGAGCGTGTTCTCTTTCTCCAGATCTACAAGACTCGTAATATCGAACTCATCCGGATTACGACTGCCTTGCGAGTACCCTACCTCCTTTCCATTCACCCACACGTGGTAAGACGAATCGACACCTTCGAACCTCAGTCGAATCTGGTCATCTTTGAATTCTTTTGGGACCGAGAACTTCCTTACGTAGGACCCAGTCTCGTTGTCGTAGAATGGCACGTTTGGTGGGTCGACGTGGATGGGGTACTTGACGTTGGTGTACTGTGGGCCCTTTCCGAACCCCTGCAGGTTCCACATGCCAGGGACAGCGATGTCGCTCCATGATGAGGTGTCAAAGGATGAGACCTCAAACCCCTCGACAGCTTCGAAGGGCGAGTTGGCCCAGTGGAACTTCCATGTTCCAGACAGGCTATGCGTCTTGGACTTGCTCACCTCGCGCGAAATGGCATCCGACTCGGAGGTATAGTTGTGAAAGTACGCTCGCACAGGCAATGTATTCTTGTGCAGTACTTTGTGGTTATTCCAGTCCGGAGGGTTCTCGGGTCTGACGCCGCTAATTGTAGACATATTGTGCTGTGTTTCTGGATGCAAAGTGTTGACAAGAGCTTGCATCGTTCTATGAAGTGTTGACGTTCGCTGTTATGTGGATTCGAAGCTACCCCTCCACCCCACAGTTGCGCTAACCAATTACAGTCAGCCGACCGCCACCACGAGGCTCAGTCTGAGCATGGGGCCACGTTCTGTGTCAGGGAAACACCGCGTACGAAACTTGGCAAGATTGTCAATGGTAGTGGACCCGTCCTCGTGCATCGGGGTAATGATGCCACGGCCAAGGCTCCTGGTTGCGAACTGCCCGAAGAGGACCCTACCCCAGTCGCGCTACCCCGCAGTCGGTCCATATGTGGAGCCAGCATCAAGTCACCATCCGGACCACAAGCTCATCCATCAATAGGGTGCGACGACCCAAAAAATTAGCCAAGCCTTGATATCGCGCGGTACAAGGTCAGTTATTGACTTTCAAAATCGGTTCGCAGCATCTGCTTGAACACCAAGAAACTTCGAGAGCGACAGTGAGCTCGGCGAACGCCCTCGTGGTATACACCGAACGTGCACAACGATAGATAGTTCGGCTCGTGGACGTTCTCGTATACAATGAGATCTCCCAATATAGGCAATGTAGTCTATGCATTCCTTAGGTAGGGAGCAGTTGATCCGCAGCCAAGAAGATCGTAAGGTCATGAAGATGCATTTCTGCTCGACGCCCAGCCCAAACCCAGGACCTCTCTCAAGCATGTGAGATAACTGTTGGTGCTCGTGACATAGGTTTCGCCGGCCTGGACCACAATCATGATGCTTAACAATTTCCAACGAATTTGCTGACCTCGTCCAAGCCTGCGACCCACCAAATCTTCCGCCTGTCTCTTCGCTCTCGATCGCCGCCAACAACTCCAATGCCTCCTTGTGATTCCGTGAACGCTTCCGGACTCAAGCGCAACACGTCAAAGTCTAGTCGTTCCAACGTTTCCTTTAGCTCTTTCTGGCCGCTTCCCATCGGGTCATCTCTGATACAAATTCCCACATCAGCCGCAACCAGGCAGTCGAAATCAGTAGCTGAGTCTCCTACATAGAAAGTAGTACAGCTGTCTTCTCCACGTACTTCTTCAAACCTAGCAAGCTTGTCCGCACTGGTGCAGATGTAGGGTGTTCGCTGGATTTCTTCTAAAGGGAGCTCGTTCGCGAAGACAGGTATGGAGTCCATGAACTTAGCGTCCGAGGCTGAAGGATTCGATAAGGCAGTTTGAAGACATGCCCTGATGAAAGTGGCGCTCCAGTTCACGCTGATGATAGAAAGCGAGGCCGCCGCCGAAGACTGTTGCTGTGAGGCTTCTGAGATCGCGAGAAGCTTCCTCCAGCCTGGCCGTAGTTGCAACTTTCCATCACGCACAGCTGATCTGGATGCTGAAATCACATCTTCCTTCGTGACATCCTTGAATATGCCCGCCGCTTTCACTCGTTCGATGCTGCTTCGTTCTACATCCTTTAGACTGGCAAGCCATTCGCTTTCCTCGGTGACGGTCTTGCGGCTTTCTGTTGAGGAAGTATAGAATGCTTTATGCTGCGAGTAATCGGAGATGTATGCTTGCACTATGTCGTCCCAAGGTGTAAGGTTTTTGTCGCGGTTGTGCTCATACCCTATCGCAGCAACAAGATGAAGCGTATCTTTCTTAGTCAGGGTGCCATCCCAGTCAAGGATTAGTTGGATGGGATTCCTAGTTCGCGTCATATATGGTCTCGTGGCAGTTAGCAGCTGTAGTGGAACAACGTGGTGCGCCGAACTCCTCAATGTTGGCAAGAGCATTAAAGAAATTGCAGCACTGGGCTTTCGGCGTTCGAATGCTGCAAGTGCAAAGAAGGGTTAGGAGTATTGTTTTACCCAATTGCAGGCAAGCAGGGACTACTCTCGAAGCAAAGACGCGAATGAGATGAAGTTTGCTTGTTACGTCATGACCGCGCTATCCCGATTTTGGTTGGTCCGATCATACTATCAACATCTCCACTTAGCTCGAACAACCATCCACACCATCCTCCCTGACTCTTCGTTTCATTGCTGATATATCACCATCTTGTCGTACGTAGGCGATACGCTTCCCATATCCTTACCGTACCACTTCTTCTTCCCAGGTAGGATCGTCTAGAATGGCTTTGAGGAGGATCTTGGGGTAACAAGTGCCAGCGCGTCCATTTAGAAGCTTTGGGAACTCTAAATGGAGCTAGGTGGATTTACCAAGAAGCGTACCCTCTGGGCGGGTGAGTGCGAAAGCAAGATCGCTGGGGTTTACCCTGGCATGTCCAAACAAAACTGGAGTCGGAATCCGCTCGGCTGATTGGGCTGAACAGGCATTTTGTGATACTATCGAGGAAGTCTACTTCGTGACGGCGGAAGTGCTGTTGTCGACTGATAGTTAACTCCTCTTAGGAGTTCATGTTGGTCGTGATGAATAAGGAGGTCAACATCACTGGTTCCCTGACACTCAACAATTCCATCTTTTGGGCTGTACAGTCCCCCGACTATTGATCCACGCTCGAACGTGGTTCTATGAGGCGCAGTGGAAATTATTTAATGGATGTAGAGCACAAAAGAAGGGCGTGCTCATCCTTCCCACTTCCAAAACCTTTCCACGCACACGTCCGAATACAAACCGAGCCCGCCCGGACGTTGCACACTGTCTGCACCTGTCACAATGTAATTCTCGATGGATTGTCGCATTTACACAGCAGCGATGCTATTTGTGGGCGCGATCGCGGCCATACTTGTTGGATTCCGCGCTTGGCAGCCCACGAGCCTGGATCATGGCGATCACCGGACGCAGAAAGCTACATCGAATGCAAAGACCTCAGCTATGGCTCTTTCTACGACAAGGCCGCTTTTGGAACAAGGTATACTGGAGCATGAACTGGACGAGGTTCACCCAGCAAAGGCGTCGACACTGTTCACCATCATCGCGCCCACTGCGGCCGTTCCGACCTCGACGGGCACATACCAAGTGCAGACTGCTTTGAGAGGTGCACCCGATACTTCAAGACAGCTCTCCGTTTGCGCCGTCTGTCGCTGAAGGACAGACGTCGGACTTGTTGTGGGGAAGTAGAGGCTAACCTAGCCCTCGGGAGAGCAGCGCCCGGGGGTGCGCATACATGATCCCGACGTGCCCAGATGTACGCTCGCACCACGCCGCACAGAGAAAACCACGATGCGACTGAGCAGCCACTCCCACAGCCTCCCGCGTCGTGCATGCAAGTCACGCCACTAGGCTCAGCGGTCGCGATATTTGCCCGATGTGAATGTACGCACTAACATCTCGCCATCTAGACAGGAATCCCGCCCGCCAAACCGAGGTTTTATTTCCTTAGCATTCACACTATAGGTACATTTTACCCCGGAAAGCGGAGCACACCCTGCTTTGTGCCAATACCCCGGGCTCGTCCCCAGACTTGAATCGGTCCTTCCCCGCACGCCGATGCAGGTCGAATGTAGTGCGGCGCAGGCGATCATGTGTCACCTTCCGCAATAACGTCGGTATATTACCTTGACTCTGGCCGTGGGAACATGAGTGCGAGCTTCGGTTTCCCTTGCGCGTTCCTGCAGCTGAATCGTACAATTTGGTGGCAGAATGGCGGAAAAGAACGAATTGGATGCCGTTGAGCATCATCTCAGCAATGTCGACAGTGGGAAGCAACACGCGACGCGCGTTACGGAGACGAACGCTGCGTCGGTCGCTTTAGGTGCGTTCAGCGCCTACCTGGCAGACGACAAACATCGGAAGACAGACCGCTCTCTAACACGCTCCAGCCGCGGCCGTCGAAGCGCAAAAGCCCTCTTTCAGGTCCCGCTCCATCCTCCAGCTCTGCGCCATTCTCTCCGTGTCCTACCTCGTCTCCACACTCAATGGCTTCGACTCCTCCCTCATGGGCGCCATTAACGCTATGAAATCTTACCAGACCACTTTCGGCCTCACGGGCGAAGGCTCATCCACAGGCATTGTGTTCATCTCTTACAACCTGGGGCAAATCGCTGCATTTCCCTTCTGCGGCTTCCTCGCTGATGGCTACGGCCGCCGCTTCGCCATCTTCGTCGGCTGTGTCGTTGTGCTGATTGGTACCGCGATCCAGACGACTGCCAACGGCCAGGGCCAATTCATCGGCGGAAGATTCGTGCTAGGCTTGGGTGCAAGTATTGCGAGTGCGGTGGCGCCGGCGTATGCGGTGGAGTTGGCGCATCCGGCGTTCAGAGGGACGATGGCGGGTATGTATAATAACTTCTGGTGGGTGGGGAATATCCTTGCGGGATGGACGACGGTGAGTTTCTCCTTTTTTCTATCTTCTTCGTGTCTAGGAGACCGGGTTGCGGAAGAAGAGATTGAATTGACAAGCGCAGTACGGCACCAACCTACACATGCCCGAGTCCTCCTGGGCGTGGCGCCTCCCCACCATCGTGCAGTGTATCCTCCCGGGCATCGTCGCGTGCATGGTTATGTTCTTCCCGGAAACGCCCCGCTGGCTCATCAGCAAAGACCGCCGCGAAGAAGCCATCGCCATCATGGCCAAGTACCACGGCGACGGCGACGCGCAGTCCCCCGTTGTCCAGCTCCAGCTACACGAGATCACCGAGGACTTTGCGCGCTTCCGCAACGAGAACCCGTGGTGGGATCTGCGCGAGCTGTTCAACACACGGGCGGCGCGGTACCGGCTGATGCTAGTGATATGCATGAGTTTCTTCGGGCAGTGTGCGTCTCTCCCACCCTCCTTAGATAGATAAAATCTGGAAAAGATCGAGGAGTGACTGACGAGACGGCAACAGGGAGCGGCAACAACGTAGTATCCTACTTCATGCCCGCCATGATAAAAAACGCAGGCATAACCGACGTAAACAAACAGCTCATCATCAACGCCATCAACCCCATCTTCAGCATGCTGGCCGCCATGTACGGCGCTACGCTCCTCGACAAGCTAGGCCGCCGCACCATGTTGCTGTATGGCCTTCTCGGGGCCCTGATCTCTTACAGTAAGAACACCCGCTTCCCAATGCCCTATAATATACTACACAACATACAAACAGCGAGGCAAACGGAAATATCGAACCCCAAACGCACCTTCCGCTAACCACCTTTCCACCCAGTCTTCCTAACAGCCTTCACCGCCTCGGCCACCCCCACCAACAACCTCGCCTACGGCACCATCGTCTCCATCTACCTCTTCGGCATCTTCTTCGCCTGGGGCTGGACACCCCTTCAAACACTCTACGCCGTAGAATGCTTCGAGAACCGGACCCGCGCAAAAGGCTCAGGCATAAACTTCTTGTTCATCAACGTTGCGCTCGTGGTGAATACGTATGGGATTAGCGTGGGGATCGAGAAGATTAGGTGGAGGTTGTATGTGGTGTATATTGTGTGGATTTTGGTGGAGATGGGCGTGGTTTATCTGTGAGTTTTGCCCTGCCCTGCCCGTTTGACATGGTGCCTTTTGGGAGGGACGTGGTGGGGGAGGGAAAGAAGGGGATGGAAGGAAGGAGGCGTGATAGAGAGAGGCTAACGCGTATAGCTTCTTCGTCGAAACGGCGGGTAAGACGCTCGAGGAACTGAAGTATATTTTCGAAGCGAAGAATCCGCGGAAGGCGTCGACTGCGAAGGTTAAGGTTGCCATGGACGATGGCGGGCATGTGCTTGGGGTGGGCGAGGAGGTGGGTGTGTCGAAGGTGTGAGAAGGGGGCACGTGGTATGATGGCGTTCAAGAGAAGAGGGGTTGTGGATGGTGAGTTACGAATTATGGCGGTGCTAGCGTGGATCGACGCCCGATCTGAATAGGAATGTATATGCCGTTGAGCATCGGTTGCGCTTCGTACATGTACACGTCTAGCACGTGGTATTCTGTCGGTCTGCCTCGCTGCCTACTTTGGTCGAGAGCTGCGCTTGCGGTCTATTCGGTTCATGGCTGAACTATCGAGCCCTCACCTGAATCATGTTTCGTAACGCATCTACTCAGCCCTACACTGTGCTTTGTTCTCAAGTCGACGCACCGAACCCCTGTTTCACGCACGCGAAGCCACGGAACGGTGCTTTTGCTGACGGGCCCACATCCAGATGTCAGTCGTCCACCACGCGAAGAGTCATAGGAGATAGAGAGACAGTCTCTAATAGACGGTACCGCCTGAACATAAAACACAGAGCCGCACGCACATGACCTGCGTTTTGCCCCGCTTGCCACTTACGTTTCGTTGCGTTGAAATTGGCGGTGTTTGCTCCATGGTATCTGCTCAGCGCGGGCTCCAGCTCACCTCACCGCATCGGGTCCTTGCCCCATATATATGTCTCTCTATTAGGCGACTGCATTCAGATACACATCACCGCTGTGCTGTCCATGTCTATATCTATATCACCCCACGCCTATGGAGAGGATGGCCATCCCAACCGCAGGACGGATCGCATTCACCAGTCGTTCCAGCCCCCATTTCCTCTTCTCTTCTCTTCTCACCGTCTCTCATTATTCGCATCTCTAAACAACCCCTCCTTGAGTAACGGTTTGAGTTGGGAGAACAACGCCATGCCGCTATCCCGTCCCCGGCCCCGCGCTTCCTCCCTCCAACTGTCTCTCTCCCTCTCCCTCTCACGTCTGCGCACCACGCCATGGCCGCGCCCACCGACACCGACAGCTCGCCGGGCGACGTATCCCACGCCGGGAACCTCATCCCTTAATATGAACTACGGAGGGGAGGACGTCCCGCCCGTACCGCCGCTGTCGTACTGGGAGCCTGACACCCCGTCGCCGATGCCAGTGTCGCCATGGAATCCGTTTCTTTCTCCTCCTTCTCCTCCTCCTCCTCCTCTGAGTAAAGCGGTGTTAAAGGCAGTAGCTTCGCCCTTGTTACCAGGTTCTCCATTGTCATCATGGTCGTCCGCCGTCCCGAGCGCTTCTTCGTGTGCTGTGCCTGACCTATCGCCGCGGTTCTTGAACCCGCGTACGCCGCCGTTACCGCCCGCGAGGAAGTCAGAGACGACCGTGCCGCAGGGCGTGAGGAGGCAGTCGAATACCATAGGTATGCTTTCTAAGGGGCGTGGTGAAATGGGAGGCAAGTCATTGTATGAGATTGTGGCGAGGGGGAGGGAGAAGGTGTGTGAGGAGATGGAGATGGAGAGGGGGGGATAGGATGCGTGCAGAGATCTAGGTTACGAGAGAGCAGGACAGTATGCGTGCAGAGATGGAGATTACGAGAGAGCAGGATAATATGGGTGCAGAGATTAAGAAGGCGAGAGAGCAGGACAGTATGCGTGCAGAGATTAAGATGATGAGAGAGGGAGATGATATGGGTGGAGACAAGGGCTTAGTCCGTCCCTACAATACGGCGAAGAAGCGTAGAGAGCGGCGCAACATAGTCAAGACGAAGCAATTCCAGGTGCTCGAGCACATCGAGGTAAAGGGGTGAAGGGGTGAAGCACTTTGGGGACATGTACAGGGGCACTGTCTGACCGACCCGAAGCCGTGGAATCGATACCTGCGGCTGTCTTCGGATCTGGCAGCTGCAGTGTGGAATCATTTGTCTTACACCTTCCGTATCCGCCAGACGGGTTGCATCGGTTGAGCGCATCTTGGACACTTGGCGTTCTTACGTTGGCGTTCAGGTAGACGCAATTAGACTGTACGGGCATGGCAGTTACTCTTTTGAGATTCAGATGGTCATTACTGCGCGTTGGCGTTGGGTAGAGGCATAGACGATAGACTAGACGACTCTGGCAGTTACCGTACACACCAATTTTAGCTTTCTTCAATGCGCACTGCGTGTCAGACAGCTCGCGTGCCTGCTAAGATGCGGCGTGTACTCGACTGCTGCTTTGGGGAGGTGCGCCGTTTGGCTCCAAGGCGGGCTAAGACGGGCCATTCCCAAGGTTGCTGAGGTGCGCGTGGAAGAAGGCTAGAAAAAGAACAAGGGGCTAGAAAGGGTAGCGTTCCAAGGCGAGCTTGATCGACGGAGATGCTTGCAGGGTGTTTCTGGAAGACTGGGAGAGTTTCGGGTAGGAGTCGAATGCTGTGGGCGTGATTACGTGCGTAGTGATCAACGATGCGAGGCAGAACGACGCCGGATAGCTCGGCACAGGATGCGCGCCGCATGTCAGTCGAATGTCAGTCGACAGGCCACCGGTCGCTGGGACGTACGAACTATGTGTCGTTACTCGTGGTGGCTTTAATTCGCGCTCGTATTACGTGCGCAATGATGAATCGGTCGGTGGTGATTTGCAGTGGGCATGCAAGCGCCGTCTGTCAGTCTCGCAGTGGAGACGGGTGGGTCGGCGGGCCCACCACAACCTGGGGAAGGCGACAGACTCTGGGGACGTCGATCTGGAAGCGAAGCATGCCGCATCTCGATGTCAGCGGATCAAATCATGGCGGGCAGCTGGCGGGTTGTGGTTGAGGCGCGATGCACGACGGCTTCCGCGCGGCAAAATGCGAAAACTCTTCTGCGCCTCGTCGGCGACGCACAAAGCGTTTCTCTCCAAGAGGCCAGATCGCCAGTGCGGGGCCATCTCTTATCAGACGCCATCTCTACTGAAACTACTCATGGTCCGAGATTTGGCGCGATGGATGGAATTGCACGTCTGCGAGTGGAGGTGCCGCGTGCCGCTGTCCCAAAGCGGCAGGTGTTATCTGCGCACGTGAGCTGCTGGGCGCCCGGCCCAAGCACTTGGCCAACCACGCGGGGGGACATTCACTCCTCTGGCACGCAGCCAATCCCGCGCCCGCCCAGCGTGCAGCAGATATCGCACGCTCGTCTGCATCCTTACAGCTTGCTGCTTCGGGCAGCTCGCAAGTGGTCAGCAACACCAAGCTTCGCTCCGCCGCCCAGCCAAGCGCGAGGGGGGGTGGACTGCTGATAGGGGTGGAGCCTCAGCACCGCGCAAACGACACCAGTTTCGTCTCTTATCAGCCTCGAGCTGCCAATGCGACGACCCTGGTGGAGCCTGTCGCGCCATAGTCGCTCTACCGCAGCCTACCCCGGAGCCACGAGCGTTAGCACACCAACTCTGCCAATGCCATCCCAACTAGACCAAGAGCCGCCATGCCGCTAACAAAGACGGTGGTCATATAAACTGGCCTTGGATCGAATCTCCCTAGCCAGCATTCGCCATCGCTTCCGCCCTGCTGCCCAATCACCGCCGGACCAGGTATCTGTATGGCGCACGGCCCCGGCTTTGGGTGGTTAAGCTGCTCCAAGTGAACGGGCGCAGGCCTCGTCCATGTGCGATGGCAATAATCGGGAAGCGCGAGGGGATCACGACCCTTGTCGCTCGCCCCGGAGCACTCAACACCCCATCGGATCGTAGCTTGCTTTAAAAGTAGCCCCTCCCTCCGAGCTTGGTTCCTGCATTTCGCCTGTAATCTTGCTTTCATTCATCATGGCGACACACGCCGACAAAGGCTTCGACGCCGACGAGAAGCATGTCACCAGCAGCAGCCCCGTCGACACTGCTGCTCCCGCTTACGAGCAGGCTCCGGGAGAGCACTGGCGGCAGGAGGAGAGCTTCGCGACGCGCAATGGCCTCAACTTGCGTTCGTTCGGGCGCCGCCCTGTCGACCAGGTCGAGCTCGACAAGTCGATGAAGCCTCGCCATCTGCACATGATTGCCATCGGTGGCAGTATCGGTGCTGGTTTCTTCGTCGGTTCTGGTGGCGCCCTCAGCGGTGGTGTAAGTTATTCAACCTCGACAAGCGCTTTGTTGTATTGACGCGTCCAGGGCCCCGCCTCAGTCACCATTGATTTCATCCTCATGGGTGTTATGATCTTCAACGTCGGTAGGTGGCGCCGCCCCATGCTTGGCTCCTGTCAGTGGCTCATTTCACTCTAGTCTACGCTCTCGGTGAACTCGCTGTCATGTATCCCGTCTCTGGTGGTTTCTATACCTACTCCGCTCGCTTCATTGACCCCTCGTGGGGTTTTGCTATGGGCTGGAACTACGTCTTCCAATGGGCAATCGTTTTACCTCTCGAAATCACTGTCGCTGGTTTGACCATCGGTTACTGGAATAGCGATGTTCCGCTGGCTGTCTGGATCACGGTCTTCTGGATATTCATTGTCCTGATCAATGTGTGGGGTACCTTGGGATACGCTGAAGAAGAGTTCTGGTCTTCATTGATCAAGCTCTCTGCCACCGTCATCTTCATGTTCATTGCCTTCATTCTCGTACTCGGCGGCGGTCCCAAGAGTGGATTGTACAGCGATTACTGGGGCGCACGCACTTGGTACGACCCTGGCGCTTTTCAGGGCGGCTTCAAGGGCTTCTGCGGTGTCTTCGTCACCGCTGCCTTCTCTTTCTCTGGAACTGAGCTTGTCGGTCTCGCAGCTGCTGAGACAAAGAACCCGCTCAAATCGCTCCCTGGTGCCATTAAACAAGTGTTCTGGCGAATCACACTGTAAGCATTACGCCACCCGTCTCCTGAACGAGTATCCAGTCACGCGTAGCAGCCACTGACGTCTGTGAATAGCTTCTACGTCCTCGGTCTCTTCTTCGTCGGCCTGCTTGTCCGCTCCGACGACCCGCGCCTGCTCGGCTCCGGCTCCGGCGACACCAAGTCCTCGCCTTTCGTTATCGCCGGCAAAGACGCAGGCCTCAAGGGCTTCGACCACTTCATGAACGTAGTCATCCTCGTCTCCGTCATCTCCATCGGTGTCTCAGGTGTCTACGGCGGCTCGCGTACCCTCACCGCCCTCGGCGAGCAAGGCTACGCCCCCAAGATCTTCACCTACATCGACCGCTCGGGCCGTCCCCTCTTCTCCGTCGCCGCCATTCTCGTCTGCGGCGCCCTCGGCTACATGAACTTGGTCGCCTCCGGTGAAACCGTCTTCAACTGGTTCCTCCAGCTCTCCGGTCTCGCCGCCCTCTTCACCTGGGGCTCCATCTGCTTCGCGCACATCCGCTTCCGCAAGGCCTGGGCCTACCACGGGCACACCCTCGACGAGATCCCCTTCAGAGCCCTCGGCGGAACGGCCGGCTCGTGGCTCGGCATCTTCCTCATTGTGATTGTCCTCGTCGCTCAGGTACGTTTTCCCCTCCCCATCCATGCCTTATATATCTAACTCTCCCCCAGTTCTACGTCTCCGTCTCACCCCCCGGCACCAAAGTCGGCACCGCCTACGACTTCTTCTACGGCTACCTCGCCTTCTTCGTGTGCGGCTTCTTCTGGGTCTGCGGGTACTTCTGGAAGCGCGAGGGGTGGCTTAAGATCGAGCAGATCAATGTTGATATTGGACGAAGGGAGCTTGACTGGGATTACATCAATTCGGAGAGGGCTCGCATTGCGGCGATGCCTACCTGGAGGCGCTGGCTCAACAAGGTCTTTTAAACGACTCCCAAAGGCTAGTGTGTTTAGGACTGGGTGTCATCGGTGAGCTTGGGGGTGTAGATACCAGGGTGAACGAGGTGTATGATTTGTAATGTAAAATTGAGAAGTAAATCCATGTTGTGGATGCCGGGTTGGCGGTGTATACCTGAGATTTACGTGTTTTGGGACGCAATATGTCGAAGTGGTATGCTGGGGTTCCTTCCGACGCCTTTGAGGGCAGGGGCGGAGGACGAGATCTTACGCACCGTAAGCCGGTTTGGCCTGGAGCCGTCACCCACTAGAATCTCCAAACTCCATGTCTCCCACTCAACTGTTCCCATCCTCGCAACACGCATCATGCAAGCCTCTACCTTTCGCACACCATGCGACATCGACATATCTCTATCCTCGTCTCAGCACACAGCTGCTTCTGACCTTCCTGGCTGTCCATCAATCCGATGACATTATCACGGAAAGAGCAATGCATGTATCTCACCTGAAGCGTCTGTACATAGAGTTCATTCGTTCCAAGGCATTTATTTACGACCGCCATCCGACCGACGTCCGCTTAACCTCTGGCCCCCGCTCGCCTTGTCCCACCACCCCTCTCACAAAGAAACACAACCATGCCGTTCACAGCGCTCGCGTCTCGTCTCGTTGCGCCGCACAAACGCGGACAAAGAGATAGAGACGTAGTATAAAGAACGTGTATTGCAACGCATCGCACGGTTCTTCACTTCGTAGCAGGAGAAGAACTTAGTCTACACGCTTCCTCTCGCGGAAAGAGAGGTATTTGATTTGATTTGATTTTTATTCGAAGATATAAGATGAGCATGCGCCCTCGCCTCCACTCCTTCGCCTCCGACCCGGACGCCGACTCGGTGGTATCTCTCGACGGCCACAGCACGGGTGACGAACTGGGTCCATCTCTTCACGCTGGCGGACGACCCCTCCCCGCCGTCAGGCACGTCAGGCCCGTCAGGCCCATCCAGCGCCTCCCCCTCGACCGCCACAATCCCAACTCCCGTCCTGACCTCGTCTCCAACATCACCGCTACCTTCAACGCGAGGCTCGCACAGGCAAAACGCGACTATGCAGATCGCAAAGATGCCCTCGAGCGCAAGTATGGCCGGCATATACCGGCGGAGATATTTGAGCGGGCGTACAGTGACCATGTGGCGAGGAAGTACGATATTAAGAAGACGTTTGGGAAGGTGATGCTGAGTTACGGCTATGGGGAGGAGGAGGAGGAGGAGGAGGAGGAGGAGGAGGAGGAGGATGAGGGGAGGAAGATGACGAGGGGGAAGATGACGACGAGGAGTACACATACGGTGGAACGCACGGGAAGTATACGCAATGGCTTCCGAACGACCACGACGTTCCCTCCGACACGGGAGAGGCGTGGGAAATGGCCCGCAGAAAGGAGATGTGGGCTACTTCTCTTCGCTTAGATGCGCAAAGTCAGAAGATTGCAAAGGCGAGGGAGAGGCGCGGATGTGGAGGGGAGGTATAGGTGGGCGGTGGTGATGGGGGAATTCTGGTTGTGCTGTTGTTGAGGGCGTGGGTGGTAGAGGGGCGATTGAGGGGTGATATGCGGGCGGCGGAGGAGTGGTTTAGGGGGGATGGGAGGCTCGGATGGGGTTTAAGAGTGAGCGAGAAGGAGGGCGGATACGTGGATGGTGGTGCGAAGGGGAAGGGAGTGTCGTGGCGGCGCGGCGGTGAGCTAGGGAGGGGAGCTATGTAAGAGTCGAACATATATCTGTTCAGGATGTAGTCTGCGTTCATTTTCTTGTATTCCAGTTCCCCGCTCTGCTCGCAGATGTGAATAATTTTCCTGTGCACGCAAAATTGAACACGATACACACCTGCAGTACTTGCCTCACGTGCTCCACCTTTCCTCAAGTACTCACTATCATCGCGCACACCGTATCTACACATCTCAGAAACAATCCTCTCAGAGCGCAAGGTCCAAACAAAGTGCTGACGCTTCCTCCCCGAACTCCGAAGCCTTCATACCAACACAGCGTAGCGTAGCGTACTAGTCACGCACCCGACACCGGACCCAACGCACAGTAAGAGCCGCATTGCATAGGCCTTCCCCTTCCTTCGGAGTCGGACCCTTCCCTCACACGACCAATTTCCTCTTATCTATCTCTGGACTCCGCCCCGCCACGCCACGCCACGCACGCCACGCTCCACCCCCTTGCCGCGTCGCGCCCAGCGTGCAAAAATTTACAAGACAGATAAGGACCCTGAACATCATCACCGAAGATTGGCCGATTACGCATTGCGATTGTAAACGAACCGATGCCGGATTGGATTAGATCAGGCTACCAAGTAGACTAGGATTTTTCCACGGCTGTTCCACGGTGCTTCTACGGACATTCTAGAATCACACTAACACTACTGTTACGCCGTCTGCACATCCACATCCACCTCTACATACGGCACGACCCTCACCTCACCCAGCAGCCCATACCGCCCCTCCGGCGGCGCCACGAACCCGTGGTCAGGCCCCGCATCCGGACTACCAGGCCCTTCGCCGCTGGACTGTAATTGGAACCAGATAGGTCGAAGCACATTACCCAGAGGCGTCGCGACTACGGCGTCGACAGTGTTGATACCATCGATCAAGTATTCCTTGATATCGGCCTGCGCATGCGTGACGTCCAGCGGCGGAAGCTGGGCGCCGTTAACGTACGCTCTTAGCGTGTGGTGCACGAAGCCGAAGTCGATGAAGGCACCATCGGTGGTGGTGTTAGATGCAGGCGGCCAGGTGAATGTCGTGCTGTAGTATCCTCGTCCTGACACGTTTTGTAGACCTGTGATGTCGAGCCAGGGGACGAGGCTGGGGAGCTGGTGCGTGGAGTTGTGCTTTGCGGCGCCGGAGGTGTAGTTGTAGAGGTCGGTGGGCGGGTCCCAGTGTTCTACGGTGAGGTTCCAATTCGAGAGGGCGAAGGCTGGGGAAGCTGGAGTAGCGGTTTTGAGGAGGGGTTTGCCGTTGAGGACGGCGGTGCCGAGGATGTCACCTGTGGAGTATTTTGCGCGCAAGGGTTTCGATGAGTTTCCGGAAGGCGGTTCGAAAGCCACGATGGTAGACTGGTTCCCGGCGAGTCGGAAGGGAATGATCGTGGAGGAATTGGTTGTGGTGTAAGCAAGGATGGGCTTCTTCTCGCCGGTCCATGCATTATATTCGTATGGGATCTTGGTTGATAGGAATTCGATCGAACCTTCAGAAGCACCTTGACCTTGAGGGAGATACATCGCATCGTTGTAGACGAACACGTAGTCGATCTCAGTGGTTGGATCCGACCGCCAGTAAGTGAACCACGATGCATTAGTTGATACCTTTGTTAGCGGCTGAATTCCCAGGGAAGTGATTGTCGAGGCAACGAGGTATGAATCAGTGACATGCACGTTCGGTAGTCGCGAGATTGAGTCTATATCTCGCAGTACCTGGCGCTCAATCGTAGGTGCTACGGTACCGACTAACAAGGACGGCTTGCCTCCAGCAAACACGATAGGCAGACCAGCATTGGCAAATTCAACGAGTTTGGAGACTCCGTCCAGGGTGAGAGAGTCATTCCGTCGCAGGACAAGCACCTTGAAAGCCTGCGCATCTGGAGCCAACACACCATCGACCACCTTAGCAGCGGGAAGATTGAGATTGTCAGGGCTTAGGTACTCGTAGGAGTAACCTGCCTCTTCAAGATCCGCCGGTTGATATGTCCGCGCTTCAATGTGTCCAGGGTAGACAGTCATCTTCTGCCAGATAGCAATGTCCATACGCGGAATGCCAGTCTGAAACACCCAGTTGTTGCGGGCGATAAAGTCGAATTGATCTCGATAGAACTCCCAAGCGGGCTCATGAGGACCGTGCATTTGAGAATATTGGTATGTAAAGGTTGACCATCCGGGCCACGTTGTGTTACCGTATGGACCAGAGTATGGGAGGCCATGAAAGACAAACTGGTTTACAGATCCGGCATATGACCGCTTCACCTTCCAGAGAATCTCCGGTAAAGTCTCGGCATAAGCCTCGCCGCGCACAGCACCACACTCAGACGAGATAACGCGTCGCCTAGCGAGATTTGCTGGGCCCGAGTACTGACGGTAGCCGTCGATCAAGTCACTGAAGTCGAGCGACTCTGTCTCTGGTGCATCGACCGTGGGGATATTCGCCAGCATGTCCATTGGGAGGTTGTACGAAAGCTGCGCTGAGAACTGCAGACCTAGATATTCGTTCAACCATTTCTTCACTGCCGACTCGTATTCCTGATACTGCGACGCAAGCGTAGCTCTGTAGTCCGCAATGTGTGCGTTACCAGTGTCCGGCTCATCGGTGACGTACCAAACGCCTGGGTTCGACTGCTTGTACTTCCCGTTACGATGGAACAGGATAGGCAACCACTTGTTGATGGAGTATTTGTGCTGGTCTTCGAAGATGCTTGACAAATTCTGTGTCCAGTAGACGTTCGCCTGAATTTCGACACTGTCCTCCCATCCGTAGTTGCCGACCTGCTGCAGCAAGTCTTTGGTCCCGTTATTGAGGATGTGGTCTTCCCAGAATTTGGTCATCACTTGTGCACCAAGTGATGAGAAGTGGTCGACAGCCCACGATCCGTTGTTGATGTAGGATTCAGGTTGGCTTTGGGGACCGCCCATTTCCAGAGGACCTTGCTGCGCACGATACAGCGACTTGTAAAGGTAGACTGCGAATATGATATGGCTCTCGCCTCCGGCAATCGTAGTATTTGATGACGAAAAGTCGAGCCGAAGATGGCCTGACTCGTCCACCTGTTCGGTTACATCCGCAAGACTCGCAGCTGAGAGTGTGACTTGCGTTCGATTGAGGCGCTGGTCTCCTGGAAGACCGCCTGAAGGGTCGTTCGAAGTCACGTTTTCCGAGCCCAGAATGGTGCCCGAAACCGCAGCCTGCAGCTTCCCTAAACCCCAGCCTGGCAGCACGCCGTCGAATATGCCATCGATCGGGACTGTAACATTGTATGCCGAAATATCCCACATCAAACCATCTTCCTCGGCCGGTGCCGGTACGCCGGTTCCCTGGTTAGGACCCATGGCGAAGTCCATGATCAAGTCGTTCTGGCGATGAGCGTCTACGAATGCTCTGAACACCTCGTCTGCTCGATAATTAGCATATCTGCCATCGAAATGGATAATGCAACTTACGCCATGCTGGTGTTCCAAACCCGTATTGTGCCCAGTCTACCGGCGCATAGGTGCCTCTTCCTGCGCCATTGGTAGGAGGGCCACCATAGAGGTAGTACCCTAGCAACTCGAGGCCACCGCAGCCGACCTCTGCAGCACTCTGCACATCCCGCGCGACTACTTCAGTATCCACAGAAGCATCTGGTATCCAGTATCGAAACTTCGGGCGCACGTTCTTCGATGGGTTCTGAAAGGTGCCTTTATCGACCACTGCGTCGAAAGAAGGATCGGTACGGTTCTCAGGGAGCGCAATGGCTGCACCAGCGGTGAGGAGGCCAACTACAAAGCCTAAGAACACCTGTAACCTCCATTAGCGGTCTGTCATTCGGAGGTACTGCCATCCGCCTACCATGATGTGAACATTAGCCGGCAGCTCAACCTCCCCCTGCGCGTTCGCGCCGGCTTAAGTACCCTCTGCGATTCATCCTACACGCGCTTACCCCCAGGAACAAGGCAAGTTCAAAAGGGCTTCGGTTGATCGATGTACCGGTACCTTGCCAAGAAGAGATTGGGTTGTCGTTGGGGTGCATGGAAGGATGACGATGGCTCGCTTTTCGGCAGCGGGGAAGGGCGATCGCCAGAAGCTTGGGCCGCTTAAGCTCTGGGGCGGACAATTGAGCTCCCACTCCTCAGCGCCCGTCACGATAAGTCCAAAATCATACAGAAAGAGCTATGGTACATGCTACATTCCGGGGGCGAAAGGCTGTACTTCTCCGCCGCCTGCGCTCGATCGTATGCCATTCAAATCTCATCGGCACGAAGGACGCTAACCAAGTCAAATCAAAGCTAATCCGAGTGACTGACAGTACGTGATAAAGTGAAGAAAAAGAACGAAGTACGCTTACGGAAAAATCGACGAGATATTCACATGCGGCCAATCCTCCCCTAGATGTACAGGTATCAGCTTCACCATGCCCTCATCCAACGCAGCAGTCTCATCGCTCGCCTCCAAGTCTCGAAAGCATCTGTCAACATGAAGTTATGTTTGCTAAGCAAGCCATAAAGCGCGGATGGCAGCTCGATTCCTCCAATCTTGAGGTATCGTTTGTCAGCCGCGAAATGCGCGACGACTCGCCTTCTACGATAACTGTCCTTGTGGTGCGTATTCCATGGCTTCATGCTCTGATACGTCCCACGCTATGTGGGAAAGAGATATATCTTCGCCATTATATCCGAGCCTTTGATACCCCTATCGTATGTTCTACCGCGTGTTTTATTGCACAGTGAAAAACCACTGCTTGCTCGATTAACAAGCCTTGTGCGAAGGTCAGATAGCGACGTGCATAGTTGCCTGCAATAACATCACCCCAAGAGTATTGAATATTGAGTATCACAGCTGCACGTATCAAGCCGGTGAATCTAGAGCAAGATAAGACTTGGCCTGCCTCAGCCTTGCGGCAGGCTGCAGGGGGCTTGTCCTGCTCAGCCACACTTGCCAGCCTCGATGTATCGTCTGCCTGGAGTCTTGAAGTTGATCCTCCGCTCAACATCACGATATTTTTCTTCCGAATTACCTGCACTACGATATCCAGACTTCTCTCGCGACGTACTTTCGTCGGAGCGATTTGCTTCCATAAGCTCATGCAAGAATGGCAGTCGCTGATCTTACTATCGCCATCACAGCAGCCGCCTTAGCAGCTGCTGCACTCATCTTCGCAGTTGTTCAGACAGTATCCGCACTTTCCCAATTTCTAGCATCAAGCAATCGATGCGGGCGGCGAATAACGGGCGCATTCGACCTTCGTGCTGGCATGTGGTTCTCCCCAAACACTATGACAGTAAACCCTCGGTACCGGATGCCGGTGTTGACGATGTCCGCTCTTCGCACTCGTGTTCCAATAATGGAAGTGACGCGCAACTATCCGACCGACTTTCGACCTGGTCGAAACTTCAACGCGCATTTGAACTGCTATGTCGATGGACGAAGATCGCGCATCAGCAGCAGCCCTGGTGACCCAAAGAAGCAGCTGACCTTGGACAAGACTCTTACCTTTATCCACTATATGGCAGCCATCCTCTGGACACCAATTGGCGTTGTTGCCACGCTGTTTGTCTGGGCACTCTGTTGTCCTTGCTGTACATGCATGGCTCTCTCCGTCGGCCCTAAAGAACTGTGCAACGAGGATGTTTATGAGGAGAAGGACGACACAGCGTGTTGTGGAACCGACTGCTGTACGAGGAAGGAACTCATACTGTGTAGTCTGAAGCCCCTCTATGAGCCCTTCGCAGGCGCAACTCATTACAAAAACCCACAGAACGCCATCAACCATCAAAACACCAGAGTCGACGCAAGCATCGCCGAGTCGCAAACACCTGGGCTCGAAGCAGGCTGCTGGGTACAATTCCTCATCTCCCATCAACGCATTTGGTGGGGATCTGCAGACCTGCGTTGGGAATGGAGGCTGGCCTCACTTATTCCCGCAGACGTCTACGGGGCTAGCATGGAAACAACAGTAGCAGATCTCGAGCTTCTCGCAGTATTATCGGGCATGTCAGTCAATCCAGGTGTCGGCATACTAGCTGCGACCCTCTGCGGAGAGCAAATCACCTTCAGCCAACATGGAAGCCTGGGACGTATGGCGTACTACAGATCTACCCGAGAAAATACCAAGTCAGTGATTACGCTCGAAGTACCCAAGTCCTCGTCCGATTGGCTGTATCATTGCATTGAGGCTTGCCGGAATGGAAAAACAGACCCTTTCTCACACGACGAAAGATACTCGAAAGTGAAGATTGATGGCAACCCAGCCCCTGCCAATCTTCCGGCTGTCATTGCACAGTTAGCGCGTCAGAGGACTGAGTTCGACGCGCAACTACCCTATTCCTGCGGCAGCGCCATGTGGATTTTCGCATGCAAAACTTTTCACGATGCACTTCAAAACATACATGCCATCGCACCAGGCTCATGGAATCATTTTCCAGTAACAGTCATATGGGGACCTTTGGGAAAAGGAATCAACTCATGCTCCTGCAATCGATGTTGCGACGAATGGACTGACAACTTGATCAGGCGGCGGCTGCTGCAGCAGCAGCAGCGGATGTGCCCCGACCGCCATCGCGGGAAGAGTCATTCCCCCCGATATTGTCGTCACTGTATCCGGCTAAAGACATTGCCTCGCATAGATCTGATATTAATCGACAATCTCAACATGCAATGGCCCGCACTGAAATTTAACACCTATAGCTCTCCAGACAACGGACAGACGGACCAAGTTTGGATAGTCGGCAGCGAAGAAATATGGAAGAACTCCAAGGCGACCGACCTAACATCAGTAGGGGGTGCAATTGTCGACATCGACATAGCTGTACTTTGCAATAGTAACTGCGCCCCGCAAAGTTGCCAGTGCGGGCCGATTGCCAAACTGACAAATTTCTCCGTCGATGAACACGACGAGAACAAGGTCCTGGGTGTTGTGAGCATCAACACCTGTTGGTTGGGCCATCTCAGTAGCGAAGTCCTAACCCAAGCTGCGGAGTCATTGCTGATGCAAGATAATCCGGCTAGCTCGGACATTGTCGAGGCTGTAGCAACCGTCATGGCATACACGGAATATCTCCTCCTCAAAGTTAGGAGGAAAATCGGTGCTACTAATATCTGGAATGCGGCCCCTAGCCCTGCCTTGACGGACTTTTCTCCGCTGATGTTCGGTTCGTAAACGCCCCTACGGAGTACTATATGCCTACATTTCCTCCTCTTACATATAGTCGGTATACATCGGTATCAAGATGATCCGACGCATATGGCACACTAGAATTTGTTGAGCACAAATACGCTTGTTCGTTTTTACCCGAAGGCGAACAACCACAAAATCTTCCAAGGAGCAATCTCCAATGACTCTTCCTCATACGTCATCCGCAACAGCGATGATGCTGAGCAAGGCAGTCTCTACTTGCTTCTTTTTCAATACAGTAATTCACAGGAGTCGTACCATGTTAGCACACATAAAACCTCACTGTGAGCGAACGAATTAGCGCCACCGAAGAAGACAACCTTCATACAAAATCTTCTTCTCCTTGATTGTTAGAGACCTCGCATACAAGAGAGCGAATACCCATTATGCAGGCTTATCAAAAAAATTAAACCTTGATTAGTCAAACATCAACGAAGTCGCCCGGCATGAGCATGAAGGGTGTTTGTTGCAATGATAATTGCTCTCAAATTTCTATATTACACAGGGCCATTGCGTATATGGTCCCTGTGTATTCGAAAAGTAACGATCGGAGCGCTCTCGTCGGACCAAGTGACCCCCGAGATACGAAGAAGACCATGCTATTTCGCCCTCGCCGAGACAGCATGTAGAAAACCACTTTCACTTCACGCGAGACCTCACAGCTTTACCGTATGCATTCGCGATTCCCAGTCCCATTTAAGATTCGATCTTGTAGGGCTCGTACACCTGCGGGATATCTGCGGCTTGCGTTCCGTTGACGGCGTAGTCCATCCTGGATGGAGCGGTTAGTGGTCTGTCTGGAATAGGAGGGAAAGCTTATAAGAAGAGTCACTTACAAGACATCCAGCATCGGCTCATCCATTTCCGCAATCGCAAAGGTAGTCGCCTCATCCTCCAACACCAAAATATCCGGCTTCACGCTGGACGCGCACCCAGTGCTCTCGCAGGCCTCGGCAGCCGCATTCCTCTTCTTGCTGGCAAAGTTCCACCCGCCGCCGGTCAGGCGAGCAATGCCGTCGTTCTCGCTGATGCACATGTTTGTGGCGCCGCCGGAACCTTGGATGCCGCGCAGGGTGTTGCACCCGCCGTTCTGGTAGGACCTGAGCTCGATACGCCAGCTGGACGGGATGGCGACGGCGCCAACGGCGATGAAGGCGGAGTTGCCGTTGGAGCAGCACGTGTTGGGGTTGATGCCGAGGCAGGCGACGTATGTGCCTGAGCAGCCGCCGCCCGAACGCAGGCGGATGTCGATGGCGGAGACGGCCGCAACGAGGGCGGAGGCGATGGCGAAGAATCTCATAGTGAGTAGATTAGGACTTGCTTGTGGAAGACTGTAAGATGATGCAGAAGTCTGGTGCGGTGAAGAAGTTACTCAAGGGATTTCTCTGGCTTCTTATACATGCTGGATGTGTCTTCCTGTGGAATCGTGACTTCGGGGCGTATTCCAAACTATCGACTCGTATATGCGGTTACTCAAAGAGGATGCTGCTCGGTTCAAAGCAGATCTTGAGTTTGAACAATGGCCCTGAAGGCCACGATCATTCGCCCTGTCAAAAGAATAGTGTCCATCCTAAGACTTTAGTGTACCTGCCCAGGGATCTCTCGCGCGTGAGAATCATAGATCCCAAGTAGGGCTGAGCATTGGTCGAGTGTTCAACATGGCGGGATATTGTTGGAAACCCAAATCAAGCCAATTGCTGAGATCGATGGAGTGGTCTTCGCGAACATAGTTCTGTTAAGCTGCCAGAGACGTGTTTCATCGTTACAAAGGAATGCACTCGTTAGGAAAGAGGCTGCGCATACTCTACGTGTTTAACGAATTGCTCCGTGTTCCAAGACCCAAAGGCCCACTGCAGGTACCGTACTGAGCTCAACTTGCGTTCGGCTAGAGGCTTCTGGGACGTCACCGGCCCACGGTCGGTAGGCAACAGAAAACCAATGATGTAAGATAACGCCCGCCAAGTGTGGACTACGTCTTACTACCGTCTACTTCATTCAACCAAGAGAAGTCGGTGGTATGGAGAGCACACGAAATGAAGCATAGTATCGTGCGAGAGACTCTGTCTTTCAACGGGGCCAACGCAGGTAAGAATTCATATTCATCTCAACTAGTGGTCTGACACTGCCAGGGTCAGCGATTATATGAGCCTGGCACTGGGACTAAACACGGTAGCGAAGCTTATGTCCATAGTGTTTCGACCCCGAGTAGTGGAGCCCAGTTACCGAATCTAGTGGATGCCTAAGTAAGTTTATCGAGAGAGCATTGGCCTAAGCCTCCATAGTAAGCGCTGTTTCGGAAAGTACAAAGGGCAAAACAAGGTAGTATAAGGCTAAGTACTTAGGTAAGCTGAAGAATGGCAAAGTGTAAACTCGATGCGTGCATGGAAAGTTACCGGCAGGCTCGGCATACAATCTTCGCCTACCTGTGTACCTGCCAAGGAATACCTGCATTGGAACCGCCCAATTTAAGTTCGCTCTCTGCAGCATCAAGGACTAAAGGTGGCGGTACGCGGGAAAATGGCCGAGGCAGTGCCTTCCGAGCTTGGCGAGAGGCGATATCTCTCTCCCAACCGAACGCGTCTTGTGCGTAAAGGTAGACTGTTGTAGGCCAAGATGATCTAGTCTAAGGTCCAGTACGTCCAAGAACTTGTACACTAGTTCTTTACGCCCCGTTCCTGCCTTGGCTTACGGAGACTACAGCATGACAGTGGGTTACTTAGATTGAAGTCTAGCCGATCAAAGACTAGCGCTGCGGGCGTCTTACCTACATTGTCGAGAAGTGGAGGCCAGAACTCAGGTTCCTTCCGAGATTCCTACTGACAGTCACGCGCTTGGCATACCCTGTTGTACATGGGTACACTCGCTTGAGCAAGTCGAGATTATTCGACATGACAACAAGCGTGTATCTCTTTCACGAGGCTGTCCGAGAAAAATTCGCAGCCAGAGAGTAATCTCGAGGCAACGATGATGTTCAATCAGGGTGTGGCTGCCGTTCCACCCGACGTAGGATCCACGGCGGCACCGGAATCTAGCCTGGTCGCTAAGTCTTCGTGGCTTTTCATCACTCGGCCCCCTCGCCCCAGAGCGAGCGGCAGCTCCCGGAAGCAATACGAGCTTATAGTGCGTACCCCGCTCGACGAGTTTTCTGCTGGGCAAACATCTCACATAAGCAAGATCTACCGGTTCAGCCTGTTCAAAGTAGGAACGAGCATATGGGTGAACAGGTTGACGTCTTTCGGCACTTTCATCACGTCCTGTTAGGTAACGTTCGTGGGAATAGCTTTGATGTGACTCGTTGGTGTTCTGATGAGTGGTCATGTAGGATGGAACCTTGTTACGTGATGTAGCTGCTTGATAGCACTGAGCGTAGTGAAAAATAAGTTGAGTGTAAGAGCGATTGAGGAACCAGGACGTCAGGGCTGCCTATATAGGCTAGCGCGCTCCTGCCGCACGCACAGATGCCCCTGCCTTCAACACAGCCGAGCGAGGTAAGACCGGCCAGGACACTAGAACGGTGGCGCTGAGGGAATATCGTGAAAGGCATACAATAAGTCCTAGACCTTGTAGGATGATGGAAGTGAGGTGGGCAATGCAGAGGTTAAATGCGCAGCTCTTAGTACTCCCAAGCAGCTATATCGCGTACCATATCTCCCAGGCATCACCACTCAACAGAACATTACCTAATAACTCACATAAAAGCTATTCCCACGGACGTCCACGGGTTGCCTAACAGCACGTGATAAAAACTCCCTGAAAGAGGACATCCTATCACAGGTTCAATTATTTTGCACAGCATCAAACATAACAGGACTGAACCCAACAAACGCCTTGCTCAATGCGCAAACAGACTACCGTCGTTCCAGCCAAAAGTATTCCCAATTCACCACCTTGCAGTCCCAAGCTTCGTATGGATTGAAACCAGGGCTTTTCTAACACGTATCGGTCGAAATCATTTAACAACTGGGGCGCGGGACAGTGGCGATTTGGGATTGCTTGTAGCTACAACCACAGGTTGACGCTTCCCGTCTACTATCCAGAAGTCTCCGCCATGCTACCCTAGCTATACCTCTCTCCCCTCACATCGCCAATGCATTCTGCACCGCTACATACATAGGTCCTACAAAGCCGTTTCCCAAAACCCTGTGACAGGACGGATTGGCCTTAGTACGTATGTACGTACCGCCTGCCTCCTCCACGAGTGTAAATCCCCACCTACGTCCATCCCTCTCGCAGTACCTTAGGGGGAGGCCATCGCTTATAAGTATAGAACCTGAAGAGATGTTGTAACTGTATTATTACTACTCTACATAGCACCACTAGCTAGCTAGCTACATCGGGGTATAACCTCCCTCCCTCACACCCAGTCTAAAATACATAGTCATAAACATTAAACAGCCTGCATGTCCACAGCTCACCTATACGGCGCACTCCCCGGCGGTCCAGGCGCCATCCCCTGCTCTACCCCTGCCCCACCTGCCCCTCATGCGCCCCCTCCGGACCCAGCAAATTCCCCATATCCCCCAATTCCAATCCTGTATATTATTCACCGTGAAATCCATAAACTGCATCTGCGTGCTGCGATCGAATTTCGTATTCGCGTACGGCGCACCTGTGTAATCGGCGGGAGAGAAGTACCGTCCACTCATCGTGTCTGCGAAGACGTAGGCGCCGTTGTTGGTGTTAGGATGCGAGTAGGCGAAGGGCGGGACTTGTGGCTGGGGCTGGGAGGGGAGAGCTTGTGTTTGTGTTTGAACCGTAGGCACGGGGTCAGACACGCTGGAGCGCACTTCCTTGGTTAGCTGGGGGGATGCTGGGGCGATCATAAATTCCGCCATGGAGTGTAGCTCTGGGACGAGGGAGCCGAATTTCGCGATGGTGCCGGGGACATTTGTGTTTTGGAGGTGTTTGCGGATGAGTTGGGCGAGCTGGGGGAGCAAGAGGCGGGATTTGGAGGTTTCGAGGGCTTCGAGTTTGTGGTGGCAGACTAGGTCTAGGACGAGGACGGAGCTGGATGCTAGAGAGTACCAGACGTCCCACCAGATGATGGCGTTGAAGCGGCCGATTGCGTCGAGCTCCAGTAGTATGTTGGCTAGAGCGCGGCCAGAGTCGGCGCACGCATCTGACATGCTTATGAGGGCGAGGTTGGTAGAATCTCTATCTTCCTTGGAGAGGCTCGTTGCTCGCGCAAGTAATGCAGCTCTACATAACACTGTGGTGGTGTAGTGGTACAGAGCATGCAGCAGGAGCAGAGGCCGGCGAAAAGCAGGCGCCGTAGTCTCGACAGCTTCCATACGCAAATGCTGTGGCAATTCGGTCCTCCAACGATCAAGATCCCTGAGCACTCCTGCAGCAGGAGATAGGGGACCCGCATACGACTCGTCGGTGGAGCTTGACTTGGCGTGTTTGGGCGCGCGACACGCCGAACTCAGATGCACAATCAAGCGATCAAACCACCGTGAGTACTCGGGTGGAGAGTATGCGGCTGCGCCCAAGATGTGCTCATTTGGACAACTGTTCTTGGATACATGGTGTTCAATGGCGCTAGGGCGGTCGTAGGAGGAGACTTGCATCTGTTCGAAGGCATACAAGGTCCACCACAATCGCTTCCGCAGCTCTCTCGCAAGCGGGGCCTGAGATGTGCTAGCCTTGTCCTGGTGAAGGCCAATTGCGAATGCTATGCGAATCGCGGTTCCGGTGAGGTTCCAGCATGCGTCGCGGTGGTTCGTGTTGTGCAGATGGATGGCAGCTAGCATGATGGCCTGGACGGCAGTGACGCTCGAGGTGAAAATCACCACAGGCAACAAGGTCTGAATGCGCTTCCACCAGAGCTTCTCCTGCTCCTCTGGCACGACAACGTGGGCGACACGGCGAGCGAGCAATAGGACGCACAGAAAGCAACACTGCCAGCTTAAATCGGCCTTTGCGGGCTTGGCCAGCCATCCCTGGTATGCTTCCCGAAATGAGGCCTCGTAGAGTACAGGGAAGTCCGGGTTGATGTGTTCAAAATAGGCCGACATCAAGGCCTCCAAAGTCGCAGCCTCGTCGGCGGGCGTGCGTCGGAGGTCGCTGTGATCGAAGACGGAGGAGGCGGTAGGGGCGAGCGGTTGTTCTGGGTCGGCATCTTGTTCGGCGTTGGCTTGCTCTGCGGCGTTTTTGCCAAACAGCACGAACGAGGGAAAGGGATCCTGGCCACACAGCGCGCGCAGCTTCAGATGGAAGGAGAAGGAGCTGGACGGGCCGATGAACTGCACCTGCCCCTGCTGATCTGGAAGCAGCGACAGCGGCTCTTCGCCCTCGGTCCCCGGTGTGTTGACCTGTTCAGCGCCCGCATCAGCGCCCGGCGAGTCCGGGATGGCGATGCCCAGCGAGTTTCCCAGCTGGCGCAGCTCCTCGAGGTTGGACACGTCGGCATCGGGCAGCAGTCCTTTCACCAGCGACTCCAGCAGGGCCAGGCGGTTGCCGAGGCTTTCGACGCTGCCATACAGCCTCTTCTTGCGCGGCTGTGTCGTCTGGCAGTCGATGTTGTGCTGGAGGCAGTACCGACACGCGTCATGGCCCGGCTCTTTTCTGCATTTCTGCTTGCGCGACTTGCACTTGTCGCAGCTGGTCTCTGTGCGCTTCCGTTTGTCGAGGGGGACGCGACGCGAATTGGCGGGGTTCGGTGTGGACGAGGTCGCGGCCGGCGTCGGCATCGTCAGCATGCTGGGAGGGACGGGCGGTGGTTGGCGGCGATGGCGGCGAAGACGGTGCGGCGACTGGGGCGCATCACGCAGGAGGCATTGTTCATGTCTGGAGCAAGAGGAAAGCACCACTGGTTCTCGAGCGGTGCCATTCGACGGCTCCAGCTAGTGCACAGGGCGAATCGTGTGCCCATGAATCTGAGGTCGAGAGCAACGGTAGTGGGGGCTGGCTCCACGCCCGTGCCGTTCGACCCCGGCTTTGGCAGAGGCCAGCTCCAAGCTCCACGCCGCTGGGATTTGGAATGAGAACCGGTCCACTCGAGGTGAAGTCTGCGAGTCAGCTCATATCCGGCGAACACCCTCCCACCCTCCGTCTCGACCGACATCATCTCGAACGTCTGTCGCTGTGCAGCGCCAACGCTGGGCCTGTGCCTCACCACTGCTCCGTCTCCAACGGCCTGGCCCATCTCACCGTCGGAGGAGAGCGCGTCCGGCGTGCAAAACGGGCCCATCGGGAGAAATCGGCCAGCTACAGTTACCGTTTACAGCAGTCATCTCGAGATGAGCTGGTCAGAAAAGGAATTACAACGACGACGGCCCCAACTTTCCTGAGCCTGCTAGTGTATTCATTATCCTACCTCAGGCTGTTAGGTTTCCCATCAGTCACGTGCTGGCTAGTCCAGTAAGAGATAAGCTCGGAGCCCTAGGCTTCTCTCGGAGCCTGTGCCGCGCCCCACAGACTGTCACTCACAACTGGATCCCAATTTCCAATTCCCACCCATTGGCCACAGCGCACGAATTGTCCGAAATCCATCGTTAGGCGACCATCACGCAACACGTTCGGAGAATTGCCGCGCGTTTTTCCTTTCCAAGCTAGCCTACCGGGCGACACGTGGTGAGCCTGCACGCCTGCATCCATGGATCACTATTTTCCAGGATGTTTCCGCCCTTTCCAACGCGTTGGGATCGGACGCATCAGGCTGGCCACACAAGGGACATTGGCAACTTGTGAGAGGTTCCTTAGATGTCGACCAAAGATTAAGATGATCCAGTATCGTTCACAGCTCACATGTGATATGCGACCGAGTCAACAAGCTTGTCGGCTTTGACCCCTGCTACCTGGGATTACCTTGACGGAAGCTCGGTAACTTCGGGCGAAGCTCCCGTGGGGTCATTTCAGACACACCCGCTGTGGAAAAGGTATAATTCGCGAGATGGAGACCAGTGACCTCTCCACGGTCTGTGGAAGTTTCGCCTGCTTCACCGTGGGCTCTCAATACTCAGGGCCAATCTCGATGTTGACTTTGACCGGCAGGCTCTGTTGTACCTACCCTCTCCACAAGCGCCACATGTTCCTCGTCCTGAAGGAGCTCGAAATGCGTCTCAGCGCGACCGTCTGGATTATCTTCCAGTACGACTGAAGGCATTTAATGGTAATCTGCCATCATCATCGACGCAGTAACATTCTCGCCGCGTCTACTTAAGCTCATTGCCATGCTGTTATCGTAAGACGAACGGTCACAGACTATGTTTTGAGCTGAGAGAAGAAGCCTGAACACAGTATGTACACGCAGGACAGGACGCGATACGATACGATACGATACGATGGAATGGCGTATATCCGACGCCGTATACTCCTCATGATGCACTGGATATTTTCTGTTCGTGACTGACATCCTCCTCAATGAATGTTGAAGTAGAAACATACAAACAAAGGTAATGTACCCATAAAGTTGAGTGTAAGAATGATGGAATGCTCCAGTAGTAGATGCTGCCTATATAGGCCTAGCGTAGCTCCTGCCGTGAGGACCACCAATGCGATAAATGCAAATCCGTTGGCAAAACCCAGCCATCGCGAAGCCGCCAGCATGTCAAGTGTCGATAATAGACTCTTAAGATTACTTACAATGATATAAATTAGACTTTACAGCTTTCATGATATGCAGGACTTTTCGCACCGCGGTACGTCGGACGATTGGCAGCCGAGTGAGCAAGGATCTGGGTTCCCCGCCCTGACGTCGCGTGCGCTATCTTCCGCCTTGTAAACAGATGTAACTCCATATCGCTACTATGAGGATTATTCCGCGATATAGTATAGCACAAGCTGCTAGGATGCGACCTGCGATTCTAGGATTGCTTAACGGGTACGCTGGGACGGGGGTACGCTGATATGTACCACGCACCGCCCGTCAGTCGTCCTTCGAGCGCACTGCATAGTACGATCTCGCCACCATGAGGATAATCACCCTATCCACCCTCTTCATCTACCTCTCTTCTACGCTGGCAGCTACCCTCCCACCCCCATCTCCATCTCCATCCCCACAACAACCGCCCCACCCCCTCCTTCACCTACAACGCCACACACTTTCTCCTCAATGGCACCCCTACCAAATCATCGGCGGCCAAATGGACCCCAGCGCATCCCCCCGCCCTACTGGCGCGACCGTTTACGCAAAGCGCGCGCCCTCGGCTTAAACACTATCTTCACCTACACGTTTTGGAACATGCTGGAGCCTAGCCAAGGACACTGGGACGAGAGCGAAGGCCAGGGCATAGCCACTTTTTTCAAAACCGCGCAGGAGGAAGGACTCAATGTAGTCCTCCGCCCAGGCCCGTACATTTGCGGGGAACGCGAATGGGGGGGCTTCCCCGCGTGGTTGGCGAGCGTGGATGGGATGGTGGTAAGGAGTAACAACGCGCCGTTCCTCTCCGCAGCGTCCAGCTATCTTGAGAATTTGGCCAGGGGCTTAAGAGGCTTGCATGTTAACGAAGGAGGCCCGATTGTCATGCTACAAGTTGAGAATGAATATGGGAGCTATGGGGATGATCACAGTTACACTTCTGCTGTTAAAGACCTTTTGAAGAAAGCCTTTGGGGGGGATAAAGTGCTGTATACGAATGATGGGACGGAGGAGTGGACGCTTGAAGGGGGGAGTGTGCCTGGTGTACTTGCTGAAATAGACGGCGATCCGAGGGCGGGGTTCGCGGCGCTGAGGAAGTACATCACTGACCCCTCTATGAAAGGCCCGCTGCTAGACGGCGAGTATTACACGTGGACGTTCGATAGCTGGGGGTATAATCGCAGTACGCCTAACACGCAGGCTTTTGTAGACGACATCGGCTACGTGCTTGGAAACGAGAGCGCGGGGATAAGTTTGTACATGGTGCACGGCGGGACGAATTTCGGGTTTGGCAATGGTGCGCTGTGGCAGGGGAAGACGAGGGCGTTTACGACGAGTTATGATTATGGGGCGCCGGTTGATGAGGCGGGGAGGACGGGGGAGCTTTACGACACGCTTCGCGGCACGATATTGAAGTATGTGGATGGGGGTGCGCCAGATGTTCCGGATAATATCCCGTTGAATGAGATTCCGGCATTCGAGCTTAAGCCGGCGAGACCGCTTTTCGAGACGCTCGATGCTGGGAATGTGGTGGAGAGTAAGGAGCCACTGAGTATGGAGGCGCTGGGCCAGGCATACGGCTTCACGCTCTACACGCACATTACCGCCGTTCCTCTCTACGGTCTGCTTTCCCCGGGGGACCGTGCGAGAGACCGCGTTATCGTTTACGTTAATGATATCTTCGCCGGCGTGGTGGATTCTACATATACATATCCCCAGAACGTCACTGTTAAGCTGGAAAAAGGCGACAAATTAGACCTCCTAGTCGAGAATCTGGGGAGGGTGGATTATTACTCTCGCGGGACGGAGTTTTCCAACGGTATACTAGATCCGTATAAAGGTATTGTGGGAGATGTGAGGTTTGGAAATACGACGTTGGAGGGGTGGAAAATGCAGGTCATCCCCTTGACGCATCTTCCCGACTTGGAGCGAGGCGGATACAACACTGGCATCAGTTCGACTCAGCCTATATTCTTCACCGGGAATTTTGAAGCTCAGACCACTGGCAAGGATGCCGCAGCTCTAGATACATACCTCACCATCCAGAACGGTGTGAAGGGAAATGTCTGGGTTAACGACTTCCACCTCGGCCGGTACTGGAACAGAGGACCGCAGCAGAGTTTGTACCTTCCTGGCACGGTGTTGAATGATGGTGTGAATAAGGTTGTAGTATTAGAAGTAGAACCTTCACGTGTGCAGGGCCAGATGAAGGGCGTCGGAATCAGTCAGCGTGTCTGGGAGACGAGGGGGGATGTGGATTGTCCGGGCTGTGTATAGGATGGATGGTGAGAACGGGCGGGAAAGGAAAGGGAGATGTAGAATTTAAGGTTTAGAAGGATCATATCTCCGTCAAGTGGGAAATGCGAGTAGTGCAGAGTGCTGCGGTGCTTTTCTACGTCTCTTTCCTGCACCTATGTGTTTGGGAAACTTGTGACGCGGTGGGGCAGGAGAAGACTTGGAACCGTGTCGCTCTGCGATGTAACTTTGCACAACGTTTTCAGCCTAACTTATTGTGCGTAGTCACTTAGGAAGCTGAACATACCGTGTAATGGAGTGGCTGGCGTTGGTGGTGCTGTTCGTGGTGGTAAATCTCTGGGCGTCATCAGTGAAACTGATGCGACTAGTGCGGCGTTATCTGAATAGAGTGTATAGACTCGTGCCTTCACCGAGATGATTTTATGATTTGTGCCAAGGTGGTCTGGTTGACGTTGACGAGGCGACGAGTGCACACGCGATTAGTATGCATCTGTTCAAGTCATTATCGGTATGTCGCATAAAGGTGTCCCGTAGCCCGTGGAACAAGGAACAAGGAAGGAAGAGGATAGAAATGTGGATTTCCTTCTCTGTGTGGATGGGTGGTTGGTACTTTGGAACTGTAGAACCGCAGAAATATGGTCGTCAACTATTTTCGAATTGTGAACCCGCTTGAGAGACTGTGGAAATCACACCAGTTGTTCGTAACTCGATCACCGTGAAATGCAGCAGCAGCGATGGGACTCAGCAGGTGCCTGGACGAGGGGGATGAACCGGGATATACAATCAGAGGTTTACTTCGCTTAGATGAAACGATAGCAGCTATGGATCCGCATACATCGAATTAATCTTGAAGGCGGGCGAGAAGTGGCCTGGACAATGCTGTAGCGGGTTATAACGCTTTTCAGTTCTCTTTTTCTCTTTGACGCTGGGGTATTTTCTATATCAAGAGACTCCTCTCGCCTACCCCTATGAGCTGCGATGCCATGCGTGCGATTTCAAGACGTCCAATCGATCACTAAATACGGCTCTTCTTTTTCTTCTTGATGCTAGAGCCTGAGACAACGCGCGCAAAATCCCCTCCATATTCGTCCATTTCAAGATCCCAAACGAGTCCCTTGCTGGTTTCAAGCTTTGTCAATCTAGTCCTGGCACCTTCCCAGCCGGTCAAGCCGGTCAAGCACGTGTCCAAGCCGCTCTGTCTGTCTCCCTTGAATGCCCAGAAGTTCCGCTCTGGATGAGTAAGATCTCCAGATCGTTGCAAGCTTGTTTCGGTCCAAAAGTTGGCCTCTTCATTGGGCTTGATGAGCTTTGGAGAAACATCCGCGTTAAATCCGTTGCCAAATCCGCCAAAGGCGTCAAATCCACCGTTGGACTTTGGTTCGTAGAGCACAACCGAACGATCAGACAGTCCAGTTTTATCGCAGAAGTTATCAATGTTTTCTTTTGCGTTTATCAATTCGTTGTGGCGGATGAATAACGTCGGATTGAAAAAGTGGTCGAAGCCAAAATGAATGTCTCGTATCGTTTTTGACTGGTTGCGAGTTTCGGAAAAATGCGGCGATTTGAGAGTCCCGATTATACCTCGCTCCAAGACTGCGCCGTTGTAGGCCCATAGGATGCCTTTCTCCGGATCCCACCTCGAAGTTGACTCGTCGTACGACATGTTGTAAACGTTATGCTGCCTTTTCATGTGGTCGACTAGTGCTCCATCGTGGTCTATAAAGTATGCTAGATGTCTTGCAACTGGCATCGAGAAACTGAATCCATAGACTCTAGGCTTCAGGTAACTTTGGTGTTCTTGTGAAAGCGGTAGCTGGCGGACTGAAATCGACCTCTCCATCATCCAGGTTTTTTTGGCAATTGGCTTATAGGGTGTTCTTGTCTCTGTCTTTCCCTTGCTGAGGAGTGCTAGATACTCGTCGGCAGTGAAGAAGGCCATGTCTTTACCATCAATCTCAACTCTCGCGAAGTCGTCATCCTCTTTCAAGGTACGGAGGTAGATTCCAACGATACTATTGGTTTCACCAGCGTGCCCATGCTCTATCCTTTCGCACCCAAGGAAGGCGACATATGTGTCCGTGCACCAAGGGTATAGATGCGTCGTAAATCCGATTCGACGTTCAGTAGCATCCGATCCAGATATCCTTAGATTTGGCCCTTCAGCAGAAGCGCGATACTTGGCTCCGTCCCTGAAAGCCTCTAAATTCGGTGCAAGCAGCCCACCGAAATCCGTCGAAACTCCGGTCCAAGCGAACAACGTGTCGTCTTCTGCGAACTTCAAGATTGCCTGCTGCAGTCTCTGGAAGGCGGCTTCTCTTTCCCCATACAGCATAGGCAAGTGCACTTGGAAGATACCGAACAGGCTGTATGCCCTATCTTCGATACATTTCGTTGTTCTTCTGGCCGCCCAAGACATGCGTTCTGCGATTGAGCAGTCATGTAGCTTCACTTCTCCACGTAGTAAGTCTTTGCGGATGTTAGTAGCCTCATGGATGGAGTCCACGAGGGAGAGGCGATCGCCTAGGAGGTTCCAACCCGCGTCAAAGAAATACACATCTAGATGTTCAACGTTAATGGACTCGTCCCATACTAGGGCTTTGTACAGACCTTTCGGTGCAAGTAATTCCTGCAGAGTCCAGCCTCGGGTGAACCACTCGGATTGTCCTATAGGGTTCCCAGGAAACACGGGTACATCTTCCAGATATGCATAACACACGCCGGATTGCTCATACCACAGGTACATGCTATTGATAGCCTCCTACAAACCAATGCATTAGTGTTGTTGAAGCGAAGCGATTAGTATGACTAACCTGCAGCTCGGCGCTGCTGCGTTTGTCAATGCAGCATGTATCCACCCATGCGTACTCGTATCCATCTTCTAAAGCTCGCTCGCAAAATCGACTAATCTTGTCGAAGCCTTTCTTACACTGGGCAACGCCGGGATCTTGGATATCCGAGAAGCTTACTTCGTCAAAATCGTGGCCCCAGCGGTGAGAAAGAACGGCGTATGGGACAGGGTCCTCGCTTTGCTGTGAGAGCGTTAATTTTCTCGTGTTGAGGAGCCACATCTTGAAAGTGCTGAAGGTGGCCAACAGGCTGCGGCGGCACAGCAGCTACAGCCTTGGGACACAGCCTTCACTGTGAAGCGCTGTTGATCTGTCTTAAGCAACCGAGAAAGAATCAGTATGTACGATAGCGGTAGTGCTGATTGTGGTATCGCTGTTGCTAGAGATTTAGGTCGAATGTAGAGAGTTGCAGGTGTGAGGAGCGGTGGGGCTGAAGGCAGCCACGAGGTTACCAGCCCCTGCTGCGCCTGTCTCAGCCTTGCGCTTCACGCTGTCCAGGTCTGTTCATGATCGATACCCGGTCAAATCAAATTGACTACCACTTTAAATGCGGACCTTGATACTCCGGTAGCAATCGGGGCATTGAGGGTGTTCGAATGATGTTGGTTTCGAAGCGGTATCTCGGGAAATGTCCAAGGGAATCCGAGTTCGCACAGAAACAGTCAGTTTCATAGAACAAGCCTCTGCTGCACGCCCAATTATTACCGAAAGTCATTGCGTTGATCAAGCCTTCTAACGGCATGACGCAGACCGTGGATCCGAGATTGCGTTCGCATGTCGCATTGTAACAAGTGATGGGGCGTCTTGACAATTTTACAATGGCTAACATTGGTGGACCTCAACGTGCTTTTGATTCCCATGAGTGTACGAGTATGGTGTTGTGAACCTGCATTATTGTTTGGCCTGGTGCTCCTGCCACCACCGCGCATGAGGATTCGGTCTGCGTTCTATGCAAGGTCAGAGTCTTTATTGCCGATCTAATTTGCCATCAAAAGCTTGTGATGTCGGTATGCCATCCGGTCGCTTGTCGAAATACATAAAAGGGCGTCTCCCGCAGTTTCCCTACGGCCACGCTCCGCTGCCCTCTCCGCCGGACACCCACCGTCTCGGCACACAGTCTTCGGCGGATTTCCATCATATCGCACGATCACTTGGCAACGGCGACGCCACTGGGCCGCAGAAGTCCGGTCTGAGTGGCTGCTTCGAGTAATACGGCACTGGCTGAAAGGTGCCGATAGCGACGTCGGTGGAAGAGTTGACCGGAAAGGGGAAAGAGCTCCCCCGCGTCACCGAAGTCGCGCTACGGGCCCACTCCCGACCCCCCTCTGAGAACGATGCAGCACCGCGGCCTACTACCAAACATACCACACTTTTCCTGGGACAGCATTAGCGACCCCGCAAACCACGCCATGGAGACATCGCGTCGACAAAGATGGCCGATGGGAGCCGCACGTAGGCTGCGTGAGCCCTTATAAGTGCTATCGCGCACGCCAGCTACACGATCAAGAATCATTGCGCCAACCCCTCACAAGACCCTTCTCTTCATTGCCAATCGCAACACTGCAATGGCGTCTAACTCCTACCTTATCGTCGGCGCCGGCGTCTTCGGTGTGTCCACCGCCTACACTCTCATCCGCAAATACCCCAATGCCTCCGTCACAATCGTCGACCGCGACGCCTACAATGCCGATTCGCGCGTCGCAGCTTCGTGGGACTGGAACAAAGTCATTCGCGCTGACTACGATGATATCATATACTGCAGGCTCGCGCTGGAGGCACAGGATATTTTCGAGCAAGATCCGCTGTACCAGCCTTTCTTCCACAAGTCGGGCATCTACTGGATGTGCCGCACCGACTACGCCACACAAGTCGTCGAAAACTACAGAAAATTGGGCAGGAAGGCGCAAATTGAGGCTGTGAGCGTCAAAGAGGCTAGAAAACTCTACGGAGGTCTGTTTGAGGATGCGGACTACAGCGATGTCACGGAAGTCCTCGTGAACAAGACCAGCGGCTGGGCAAATGCTGGAGACGCGCTGAAGGCGGTAACCAAGAAATGCATTGAGTTGGGCGTCAAATATGTTGTCGCTGAGACCCAGTCTTTGGCATTCAACGGCGGACGATGCACGGGTATTAGAATGCGAAAGGGAGACACGTTGAGCGCGGATAAGATAATTCTCTCCACAGGAGCGTTCACAGCGAAGCTCCTCGAGCAGGCCGCAAAAGCAAGCAACAAACCCGAGATCTCAGCCGGCGGCAGGATAATAGCAGGCGGAATCACAACCGGCATGACGCAGCTAGACGAAGAATCCTACAAGCGCTTCGCAAACATGCCCGTCGCAGTGCAAAGCTGGAACCCCACAATCGGTTCGTCTCCCTCCCCCCTCTCGACCTTCACCATCCATCCTGCCAGTGACTAACATAATTTCACACAGGCCCCTTCGTCGGCAGTCTCCCCCACCCGCGACCGCGAACTAAAATGGTGGGGCCAAAAGATCTTCAAAAACACGCAAAACATTCTAGGCAAGCGCATCTCCGCGCCCCCACCAGAGAGCGACTACGCACAGTGGAAAGTCGCGGCCCCCCTCAAAGAAGACATCGACTTCGCCAACAACATTTTCTACGGTAAAAACGGCGCAAACTGGAAGATGGAGAAGCATCGTATTTGCTGGGATGCGTTTACCTCGTCTAGTGACTTTATCATCTCGCCGCATGCGGGGGCGGAGGGGCTCTACGTTGCGACGTGTGGTTCGTTTCACGGGTATAAGTTTTTTCCTGTGCTGGGGAAGTATGTTGTGCAGATGTTGGAGGGGGAGCTGGAGGAGGAGTTGGCGTGGAAGTGGGCGTGGGATCGGGAGAGGCCGGATGAGAGGCTTAATGCGGAGTTTCCGAGGTGGGAGATGAGGGATTTGATGGGGAAGCAGGCGAGATTGTAGATGACACTACAAGCAGATAGCATTTAAGGGTCTGGATCATGAGATTTGTGTATGGTGTTATGGCGCAGGTAGATTTAGACATGGACGTGTGGGAAAGATAGCGTGACTATCAAGTATCCATGCTCGATGTGGCGGTAATGCACACTTTACGAGATTAGGCACGTCCTGATGTGGATTCTATAAGTGATCTGGTATTCCAAGTTCGAGGCTTCCAAGCAACAACCTCGTGGAGGTTACCGTTCCTAGGTCGTGATAAGCACGTTCGACAAGAATCTTGATTCATTGCTTATTCTTAGAAACACTGAAGTAGCCTTACGACGAGCGCAAGGGAGCAACCAAATCATTATACTGAGGCTGAGGACAGCCGCTAACGATATGACCAAAGCGGCGATGATAGAAACGCGATCAATTCAACGACGTGGCACGAGAAGGCCAGAAAAGAGCTGTTTCTGCTGCATCATGAGCGAGCCCTGAGCTAGTGGGTACGGGGAGCACAGATCCGGTGAGATATGAGATGGCGATTGCGGATCAAAGGGTGGGGAGGGGGTGAGAATGGCAATGGGATTTGTCGAGCACGTGTACGTTGCATGCGTTTGGACAGATCACGCCGGAGAAGATGTCGGTGAGTACGAGCAATTAAGGCATCGCTGTGTGGCCGACGGTTAGGAAGATGGTGGCGGATGGAGTGATCAATGGACGGAGGATACACGGCGATGTTGCTGGCGAAGAAAAGAGTATCTGGAATACAGAGGTTATGTTGCACATATGATTCTGTGTTTCCCTCTCTTTCAAACAGACGTCAGCTATGGGTCCATGAGCAACTGTCCTTGGCGTCCATAATCCAGTCCGGTGAATCATCCACTCGCCTTCAACCGAGCCAAAGCGTACACCTGTCACGCTTTCGACGACCGCTATCTCGGCTTCACCAGCACAGAAAGAAGCCTCCACCCTCACGACTTTCACAAGCGACCGAGCTTCGCGCTGCGATTGAGAATGTCTGATTGTATGTCCAGCGGCGACTCAACTCGAACTTCACTCCTTAACGATACTGACGCACGACTTTCAAGCCAACTTCCCCAACGTCCCCAACGTTCCCACCACGAACGAGAATATGACGCGCTTCAATGAGGTTCTCACGGGTCTCCAGAGCCTGCGCCACGACGGTATATTTGTCACTGTTCTCCGCCTTTTTTGCCCTGCACACAAAGGATACTGACCGCACTTCACAAACAGACAGCGGCACCGAGCCCGGCTCTGACGACCCTATGCTTTCGCCCTCGGCGACCCAAGCCGCCTTCGCCGCCTTCCAGGCGTACAACGGCATGCTAGCCAAGATGAAGCAGGAAGAGATCACCGACAACATTCTAGCTAGAATGAAGCAGGAGGAAGACACCCACGACTTCGAAAAGGGCGTCTTCGACAACACCAAGTTCTACGACTACGAGTTCCACGACCCCCAGCCCACAATCGTTCTGCCTCCCAACTACCCCTTCCGCACTACCGCGACTGGCTACCCTATCTTCCGCCGCCGCACCCAGATGCCCCGCCGCGCATCGATGACTACCGCGCAAGGCTTCGAGGACCCGCGCATCACGGCCTTCATCGACCATTGGACTAAGATCTACGAGGGTATCGGTCACGACCCGTTCAGTCGTGCGGAAGGCTACTTCCAACTGCAGCTCGCGTGCGAGGTGCGCGGCTTGGTCACGTATGGCACGATGGACAAGCTGGTGGTGCGGCTGGTGGATCGAGCGCTTAGGGATGCGGCGCGTGGATGGATGGAGATCACCGACAAGGTGGGGAGGGTGAGGATGCTCGAGGCGCCTGCGGCCCCGGCGGTGGTTGCTGAGTCCGAGTCTGAGTCGGAGCTGTGGTGGCCGGGCCTTTCGTATGATGACTGAGCCGGTGTTGCCTTGGGGTACTTGGGCGATGAAGGTCTGAGGCGGTTTAGATGAACCTGCAATGTTCTTGCATGGGAACATGTTGCGTCACGAGATGGGCGACTTTCATGAATTCTTCTGAATTCGGTACATGGTAAATGCAATTGTTATATCAAGCGTCGGGGATCGGCAGTTCACCCTGTGTCCACTGCCCACCGTCTAGATCCCTCGTGAATACACTCAAGTCATCGCCTCTCGTTTGATAGAACACATACAGGCTTGTGCCGCCAGACTGGTCCTCCACAGCAGTGACGCTCATATGCGTACCTTTCAAGCCCGGTATGGCGCCTCGTGCACTTCCCACAGTGAACATATTTTCGTCGACGCCCTTCGTGTTCTCAGCTCCCCAATTTATATCGTGGCCCACGATCGTGCCATCGGCCATCTGGGTGTAGAAGTATTCGGTGAACCCAAGTGAGCTGCTGGGGAATACGTCGGGTATAGCGTAGGCAGTCGCGTTCTCCCACGTATTGATGGGATGCTCATCAGTTGACTTCCTACTGCTATTGGTGTCCCTCCACCATATTGTTGCTGTATCTTGGGTGTCAACCATCATAGCATATGTCGTAGTGCCCGGTTGCCAGCTGTAGCACCCAACCCCTGCGTGCGTGTTCATGTCCTTCCAGGTTTGCTCCTCGAGCCACTGGTCTTGACCCTGATACCAGCCATATTGCTGAAAGGTCGTTTCATCGGTTGGGTACCACAGGTGCATACCCGGCGTGGTACCGTTGAACGGGATCGTGTCGTTGTTGCCGTCGCGAGTGGGGAATTTCGAGGCGTCGGAATCGCCGTAATAATTTCCGTACCAGCATGCTTGGAGGCCAACGTTGGGGGCATCGTATGTTGTGAGATTTAGGGCGTTGAGGGGTCCATCTTGCCAGATGTTCGTGCTGTTGCTGTTGACCTTTTGCTTTACTCGTCCGTCTTTCGAGATATAGAAGATATGCCACTACGAGATGGGTCAGTCGGCTTTGCCACAAGTGCGGTTGAAACGATGCGCTTACCACCGATGTGTCATTGAGCGAGTACGAAACGGCAGATATGGGGGTTGCGTTCTTCGCATCGCTGACGATAACCTCAGATGACGTTCCACCTATCCACTCGCCTTTCGGCGTGAGCTGTATCGACCGGATCTCGCCTGTCCAGTGTTGGAAGTACACCGTCATTATCTTGCGCTCTTGATTATTCCAGAACTCGGTCGCGAGAGCGATACCGGAACCATTGAAGGTGCCGTTACTGGTGTAGTATGCCGCGCCAAGCGCCCCGCCGATACAGAAACTCGGATTCTCTGCGCAATAAGGATCGACATAGCCTGGTCCGGTCCTGCATGTGGTTAAGTGACGCGGATATAGCAAGGTATTGCTTTGACATACGGTGTTTCGCTCTTTTTCTTATTTCCCAAGCTCAAACCTAACCCAAGACCCAACGCTGTAGCCACGACAAAGACGAGAATGATGACTCCAAATAAATATCTACGAGGAATGCCGCACGTTTTAGGTGCTTTCTCTGAAGGGAGCTCTGAGACTCGGCGTGGAACCGGCTGACCTTTTTCGTCGAATTCCAGCGGTTGAAAGCCTGACACGACCGTCTCGTCCATGGAGTAAGGCGAAGTAGGTCGTCGCTGCTGCTGAGCCAGCCAAGGCTCCAGTACTACCTCTGGCGCATCGTGTACAGCTTCCTTCGAAGATGTCGGTCTAAACACAGTTAGCTTAACTTACTACCCATAGCAGATCAGACACACTCTTGGTTGCTAGGAAACAGCTTTTCCGGCGCTTGAGTGCTGGGAGAATCATCATGGAAAGGGACGTTGTCTGACGGACTATCGATCTTGTAAGTGGTGTCCACCTTGGTCGCTGGGTGCTCCATGGTGGATGAAACGTTCCATTGACGACAATTGACCAGCTGCAGCAGCACCAGCTGACATTACCCAGCGAAAATACCATATATGTCATCTGCACTCAAATTACGCTTGACTGCTCTTCTCAGCAGGGCCCATAGGAGTGGACAAGTTTAGCGAATGCGGTGCGTCGCTGAAGAGCGCCCGCCTCGAAGCGGTGAAGTCAAGCATGTGTGTTTGGCCAGATGCGGTCGTGATCCTTGTAAGGCAAAGCGATAGCGCCTATGAGGGAAACTGATCGACATGTACAGGTAAACAACTACTGGCCTGGCTCACCACCCTTAAAACATCCGGACGCAGGTAAGCACGCCCAGAAAATTGCTCGCCGACATGTAGGTCGACCCATTGCGAAGCAAAGCAGGCGCCGGTTGACAGCTATGCTTCTGGATTTTCCTATCTTGATCATACTACGGAGTTGAAATAAAGCTTCGTCTGCTTGAGATTCATGCTGATGTCTGTGAAATGGCCGAACGTGCTATTTACCAGTCGTTGAAATGTAGGAGAATGCTGTCTTTCGAACGTCTATTAGCACCAAGTAAGAACTGCCGACCGGGCAAGGGACGAGCTTGTGCCCCAGTGCATACAGCTAGGGTATGCTTCTATGAACAACGTGTTGGGTTATCCCAAGTAATCGTTATCCCAAGTTCCGACTGTTGCATGACCTCCGGGTTACCATACTCCCTTTTGCTTTTGCTTGCCCCGCAAGGGCTGTATCTATCTCTTTCGGTTCACAGATAGACGTTGCTGTGCCGGATGCTGCTTGAGGTACATTGTTCGCGTAAGCTGATAGTGGGTGGGCGAAGAGCTGTTCGGAAGGCGTCCCAAACCGGGTGCGGGGCTCAAGTCGGCGACCATCGCCCACATGGCAGTGTGATTGGGCATGGACACCATGCCACCATCTTTGCATTCGGTGGGTGATATTTGTGGCTACGATGCGTTGTGATACAACAACCGCTGCTCCATACTGGTATGAGAATTCGAGCGAGCTAAAACCCTGCCGTGCCTGCTTGACGAGTTCAAACGCCGCTCAAGCGTGTCTCATTGGATAATGATCGATTCACAACAGAGAATGAGATGTATGATATATGTTATCTTGATGATGGAGAAAGCATCGTCGTACGTGAAGAAGCAAGCGCGACGTGATGGCGCCCGACAAACCCGATGAGGGTGTCCCACGTGATACGTGCGCTAACCTAACATAATTAGCGCCAGAGGATGTCACGTTTCAATTGTTCGCTCACAGTGCATGCCACCAAAGGCAAACTCCATCATCTCCATTTTGCGACTCCACAAAGATTTCCCAATTAAGAAGATGAAACGTTCTTGCTAGGGTATCGACGACCTGGGCCCCCAACTGTACGACCACATAATCCGACAAAGAGCGTATATTCGTCGAATTGGCGCAGGCATGGGAGGCCTATGAGGAAGCTGCGCTTGGAGTCATAGGAAATCCGTGTATGCCTTCCCCTACAGTATCTTTCTCTTTCCGGATCGAGCTATCTTCGCTATATTACGAACCCGATGATTTCAGAATCCTGCCGGTGCCTGCTGGTGCCTGCTGCTAGCGAAGCACAGACCACTACTCGTTAACATCCGCCTCAATCAGCCTCATTGCTACTACTTCATTTCCTACAACCTTCAGAAGCTGGGAAGACATCAGCATTGTGACATAATGAGTTTTGATGTCTACTGTGCTTTCTGTGGCGCCGTTGCATCGGAGCCACATTGGGATTACGAAGATGAAGAGGAGTATTCGTATGATCCTGACATCGTCAAGTCCGAAGATGTCGAGTGGATGAATGATATAAAGCTCATCATTGAGAACCCTAAATCCCGAGAGGACTCGAAGTATGCTTTTTGCGAAGAAAAAGAATGCTTAATCTTGAGCTGACTGATTTCCTAGAGTCTTCATTTCGGGACCGGCGTCAGCGGATGACTATGGCTTTTTCACATATGTAGATGCAACTGATCCAACGGGGGAGGAACACCAGGTGCAAGTGTGAGTTCATGTGGCTTAAACCGCACGACGCGAATATACCATTGGTACTAATGTACAACGAGCAGATACGAACCCTCCTTGACTGCCATCCCGTTCCACTCCGCGTGCTTCGAGCTGCTCGAAAAGGTTATCACGCCAGAAAAGTACGACCTGGAAATCCTGCTTGAGACCTTGAGGTTTTCGATCCCCTCCTCCCCTTACGATTCGGGGACGAACCTCAAAATCGACTACGGACCGATCGGGGAGTTTCAAGAGCAACACTGGGTACCGCGGAGAGGGGCCGAGGAGTATGTCCTGCATCCACTTTCGATCCCATGGCTTGGTCAGTACTTCACGCAACTGCCGCGGAGGGATCCACACCAGAACTGCAGAGGCGACATAACGCCTCGTAAAGTCAACAGCAGCGATCCATTCACAGACGTACCACTCGAAATTCTGCGACTTATTATTCTTGACCTAGACCTGGCCAGTCTCCGTTGTTTCAGGCAAGCTTCCCGCAAAGCAGAGCAAATCGATCTAGACAACAGTTTCTGGAAGATGCGCTTTTTCCGAGACATGCCATGGATGTTTGATTTCCCTGTTGACTATAGAGATCGAAACGCAAACAGTGTCGACTGGACCAAGGTCTACAAAGACCTCTATTGTGCCAGTGATTCAAATAAGAAAAGAAAAGTACACGCATTGGCAAATCGACGGCGGATTTGGGGCCTGTGTAAGCAAGTCTCGGTGGTGTATCATGCAAGAAAATCTGATCAGAAGCACAACCTTTCCGAAGTTCTTGATGGTGTCCAGTCGACACGGTTAGCGGTGTTAGTCGCTCCCGAACCAAATGACACGACAGCAGCGATTGTGTGTCTTGTTGCATCGTACCGCGCCATGCAATATAGTACCCCAACTCTGTCAGTCCAATGGACGCAGAGTGGAGAATTGGCCCGGCTTGAATCTTCTGGGGAAACGCCACCGGAACATTCGTTGTCCAGAGATGATATACAGATTCCACACGGGGATTGGATAACAGGATTCATCATCACCTCAGCGGAAGACAAACGGAATGATCACAAAGACGAAGTGAAGCGCTCAATCTATGGCCTGCAAATACTCTTTGCCAAGCGAGACCGCCACATCCTTGGGAAGACCGAGGGTGATCAGCGACTCTTGTCAGTGTCTCCGGGATATTTCCTTGTTGGCTTGAAGACCCATACTTCTAAGAATGGTTTTATCGCGAAACTAGCACTGCTTGAACAGCCTCGAGGCAGGTTGACCCCTGGACGTCTTGCAAGAGTCACCGGCTCCCATTCGATAGCATACGGTGAGAAAACGGCAGAGTTTCTCTGGAAAGATTGTTTGCCACCGCCTTGCTTGCGGATATCTGAGTTCTCTGCTGGCTACTGGTCTTATGCTCTTAGCAGTGAGATGGCTCCATTGGAGGCTATCATCTTTGGCGACTGCGAGGAAGAACTCGGTGATATCACTTCAATCGGCGCAGACGTTCATTTTGGAGGCTTTGAGGTTCACTTTGCTACAAAGAAAGCAAGGGCAATCGGCCCACGACGCCATGCAATGCAGTACCTCAGCATCAACGGACGCGGTGGTGAACGGATAACCCATGTCTTCTGGTCTCAGGGACATGTTCCAAGCGGATGCCGATTCGTGACGAACCGCGGCAGGCAGCTCGCCATCGGCTTCCCATCAACCAGGGAGAAGCGTTGCCCAAGCCTTGAGTCCGCGGATAAAGATTGCATACTTGCTGGTATTGCTGGGTATTGGCCTAATCGCGCCTTCCCGCAGTCGACCCTTATGGGGCATGCGAATTTATACCTGCCTGATCAGCCACCGATCGTGAACTTTGGCACTGATGCTCTTCGCGACTCCAATGGCTTCCACTGGATGCCATCTCCGCCTCCTAGGCGAATTGTTGAAGCCGGCAAGATTTTGGGTCAACGAGAAGTTTACGACAAATGGGGTCAGCGCACAAAACCATACCCATCTATTACCACAGTTGTCTCTTGGCTGGACTGCCGTCATCCATTGGAGGCTGTGAGAGTGACCTCTTGTCACGCAACCCGAGGAGGGCAACTGCCATTGGTAGCAATCTCATTCATCCCAGTAGACCCGGGAGCGGCTGGTACTTTAGAGGCAACAACAATTGGACCACAGAGCTTCTCCACTCCGCCAGACTCCGCCGGAACAAATGGCCAGCACTGGTGCTGGTGTAGCCTAGGCCACACTTCGAAAGATGAGATGGCGTCTCGGCCGCACCATGTTCACGAGACGTGGCAGGTGGGAGGTCAGTCGTTACAGAGTCTCAAAGTCTGGATGGCTGAAGATGGAGCACTCATTGGACTCCAGTTCGTTGCAGCCGATGGACAAGAGAGCCCGCACTGGGGTCAGTGTAACGGGGACTCAACGGCTATGATCTGCTTCACAGCGGAGGATATTTCGGGCGGGGGCGTCGGGAGCTCACAACATGGTGCAGTGGGCATCAAGTTCTATATGGATGATAATGAGCGCCAAGTCACCCGTCACGACGCCATCGTGATGGCAGTGCAAGCTCTGGTCGTGGACGATCTGTCTAAGGAAAGATCAACATAGGTTCGCGGCAACTGTGGTGATCAGGAAGAATTGGGGGTGCCATGAGGCAATCGTGTCCCCAAAGGTTCTCCAGAGCCATTAGTTACAAGCAAGATAGAAAAGTTGGAATTGATCAATGTTCCTAATTGGGTATCTAAGAACCGAAGGTCATCTGTCTCTCTAGGAACTCACATGCTAAGAGTGCAGCGCTAGATCGAAGTGTCGGAGCTCAAGTCAACCAACGAAATTTCTAACTGGCGCGAGCGAAGTTTAGACATGCGCAAGAGCGCAGATTACCATGGGATGCCAATTTCCTCGCGCAGTGTGGTGAGTGCCGTTTCTGGGCAGGGGTTCAGTTACAGCTCCAAGGCATAGAGTCGTCGCGAAAGCTGCGTCGAGAAAGAGATCCGTGGTTGACTATCCTGGCAAACGTCCATGTTCTACCACATGTTGTGCCGAAAGCCCTGTCCAGTTCTTGCCGCAAGACCTGAGCGCGTCCGTCGCGTTCCAGTCGAGTCACATGTGGGTATGGCCGTTTGTTGTTGTTACCCCCATAAAGCCCCACAACAGTACGATACAAGCAACTGAACAGCCTGGCGGCAGTGCTTGCCCTTGCGTCGCTTTTCAACACGGCAAATAGGGCCGTCAACGCACGGTGCCAAGCCTCTATATACCGTCGAGTGACCATAACATCGGTGTAAGGACACTTACGTTCCGCCTGAGTGAACGTCACCCACTTTCTCCCCCTCAAGCGCAACCACGTTCCACTTCCCGCACGCACCTGCGCATACCTACCGACATGGGCTACTCCAAAGCCGCAGGTAGTTGGGCGTCATCGACCACGTTCTCAATGTGGGCGTCCGCCAACGCGAGCTCAAATCGATTCGCAGCTCTGGCAGCGGAAACTGAATCCGATGGCGAGGCTTCCGAAGGCCTCGAGGAGGAAGTCTACACACAACTTGGATCTGGAGAGAACAGGATACAGTCAAAGAGTAAGCCGGCAAAGAAGTCGAAGAAACACGCGAAAGCAGAGGCGAAAGCGGAGGCAGTGACCGGATCAGAAGCAGGAACAAAGGTTGAAGCAGAAGGAAGCACAGGAGCAGGCGCACATCGGAACGCTAATCTGGAGTGTTCTGCTTGCGGAGACAGATTTCCCATCGAGGAGTACCCCGTTATCGAAGGCTGCAAACACAAGCCCGAGACGTGCGGTCAGTGCCTTGAGGCCTGGATAGACTCTCAACTGGACAACACGATTGCCGATGGAGGTATCCGCTGCCCGTCGACATGCGACCGCAAGCTATCGTATGCCGAGCTCAAGGGAAAGATCTCCGCAGGTCTACACAGCAAGTAAGTTGACTGACTGACGATGATTACTCGAAGCATGAAGTAGTGAGGCTGACCAAATACCAGGTTCGAGAATGTCATGACGCGCGCCGCCCTGCGCAAGATGCCGAACTATCGCGACTGCATGGCTCAAGCATGCAAATCCGGCCAGTTCCACGACACGAAAACTGAAGGAAACATCTTCCGCTGCAACGAATGTGGCTTCCGCGTTTGCACTGTTCATGAGGTGCCTTTCCACGACGGCGAAACTTGCAGGGCATACGACAAGCGCACGAGAATCGTAACGAAGCGCGAGGCAGCGAGCAGGGAGACTATTGCGCGTATATGCACGCCTTGTCCAGAATGCGGAGCCAACATTGAGAAAGCCGGTGGATGCGATGAAATGATTTGTAAGTTCATTACCTCTTTCCAGACATCCATGGGTCTTTTGCGGCTTTGATACCCCATATCCCATAGTGATATGATCTTCCCCTTTGAGCGGCGTTGTGGCTTTGTGAATCGGAGCCGAAGACAAGATTGTTAACTTTCCTCGTAGGCAATCTCTGTCAGCACGCGTTCTGCTACAAGTGTAGCGCCCCATATCAGGGACCTAACGGCGTCCTCGCTATAGGCAACTCCGCGCATGCAGAGTCATGCTCTCACTATCGTACTATCCATGGCGATATTCGCGATCCACTCGGTGACCTCTCGTGGATGGACGACAACGACTTTTACACCGAAGTTACTGAGTATCGCGCTATGTTCCAAGATCAATTGGAGCCCCGGCGACTAGAAAGGCAGAATCGTGAGAATGCGCGCCGGCCTATACGAAGACAACCTACAATCACGCCTGGTTTCATCGATGAATCTGGAGACGAACTAGAAGCTGAGATGCATCGATTGCAAGTTTCTTCCGCGCCTGATACAGGGAGTTCCGATCATCCCGCCGCCACGGAGAGTGCAATGCCCCGTGGACGTACACCGTTCACCAGAGAAAACGCTTTTACACTTGGCCATGCGCCCGAATCCTCTCGTCGTGCTTCATCGCGCCCGGAAGAGGCAATTGAGGAACAATTGAGGAGGAGGACTAGGTGAAGAAGAGGAATACGAGGCAGAATTTGGATTCATAGCGACGATGAATGACAGTCCACAAGGTGGTTTTGTTGCCATTTTCTCACAACGGCGACGGATTGGACTTTTAGCAAGTCAAAATGTTACTAAATCAGAGCCTGTTTCAGCACGTTCAACCTAGAGTAAGAGACACGATCTTCTATCTTGGTGATACTGGTGTTGTTCCTGAGATGCGTTGCTCCCTGTCTACCCTGGGATTAGCGAGTCGCATATTAACCGTCTGGAGAAATTCTGATTCACGGATCTTAACCTTCCTGCAGATGGCCACTGGGTAGGACTTACCATATTTAGCAAAGGGTGAGGGTTTCCTGGGTAGCAGATCCGGGATGATGATGCCCCGCGTCAACGGGCAGCATGTACTTGCTCTAATGTCCGCACAACACTCAACGAAAGTTGGAATACGACACCGATTGTCGGTCGCTCAGATTGCGCTATGGTTCCCTATGTGTTCACAGTAGCAACCCTGACGTCATTCACGTTAGCGGTTCCCCGCTTACGCGCCTCCTTCTCCGGACAGCTATTGGCAAGTGTCACCTCCCATCAACTACAACGATACATTATATGCAGGATGGCCACAGATTGAGGTTGATACTGAGGTACTGGTCTACAAAGGCACACAAGTCAATCGCACATATGCTCATCATCCTGAGCTGTACCACGATGGCAAGCGCACATTCCTACAATACTCTACTTCGCCCATAGATGAAGACGCCACAGGACAGGAAGCATGGCTTTCAACCTCTGCCGACGGCGGATCGACCTGGTCCAGAGGCTACTCCATACTTCCAGCTGCGCTTCTCCCAAACCAAACAAACGCAGCAAATTACACCTACTGGTGCAACAATCGCATCTGGCAGCGCGCTCTTCACCCCGCCGCATGGGTACCCATCGACCAAGATCATCTATATGCTGTGTCGCAAACGACTCTTCGCTACTGCTGGGGTGATGATGCAAAAGGGACCAAAGCGGCTGGTCGCCTTGCACGACGCATTTCAAAAACTGGACAGCCAATTGGTGACCCCTGTTGGACATCACAAAGCAACTGGACTTCGGTAGTGAAGTTCAACGAAACGATATACGGCACTTATGGCATGAAGTTCTGTAAGCACGCCGCGCAGATCGAGGAGTATCTCAAGAGTCCACCAAAGGTGCCAGCTTGGGGTACTTGGCTCTACCAGACCAAACTCTACGCTGCCGATGACACCCACGATATGCAAGAGCCTACGCACGCAGTCTGGTTCGGTAACAAAACTCGCGGCTATTGGGAGCGTTTCTGGCGGGACATCTCAGGTTCAAGCATTATCAGTAACGCAGTGTGGGTCGAGCATACGTCCTCGCGCGAAGGTCAAAACTGGTACCCTCACATCGAGCAACAGCACGGAAATCAAGTTTTCCGCACCAATATCCCGGATGTAGGGGAGCAAGCAGCACCTTGGGCTTTTGCCTAATGGAGATCGTTATCTGGTTCACAATCCGCGGAATAATACGGAGAAGATTCGCCAGCCTCTTACGATTGCTACTAGCCGAGGTGATAACGGGACGTACACGGGCATAGGGGTGCTGAGGACTAATGCGAGCACTGTAATCGCTCCGGATACAAGGAAGTTGAAAAGACCGATGTTCAGCTACCCCACGGCTATAATGGTGAACGGAAAGTTGGTTGTGGCGTACAGTGAAAACAAGGAGAACATTTGGGTGAGCGTTGTGGATCCGAAAAGTCTGCACTGAGTTTCCGTCGTCATGCATTATACATAGGTTGACCGAGAGGCCGTCTGAATGTACATATGCGCGGGTTTGAGCAGAGATAACTGATCCTTCTTTCGACCCTTATGATTCCCTTCAAATCGGAAGTCTTCCGATATGTTCAGGATGTACATGGTCACCATGCGACAGTCGCTTCAGAGAGAGAGAAAGTGCAAACTCCGCGGAACAGAATCTGTGGCTTGAAGGATCAGATGGCGTGAGCCAGTTACGCAATACCACCAGAAGGATTTCGGGTTGTTCCGTGATCCGAGCAAGGCGCGTAAGCTCGCCGTTTAGAAGCCCGTGTGGGGTGGTCCGCGGGGAAGTGGAAGAGCAGCAAGTCAGCACACGTAATCGAGCGCTGAACGCAGGTGAGTAAGATTGATTTTAAGTTCTTAGAGGCTGAGTGATTTAAGTTCTTACAGGCTGAGTGATTTAAGTTCTTACAGGCTGAGTGAGCTGAGTTCTAAGAGGCTGAGACATGCATAGGAATACGTATAGAGGGTGACCCAGGCGTGGAATAGGTCAGCAAGGCTAGCGCCCCTATGCTATCTACCCATTACGCTTTCCCATTACAATTCTTTATGACCTTGGTGGCAAACCCACGATCTCGGTGCTGATGTGTGGACCCCAATTTATGCGAGATACGAGCAGATTGTCCTTGACGATTGAATCCTTCAGCTTCTCCACTTCCTCCATGTTCCAATCGGCGAACACGAGTCGACCGTTCAAGTAACTTGCCCCAGGAGTGCTAAGGTATAGCGCAGTTCCTGCAGCCAATTCCGGGGTGTCCAATAGGGAGCCTCTGAATTGAAGCGGGGCTCTTTGCCCCATGCCTGTGCTGGCGATGCCCCCAGGGTGGAAAGCCATGCATCGGACTCCCTGAGCTCCGTACTCGAGTTGCACCGACTCGGTAAACCGGTTCACCGCATGTTTGGACGTAGCGTAGCTGCTCATGTTGGGTAGGACGGCGTCTGAGATGCTGGTCGAAACGTTGATGATGGTGCCGGGTTTGCCATCCAGCAGTCGCAGATACGCACGAGTGACGAGGTACGTTCCCTTGAGGTTGACTTCAAAATCACGCCACCACTTTGCAGGGTCGGATTCGGCGATTTGGAAGTCCGCGTTGATGCCCGCATTGTTGATGAGAATATCTGGGGCTCGGCCTCCAGGAAGGGCCGCGAAGATGGCGGACACAGCGTCTTCGGTCGTCACATCAGCCGCAACCGCAATGACGGAGACGCCCGGATTCTGGGTTTCGACCTCCGCCTTAGTTGCATCTAATGCCTTTTGGTCTCGGCCGGTTATGGTGATCTGCACAGCTCCAGCCAGAGCGAATTGCTCGGCGATCGCCTGGGTTCGTGTCAGGGCCTGAGGACGGATGAGGAAATGGCTAGCTTACCTTGCCTACGCCTTTCCCACCGCCTGTTACGAGGAGACTTTTGCCCTTCGCGGTTCCTGCGAGCCGTCCCCTGGGCGAGATGAAGGGGTAGATGTCGTGATGGTCACGCTTGATGGTCGCCATGTTCAAGTCCAAGCTTTTAATTGCAGAAGAGCGGTACGAGGGATCCGATGAGGCTGAGCCCGACAACGTACGATGGTATTTGTAGTGCGAGGTTGCGCCGCACCCTGAGCACGGTCTGTGCTGCATCGGGCAATCGCAGATGGGCGTTGCCTTTCAGGGCTAATTCCGCCTATCACCGGGCGTCTTTGTCTTCATCGACGAGCAGCCTTGCCTATACATAGCAAGGTTCCGCCGAAAACAAGCCATAGAATCGGACGTAAATTCGGAATCCTCTCGCATTCGACCGGATACGCGAATACGCGACTACCAGTACCATGGCGCCACCACAGGCATTAGCCGAATTGGCGAACACCTTCCTGTCCTGCTTCTGCACCCTGGACATGGACAAGATGCTGTCTATCCGAACTGTTGATTGCCTCCACGTAATTAGGCCCGCATCCATGGACCGGCCGGCCATGGACAACAACACGTGAGTGATCATTTACCCTTCTTTTGTCCAAGGTACATAGGTACGTGTGTAGCGCTGACACTGTACTCACACAAGGTTTCGCTCCGCTTACGGATCAGTGCTTAGCCACTTCCGCACAATGACGATGGAGACAAAAAGCATTGTAACAGACACCGGGCGTAATGTGGTGGTACTCAACGTGCAGAGCCGCGCTACTACCGTTGGGCCCCGCTACGACATGGAATATGTCTTCATACTGCATGCCACGCCAGATGCGAAGGCGCTTCATCGCATTGAAGAGTTCATAGATAGTGCCACGGCGAAGACGCAGTGGGCGCAGCTGCAGGAAGCCATTGCTATGCGGGGGGAAGCGCGGAACGGGTAATGATCCTGGTAGCCTTGCGATGTACTCTGGGCCAGCCCGCGAATCTCTCCCCATTTCTTAGCTGAGGCTCTTTAGCGCTTCCCCAACCCATGAATCCATGTCGATCTACCTCTAAATGTCTTTCATTACGATGCTGCTGGTGCTTACGTTGATGGACAATAAGCGTTTTCCCCATCTGGGATATGATGTGAGACGGCCTATAATGCCGGTAGTGCCGTGGGACGGGCCGTGCTAGACGAACCGTTGCGCCATTTAAATGGTCTACGTGGCTATTCCACTTACTACTTACCGTTAGCAACATCAGCATATATTCTGCTATAACCCACCTACATATCGGACCGTATACGTGACACTCTATGTCACAACGATTGGTAGAAATAGGTGCTCAATATTCAGAGGATCACGTCTGAAGACGCGTCTCGAAGCTATGGTTTCATGGTTGCTCCGGGATTTAGCCCCTCAACTCGCCTACTGCGCTACCGTGAAATACGTGCTTCAATTCCAAACCAATCGAGTAACCACATGGAGCAGTTTTCGGTCCGATCCATATGGTACAGCTGCATGGCCGGTATGTGCGCGATGCTGTGGCAGCACAATTGTATCAAAGCGTACTTGCCATCTCGGTATACCGGACGTAACGGCGAGAATACAGTCCAGATACCCGGTGAGAGGGACTCCACTCTCGTAACATAAGCTTTCCGATTTAACTACCATTCGTACGAAGTGAGGTGCTCATAGTAAGGAGTGGGCCTCTAGTCTCCGCATATATTCGTGTCGGTGTTGGATGCCTGGATCGTAAATCCTGCGCTTTGCCTTTGATGGTGTTCTTCGCAGAGGCCTTCTTAGTGGAGAGGAGTGATGTGCAACGAAGATTACCTATTACAAGGGGAATAAGCGCTACAAGGATTAAATCCCAAGTGCCTACATGCTCTAAGCACTCCCGGGCGAACCGCCGGCGCCTCGTTTCAGCACGCCCTGATATCAGTGTGCGGCTCTTAGTAATCTCAAGGGTGCTCGGTATTTGCTCGGTCTAGTAGGCTAATGTCCACTCATGGTAGATGTAGTAACAAACTGCAACCTTACTCCCAAGCATACGGTCATAACTGAGCGTGATTTATCAAGATGTTCATTACGTTAAAGTGCAACGAGCACAACATATCTGTGGAGCAAGTAAGCGCAAGCACTGCCCAGGGGACGCGTCCTCGGCATGCCGCCTGCAATGAATGTCGCATGAAAAAGGTTCATTTGATGTTTTTTACTTCCCAACTGACCAGGTTGCTAACCAAAATCAGCTCAGATGTTCTGGAGACAGAGATGGTTGTGCCGGGTGTCTATCAAACAACATAGAATGCACATACCCTCCACCAAGCAGAGGCCATGCTGCAGGTGGTGCCGCCAGACGATGGCGAAAACACTCCCAAGCAAAAAGTTCTGCCCCGCAGACAAGGCCATCCTCGTCCGGTTCCAAAGATCCTCCAACGCCTCGCCTATCTACATCTTCATCCACTGCATCGGTAGAGCCGGATCTCGACATATTACCGTGGCCAGAACACCCATTTGTCTCGTCAGAAACGACAGAAGATTTCCTAGACACGTTCTGGAAGGAAAGTCCAGCGAGCTTGGAAGACCGGCTGGGGGAGAGTGCTTGTTCCATCTTTCCAGACATCGGGAACGATCTGTTCCTCGATAATGCAAACCTATCATTAAGTAAATCTCTCCAGCTCAATATCCAGAGATTATTAACACACATAGGCGAAGATACTCTACAACCCCACGCAAACGATGCGCTCACAGCTTTATCTTCGGAACTTTTCGGCGATCCAAGCCTCCCACTTGCTTGTCCCGGCCCTACGGATCAGCACACCGACCCGTCAGCTTTAATTCTGCCAGCATCTAACGAAGCAGACACAATTTCATTCTCCGAATTTTCGGTAACGGCATCAAATCAGGCAGGCGATGGCAACTGTCGCTGCATGACGGATGCACTCACCATCTTAGACAAACTCGAAGCCAATAAAGCGGAAACCTCACCGTCCGTCACCCACACTGTATCCGGCACACTCTCAACAAATAAAATCGCGCTCTCGCACTGCAATACGATGATCGAGTGCCCATCCTGCCGATACCGGCCAGGCTGCGCCCTCCTCCTCATCCTCATATGTCGCAATCTCGTATCGCAATTCCAACAGCTTCTCTCCAGCGAACTGAGTCTGCACAACGACCAAAGCCCACCGTTCAAATCCCTCGACAATAGCAAGACTGCTGCCTTGGGGCAGTACTCCATCGACACGTCAGAGGAGCAGCTTCAGGTGTTGTATGCACTGGCCATTGTGCGGGGGAGGAGCTTGGCGCTGTTTCTGGAGAAGTTGAAGGGCTTGGTGTGCTTTCAGTCGGGGGCGAGGAGCCATCGGGAGAAGATTGAGAGTATTGAGAATTGGCATCGGAGTTTGATGGATCGATTGAAGCAGATGAGTTATGAGCAGATTTAGACGTGTCGGGAGATTAGACGATAGAATTTCGACAGAGCTTCCAACGGGAGTCCGTTACGCGAGTGCACGCTCGTGCGTAAATGAAGTCCGAGTTCATTCACTACGCAAGACGATGTGTTATGATGTAGTGGTTGTCAACAGCAAAACGGGAGTGGATTGGTGTCGCCCTTGATTCGCGCCTTGATCCTGAACCCTTTGATTCAAGAGCACGCTATTCTGTTTCCTATTCAGAGTATATACCTACAGAGACTCCGCCCGCTGTACCCCAAACCTCTGGGAGAAGACAATAAATTGTGCTACACTCAAAACCGTCAAGTACGCAAGATGTTCATGCTTCACAAACGCCTTCTCGGCCAGCCCGTCGACCCTGCTCCAATCGATGAATCCCAGCTGCTCAACATTCTCCTTGGTCACCAACCTCTTGATGACTTGGTGAAAAGGCCCGTTCGCCGTGTATTTGATAGGACCCATGTACGGGTGTTTACGGCGGCTATATATCTCCTCGGTGATGAATGGTTTCAACGCCTCGCGGAGGATGTGTTTCTCGCGAAGAGTTTTGGTTGCAGGGTCATATCGCATTTTGAGACTAGGCGGGATGCTATTCGCGTACTCAGAGACGCGATTATCGAGGTATGCGATTCGGCTCTCCACATGGTCAACCATGTCGACATTGTCGCCTAAGTACCGAAGAATCAAGTTTGTGAAAATGGTCTTGCTCCAGATATACTCCGATGTGTGGAGTGGGTGCCATTTGTTCTGCATGTCGTTGAGAACTCGCCCGTTGAAGCTTTCTGCAATGGTGGTCTCTTGGTCGTTGACGGCAAACTTGTCCGTCCATGACGCGAATGGAAGTGGAGTGTGTGTGCAGAGAGTGGGGGCGATATTGGTGTTAGCCAGCATACGTTTTGTTGACGGAGAAACGTTCTTAGGCACTTCACCGAATCGGAAGATATCCGACTTCTTCAGCGCGTCGCGGAAGGCGGCTTGTCGTTCCGGTTCCGACAGCGTGGATGCTGGCCATGCAGGGTCGGCTTCCATCAATGAGTCAGCTGCAAAGAGAGAGTAGCCGGCGAAATTTTCGTCCGCTCCTTCACCTAAAGTGAACGTCAGTCAAAGCTCGAAGAATAGGATAGATGTTTCCAAACGTACCAGTGAGGACCACTTTTATACCGTGGTCGTGGACATGCTTAGACAAAGCTAGCCTGCCGGTTCCGTTGGCATCTGGGTTCGCTGCCTCGCTATTCCAAGCGGTCGCTTCGAAGTTCGCAGCTATAGCAGCTTCGTCCATGTGCACAGGAATGAAGTCCACACCCAACCACTCTGCTGTACGCTGGGCGATATCTACCAAAGTCAGCCTCGTGAATTGTAGGAAAGTTATTGTAGCCCACGTACCCGACTCGTCTGCTCCGCTATCCTTGTCAAACTGAACGCTGAAGCATTTCAACCGCTTTGTATCTCCACTAGCGTCATTCCCAAATTTGGCGCCCTCTGTTCTGATGAGATGGGCTGCCATGCCAGCAAGCCCTGAGGAATCCAGTCCGCCGCTAAGGTAAACACCTACTGGAACGTCGGCATGCAGTCTCAGTCTGACAGCATCAAGCAGTCGTTCCCTCAGACCTAGGACAATCTCCTCTTCAGAGCGTGTGTCTACCTCTCTCTACAACAAAGATCAGCGATTTCTGAGACTGGGCGTTCCTGAATCCTCACCTTATCGGGGTACTCAATATCCCAATAAACCTTCTGCTGTAGATCGCGAAACTGCTTGCAGACCAGATAGTGACCTGGTAGTATCTTATACTGGTCAGAACGGACAGTAGCAAGACACGAAGCCATGAAATGCCTACCTTGTAGACATCCTTGAAGAAGGTTCTCGAGTCAAAACGCCAGCCATTCTCTCTTAATGATTGTACGTTCCACTCCGGCTTCCATCCATACGGCAAAAACGACTTCATTTCCGTAGAGATCAGTAGGCGGCCATCTTGTACGGTGTAGTATAGCGACTTGATGCCGTACCGATCTCGAGCGGCAATCAAAACGTTGCGCTTCGCATCATATAGTACTAGCGCAAACTCGCCCCTCAAGTGCTGTAGAAATGATAGTCCGTAATGCTTGTAAAGTGCAAGAACGACTTCGCAATCGCTGTTCCCTTGAAAGTCGTACTCATTGGCTAGCTGGGCCTTATGTTCTTCGTAGTTGTAGAGCTCTCCATTGACGACTGCATGCACGTCATCGTGAGAGTTGTGGAAGGGCTGGTTTCCAAGGGGGCTCAGGTCAATAATTGAGAGGCGCACGTGACCTAGACCTATCTCATTCGTTAACTCTGCCAGAGGAGATCAGCGGTCAAAAATCATACCAACACGTCGGTCAGGGCTGATCCAGACACCTCGAGCATCTGGTCCACGATGCTTGATGATTTCGAGACTGTCGTTGATTTCGGTTTCGAGGGTACTGGTTCGGCCTTTGATATTGCCATTGACTTCGTCGGATCCATTCACTTTGCTGTAGCCGTTCGTGTGGGCGTCGTTTGTCAGAGGTCCATGCAATTGCTGCTGCAAGACAATACAGGCTGTGAGTCCGCACATGATGTATCGCCGCAAAATTTGTGAAATTGATGATGGTGGCACAATCAACTTGATTCTTATCGAGCTCTCTACATCTTACTACATGTGGGCTTATTCCACCCCACAAGGGCGATCGCAGTAGACCACGCCGCATGCCGATTACGGCTCGTCCACTGGGGATTCCTACCTTGAGTGATGGCAAAGTTGCGAGCGTAGCAGCTACTGTAGTCATGTCCGGCTTTGGAATCATAACCCTGTTTAGGAGCGTGCCTATGCATAAAAGGATTCGGCCCGACAAGAACTATTGAGTGTATTTCCAGGCCTCACATATGGCATGAGCACGGCCTTATTTCACGGTAGTTTCCCTGCCTGCACGGCACCAATAAAGCGCAGAGCCGGTTCGGGGGGCAAAAGCCTTGTCCGTGTCCGATACTTCCCGGCCCTTCTCCATGTCTACGTGGTGCACTCTGTTCCCATGGTTGCACGCCTTCCGGAGAGTTCCATACTCGGTCTAGTGACATGCGAATTTCTGGAGGTTTCCCCTCTGGGAGGTGGCGCAGGATCGGCGAAGGAACACGAACCAAGACGCTGCACAATGCGCGTGAAGCACAAATCCGTTACAGGTTATTGGCCAGCTTCGACGACCTCCTGAATTGCCCCAATTAGTGCACATCCTGTTTAATGCGCAAAGCAAGATACCAAGGCACAACGCCGTGCGATGTACGTGCCTTGCTTCAATAAGAGTCGTATAGTGGCACTGCGTCGTAACGATTGACACACTACGTTCCCCCAACTGTCTCGACCTCGTGGGAGAAAATCTAGTTTGGTGTGTAATGAGTGAGGATAAAAGATACGTAGGAAAGGTAACATAGCTGGTGCACGCTGCTCTCGACATTTTGCGCTAGTACTGTTTCAGAAGAGGACCTCTCAGATTCGAGAACATGAGTGCACAGGTCACATATTGGACACCGCAGAAGTAGGATCAACTATTTGACGAAAAGTCTCTGATTTCAAACTCCACAATGACATTTATTCGTGACTCGGACATATACCTTGGCCGACTATCTCATTCAGGAAGACAGGATACAGCTGTCCATCCTCTAGCATATCTCAACTGATATCAAGATGTCACCATAGTATCTGACGAGACTCTTCTTGTATGTGCCTGTCGAACAACTTCCTACTCTTGCTTCTGGCGTTTTTGAAAGATGAACTTGATGCTTGGATCAACCTTGTTTAGAATACCATCCAATCCATTCATTACCGATGACTCTTTTGGCGCGTCCACCAACTTCCACTCATAATTTCGCAACATTCGGGCGATAACGACTTTAGCCTCGTGGATCGCGAAGAAGCGACCGGGGCATGCCTGTGTTCCATAGCCGAAGACAAGGTGATCGGGGCCTGATGTCACAGCCTAGGTATGGATTAGTGGAATGTGCGGATTGCGCGAAAATTCCTAGCCACATACCTGGTACTTGGCTTGGTTGCCGGGCTTGGACCTCAGATCGAGATACCGGAAGCCGTCAAACTTCTCAGGGTCCTTTAGAGGGGATCGATTGAAGTGGACGAAGTGAGTATCAATGCCGGTCATTGTTCCGACCGGAAGAACGTCCCCAGTTGCGATCTTCAGAGGCTTGGTGACCTTTCGAATGGTTCCAACTACGTCCAAAGTTAGACAAGTTGATAGCTGTCGTGAAGTTTATACACACCTAACATGAATTTGTTGAAGCGTTGAGCCTCGCGGATGAAAGAGTCAAGTTTGACCAGTTTAGCCACATTCTGCCTCGTCATCATCACCTCACCAACTTCGAGAGCTTCTTGGCGTAGCGGCTCGACATACTCAGGACGAAGACACAGGTCGTACAGGAGATGGTAAACAGTTGCGGCGGTGGTGAAAAGAGCTGCTCGACCAGTGCCGATTTGGGCCTCCATTTGGTAATTGAGGTCGCGTCCTTTACCATCAGGCGCTCCTTCGATGACGAGTTGTAGTAGATCTGGGGGCGGCTTGAACGATGGATCCTTCATATTCTCTAGGCGAGTCTCGAGAATGGGTTTAAGCAATCTATTTCATGGTGGGTCAGTCGCTAAGTAGTGCATTGGGAAAAAGATTGAACTGACTCTTTGCCTCTTTGCTTATGCCTTCGAACTGCGCGAAGCATCGGCATTCGGGTCCAGGCAATAAAAGGCCGAAGCATCCAGTGAATTTCCCAGAGTTCTGGAACTGCCCTGAAAGCACCACCAGTGCAGTCACGGATTACCTCGAGCTTCAAGTCGTCAGCTTAGATACCGCAAACTCGAGACGGGTAGCACTTACCCACTCAGGATTACTTGAGAGTTCCTCTCCCACGAATACACGCTGCGAGATCTTTATGATCATATTCACGACTTTGGGAAACAAAAGCATCTCTGTGGGTTCTGCAGATGGACTACGTCAGCGCCTCGGCGAAGTGATTCCGTGGCGAAAACAGTACATACGATCGCAAGGGCCAATCTCCTCGAGAATTGCAGTAAGCGCCTTATCCTGGACGATCTCATAGACAGAATCAAGGAGACGGCCGACATCTCTACGGATAGTGAGAGCCGTAGCCTTCTCGTGACCAGTAATCCCGGTGAAGTCACCGAGGAAGAAATCGTACGAAGCTTGCTGGAAACTGAGTGTCGACTCTGGGTTGTTCCTTACATCCTCGATGCATTGATGTGGAAGAATGACAATCTCATCGGGGAAATGCTTGATCTTGTACGGCCGGTCAGGGTACTGAAGATGTTAGTGAAGCTCATTCCATATTCGTCATTTCAATCATCTTACAAGCGCGGATCCACGTGCCAATACCTCACGGTAAGATTCTCCTGGCTTGCGCTCTATGAGCGGTGCATTGAACTTTTTGCGCCCAAAAAGCCCACTAAGCACACTTTTGTGGACGAAATGTGACGGTCGCCTGACGTAGGTCTTCAAGAAGTCCGTGAAAAGATAATACGCAAAACCGAAGACAAATAGAATTGCTCCGGCAAGAAATGGTCGCTTGGACACTTCAGTGCCCAAGCTGCTCAACCCGTTGAGCACAATAAGCGACATCTTTGATCGATTGAAAAGAATAGAGTTTGAGTTTCAGTACAGTCTTCTCGAACCTTGCGTAGGTTTTGTACGGGCAAAATCTATTAATGTGCCATGTTCATGGATACGTGAACACTATAAGCACGAGTGCCGTTGGAAGTTTCCACGTGTGGAGAATGCTCCAAAGTCAACGAATAGCATCGGATTGGGCCGACAAACGGCATTCCCCGACATCTTCAGAGGCCCTAATAGTCGAGGTGTATAAAAGTGGGGCTGGCGGTTACCCGAATGGTGCAGGACTGCCTCATACTAATCTTCGCGCTCGCCCTTGGGGTAAAACCCGGCACGTGCCGGTCTGAGCTTCGCTGGCACACACTGTGCAAACAATCTGGTTGAAAGGCATGGCTAATAGTGTTTAGAGTATCAGAGCGCAAACTGCTTTCCACGCATTATCACAAGCAGCTCTCCGCAATGATTATCTCTATTGCTCATTATGCTGCATTACTATGCGGAGGGGCTTCGTTTCCGACATACTTTTTACGAGGAGAGCATCATCTACACATTGTGCTTTACATACAACTGTTATTGGCTACCGCGGCTCTTGGAACACTCGGATTGTCATATCTGAACAGAGTCACCTTACTTTCCGCGGCGACTGAAGTATCAGGCCTCGCAGGCTATTTCCTTGCTGGACTTTATGGAGCTCGCACTGTATATCGGCTCTGGTTTCATCCACTTCGGAATTTCCCTGGATCCCCAGGTGCAAGGGTCACAAGCTTCTGGCTATCGTGGCAAGTACAGCACGGTGATACATTCCGACAAATAAAGAACCTACACGATCATCACGGCCCTTT